CAGTGTGCATCGTTTGAATTAGTATGCCTTGAACTCAGCGGGATTTCCTCATTTGAATAGAGGAGCTGGCAGTCTGTTGCAAAACATCATGAAGGCTATTTTCCTGATCCTGAGCCATAGTTCACATGAAAACAAAATCATAAAAATTATGTATTCTTAATTAGAATTAATGAAGCCTAAAAAAGTCTCAGTCGGGTGAAGAAGCAAAGGAGGAGGTCTATTTGTCTGTTTCTTGTCTGTGGCTGTCTAGTCACCCAGCCACATGCTCCATCATAGTTTAAATATTCATAGCCTGCTCTCTGAATATGCATGAGGCCGACATTAATATTTATAAGCTTCACTTGTTGAGGTGTCACTCGATCTCTTGTACACACATGCACACGCAGACTTTTTACACTCACTGGTGATCAAAGGAGAGAGTTATGTTGACACAGGACAGGTTCACAAGCAATGGTGTGGGTTACTCTAGCACTGAGATGCCACGGTAAATAAAAACTATGACCCTCTGAAAGTATTTGAATGACACGCATAACACCTCCAGTAACAAAATAGTTGAGGGGAAATATGCCTCTGTTGCATCACTGGGTGCCAGCTGACAGGAGGGATACCGGGAAAAAAGAAGCTGAGGAAATTAGCCTGTTAAATTAGCTTAGCCCAAATAACCACCTGTGTTTCAAACATAAAACAAATGGTGGTGGGATTCCTGGAAGGTTAAAGTTTTGGGAAGTCCCTTTTATAGGCAGATTTTTTATGACCGGACTCAATTAAATACAGCAAACAGTAACTTGTGTGTTTGTTATTTCAAATATGAACAAATACAAACAAATATGAAAATACATGTTCTATGTAAGGGGTGGATTATGGCAGATTATTGGGGCCGCCATTCCGCTGATAATCTGTTTTGGCCTTTATTTTACACATGGTTTACAAAATATTCTTTAAAAAAAGCGCAGTTCTGGTATTCGTCTGTTTCCTTGCATCACTTTGCAAAACCTCAAGTACTTTCCACAACACAGTCTGATTGGCCAGGTGTCACATGACCTTGTGATGCAGCTGTACTGTTACAGTGTGACTGCTAACTCCTTTGACAGACTGTTCATCATTTTTAATGTTAGTGCATATTGGTTTCAGGTATCAGTTTCACAAACTAATTATTGGTGTAGGCTCTGAAAAACTCAGTCGACCCCCATCCCATAGGATTACTTTTTCTTAAGTGGCAGTTTTTAACTCATTTTATGTTTTGCTCTTACTGAACTGTTAGCTTCAAATACATCCAAAGTCCAACATTTACACTCATCTGGGTTTTCTGTAGCTATGGTTAACTTCCCTGTCATAGTTTCCCCGTTTTCTTTCTCTCTTGATGACTTTCTAAAATGGTAGCCTCTGTGATTTCTTGATGAAAACAGTAACATTTAGTGTCAAGATACTACCACTGAAACATGTTCACAATTTAACCACTTCAGCGCTTTATATATCCAAAAAACAAGATGTCATGTCTGAACCACCAATTTATTCAACTTGAATGCATAATAGTGTCCTGTAAAAAAACAAACTGTTGGTTTTGCACTTGACTTGATTTTTACGTATTATAAAGGCTGCTAAGGTGTTTCACCAGTTCTGAAGAAAACTAGCTGTTTTACTGCACAGAAATTTTTCTCATTACAAGATTATGATACGATATTACGATACAATACAATATGATGCAGAATGATACGCTATGACATATGATACGCTAAGATATGTTACGATACAACTCAATATGAATATGTATATTGGCAAATTGTTGGTTTTACACTTGGCCTGATTCGTATTACAACAATACTCTATGTGTTGTTACTGCTGAAAGGGTTTTAACTATTTCTGTACGAAGCTATCTGATGACAGGACCTATTCCCCAGAGACAATACGATACAGGACAATAACTAGCTGCTTTGCTTCCTTTTTTAAAGTAACAAGTGTTGGGATTAATCATCAAGCTCTTGACGAGGCTGAAAATCAGCACATACTGTTTAAAATATTATAATTATAATACCATAACATTGATGCATACAAACATCTTAATTAGGTCTCAAACTTTTTTACAGATAAACTGAAGCAGTGTGTTCACGTCATACCCATTTTTTCTCTAATGTCCACACATTACTGTGACTTCATACAAAAGAATCAAATACTGTATTTGAGCAACAACAGATGGTTTGTTAGAAACTTATCCAGCAAACTTTGACTTTCATTTCTAATTGTATGAAATGACGCACATGAAGTGGAGCAAACCCTTACCGCCTGAACATGATAACCTGATCCATAAACACAACTTCTATGACCCAGGGTAACCTTACATCGTCATCAAACTCAGGCTTTTGTTGTGACAAAAATTACATAGTGTGCCTTTAAATAGGAAATTAAAAAGTTCTCATTGAGTGATTCATGGAGTCAGGATTGAGTAACACTGGCACATTGTTAGTCACTTCAACACAGTAAAAGTAAAATCAGAACTTTTAAGGTAAGGTATTAGTAGGTGAATATTTGCTGTGTTATGGATTGGATTAACAGTAAAGCCTCTAAGGTCGTGTTTTAATGTGTCTACCAGAAGAGGCACAGTTTACCCTCTGCTGCCTCCTTGATTGGAGGGCCTCTTTAATCCCACTTCCAGTCAGATCTTTAAACAGACATCTCTGCACCTCACTGAAGCTCTGGAACTGATGTAACAGTATGACACACACACACATATAAACACACAGTCAGCTGTGCACTTTCTAATAAGGGGGGTTTATATAACTGGCACTACTGTGCTGGTATTTCCGTGCACGGGCAGTGGGAAACGAGCGCCGTTTAGTCTCTGTGCAGCGTGCACACATGCCAACCTTTCTGCCAAAACCAGCAGACAGCAGGTGTGAGTGTGTGTGTATGTGTGTGTGTGTATGTGTGTGTCTTTTATAGTCTCCTTTTGAGGACACATTTGAGATTATTTGCACACCAGTTGTCCTTGGAGAAGTGATTGAAGGTTACCTCTAATGTAATTTAGCAAAATTTGCGTTGAGCACCATGTGAAATTATCGCGTGTCAATTGAGTGTCAGCAAAACATAACAAACCAGTACGTGTGTGTACGCCTGTGTGTGTGCATGTTGAGAGAGAGAGCAGTGATGCACACACATAGCAATGCCTGCTCACTTTCAGATGACGCACATCCTGAGGCCTGTGCTCAGTCATCTCTGGAGTTTGTGGGTATCAAGTCTTTCTCTTTCTTTTTCGCCCTCATTGGTCACATACCATCGTTTCGTTTGTACTCACAGTTTATACATCATCCCCCAGATATTACAAGACATTCCTCAAATTAAATACCACATTTTTCACACCATATTCTAACATGATTCAATTACATTGCTACTGGTGCGTCCATTGCTCTGCAGTGCTTCGAGTTTTATTAAAATGGAGCACAAGTAGAGTCTAAAAGGATAGTGACATTCACAGTTTTTAATAAAGAATAACAAACAAGTCACTTCTGAATCTCCAGGATTAATGTTAGGTTTGTGGATAACAAATGAGAGGCTGCCAAATCATATCAAACTCTAAAAGCCTGTCCTTTAACAAGAACAGTTTGCTTTGTGAAGTGTTGGTTCATTCTTTAACACATCCTTTAACCACAGAAACTTTTTTCCTCACAGAAGAGCAAACTTAGAGATGATTAAGTGGTAAAAGCTGGTTTTCCTCCTCTTAGGTACTTGAGTCAGTTTTGAGAATCTTACAATTATTAAAGCACTGTGTGGTTCGATATAGATATTAACTACTGCAGGAACTGTTTTAAAAAGTTCAGACCAGTAATTTATTATCCTGGGACAAAGGATGAAGCAGTGAAGTAGCTGTGCCTCCTCCAGGCTACATTTATCACACATCTGGGGTTATATCTTGTGTAATTCACTTTTTGAATAATGGAGTCTGTGAATGACTTTGAACTGAATGGGAGAAGAATTAATGAAATAAGAATGGATCTGCTCTTCTCTCATATCTCCTCACAAATCTGCATTTCCTTCTCATTCTCACACCTGGTCTGCATCGCTTTGGCATGAATGATAGTTGAGCATCTCAAAAACAAGTCAAGTGGGTTTATACGGCAAGATGTGTCAAAACGGAAGATGAAGCTGTTAAAAAAACAGAAAGTGAGTGGGTGTGAAGGTAGTTTCTGATTTACCAGACATGATGTTTTTCGTTAGAAGTCACATTTGGGTGAAGGTTGCAGACTGAACACACCTGTGAGAAGTCATTACAAGTAAGGGTGGAGGAAATGATCGGTTTTCAGACAGTGATATACAAATTACTAAACACTCAGCGTCAAACCTTCACTTCTCTCAGATTCTTCTTATATTTCTGCAGCCAAGTTGTGATTGTAATAGAATCCAGGTAGGAGAGGTGTGTTCGTTTTCCAACCATTAAATCTTATCCAATGTACTAACCACTAAACTAATCTTCATATTAGTGAAAGTAGAAAGATTCAGGCTGTAAAAAGACTGTTCACACATTATATCAAGATTCTATTTTCAGTTAGCATCCCCTCTAATTCCTAAAGTCCGTCCGGGTATTGTTCCATTAATAGTGGCTCTGTTTTTGCAGCTAACCTGCGATGACAGATTTTTTAGTTTTTTTTGAATCTCTATGCTAACTGAAAAAATGTTTGCATGATGTCTAAATCTTGAGCCCCTGTCTCGAAGATAATCCCTTTGTCCAGGTCCTAAATTCAATAATTACTATTATCGTTTAAAGCCATTTTCAACACCATTAACTCAAAATCATTAATATTTTTGAAGTAGGAGGAACTGGCCTTGTAACCTCAAGATTCCTGATAACTTCATTTGAAAATGTGGCATCAAGGAGTAAACTTGATTAATCCACATTAAGGATTATGACCCCTATCAAAGTTAAACACATGAGGAAATTACTTTTTTCTTTTTCCTTTGCAGCATTCACACCAGTGGCCGTCTGCATCATCATTTTTTAATTCATTCAGACAGTCATGACTGTGATCCCAAAGGCCAGAGTCAAGTCTAATCAAACCATCGCTGCTTGTGTTTGAGTCCTTCATTTCATGCTATCCCCTTTTCTCTTATTTTCTATATAGCAGGAAATATTAACCTTGAGATACAGCAGGATAACTGAGGATAAATGTGATCACCAAACAGGAAAACTATGGCAGGGACCTGCCTGATTTGGGTTAAGATTTGAAGTAAGGGGTCATATTAGAAGGTAAATAGAGACTTCCTCGTGAATAGTTTTCTCTGGGTAATGCATCTTTTATAAGATTTGTGGAGGATGAAATCAAGGCTGTAGCCATTACTGCAGTTGGATACTGTACGACTGCAGTATTCCTAAAATGGACCTGGCTCTGATACAGAAAAACAGCATGCTATCATTCACCAAAACGTCATCCATGTAAGAGATCTTTTTACATGTCTCTGTTTTGGTGAAACCAAAGATGGATAAGACAGGATGACTCAGATTTAGAGGGCGATAAATACTTGTGTCTGTTGGCTCTCTACCTACCACTGAGGCCTTTGACGTCTTTGGATGTTGTTTTTTGTGGAAAAAAAGTCCTCAATTTGGACCCTAGTGGTATCCAGTGAATAAATAAAATCAGGATGCTGTATCTTAAGACTAAAATGCAATGAGTTAAAACCTTTTCATTAACTGAGTAATTTATTTTTTGCAGGGTTATTCCTCAGACTGGAAGTTCTCTGCAGGGAGAGTTTTTTATGTCCTATTTTTAAGGTCATGTTATCTCGAGTGTTGGTATTTTATGTTTCCTCAGCACAAGCTCATGAGCAGTTTAAGTACCTGTGTACTCTCTTTGGTGCAACTTGTGCACTAGTGCAATGCAAATGTGGGGAAAATGTGCATTTTGCTCTTTTGTGGTCAAGCATCAGCTGATACAATATAAGGATTTTTTTAAGTAGACCAAACCAGCCCCAAGTGTGTGACGCAGTTAAAATTAGCTCTTCCTCTTCTGATGGCCAGTGCAAATGTGGGGGTGTCGGACACCCTGTCCTCTGGCACTGCATTGAGAATACCATCTCCCACCACTCACTTAACTTAGCATTGTTATTTAAGTCTAGTTTTCAAATGGCACAAAGTAGAGATTCTGCAGTATTTACATTACTGCAATATCTAGGCCTGAGTTTGGGATGTATGAACATTTGTGACGCTGCGTTACAAGACTTACATGAGAAGCAGTCCGAGGAGATTGAATGCATCTGCTTTAAATGAAAAAAATTAGTATTTGATATGACTTGCTGGTTCATGCTGTATTTATTAAACGCTCATGGTTGTGGTAAGGTCACTGGACAATTTAGACTGATAGTTCCTGAAACAAAAGTAATGATCTTAATTTTTGAATACTGACCACAGTTTTTTTTATTTCATTTTATAGTAAACCTTGTCCAGTGCATCTTCATTTGAACCCCCTTTGACTACCTGTATGTTAGGGCAAGGGAAAATAACCAAATTAGATAGGTGTTAAAAGTTTATGAGAATATTATCTAGCAGGTGTCCCTAAAAAATACCAGAATTACTTAAAAAAATAGATATACTAAGAGTAGACTTTGTTTTCTACTTTCTGTGGGTAGTTAGCTGAGGGAAATGTGTATTCAATGGCTGCTCTCAAAAAGGGAGTATTTTTAGTGATAAAGCGACATGAGAGTGTTTCTTCTCCATCGGCAGAGGTCAGTTTTTGCTGTAGTAAAGGATATTTAATTGAGTTGAAGAGACGACGTGAGAGATAGACAGCATCAGGAGCGAGATACAGGGACGGAGATGGAAATGAGTGGGCTGCTGGTTGAAGCACTGGCTCTCGTGCATTCCTCGCGTGTGTGTGGGCGCGTGGCTCAGGGTTCAGAGCAGTCGGCCCTCCTCCTCCTCCCCTCTCTCCTCCTCCCTGCTCCCTGTTCCGCCCCCCCGCTGCTCCGACAGAGACAGGCAAAAGGCGGAGGAGGAGCAACGGACCTCACAATCAACTGACGCGGGGTGTACAGCACTCGGTCGGTCGGTAAGAAGCCGGCAGAAACCCACGGAAAGAGGAAGACATCCGCTAACGGTAAGACAACGGTGACGCTCGCGCTGACAGTTGACGCTCTGTCTCGTCGATTAGCTTGATTAACAGTCTACTCCGCAGGTTGGCGTCGACGTGTCTTGCTGTCTGTTTGAGCGCTTATGCCTTAGTAGGACTTTTTTTTTGTTTATCTCTGAGTTTATTTGGTAAAAGTTCCTAGAGGTTAGGGTAACATCCATGATTTTGCTTTAAGAACAGTAAAAACGGTTGAATAGGAGGTCTAACGAGCTAACTGAGCCCCGGAGCCCTGGTATCGCGACGTCGCTGAATGAGTGTCTGTCAGCCTGTATTTGTTGTTTTTTAATCATAAAATCAAACTGCTGTGATTAATTGTATAGATTTGTGTCTAGTAATTTTGAGGTTTAATTTTTTAAATTTAACTTAATCGTGTTGGGATGTAGAAATGTGAGTTGAAAGGCGCTGTAAGTTACCTACAACGATCAGCGATGACATTATGAACACCTGGGCAATCCAATTCAACCGCTCTACCGTGAATTTTGAATTGCAAACATGATCAGACAGAGGATTATTGTACCTTATTTTCATGAGAATTAGAAACCGTTGTGGGTTAATATCATAAATTGTTCCTTTCATTTGGTCCTCTTCATTTACAGACATGAGGTGGACAAAATATTAGGAACATCTTTCAATATAATACATACACGCACTACAACAATTCTGCCCTGTCTGAACATGTCAACGGAATTTTAAATTTGGGAGCCTAGTAAAAGTAAATCTTGGAGTAGAGGTGTTGTATTGGGTTGCATTAGGGTGTTGACAATGTTAAGGCTGGTTGATGTGTTGCTCATTGTTTGCATTACAAAAGTCCCTCTTTGACATCTGCGATAGTTCTGACTCCACGCCAGTGCCCCCGCTTTTATCCTTCTTATCCTATCCTTCACCGACCGCCGCTGTCCACATGCAGCTGACAGCACGGTGAAGTCCCGGAGCAGGAGGTCCGCTCCCTGCCCCTGCTGTTTAAAAATAGCCCCGTGTGTCAGCTTAGCCTGGGTCACGGTAATGCGACACACACATACACACACACACACACACACACACACACACGGTTCCCATCGGTTGGTTTTTCCTGCACTCAAGACAGAGTCCCACAGACCCGGTGCTGCACCGTTACATGTCTGTCCCGTTATGTGGGTCAACAGGATGCAGCAAACTTGTGTATGAAGATGACATCTGTTTGTTTTTTGCACACTTATCCATCCTTGGTTTGAACTTGTGACACAGTATGACACTGTTAGTGTTAGACTGAACTTTGAGAAGTTGTAAAACTCATCGTGTAAAAGTGTCCTCTCACAACCGCACCTGTTTGTCTGAGTTATGCATGCAGGTATTTTCCCCACCTTAGCTGCAGAGAGACGCATCACCCACATCACTTCGGCTATAGGACTGCTGTGGCTGCTGAGGTGCTGCTGGTGGCTCAAAGGACAACGTAACCTAAATTTCACATATGCAGCCTACTTTCTGTTCTGCGCTTGTCTTTGAGCAGAGGGTAAAATCATTTGTGCCCTTTTTTTACTCGATACAAGATGGGAATAGAACAGAACTTGCTTGTATGAGATATTATAGCTGCAAACACACAAAGTGCAGTCACACAAGATGTAAAAATATATTGAAAGTGGGGGGAAAAAAACCTCAAATACCACATGAAGGGAAAGGAAAGCAGCCCGATTAAAAGCCTGCAGAGACTATGGATAAACACAGCGCTTAAGGCTATGAGTTTGAGCCTCAAAATTCTCAATGATTGTTTTAAAGCAGAGAAACCTGCTCCCTCTTTTTTGTCTCTGCTGAATCATTTCCTAATGAGCTCTGGGCTGGGGGAGAAAACATGAAATCCCTTCTTAAATGCAGCCATAATCTTCGAGAGAAAACACAAACAACTTTGGGTGGCCATAGGCAGTGATGATTTTAATATATGTTTTTGTTTTCAAAGCAGTGTGCCCTTAGTTGCAGTAAAACTCAGAACAAAGCGCAGGATATTAGACACAAGCTTACAAAGTCTGGTTGTGTTAAACGATACAAGAGCCACTGGTGATTACAGGCCTGGTACTGAAAGATGGATTTTTCAGTGGTCTTAATTACAAACAGGATTCCTCTGGGCTTAGCACTTAATAGAACTTGAGTTAGCTGACAATGGCCATCTAAAGTAGCTTTTGGACATTTTCCCTTTGGCCTGTCTGTGTGTCAGTGTAGATGAGCCAGGCAGCTTTTGGCTGCAGAAGAAAGGTCTCCTGGTGAGTAGGTGGCTCTGAGGCTGGAGGCTTCGGGGAGAGCAGCAGATGGATGATGATGTAGCGGGTACTGGCGCTCCCTGCCTCCCGCCGCCATCCGTCACGCGCTAATGATCGTGTCACACCTTCTCCCCGGGCGGCCGGCCGCTTCTGCAGTGCTCAGCTCAAAAACTAGTAGCACCGCTCAAATCCCCTCTTCATGGCCATCGGCGGAAAAGCCCAGAGACAGACTGCGCTGCAAGCCTTTCTATCACTAATTCTTCACTTCTTCCGTTCTCCACCGCTTTCCCTCACCCCTATTCACCTTTAAAGTCCCTGCAGACTGTTTCCTCATCTCTCTTCATCCCCTGTATCCCTCGCCTCTCATTCATCTTGTTTTCTCTGTAGTGCATCTGCTCCACATCATTCTTCTCCCTTTCTGTGCGCTTATGTCATGTTCCTGTTCTCCGCTTTTGCTCTCAATCCACTGCTCTGATAATACAGTTCAGCACCAGCAGGCTCTCTCGTGTTTTATATACGTTTCTTTGATTCGAATGATAAATGGAGATGTGTAGCCTTTTTTCCCTAAACCTCTACTCTGCAAGGTCTGAGGTCAGGGTCGGTTATAGCATCATACACATGGAGTCCGTCTGTTTTGCTAAAAGACACCTCAGCAAGAACTCACCAACAGCACATCGGGGAGTCTCACAAGTCATTATGTCCTGCAGAGTGTTTATATGTCCCTTTTTCTTCCCTAGAAATTATGCAGAAGCCCCTCGAGCTGAAAGACAGTGATACAGATTGGCTGAAGCACACTTCTGCAGATTAATTTCTTAATTAACCAGTAATTCCTTTTATTTGTTACGTAAAAGCGAATAACCAAATAGTAAGCCTGAGGGTAGGCATTCCAACTGATAATTCTGCTTAACAATTGTCCAAAATGCAAGAATGTCACAATTTTTGATGTAAAATTCAAAAAAAAATTTCTTGTTTTTTCTGTTGGGGAATTTTTTCTTTTTTTTTCACAGTCAAACTAACAATCATCTCTCAGCTTCAGGAGCTGTTGCATCAAGAAACTAATTTCCCTAGAAAACCCGTGACCTTCTTAAAATGATCTTAACCTGTTTTACACTTAATGAAAAACATTCATTTGTATTGCACCATATATTATTATACCTCATCTTTAAAGTACAACATCTATCAAATCCAGCAGTAAAATGTTTTGCATTTGGTTTGAAATTTGACCATCGTATTCTCATGAAATAGCAGACCATCTCATGCGGAGATTTCAGACTCCTGTCCACCACACTAGACATTTTTTTCCTGGGTGTAATCATTGCGGTCTTGTATTGTGTTTCATTGAGGCACTATGGAAAGTAAACACCACTTTGGTTGCACTTGGATTGACAGGGCTCTTTTTTTTTAAACTGCTGTTATCTCCAGTCGGGTGTTAAATAACCATGTTATGGGACTCGGTGTCCTCGAAGCTAGTTATACTGTCCCAGGTGTTACAGGAATAAGTGTCCCCTTGAGCTGTGTGCTGCAGCAGAATGTGTCCCCACTGAATGCATTTGGCTCTTTGGAGAAGATGGTGGAATGCCACTTCCTCTAGTGTCTGTCTGTGTGTGTGTGTGTGTGTGTAAATGTGTGTTTGTGTGTGTTCTGACGTCTTTGGTCTCAGCTCTGTTCTCACCACCAGGATCAGAGACTCAGCTTGGCATTCTGGGAATATCAGTGCTGGTGGATCGGATGATACTCTCCACAGCTGCTGTTTCTAAGAAAAGCTGGAGGACACACTCACCCACCCACCCACCCACCCACACACACAGACCAGACATGTATCCACATGAACTGCACCCATGTAAACACAAATGCAAAAATCCAGGTCCAAGCAGAGGCCAAAGTGTTTCCATCATTACACAAGTACATCCACACTTACAGCAACACACTTTGAGCAGCAATTAACTGTCAAGCCAGGAGAGCATTTGGAATGCACACACACAAACACACCAGCTTAGCTACTTGATGTCATTTCCAGCAGCTATGCTTTTATGCTCTGGCAACTGTTTGATATGAGTGCATATGTGTGTGTGTGTGTGTTTGTGTGTTTGTGTGTAATAGTGTAGCGGCGTTTCTGCTGAACAATGACCACTAACACTGTTTTCTCCCCTGTGTTTTTCGATCTCCTCAGGCTATTTTCTGTTGACCAGTAAAGAGCCGGCAGAGAGAGGAACTGTAGAGAAAAGCGAGCACAGGCGGAGAGGATAATTGCATTTCTGGCTGCCCCGTGGGAACATGGGATATATGACCTCATCATTCACCTGTGAGGCTCTCCAGTAAACAATTCCAAATAGGTAAGAACCGTGTACACAGAAATACACACCACTGCAAATGCACATGTAGACAGAGATAGCTTTGAACAGCAAACATCATATTTAAAATCAACACATTCAGACATTATTAGGGTGGATGCAAACAGAACAACATTTACATGTCTTCTGTTATTTAGAAGGATGACTGAAGTCGCTGTGGAAAGCACAGATGTCCTCTTAAGACCCTGTGATGTGACATCGTGTGATGTCATCAGTGACCCCTCCCCTCCACCATGTCAGTCACTCTGCAATCAGATGGAGGATGAAGAACATCAGCATGATAAGAAGCTGGAACAGCAGGTGAGTGACACAAGACAAAGCGACTTATAAGTACGCCGTGTATCGTACGCCGACGAACACTGCGAACAGCGTTCTTAGTGAGGTCCTTTTATGACAAATTATGTCCTCACTTGCAGAATCTCTGCAACCAGGTGCAACCAAAGAAAAGAGTCAAGGTAAGCTAAAATAATTCAGCCTCTCATTATTCATCCTCACTGAAATATCGATTGTATTAAACTCTATGAATTTATAATATCGCTCGCCTGTGTGCGTATTTCAGGCCAAAGGAAAGTTAATGCGGAGTATAGCTGTCTGCGAGGAGTCCTCACCATTTGAAGAAACCAAGGTAACACATAAACACAAAAACATCCAGAGATCATCATCCAACCTCTCATCATCACCAGCCTCAAATTACTCTTTTTTTTTTTTTTTTCCTCCCTCAGACATCTCCAGACACAAACATCTCGTCTAGCTGCCATGACAACGAGAGAACTTCCTGCAAGGAGGAAGAGTCGGAGAAGAGCACAGATCCAAAGAAACACTCACTTTCCAAAGGTACGTGTGTGTGATTGATATCTCATAAAAGAGAGACAGCAGAAAACAAATAAAATGTAATAAAATGGGATTCACTGTCACTATTAAGATGTTGCTCTCCCGGGGTGTTAAATATTGCAGTTTGCCTCTTTTTGTGTTTTTTATCTTTATTGTCTTGTATTAAATCTAACCTGTCTGCCCGTCTGTTTGTGCTGCTCTCAGAGTCCAGCGTGGAGTACACCGACTCCACCGGCATAGACCTGCAGCAGTTTATCATTGACACCCTCAACAGCAATCCCAGAGACCGCATGATGCTGCTTAAACTGGAGCAGGACATGATCGACTTCATCACCAGCAGTAGGTGAGTCCGTGTGTGTATGAAGGAGACAACATAACCTTGAGGTCTCGCGCTCAATAACTCAACAAACCCAGTATGTATGCTAAGTCCTGTGAAAGTCTAAATACATGTTCATGCTAATTAAAGACATGGTTTGATCTCTTATGTTATAATTCTGTCCATACAGCACCCAGATCAATATATATAGAGCGTGTTATGTTAGCGTGGGTGTGTTAAAGCCACCAGGGATGGATTTGGACATGAGCCAAAAAATACAACCAGTCTCAGTCCGCCTCTTTCTTTCGCCTTCTGTCCTATCTCTCCCATGCTTTGACTCTTATTTCCCTCCCACTTTCATTTGTATTTCTGTATTTCTCTCCTCCTCTTGCCTCCTTTCCTCCTCCCCATACTCCTTCATCTCACCTCACTTAATTCCTCTGTTTCACCTCCCTCAGTCCCTTTAAGAAGTTCCCTCACATGTCATCCTACCACCGTATGCTGGTCCATCGGGTGGCGGCCTACTTTGGCATGGAGCACAATGTTGACCAGACGGGCAAGTCTGTCATCATCAACAGGACCAGCAGCACACGCATGTAAGCATGCACAGTATGTCGACGAGTACATACCTGTGAATACCACCCTTTTGTGATCCAGTTAAAGTAACAGTGATCGTGTCCTCTTTGTTTGAAAGACCGGAGCAGCGTTTTATGGACCAGGTGTTTAAGGACAAGGCAGAAGAGATCCATCGATGGAAATTTATTTTAAAGAGGGACAACAGCTTAGAAGACCAGGTCTGTCTGTCCTCTTTGTCTCTAAAGCTGCCCGTCTCTGTGGAGTTTCCTCCGTAATTGACATTGATTGCGTCCTATCAGCGTTTCGACCTGTTCTGTTTTGTCCCTCACAGATCAGACCTCACCCCTTACGAGAGAAGCAGGGCAAATCAATGGAAGAGAGAGAGGAGGAGTACCAAAGAGTGCGAGACAGAATTTTCAAGCAAGTGGTAAGACAGGGGGACAGATGGACGGATATGATATGAAGACAGAAAAGAGACTGACTAATTTCTCTGCTGTTCTGTTACAGCCGTCCTGCACCCAAGAGAGTGCCCATGCAGAAACCAGGTAACCTTGCCTGCAGGATATTTTCTCCATGTGCCTGTTCAGCTTATTATATTTAGATGAGAGCATTAATATATGTGTGTGTGTGTGTGTGTGTGTGTGTGCAGGGCTGCGGAGGAGTACAATCCATATGCTGAGACCCAGAGGAGAAGGCGGCTCTTCAGGTACAGCTCTGTCTGCACAGATGCGAAGTCATTTATCATCTTAATCCGGTCAGCCTGGCTGCAACAGAGCTGTTCAGAGTCTGCTGCAAAAACAAAAAGAGGATCTAGATCTGTGTTTCCTTTAGTGGCAGAGTCGAAGTTTGCTGGAAATGTTTCATAATCTGTAAGGAGATAACTAAAGGGAGTTTTTTGTAAAGACAGTTTTATTCCTTTCTGGTTAAGAGCTTATTTGGTAAGACTTTTTCAGGAACAGTTTAGCAAAAGCACCAGAGTACAGGGTGATAACAAATTTAGACCAAACGTAGTTAATGTTAGTAAATGCGTCACAAATCTCCAGCCCCCCTTTTAAAGTGATAATTTTCATGCCTCTCACTGGATAATTCTGGATGTGCCTCACAGGGGGAGCCGTGACAGCTCGGGCTCCAGCTGGACAGGCAGCAGCAGGCAGAGCAGCACTGAAACCGAATGTCGTTATAGCAACGACCCCCGACCCTGGAGCAGCACGGACTCAGATTCTTCCTACCAGTGGACAAGTCCTGTTACAAACCACCGCCAAACTGCCAACCCAGGCTGGGACGCACACAGTGGTTCAGGTGAGTCCTCTCATCAGTAACTTTTCAACACTTCCTGTCACACCTCTGAGGTGTAAATTCAGTCACTTCACTCCTGCAAGCAAACTTCTTTGCAGATTTTATCACCGCACAAAAACCATGTTTAAAAAAAGAAAAAAAAAACACCATATCTTTATTCAGCAGCATCTAATTAACTGAAAGCAGTGCAAGTTCTGCTGGTGTGAAAATTGAACTCAATCCCTGAACCTTCACACCAGAGCTGTAAATTTTCACACAACACCTCCAGTCGTCAACGCATATTCAGGAAGAGCAACACGTCAATGCAGAGACGGCTCTAAACAGTATGTTGTTAACACAGGCGGGGGGGCTGATGATGATGTTGAGAACTTTACCAGGATTACTGTGAGAAGTGAGTTTGTTTTGAGGTGATGAAAGTAAAACTTCTCCTCTGAGTTTCTCATTTTCACGCCCTCCTCTTCTCCTCAGGCTCCATCGCTCTCTACAGAATACCCTCCACCTGTCCTCACTCATCCACTCCTCCCCCCATCGACGAGCCGTCTGTCTACATCATGGAGAACGGGATCCCACCTGGAAGCATCTTGGTGAACCCACATACTGGTACATAACGCACACACACTCACACAGATTAAATTAAACACACAACACATGTACATTTGTTACACTCAGCCCTTTGACCCCACAGGGCAGCCTTTCCTGAACCCTGATGGGACTCCTGCCGTGTACAACCCTCCAGATAGTCAGCAGCCAATCAGGAACCAGACGCAGCTGCAAGTTCCTCCTGCCCAGCAGCAGCAGCAGGTATCGCGCACACAGACACGCTCAGACACACTCAGACACAGCCACAGCAGGAAGACGCACAATATGTTTCGTCTGACATACATAATTGTTTGTGTTTGAGTCTGTATCTCTGTCTCCATATGTCTCTCAGGTGGTTCAGTACTCGTCTGTGTCTTACTCGGCTCCACAGATGTTGCCTGTCTCTCCTGCCACACAGCCATACTCCACAGTATGTACCGCTGTACACGCACACAGCTGCTGCTCATACATGTGTTTACAGTGTAACAGCGTCTTTATGGCTGTCTATGTTCCCCTTGACCTCCCCTCTCTTGTGCAACAGATTGAGGATCTCTCCTCGCAGTTTGCTCATATGAGCTGTCAGTCGGCGGGTGAGGCTCCACCCCTCTACCCTACCAGTCAGAGTTACATCTATGCAGCTCCTCCACCTCCTCCCCCACCTCCAAATCCCCCCAGCTACTGCCAACCCTCATCTCAGGTACAAAAATATTCTTTACTTTTTTTTTTTTTTACCTCTCTTTTGATAAACAAAATTGTACTTGAATTTCTAATTTTAAACATGAATGAATAAAGTGTAAAAGTCTTTATTATTTTTCCTGTTTACAGTTGATTAGAAAGTAAAAACAAGGCTGATATTTTCTTTTTCTCTCTCTCAAAGGTGCCTGTGTATTACTACGGCCAGTACCCTACCTCAGCTCAGCAGCCATGCAAAGCTGTCTCCCCCAGTCAGCACATCCACAGCCAGACAGTACAACCCACAGGTACTTTCCACTTGTGTACTTGTGGCTCTGCGATGGTGTGAGGGTGTTATTTGTTTGCGTGTGTGTGCGTGTGTGCCGGAGACAAGACACAGACTTGTGGCAGTAGAGGAGGGGGCCGTTACACTGTCAGAGATGTAGTCTGAGGGTCTCACAGTGAACCGGTCTCTTTTCCTGCTGCTTCTATTCAACAGGACACAGGAGGAGGAGATTAGACAGTATTCAAGATTTTCTTTGATCAGGATTAAATGCTCTGTAAATCAGAAACGGCTTCAAACAATCAGTGAACACCTTTCAGGCGTCACTGATGATTAAACACACATACTGAGATGAATCAAGTGGGAGTGGAAATGGAAGTGAATGCAGTAAAAGTAGCTCCTTATCAAGATTGTGCTGTTTTGTTTTTTCTTTCTATATTTTATGCTCTATTCAGCTGAACTATCTACCGGCTGAATTGTAACTGCCAAAATGATTATAAAAAGGGATCTCTGCTGGTCCATAAATGTTATTTTATTGATATATTATGACTTTTGTGCAATAAGTAAAAAATTAGACTGGAAACAGACAGTTATCAAAGCTTGTGAATTAATCCATGAGAGATCGAAATCCAAAGGGCTGCATACTTGAGGCCAGATTTATCATTTTAGAAATTTGGGAACCTCCGGCTTTTAATTCTGAATTTAAAAATATTTGATTCTTTTGAAAGATAATTACTTTAATAATTTTCTTTTATTCTGTGATTGATTGAACACCCCGGTAACATGACTCTTCTAATTTGTTCTTTAAAGGCTCTAAAATTTAACGGTGGGTTAAGCCGAAAAGATAACACTGATGAAAGACTGCTAATTGTTAATAATCTCTGTATTTGTGTGTGTGTGTGTGTGTGTTTGGCGTAGGCTACTCTGCTGCTGCAGGGGTGCAACAGCCTCCACACACCCAGACCCAGGCTGTTCTGGGGACCTACTCACCGATGGCCTCTCATCAGCGTAGCATGGTTCAGGTAAACAGCAACCATGAGCACCCAAAAGCCTCGTTTTACATCACCCTCCAACAAACTCAGCCCCCCCTGCAGAGGTGCCTTAGTTCACAAAGTGTATTTTTCCTCCAACTTTTCTTCCTCTTCCTCTTCTCTCTGCAGGGAGGTGTTTCAGTGTCCTATCCCCAAAGTAAAGTTGTGAGTGCGGTGGGTGGAGAGCCGGGTTACTGCTGCGTGGTGCCCCCACCCCCCCACCACGGCAGCTGCCATCCTCCCAGCTGCACCAACCTCAGCGGCCCAGCCTGGAGCGCACAGTACTGATGGTGCCTCGAAGGATGGGAGATTTGATACTTTCAGTTCCTGTGTGAACTCTCTCACACACACACACACACACACTTTACAGAAACACCTTTTTTTCCCACACTCCTTCCTCACCTAAACCTGCCTTCTTCCTGATAATGCCCACAGGGTATGCCGTTAACACTCTTAGCATGTCCACACACACACATTCACATACACATGCACACCCACACCCACACACAAACTTAAATGTACCACTGTACCAAAGCTTAATAGTATATATCAGAGCTGCTGTATTGAATGCATAATTTATATACACAAATGGAGTTTTATATTGATATTAAATTATATATTATGTTTTAAGGAAATGCACTGTGTGAATAGAATAAAGAGCTGTGGCTGAATTGATGATGTCACATTTCTCTATCATACTGGCTCTGTGTTTCCTCGAAGTATGATGATGATGATGATGATGATGTACCAGTATGTGCAGGAGTCTGGTACACACACACACACACAAGTGCGTTGAATCAAAGTGAATAACATGAGAAAATAACTCTGTTCGCATCAGTGGCACAGTCATGATGTGTGCGCTGTAGGGAGCACAGATACGGGTTGTTAACCAGACATCATGAATCTCATCCCCTTAATGAGAGAATTACTGTTTAACAAGCAAATGAAACATCTTGTATGAAAACATCGATCATCGAGATGAAGTCTTATGGAGAGGCTCAGACGCTCACACCGTGGTGGTCTTTTCAGGTGAACACCTATGTTCAGATTTTCACAAATCAATGCAGAAAATTACTGCAAATCATATAAACAACAGAGGGATGAGCTCTTAACAACAACTGAAGCGCTGGGGGATTATTTGGAGTGTTGGGCTTTAGCGCCCCCTGCTGCTCAAACACTGTCAGTACATATGCTTCACATATGTCGTCCAACCAGTGGGTAATTTGCTCAACAGCTTGTAAAAACTGCAGTTCTTCCCCCCTTTGGCTGCAACCGAGTGATTTTTTTTCCAACTCATGGATCTGTGGGATATTTTTTAAACTTCTTTGATGAACAGATAACAATTTTATTCTGCCATTAAAAAAAAAAAAGGATGAGCAGGTTTTTTGTTAAACTGCTCAGAAGTCACACTTTTAGCTCAAATTTATGGAAATAGATACATGACTAGAGGGCAATTTTAGCAATAAATTTAATCTCTGTGACCCTAAACTTTGCAAGCACATCCTTCCCATGCATGGTTATATTATGTACAATCATTTTAAATCCCTTTTTTATGAGAAAAAGCAGGACTGGTTTCCTTTTTTTTCTTCTATATTTGTAAGTCGTAGTGCCATTTTTCGTATAATTGATGTCCTTAAATTTTGAACAGATTATTTCAACAAAGAATAACCTTACATAACTAACAGGACAAAAGAGAGAACCACAGCTGTTACCAACGTCACAATATAGAAGTGATGTGTTTCCGACACTTAATGACTGGTAAATAGAGCTTTGCTGTCACTGCATTTGATGGTTGCATCTGTATTTTTACCCGAGTTGGAAAGTCTAGATCAATATCTAACACTAATATGTATGAAACACATTCATAACACTTCCCTTTCTTTAGGGTGATAAAACAATGATCAATCATTGTATCTTTTATACTAAAATGATTCATACTCTCACAACTACAGGCTTCAAAATGAAGTTTAAGGTTCATACCTTCTGTGTTACATGTGGAGAATGTAAAAATTATTGCTGGATTAACACACAGGCAGAGAAAAGCATGGGAGCAGGTTCCATGATCTTTAATAAAAGGCACATGTACAGCCATAGTGAGATGAGTGAGTCCACTGGCATAGAGACGAAGCATTAAAACACAGAAATACAGAAAGTCGAGGTCAGGAGGAGAGAGATCTATCTGCTTTACAGTAGAGTCTACACAAGTAACATTTTCTCATTCAAGTAAGTCTAACACTAATATGTCACCGTGGAAAGGTACAAACACCCCGTCCCACCCCTGACACACACATACACACACACAAACACACTGTAACACACCATCCAACAGCCCCCTGGAGTCTGATCTTTCAGTGTAGAAGGAAGAAGCTGAGATCACCTCCAGACTCTGGGCTGAGTTAGGTCACTCCTTTTTGTCCTCTCCGTGGCACAAATACCAAAATTGAGTCTCACACTGGACGCCTGTACTGGGCTGTCTGTGTGGGGCTTTTGTAAGTAGGAATTAAATGAAACAGAAACTAGCAGGGCTCACACTCTCTCTCCACAAACTAAATCAGACCGCAGCTGGTGATCTAAGGAGGGATTGGATCAAAAAGATATGAATCCAATACTCATGCAAAGAGAGAGATTTCAGGACCATTAAGTGGATTTTTTGAAGCCCTCACACCAGTGACAGTGTTTGAATTAGAACAACTTTGCAACAATATTATTGATCCCTTGGACGTGTTTTTATTTTTTTAAGAATTGTGACTCAAAGACAAACAAGGTGGGAGATATTACAGTTCAATATGAACATGTCAGTGCTCTCTTGCTCAAACATCATTTCAGTGAAAGTTTCTGAATCCCCTCAAACCAAACTGGGAGTGTCTGTGCTTCAATATCCTGCGCTCTGCTGGACCAAAGTACCTGCATTCATACAAACTTTAATACAGATTTAGCTGTAAAAGCTCTCTCTTAAATGAACCTCAACTCTTACATATAAAACTTGAACTCGTAAAGAAAAAACATCTTATAACAGTATGATATAACTTATATATCTGAAGTCTTTTTTTAAAACTGAAGGGGAATTTTAGAGAAATATGAAATAGAAAAACCTCAGCGTCTGGGGATCACAAAGGTCTGCTGGTTATTCAGCCTTACTTCTGATGTCCTTGTTATTTTACTGCTTTTTCACAAGGGAACATGTTGACAAGAATCTCAGTTACTGCTCACACACTCACTCACACACACACACACGTACAAATGCAGCCAGTCACTCACTAAAACCTGGCTTAAAAGAAAAGAAAAGTTCACAGGTATTTAAATATTCAGGGTTAAGAGAAATAAAATCATTAGTGTGTAAAGTGAAATATAACCACAGGTGGAGGAATAAATTTAAAAACTAAAAACCACATGCAGGCGGGCGTCTCTCCTCGTCATCGAGGGAAAAGGGGGTCACAGAGAGGGGGGTCTTTTTTTTCTGTTCCAGCAAAGGTTCATACGCTGACTACACTCAAGCACAAAAATTGTAAGGGAAAAGGGAGACACACTCACTCGCTCACTCACTCACTCACACTCACTAACATCCATTCACGTGTCCAAAGAGCAGCTCTGCAGAGTCAGTCACTCTGGTTTCACATTTTCTTGTCTTTGGGACATTTCAGAATAAAAGCAGAGTTTGTCACACTCCAGGGTCCGTCCCTAAACTCTCTTTTTCACTTACACACACACACACACACATGCACTCAAACATGCACGCCCAGCAAACCCTGCTTTGGTTGGTGTGTGTGCGTCTGTGTGTGTGTGTTTGTATATGTGTGTGTGTGTGAGTGTGTGTGTGCGTGTGCTACCTTTGGCCGTGGGCGTCAGGAGTAAGAGGTCAGACATACCTGACCTCAGACAGAGAGCCTCCAAAGGTACCCCCCCTCTTTCACCCCTTACTCCCAAACACAGCCCCACCTGTGCCCTCTGCAGATCTCAACCCAACTGTCCATACCATGATGAGGCCCACTCATCGCCATAGCAACTCACAGCTCCCCGAACGACGGGTCTCACTAACTTGTAAAAGGAGGTAAGTGTGATTAGTGGTGTGTGTTTATATGTATATGTATAAATATGTGTGTGTAGGTTAGTAGACCCCGTGTGTGTGTTTGTGTGTGTATGTGTGTGTGTGTGTGTGTGTGTGTTAAGAGGTATCAGTGGTTCAGTGGTGTCTCTCTTTAATCTTCATCATTCCTTTCCCCTCGCCCTCTGCGCCCTCCGTCGCCCTCCTCCTCCTCCTCCTCCTCCTCCTCCTCTCTCTCTCTCTCCCTCTTTATTTTTGGACTTGGAAGATGAACAGGCGCAGGTTGATGTTTTTGGCGGCCAGCAGTTTGTTGCACTCTACAGAGTCGGAGATGGGCAGGGGGACGTAGTCGGTCTCGTTGGCGTCGTTGCTGAAGGAGTGGTGGTGGATGACCGGCTTGATCCGCACGTCGTCGTACGGCCCCTTCAGGAGCAGAAAGGAGCACTCCAGCGCTGAATTCACCTGCACACAAACAACACATTCACTGGTTAACCACACATTCAAGACATGGATTTAAGATGGGGGCTGGTTTCTATTCAAGAGCCAAATGTCAGTAAAATTAGTTCCACGAATACAAAATTCAAATCTTACTCTATGTATTTGTTGGAGCTTTGGTCACAGTCTCCCAGATAGTAAAAGTGTGAAGTGTTTTCCAAAAGTGTGCAGCGCTTGTTTTGAACATTTAGTACCTGTGATGAATTTTAACATGACGGATTGATCAAATGCACCTGATGCATCTTCACAGACACAAGGATTGAGGTGCAATAAACAGAGAAGACAGTGGCCTTTGAAAATGTGATGAAAATTGGTAGCGTGCAGAAAATAAGCCTTCAGGAAAAGAAAGAGTTATTTTAAGTGGACTTTAAAGGGAGATGAATGTTGCCGACCGCTTGCTTCTCTAGTCATACCAACTTTAGTAATGACCGTTCGATAGCAATACACAGCAGTCTACCACTCCAAAAGATATTTGATGGCTAGTACTATGGCTTGGTCCCTAAATGTAGAAGTTAGGTGCTGTTCTGAGCATTATTTGTGGCTATAGAGTGGTGTTCTGGTTGAGGTTTGCACGTGTAGATGTAGACCACTGTGTATTGCTATTGTGCGGTCGTTGCTGTAGTTGGTATAATTAAAGAAGCAACCAGTGGGCAACATTCATCTCTCGAAGGGGTGTCTAACTCTGTGTTACGGTGTGTTTGACCCTAACTTAATTTTACACCGGAATATCCCTTTAAGACTGACTGCCATGGGTCGTGAAAGGGAGGAGAGGCAGCAGCTGCTCGTGGACCCTCTGACATTTCAAGATTTACTGTGATTACAAAAAGTTTGTGCGTCTTTGGGGTTACTAATCAATCAAACATTTGTACTTCCTGTTTTTTGTTTTTTTTCAGTCCCATAACTCACGATTTACCAGATGTAAATAATAAGAAATAAAAGCATGATGTAGGTCATAACACAACCTAAAGGGAAGACAGATAACCCACCAAAATAAAAGCATGACAAACGTTTCATCTTTTGTGAGGCACTGGTGATGTGGATCAGTCATGAATTGGAACATCATTAGAACTGGACGATGAAATGTTTGATAACTGCATTTATTGGTGAAGGTTGTAAAGTAATGTGTTGCTCCTCTCTTTCCTGAATTTGACTGATGTTGTTTTATTTCAAGTTTTCCCGAAATGCTGCGCCTATATTGATATTGTGATATTTTACTGCCACAATTATCATGTAGTCATGTTTCGGTATCATGACCACCATCCAACAAAGCTACAGATGATGATAGAGAAGTTGATTTTGGGGCAATAAAAGTAAAATTTTGGGCTACGTAGACAAAGAAATGTAGAAAGATTTCCAAACCAAGTCTCAAGAGGATCTCAAAACTAACTCTGATGGAGGAAAACACATAGAGGGAGTTACAATAGAAACAAAAGTGTGATGTAACAGATCTGCATTAAGTTCCTCTGAACCTCTCTGCTCTGGTAAAGGCTGTAACTTTAGTCAGCTTAACCGTTTCTAAATCAGAGCTACATCCTATAACTGTCTATAACTAACTCTGAGTAATAATGCGTAACTGGAAATGAGAGGGGCGTAAACTTTAACTTCACTGAGCAGTGAGGAGATCTGTTTTAAAAAGCCAGTTGATGAGTAAGGTTCTGGAACAAAATCTACAAATCTGAGGCTGATGAGGCCTGATGTAGAAGACAGAAGAGGAGGCTGCGTTTTTATAATCATTAGACTCCTGTTAACCAAAAATTATAGATAATGAAACATAAATATGATCTAATTAAAAAAAAAACATCAATCTGGTTGAAAGGGGGAAAAAACTGGTCTCTGTGCTGAAGAAAAACTTCCCCGTGTGTTCAATTTAAAAACAGTTTTGACTTCCACTGAGTCTCTTTAGTAAGACCGCAGTGTGCTAGAGAACAACATGTCTCCACATATGGGTTCAAACATCATCCCCAGAGCACACGGGTCTTTAAATTCACCTTTTTACTAACAACTGTCCCCATTAACTTCACTACCACTTTCACCCACTGCAGCTCTTAGAAAGTTCCTCCTCTGCACTGAACAGCTCCTCAGCTCGTCCATCTCCTACTATCAAGTCTGTTTCTTAACATTTGGCCTCCTTCAGCTCCTCTGTTTAAAGCACTTCTGCTACAGAGCGGTGAATCACGGCCCTGAGAACAGCCACTCACTTAAAAAAACGTTAAAAATAAACACGAGGACAGGGCAGCGTGTGTGTGTGTACCTTGCTTTTAAGGATGAGCTGGAAGGAGAGTGTACGCTTGCAGGACAGGTTGGGGTTGCGTTCAGAGTCGTTGACGCGGGCCTTCAGCACCCACGTCTGGTTGAGGACGGTGAAGCGCGGAGTTTCATAGTACAGGCGGGTGATGAAGTCATCAGTGCGGTACGGCCTGAACTGAACCTCTGGACAGACGCACGAGTGGAAGACAGATTTGAAGCAAGAGGAAAGGCCGTCAGTGGGAGGAAAAAGCTGTCAGTGATATTAAAGCACTTCTACTGTCAGGTTGTTTGTCCTCTGTACCTGTGAAGCCGATCTTCTCGTAGCAGAGCAGACCAAAGATGCTGTTATAAAGCTGCATGTCTCTGCGGTAACTCTGGTCCATCTCCCCCAGTATCCCCATCAGCTCCGTACCGGTCTTAGTGGGATGGGAACACTCACTCTCGTGTGCCGGCAGCTCGTGGAACGGACCTTGCCAGGGGCAGCCGATCCTCTTGTACTTACACTGCGTCACCCTGGCAACACGGAGGCGAGTGTGACTTAAAACACCAACACGAGGAGGAAGACACACAGCTTAATATAAACCGTGTCCTGTACAATGGTGCTTTGTGATGAATCCTTTTCCTGCAGTGAGTGGAAGGTACTAATAATATGAAAAGTTACTAATTAACCCAGGCAGTGAACCAGGGCTAATTAATACTGTGCTAATGATCCATGTGAGCTGAATCCAACTCAAAGAGAGAAGTCCAGGATCAGGGGGCTTTTTAGAGAATAGATGTTAACTTTCTCACAGTTAAATAACAATCATGTAAAAGCTGCTTAAATAACAATATCAGAGTTAGCTTAAAGTTTTCAGTTACACAAAGGTTGTTCACTTCTTACCTGGTTAGATCACAGCGCTAACTTATGCTGAACACCTAATGTGCTCCAAAGCTAAGAAGTGAAGGATGAGAGATAAAACCTGTCTGTGACAAATGAACCTCATTGTTTTGATGTTTTAGGTGTGTTTTAGTGTTACACAACTTATTTAGTGTTTATTTGAACTTGTTTTAACTTTTTCACTAACATTTTTTCAGTTTTGATAAGTTATCTTTGTGCTGTTTTTAACTAAATATGCAGCTTGAATGATTTACAGACGATCAAAATGTGACAGTGTCTCTGTTGTTTGGGAATGGGGGGTTGCATAATGAGTCAATATTGTATACATATCTGCATGACTGCGTGGACAGAGGTTCGAAATCTAAGCAGCTGTCGACATGTATCTGTGGTCTTTGTAAAAAAGAAAAAGGTGTTTTTGAAAGAGTGTTTCAAACTGATCTTCTCCTGCTCTGTCAATGTCCTCTTACATCACCGTTACATCACCATAAACTTCCTCTTTATGTAAGACGCGTTCAGATCCTAACCGGAGCTCATTTTTCTGCCTGACCCGACTGAAACCACCTGGTGGCTGTCGCAGCCGTCGTCATGGTAACATTTGCGTGGGCACCTCTGTCCTGAGCAGGGTCACCTGTTGCTATAGTAACTACCCCCCTAGGATTTCATGCATGCAAACTGAACTGGTCTGAGCGTCACAGACAACAAACACAGCGTCTTTAATCACTTCAGTCGCTGGTTTTTCTGTTCAGATGTAGAAGATCACAAGATGCTCAAAGACACGCTCTGTATGTGTGTGGGTGTGTGACACTGTGCACAAACACACACTAAACAGTTAAGCCTTCATGGATGTCTAAATTACAATCCCACTTTTTTTTTCTACGCCTTTTGGGTGAATCTGGGTCTGTTTTTTTATTTTAAATCTAGGTCTGTTTTAGATGATAGGTGCATTTTCGGTGCAGGTAAAAAGGTGAGCATGCTGTGTACCTGTCTTGGCACTCTTCTTTCTGGTGTCTCTCTAAGCTGGAGCGGGGAAACTGTTTTAGGCAGAAGGTGCACTCTGTCGGCAGCTCACTGACAGCCTTCTCCACAGCCAGGTTCCTGCAGCACAGGTTCTTGCTGATCTCACACCTGCGCACAAACACAAGTCAATGTTCGGTGCATTTCTCGTACACAACATCTGCGGTATGTGCAGGATGGTGAAACAAATTCATGGACGAGGTATACCAGGAAATAGCTGTCTGGGTAATAGGAAAGTTATGTTGCGCTTTGTTTTGCAATCGTTGGCTGGAATTTCAACACAAAAATTTAGACACAAGCGACCAACAGTTAAACCCTCATAAACATGCAAATATTACTCTTTGTCTCTCATTTTGAGTGTTTTTATCTCTTTACATCATTGCTCTCGTTTGTTTCGGAGTTATCGTTCTACTTTTGTCTATTATTACTTATCTGTTCTGAGTTATGAACAGGGAAGATACTGCCTGTTTTGGTGGGGGTGGAGAGATTAAGACTTACCATTGGTTAAGATGAAAATAAAACTAATCTGTAATAATGTACAGTCCATATTATGTGCAGTTTATTCAATCAAATTTGGTAATATTGTAGAAAAACAAGTTAAGGACAATAATATTTGTTTTTTACTCAAAGTTTAATATTGACATGTTTTAATGTGGTTGTTAAATCAGTGTTGATGACTATCTTGAAAGCATTTCTTCATCACTCCTCCTTCCACATGTAAAAACCGCTTCCTAATAGTCATCCATACATGCTCGTCCCAGTCTGATCCAGTTGCATTACTTTGAAGCTAGATTATCCAGATCAGGACTGGTCCTTATTCTTTGGTTGATGCTCTGAAATATTTAGAAGTCTGCCCTCTTATCGGTATGTTTGGCGTTACCTCATCAAACTTATAATAAACTATTCACCAGTGCAGAAGGGTGCTGCTTTCAGTGCTGCTTCACCTACACATATTCACCTCATCCTCAGTATTACCTCCAATCTCAAGTGAAAAAAGATCAAATATACACTTAACAGAACGCTTCAGGACTTTCACAGGACTCAGGATGGTTTTATTAAAGGGATATTCCGGTGTAAAATTAATTTAGGGTCAAACACACCGTAACACTGAGTTAGACACCCCCTTGAGAGCTGAATGTTGCCGACCGCTTGCTTCTCTAGTTATATCAACTTTAGTAACGACCGCACAATAGTAATACACAGCGGTCTGAGGAGCCACACACAAACCTCAACCAGAACGCTGCTTTATAGCCACAAATAATGCTCAGAACAGCACATTACTTCATCAACAGTACATATAGGGCAAAGTGTTTTTAACTTTGCCTGGTTTTCTTAGCAAAGAGACAAAACACAACTCACCTACTCGCCTCCAGCAGCCACTTGTTTGTAGCGAGACCTCAGGCCAGTCCATTGACTGAGGCAGGGGGACGCAGCTCAAGGAAGAACATTTATAATTTCTTTATGGAAATGCAATCAGAGCGAGACCGCGTCTGCAGTGCAAAATTAATATGGTGATTATTACTTCAAGGAAATGATAAAGAAGTGATCATAAATGTTCTTCCTTGAGCTGCGTCCCCCTGCCTCAGTTCAATGATGGACTGGTTGAGGTCTCGCTACAAACAAGCGGCTGCTGGAAGGGAGTAGGTGAGTTGTGTTTAGTCTCTTTGCTAAAGAAATCAGGCAAAGCTAAAAAGATGTTTGGTGGCTAGTGCTATGGCTGGAACCCTATATGTACTGTTGATGAAGTTAGGTGCTGTTCTGAGCATTATTTGTGGTTATAGAGTGGCGTTTTGGTTGAGGTTTGCATGTGGAGACATAGACCGCTGTGAGGGCGTGTAACTGTGTTACGGTGTGTTTGACCCTAAATTAATTTAATATCCCTTTAACTTTGTGAAGCAGTCTTGTCCTTGCTTATACTCTAAATGTATTAATGCATTTAATGTAATGTCTACATCCATGATAATCAATCAATCTGGGTTTCGACAAATCATTTGTCACAAACATTTAGAGCTTTCCTGCTGATTAAAATCAAACTCACACTTTTTAAAGTCTAGCGGCTGTTAAAAGTCACATACTCTCACGTGAAGAACTTGAAAACAAACCACAGAAGTCAACATTAGCAGAAGCAAATATGGCAAATCTTCCATCAGTTTTACAAAATTAACATTGCTTTAATGATGTAACTGTAAAAAAAAAACCTAAAAAATTGAAGTAATAGTGAAAAGTATGTGAGACGCTGAACGCTAAACATTACTGTGTTAAATGATCCAATACCAGGGGCCCCGTTTACACACGCGCCCTATTTACGGAGGTTATGGCTCAAACAGGTGCCCAGGTTGGCTTCTAGCCTGTGGCCCCCTTTCCTGTATGTCACCCCCCTTCTTTCTCACTCTGTTTCTACTCTATTTAATGTCCTGACAATAAAGGCAAAAAGCTGTAAAATAAATCTTTAAGAAGAGACTTCTCGACCAGCGATGATAACTGCAATAAACAGCCTCTCCTGATCTGCCCTGTGTCGGTTTCCATGTTCAGGGAGCTCTTTGTACCTGCAGTTGGGACATGTAGCCTGCTCCTCCTTTAGACGAGAATCAGCCAGGAGGTGGATAAAACAGCCTGCACACATCAGGTGCCCGTTGGTACACTGCAGCAAAGAGAGAATTTAGGGTGACAACCAAGAAAAGTGTTGGAGAGGAACAGACAATGATTGATTCGGATGTACAGGGAGAAGTGGAAAAATTGACATTGAACACATCATCTGGTTTGATCTTATGACACAACTGTGAACAATTTGCTGCAAGGGTTATGGCTGATTCAAGGCCGATCACTGGAGCTACTTTTGATTTTTTAGTGACATTCTTGAGTACAGTCTGGGACTATTTAGAGTTTTTGTTTTACAAGACTTGATGCGAACCACATGATGCTGCAGAAAATGATATCAGGCATGGTTGGGTGGGATTGGACCAATTTTTCTATTCAGTTTTCTCAGTATATTTTAAACTGGTGACGGGACTGAACATAATATGAGAGCTTAAAAAAGAGATTTTTGAAGGTAGTGTGTGGTTATTTTATAATTTTTTAAAATGTCGGTCTGTAAGTCTTTTTAAGGGGCTTGATGTTTTGTAATAAAGGACTTGATGTGTTAAGACTGTATTCTGTAATTGTTTAACTGTAAAAACATGTGCTTCATGTTACAGAAAAGGTGTGTAGATGTTTAAGACCAGCTGAACAATGATTTACTATAAATGTGCTTACTTAACACTGAAAAGAGCAGCTGAGGTCTCTGAGGAGAGTGTTATTGTGGGTCAAAGGGCAAAGATTAATCAAATCTATAATTTAGGTTGAGTTTTGAATGAGTCCCTGTGTGGGGTTTTTATGGGGATGGGGTTCTTCCTGGGGTCATCTGAGGGTAATTCACATTATTAACTGGAGCCGGTACAGCTGACACAGGGTCTGGGTGTGTCTGGTGTCCCAGGCTGCTGCATTAAGACAAGAGGGGCCTGTGTTGGATAAAGTATCTCTAAATTTAGAAGAAAATGTGCAAGATATTCAACAGGTTGACTCTGGGGGGGTCATGGGTTGGACACATGGGGGGAGGTTCAGATATCAGGGGTCGAGCTGTTTCTCTGTTGTTTGACGGGGGTTTTAGAGTTATGTGGGGAGGGTTTGTGATTGACACCTTGTTTACCTGGTATACAGACGCCTTGGGTAAGTCTAGGCACACGGTGCAGCACAGCACAGAGTACAGTCTCTCCTCCAGCTTTCCTGACTCTCCCTCGGGAATTTTGACCCTCTTCTTGGGCGGCTCGTCTTGGTCTGGCTCGGGCCCTTCTCGCCGCATCCCGACCTCCTCCTGCATGGCTGCAACCCCGGCGACAGCCTCAACCGCTGCCCCCACGGCCCCGACCCCCAGGCCGGCCGAGGAGGAGCCAGGGGCGGCCGCTACGCCTACTTCTCTCTCCTCCAGTGAAGACATGGCGGCGGCGGCTGTCTAGAAATTTCAGCGGAGTACCTGCCGCGACCAGACTGAGCCCGAAATATTAGCAGGTTAGCTCAGGACTAGCTCCGAACCTGTCGAGCTAATGGTCAGCTGACAGCTGGCTAACGCTAGCTCGGCTAACTGTCAGGCAGGAATGCAGCAGGCTATAATAAACACGAAGCTGCACTTATGATGAACACAACAAGCCAATGATTGTGTAATAAGGAGATCATGTGCAGAGAGTAATGATGACTCAATTAAACGGTGACTAGATTGTTAGACTTACAGTGGGGCTAGCAGACTATGTGGCTAGCTACGATGACAGAAACACAGCAGCAGTCCTCGGCCTGAACAAAAACAACTCTCAGCTGTTCCTGTTCCTGCTCTTGTTGTTGTTGTTGTTGTTGTTGGACTCCGTTATTCGCGGTGACAGCAGACAACAACGGGGTGCAGCAGCGGCCCAGCTCGGCTGCTCCTGTACCGACTGACAGTCCAGTGGACCCCCGGGAGCTATCGGTGATCAAACCCGCGGCTGGAGACAGTTCTGCGGGGACCCGTCTCTCTGCCTACACAGCCATCTTTGTTTTTTTTTTCCTGTCCGTCTCCCTCGACTTCACCCTGAACAGCCTTTACGACTCCGGGTCAGGCTCGTTATTACTCTGGCAGGAGCTCGACGATGGTAAATAGCAGAAGTTTCGCTTTCAAAAGTAAATATTTCGCTCGTATCAGCAGCTGCCTGTGTGTGCCAGGAGGAAGTTGGGCACAGCGTTGGCTGACAGCGGAATGTTTTATTGTGGCAGATGACTTGGGGTATTTAAAGAGTTTTCAATGGCGCATGCGTACTGAGCACCTGCGGGTCAGTGAATGGCAGGACTGGAAAGGTGACCAAAACCTGATATGCGACAAATTTAGGCAATAAACCAATAAAAAGACACATCCTAGATAGATGTACGAACCCTATATGTATTCACACTTTAATAGCTTTAAGTTTCTGATTTTTTAAAATTCTTTTTGGCTGGTCGTCTTCAATTTTTGTTTGTTTTTATCGTTAATTTGTTATTTGATTTGAGTTTTATTCTAGTTTTTAGTTTAATTAAACAGTTTCCTCATTATTTGGATTATTCCCAGGGGCCCAAAAAAACTATTGTTGTCATTTTATATCATAACCACCGTTTTCTTGTTCATTTGAGCTTTTTTGTTTGTTTTGTTGTTAAATTGTGAGTTAATTTTGTTATTTATTCTTACTTTTAGTTGAGCTCTCCAATTTTAGTGCCACTTTTTGTGTGTTAAATACTTATCAGGGGCAGAGGAAGTGCATTGTGCAAGAAAAACTTAAAATATCACACCATTGAAAAAGTATTCAGATACCTTGAATACCACAACCACACACAAAGGACATACCATAAAGGCCATGGTTCAGTCAAAGAGCATTCACCATATACAGGAACTAAGTAACAAAGATTACAACCACACACATCTCCTCTTATACTACTTTATTTTCAGTTTTACAAAACACACAATACAGTTTTAAGCAGGGTTTTTTTTTCTCAGTCCAATTTTACATGTATTTTAATTAAAAATGGTATTTGACAATTCGGTTTGGGTTATTTTTTTAACCACTTTGCTGTAAAGAATTGGTCAAAACTGAGGGCAGGAAATAACACCCTGTTCCTGCTGCCTCGCTTATACCCCTGTGGCAGACATGCAACAAAGTTGTAATAGTGGTTTAACTGGTTGCAAGAGACCAGGTATTACAAAACAGGATGGTAGAGGAAAGCGTTTAAACACTGATACGAGGTTACCAGCATTTATAAGCTTGTTCAGCCCTTTAGTGTCCCAGATATGCAGCTTTGCAACTTTTGAGTCCTGGGAGGGGTTAGTGTGTGTGTACAGGATGGGGGGCAGGGTGTGTGTGCTTTAGTATAGTGAGGTGGGGCAGAGTGTCAGCTGTCTGCAATCGGTGGGGACAACACTAACCCCTCCCACTGGACAGATAGATATGCCTTATTTGGTCTGTGTGGAATGGCGAGGGGACCATACCACCCTGAGCTATGCACACACACACACACACACACACACACACACACACACACACACACACACACACACACACACACACACACACACACACACACACAGATTAGCCAGTAGCCGTATGCATTCACATGCTGTCTTTGCAACTCCCAATCATCAGCCGCACAGTAGTTGGACCTGATATTGCCACAGATAACTTATTCTCTGTAGTTTTTTCAACAGTCTCTTGCCAACCCAACAAAGATACAAAACATAAATATGGCATGCAGGAGTGTTGCTGATATGGCAAACTGTTTCAAGGACTAAAATGAACATACTGGCATTTAAAAAGTGGATCATATTAGTTGCCAAAGAAAGCTAAAACAAGACAATACAACACATCTAGAACTGAAACACTATAGAAATGAACCTACAGAGTCTTTTTTTTCAAACACAACACAGCTTACAAAAGAATGACAAACTGCAATATGTACAGAGTCCTGCTTAATGCTTTGTGTGTCACTGCCCCCTCCTCATAGTCTAACACGAACCTCCATGGTTACACCACGTCATTGTCACTTCATAGTAACAGGATACACTTGTGTACAAGCTGTCAGTCAGATCCTACTCAAACAAAAGACAGGCGATCACATCAGCAGCAGTTCAATCAAGGAGAAATAAGAGGTATTGTCTGCTACAATAAAAGTGATCATCTTGATCTAATTACGCTGTAAATGGATGATTGACAGCTAGGTTAGGTCAGTGGATGTGGGAGGGGGTGTAACAGTGTTCAGACAGCTATCTAGGAGGTGATTAAGGTTACATAGAGGACAGGTGGAGCCCTGCTGATTAAAGGGTGCTTTGTTGGGAGGATGGGTGGTGTTGCGTTTAATGACCTCCAGTGGCTTGTTGTTGTTCCTGGCCGGTTGGACGTGGAGAGTGTGGAGGTGACTTCTGTAGGCCGTTTTTGTTCTGAGCTGGAGATTCAGCATGGTCTGAAGAAGCACAGAGCTGATTAGGTTTAACACCCAGGCTGGTTTCACTGGGATCTACATCTGGTATTTCCTGTCTGCTGTGCGCCCTGTGGGGTGTTCCAGTCTCTGTATAAGGGCGCTCTGCTCTCTGTTGACCAGGTTTGACCTCTGAAGCTGTGTGCACTTCAAGCTGAGGGGATATTTTCTCTGTACTCGTCTCTTGTTGCTGCTGCTGTAGTTTGTCCACATCTTTTTCTTTCTCCATCTTCATCTCAGTCTGTATTTCACTAATCTCCTCGGGTATAATTTCTCCCTCTCCTCTACCTTGACCTACTGCCTGCTTTGTCTTTATTTCTGCTGGATTGGTCTGGACATGTCCCTGGTCTCTGTCTGGTTTTGCTCCTGAAGCTGCTGTATTTGTCTGAGCTTTGTCTGTGAGCGCCCTCTGCCTGCAGGTTGAAGCCATAGCCTTTACCCAGGGATGCAGCGAGGTCTGCTCTGCTGTCAGCCGGACAGTGGGATCCGGCTGTAAAAGAGCTCTAACGAGACCTTTGGCCTCTACACACACACACACACACACACACACACACACACACACACACACACACACACACACACACGTACAAAGAAAGAGAGGGAGGGAGAGAGAGAGAGAAAACAAGATCATCTATATTTATATGGATGTTGCTCCTGCAATGACACCAATTGGACTCTTGTGTCCCTATGAAAAAACAGATACATCAATAAACAAACAAACTAATAATTTCTATACTTTTCACCTTCTGAAATAGGGTCCCAGTAGGGAGACAGAAAGTGCAGTTGTCCCTGTTTTATTAGCTGAAACAACTCCTCCTGGTCCCGATCTCGACTGCGGAATGGAGGGAACCCACAGAGGAGGATATAGAGGATGACACCCAAAGCCCAAACATCCACTGCAACACCGTAACCTGCAAAAAAATCCAGAATTAGAGTAAGAAACACAGAGGATGAAGATTCAGATTAATACAAAAGACGAAACAAAGAAGCACTGACCGGTCTCACACAGAATCTCTGGGGCCACATATGTGGGAGTACCACATATGGTGTAAACTGGTTCAGTTACAACCATGGCAAGACCAAAGTCTCCCAGCTTCAGCCTGCAGATGTCAGCAGTGACACACTCTACCTGAGAGAGGGCAAGACAAACAGAGTTAGACATAAAGGAAGTTAGAGTTCAGTCAGATCAACTTTTTAAAAATCTTACATTTCCCATAACACACACACACTCACAAAAAAACATGTGTAAGTAGTATGATTCATTAACTCAACACAGCACAAACCAACCAGTATCTGTCCCTAAATTGTTGTTTTAAATGACATTAAAGACACTCTGTGTGTATCTTTGGCAACCCCTAGTGTCCATGTGAAAAAGGTGGTCAAAGTTGCAATAATCCAGCCTACATCCTCCTGTAACTTCCACTGACACTCACCAGCAGGTTTTCAGGCTTTAGGTCTCTGTGGACGATACTTTTGCTGTGGATGAAGTGCAGAGCGTCACTCACGTCGGACACCATCAGTCCTGCCTCAGCCTCCGCAAACTTCCCCCTCTCACTAATGGCCTCAAACAGATCCCCCCCGCTCACCAGCTCCATCACCAGGTAGGAGTGGGTGGGTGTGTGGTGGTGTGCAAAAAGCCGCACTATGCGGGGATGACAGAGGCTACCCAGAAGGCTCAGTTCATTCTGCATCATGTGTTCTCGACCAATCAGCTTGGAGCGTTCAATGATTTTCACAGCCAGGGTTTGCCTGTTGTCACGACGGCAGCACTCTCGCACTACTGCAAAGTTGCCGTCTCCGACCACGCGACCAATTTCATAGCAGCGTTCGATGTCTGCAAGAGTGACATCACTGCAATCTGAGTGGAGGTCAAAGGTCAGTTGCTGCTGAACGTCTTTATGTCCCACATCTGGAAGCGGATTTAAAAGTTTTAACTGAGGAACACTTTTCTCCTCGTCTTTGCTGGTTGGCTGAGGAGGAGGAGGAGGAAGAGGGGGAGGAGGGCTTATATGAACATACACCTTCTTCTCTTCCTGATCTGTGTGACAACTTCCTTTCTGCTTCCTGGGTACAGGAGGAAGTGGGACCCTCCCTGAGAGTAGATTTGGTCGCTCTGTCACCTGATGTTTAGATCTTCTTACTAAGCAGTTTTCACATAAAGGAGGAGAGGGTATGTCTACCTCTCGAGGACTTTCTTCATGTTTGAACGGACCAATCACAGAGGGTGGTCTCTCCCTGACCCCGCCCTTGACTCGTAGTCTCTGCAGGTGGTTGGGTTTGAAAGCAGGTTTTCTGCAGGAGTCCTTTTTATGACACTTCTCAGACTGGTGTGTGTCAGTAAAGTGAGGCAGCTGTGTGTTTCTATGTGTATCAGTCTGGTTTTTGACATGTGGATTCAAGTCTTTTTCCTTCTTAGTTTGTGACTCGTCGCCGTCCGTCCCCTCACTGTACCCACTGTCCGCCTTGGCTGCTTTATCCGGCGCTGGACGCAGTCTTTTCTCCCAGGCCCGCAGAGCGTCGGCTCGGTAATGGGAGTGTTCTGGAAAAAGCTCTTCCAGAGCTTCTTGAACACTGCTCAGATCTGGACGAGCTTTACCCAGAGCCAGGAGAGCCACCTCCCCTCGAAAAAAGTCACACACACCTTTCACCTGTGAATATATGAAAAGAAACGAGCAAGAGTTGAAGACAAAAACTGAACAATTACACTTGATTTTCTCATTATATCTTAATTAACTGGAATAACCTGATTTTCTTGATATTTCTGCAGAATTACAGACTTGTTTAAAATAATTTGCTCATCCTCAGACTGTAAAGAGCAAAGGACAACAACGCATGATTATTTTTATTTATTAATTGGCCAGTTTTCTTGGTATTTAGTCTATGAAATGCCAAAAGTACAGCATCCTAATTTCATATCAGATTTTTATCTCACAATTATTTAGGCCATGAAGTATCATAATAATATTAACAACATATCAACAACATTATCAGTCAAATTCAGGAAAGGCAGGATAAAGGTGGAGCGACACATTACTTACTAAAGCACAGTTAAATCACAAAGAAACAATTTTTTATGATGTTTAAATTTAAGGTTTTAAATGTAAGAAAATTTGCTACACAAAACATTTTAAAGGTCAGGCTTTTGTTTTGAAATCTTTTTCTGTCCCTTATTTTAATTGCTTTAGCTCCTGACTTTTACAACTATGCTTTTATTTTGAAGTACACTACTTCTGGTGGACCATAGTTACAAGACTGAATGAAAACAGTTTAAAGAGCTGTTAGAAAGTATTAAAGTTCATTTAAAGGTGACTCAAAGAGGCACAAGCTTTAATGTTTTTTTGTTTTTTTTATTCGCAGTAAATCTATAAATCTCAGTTTTTAAGTGTATAATCATCTTTAAGAGGGATGCTACAGCTGGCTTGCTAGAAGCTATTTTTTGTCCTCTCTCTACTTCATTTTTTGAACTATGGGATAAAAAGCAAGTTCCTACATTTAGAGGCTGAATCAAGCAAATTTTGGACTTTTTTTCTACAAAAAGCACTAGAACAAATCATCAGCATCTTAATTCTTGGCCAATCATTTTTTTAAACAATCAATAATCAATCTGATGTAGTTCTACCTAAATGTGTTATCTTTTCCAGTTAACCCAATCAGCTGATTGATTTTATAAGCTCGGTATTACACAGTATTTGCATACAAAAACGAAGTGACACTCTTAAATCTTCAAAAGGTGGTGAGACAATGTCCTGGAGATGAAATAACTGAAGGAGCCTCCGAAATTTCAGGTGCATCATGAGGTGACTTGTTTCAGCAAATGCAACTGTTTATTTGCATAGGAGAGGCCTGCAGCACATTATTGACTGACAGTCAAAGGCCCCCAGGGGTGTCCTGCCTCTTCACGTAATCTGGGGGCCCTGTCGTAATGGGGGGGCAAAACCTGCTTTGAAGGCATCAGTCATTTCAGTTTTGTGGTAACATGTTTCTAGCACTTTGCCTGAGGTCCAACCTGTGCATGCAAAGAGGGGGATGTGGGAGGAACAGAGAGGTAGTGACTAAAAGCCCATCAGATGATCTTCTACCCTAGAGGCTGCTAAGCAGGTTACTGCGACCATGTTTGAGCCTCACCTCTCGTGCGTGGGTCGTGTACAAGCGTGTGACTCTGGCTCGGTGCCAGCGAGGAAACCCCAACGCCTCCGAGATATCCAATAGCAGTTGCTCGTAAGACACCACACCCCTGCGATTTAACAGGACAGTTACCTGAAAGACAAAGAGACAAAAATGACCGTTGTGTAATCCTTTTTCTAGTTAAGCCTCTAATACTCTGTCTACTACAGGTTTTTTTTCCTCTCAGAACATTTTAAATTCAATTTTATTTTTATAGGCAGAATTATTTCACTCTCCAACATAGATTTCTCCTCCATAAAGACTTCAAATTGGGGGACAGTGGAGGAATTCTTACTGTTGAGGAACAATATGAAAAGAAAATTATAAATTTATTTGAGCATCTCTGTAAGAAATATACCACAAGCTGACTTTTCCAGAAACCTCCAGATATGAGGGCTACAAAAATGGTGACTATGGAGTTCACCTTTCGTAGTGCACTCTGACCACAGGGCCGGACGATAGTGACCAGATGGGGCCTCTCAGCACTCTCCTCTGCATGCCGGGTGTGGAAGAGAGGGAGATGAGGAGTAGGAAGTGGAGGAGGAGGAGGGAAGTGAGATCTGTGGACCTGTCCTTTAGGGTGAGGGTGATGGGTCCATGGCTGAGGTCCACCTCCTTCCCGCTTCAACAAGAGAACTGGGGCATCTGAGTTAAGGAGCGAGAAAAACAAAGTAAGAAAGCAAGAGTTTGATTAGTCAGTGTGCTAAATAACAGTGATGGTATTCTGCAATTGTGCTGTACAGCCTTGAACACAAAGAAAACTCAGAAGTAACACAACACCATTTCCTCATCTTGTGTGAGCGCTTGTATGTGTAAACAAATCCTGCTGATCAGATTTGAGTGTTTTCCATCACATGGAGTGCAAAGGGGCCATTTGAGATTCTTTAGGCACCTTGCCCCACCATCTGAATTATTGAGGCTTCCTTAAGTCATGCACACCTACGTGCACACATACACACTTGCACATGAGTTAACAAAGGCTTGTTTGACCTGGTTAAGGCTGAGCTGAATCTGCATGATTAATGAAGCATTAGAGACCCACAGCATCTTTGACGTTTCACTTTCTGGCACCAAGGGAGACAGTGAGATGTTATCCAGCCAGGCTTTGGGGGGTCGTGTTTTTGTTTGGTTTGGTTTCCAGATGCAGGACGACACACAGAAACACAAGACTCCTGTATCCCTAACATTAATAAGACACCAGCCGGCCCCCTGAGAGTGAGGCACCACACACACACACACTTTACAAATAAGCTTTTCACAGCAGCAGTACAATATATTTTTAAATGTGGGCTTAGACTTCATCTTCTAGTCACATTACTGTGTTTATACAAGGTAATATAAAACATAGCTCTCTGACTTATTTAACACAATTTTAAAAGTTGTGTTTTTAGCCACACCTTTAATAAGACAACACAACAAAGACATTATAAAGTATTTTATAGTGACATCAATAAAGTTTTGACTTTCAGTTTAATTCCTCTATTTCGTTGACTCACCTGCTTTTCTCCATTTAGTGTCACGCGCCTCACACCCATACCGGCCTCTTTGTGATGGCGTCATAACTTAAAAAATATATATTTTTATTTTGAAAAAAATCACATGAAGTTTTTAGTAGTCCTGTTTTCCTCCATCTTTTTTAGCGGTCATTTCTGCGGCTGTGAGCGTCTAGAAAAGGTAACGGGGTCGCACTGTTAGATGACCGGACCTGTTGGAGCTACACTGGTTGCCATGGAGACCCGTCAAGTTCGACAGCTGCAGAACAAAACGCCACCGGAAATTTCGCGACTATACTATCAAAATAAAAGATCCGAATCGCTCTCAACGTCACCGAAAGTAGCCTTTCCACGGAGCAGCAGACTCGTGACAGATAAAATCAGTCTGTTTCACCCATTTCCTAAAGAAAGGATATTCTTTCTTTGTTTATCAGCGAGAATGCAAGCAAGCCGACCATTGATGTTTTATTTTGACATTTTAAACCGGAACTTTTCAGTTTTAAATAACAAGATACGCTCTGGCGAAATGTGCCTAATTGGGGGTTAAATTAGGACTCTTGTGCCATTCAAGTCGTCTCTTGATTTTTGTTTAACTTTCAAACACATTCAAAAGTTTATAAAGTTCTCTAAAAACAATTGAAATACATTGTGGCGATACACTTTAACGTTTTGTGATCATAACTGTGCAATACAAGCTGCTTCAAAGCCATCAGATTAATATGTAAATATTACCAATTAATAGATAAACAAATAATTGCGAGAATTATTTTTATTTTTTAACCTTTAAAAACAGCCCTGGTGACACTGTTTCCTAAGCTGTGGAGCAGGGCCCTAAATGGGTGTCACCAGTTAAATCAAGAGACCTTGACCAGCAGTGACGGATAATTTATAGATATATTTCTGCCACTTTTTTTTCTTTTCTATTTTTTTTAAATTATAGCTACACCTCTGACTATTTTTTTTCCACATTTATATAGTTTTGTTTAACTATTTTTTTAAAGGGGCAGAAACCCCTGATGAGGGGTAACAACTTAGTAAACTTTATTCATACAGCACTTTTCACAGAAAAAAATCACAAAGTGCTTTACAAAAACTGAAAGAGGAAACAATTATTAAAAGAAAAGAAAACGATTTTGTAAATTAGAACAAAACTATTCGGAATTTAAGGTAAAGTGAGGCCTGCTTACCAACGACACAAGTCAACATATCTGTTTATTTGCAGAAATTCAACTCATCCTCAAGTTATCTTATCCTTGATTTCCATTTATGGTGTACTAGTGGTTTTCGCTCTTGTTAAACTCTGTATGTACGTCAATGTAAAGCTGGTGAAGAATAATTTCGAACACAAAAACCCCTTATATTACAAAGACAGGATGGAGGTTATTGCGTATAATCTCACTGACAGAGGGCGGAGAAGAGCTGCCAGTCTCATGGAGAGTTGTCATAGTTACACTGATGGAATCTAATACCCTGCCTACACACACACACACACACACACACACACACACACACACACACACACACACACACACACACACACACACACACACACACACACACACAGAGTAACACACTGTGTCTGGATGATCTTTTAATACATTGCCCCCCTGCAGCTCGGTCTCCTAGGTTACAGTTAATATTGGATCAGGAAGCAAACCCCCCCTGTTCCGGCTTCTTATCCTGGGATACCCAACATTTGTATGTGTGTTTATGTGTGTCCTGTCTCCAGTGCAATGAAAAGTACTTGATGGATTTAACCCGCAGTAACACTGATGAATTTCGGATCTGATGTGGTTATAAAGCATCTTTTTGTCATTTCAAACACTTTGTGTTGTATGTCCAGTGCTTGTTAAGAGAATACCAGATCATTCTTTTTCCTGTTGTCATATAGCGGTCATCATTATATTTACAGTATTTTGATAACGTACATATAATGCAGTACCATTAATCTGCCAGCAGAAGGAGTAGTTACTATCTGTCCAGCCAGACTCAGGCCTGTTGATCCAGGGCAGAGGCTGGCTGAAAAGCTAGCTTTATCGTTATAGTTATAGAGACAGTTTATTGTATTCTGACATCAAACCAGGTTTATGCTCTTGTTTCAGATATAAAATTCCTCAGTGGTATGGCATTAAATGATACAGAATAAATCTGTATGTACATAAAGAAAAGGGAAGGACCGTCTGATCTGGTGTCCTTGAAAACCTCTGTCCTCCTTTTTTTCCTTTCTTTCTCAACTTGCAGCTGCCTCACTTGAGAATGCAAGAAGGTGAGTCCAAGAATGCAAATCTTGGGTCCATCTGCATGAGCACATGCACACACACGCACACACACACGCACGCACGCACGCACACACACACACACACACACACACACACACACACACACACACACACACACACACACACACACATGCACGCACTTTGCTGTTGCTCAGTAGATGTGCCAACAACTGCTACCACAACAGATGGAAGCAGTTAAACCTCTTAATGGTGTATAATTTCTCTAGTTTGACAGACTGTAAATAAATTAACTTTTCTGATGATTATCCAAATCTATTATTATTTAATTATTCTTTCCTTTTTTAGAAAGGGTTTTGGTTTATCAGAGAAAGTTTTTGGAACATATCTACGTATAAAAACTGCAGTTTGGTTATTGATTAGCTATTAACTCACCGTGAAGCCATTAGTTACAGTTCATCTACAGCAACCAAGGTCAGGCAAAACTCTACAGGGGGAAAGAAGTGCAGAAAAAGCCCTTTGAATGCATGCATTCATTAGAGGAAAGAGTCAGCATGGAAGGACCCAGCCTCTGTAAAACCCAGCCTATAGGACCCAGCTTTGAAGGACCAAGCCTACGAAGAAACCCACCCAACAAAGGAACCTGTTTTGAAGGACCTGGCCAACAAAAAACTACCTTTGAAGGACCTAGTCTACGAAGGACCAAGCCTCCAAATGACCAGGCTTTCAAAGGACCCAGTCCTCAAAGGACAAGGCCTACAAAGGTCTCAGCCGTCAAAGGACACAGACCCTGAGAGACCCTGCCTTGAAGGACCAATCTTATGATAGACCCATCCTATGAAGTACCCAGTCCTTTGAAGGACCCAGTTTTTGAAGGACCCAACCAATAAAGGGCCCAGCTTATAAAATACATAGTTTTAAAGGACTCTGCCTATGAAGGACCCAGTTTTTGAGGGACCCAGCCATGAAGGACTTCCCCTGCAAAGGACCCAGCCCACAATGGACCCAGACTTTAAAGGATCAAACTTAAGGAGGACCAAGCCATGAAAAACCCAGCCTGCAAATAACCCAGCCAGGAGGGATCCAGACTACAAGGGACCTACCCTTTAAAGGATCCAGCCCAGAAAGGTCCTAGCCCTCATAGAACCAAGCTTTTGAAGGACAGTTTTTTAAGGAACCAGCCTTTTGAATACCATGATCTCAAGAGACCTGGCCTTTGAGGGACCCATGAAATACCAGCCTGAAAGACCCATCCCAGGAACCCGGTCTTGGAAGGATCCACCTTTGAAGGACCCAAGCCTCAAAGGATCTAGCCTTTATGGCCTGCATAGACCAGCCAGGAAAAAGTGAATTTAGATGATCTAGCCCTCAGAGGATTATGAGCCTACGTTGCCCCCTTACTGATTTTCAGCAGGCGTACATGATGCTAATTGGGCCATCAAGCTAGCAAAGTTAGCAACACCAATCACTGTTATTTGATAACTTGTTACTTGGCCTTTTGAGAGTCTGCCATTGTGTTTGAATCAATACTCAAAGAATTAGAGAATATGTCGGATCACGAAAGCTGTTATGGGTGCATCCTTCACAGCATGGGTGGGACACATCTGTAGGCCACATTTGGAAGAGCTTTTATAGACAGGCTTGGAACAGATGTTTGAAATGAAAGCACCACAAGTGAAGTCAAATATTTGGCTTGCCCCCTATTGACCAGCTGCAGTATACGCTTTAGAGACAGTCCCTCCGTGATGCCAGATAGGACAGATGTGATTTTGCACTGTATTGCACTACAGCTTTGCATGTGACAATGCATCTGTTATAAGCCCTGATAGTGGATCTGTAGTAGAACTATTTTATGTCACAACTGTCAGAGCCTACTTGAAGGTGTAATAGAATGTATTTACACTGTTAACAGGTGAGAGAAAAGGAGTTGATTTGTAGTGTGTATGATTCACTTGTTTACAGTACATTTTCCTGACTTTTACCTGCCGCGTTCACACATGATCTCACTCTAACTTTTTGTGAAAACCTCAGACATCAGTGCAAATTCAAATAAAATAAAAAAATCCACTTTACTTTTTCTCATGTGGCCAAACTCTTCAACATTCAGGGGGATTTTCAGGAGCTCATCGTGCAAGAGTGAGAAAAGAGGCAGGATGAGTGACTGAACAATGGGTGTGGCAGCTTCCAGATGTTAACACAGTTATCGTGTTCACACAGCCACACAAACACAAGCAGAAGAAAACTAAGAGAAAGCTGGAAGAGACATCAACATTCCTTGGTTTGTGGCGTTCCCACTCCTCCTTAAGCTGTTCAGGGATTTCAATCAGTTCAGGCCCTCCTGCTACATGTTCTCACACATAAGACAGACACACTTACACATGCCTGCTTGGTTAACAGCTTGTGTGTCGAGGTTAAACAAAGAGTAGAGGGACAATAATCACTTCTCAGGTCAACAACCTTGGTAGCTGTCTGGTCTGGAAAATTGATTTTGTTATGTACACAAAGATCAGACAGGTTGAGCTCAAACACAATGAAGACTTTGCTCTTGAACTGTATTTGTTGAAATAAATATCGCCATCTGTCTTAAATGGCTCCAAAGAGGATGAGCTAACACTTCCTATTGCATATTTGAATCCTTGTGAGAGACATACAGCAACTTTCTTGGCTCACACTGTCCCGGAAAATTGAACTTTATGTGAAGTACGACCACAGTGGCATTGATCCAGGATTGCATAAGATCAAACATAGCTAACACACACATGTTGGGACTCACACACGCAGACACACAAAGCCAGAGCACAAATTGTGGGTCGTAGATAAATGATTTTGACCTTTCACCTCCTCTTTTTCTCTCCCCTCCATATGTCCTTCTCTCACACCTGTTCGAGTCAAATGTCAAACCCATGCACAGCACACATTGATCCTGTCTCTTACACACAAATGTGCCAGTTTAGACACGCTAATGGAGGGGACTTCAGGGAGAGGAGTCCAGGACAAGGGCAGTGGGACAGGGTGTGAGGTGACATAACAGTTCTCCCTATTGGCTGTTTTGTCTCCCCTTAAGTGTGTATGTAAGGGTGTGTGTGTGTGTGTGTGTGGGGGGGGGGGGGGGGGGGCATAAATCTCAATGGGCCTAGTTATTACACAACACCCAGAGATCATCAGACCATCTGCAGTTTAAGGGATTTCATCAGAAAGACTCACATGGGGATAATAGTAGTCACTGAGTTTTTGAATGAATGCTGCTGTGTGTGTCTGTAAGTACGTAAACATCTATTTTTGTGGGGACTTTTTGGAAAGTGAGGACATTGTGCCCTGTTCCCACATTTCAGTAGGCTCTATGAGACTCACCTGGCCCTGGGGTCAAGTTTTAATTTAATTTTCAGGGACTAATCTGACATTTTTTCCATGAATGTTTGGTCAGGAACTGAGCATGATAAGATTAAAGCTTCCGTGATACACTTTTGGTGCCCCTTGTGGACAAAGCAGTCTTTGATTTACTTGTCACATATTTTCTAAAGTAGTCACTTCTGACAAAAACCTCCTCCTGCTGAATTTCAACAGTCACACACGTCATTCTATTGTAAAAAAAAATATATATATATTTTGCAGACAACGTAAAAACAGCAATTTCTCTTCAGCTACTCGGCTCACATCCTCAGCAGAAGGTGGCGGTACTCCCTTATTCAACTTGTTGCCAGATGGCTGTCTCTAGGTTGACCGTTAATGTCATGTACCAAAACAATCAACAAAAGCAGTAGCAAGACAGAGTGCATGCCACACACCAACCAAAACACAGACATCTGTACTTCTTGCATGCATGCACAGCTAAGTTTTTTTTCATGGTTTTGTTTATTATCCAGGTTCCTACAATGTATTTATGGTGGTCATCTTCCAGGTCAAAATCTAACTTTAAAACGCTGCAGCATTATTTGGCTGGTTTGAATCAAAAGGGAAGAGAAAACCGACGCCACTGCACATTCTTTTGTTATATTAATGCAGCTACAATAAATTTGATTTAGTGCAGATTCAGTCATACCAATCTGTGATCATGTGTTTTAAGCCCAGTTTCAGTTGGTCTAATGTATTAAATTTATTTTGTGCAACATGTAAATGTCCTGATTGCGGTATATGCTTACTTAAATTTCTGTATTTGTATCTGTGTATTCTGTATTTTCCATCTGTACTCAGTCTGTTGTGCAAAGAACATTTGAGGATATAGTAAGATGCCATAAAAGCTATATCAGTTTTATTTGACAACCTCAGTGCAGACAAAGCCTCACACTGCCTCACAGTGCTGCCCAAGAGGGCCTTGAACCCAGATTTGACACCTACAGACTAAAAAAGTTGTATTGTCCCAGTAATCACACAAAAACATGGTTCTAAAGACGTATACAATCAAATTTAAAGTAAAATCAGCCAAGACTTGGTTTACAACATCTTATCTCTGAGTGGTTTGGTTGTTGTGATTAAAACAGACACAATCAAGTAGGTGCCATTCCGATTTGATCGGATTCACAGCAGTCTGGCTGTGTATGCAAATGACCTCACTTCTCACACCCTACTTTCATTCAAATGTTGTTTGACACCTGATTGTTTTCGAGTCCTTTCGTGACCCGGTGCATTGTTATTACCCGCAACAAATCCAACAGTGAGAGAGAGATCGTGGCATCGTTTGCATCTTGTGACTCACTTTATCTGCTGATCAACTGTGGGACCATTGCAGACACACATTTTAAACACAGGTTACACAATGATACACAGTCATCTTTAAGTGAAGTTATGTACAAATTTACAAGCATTCCTGCAAACACACTTAGAGCACGTGTTGTCCTCTGCACTCTTACATGCATTCATACCATGCTGACATCGGCTAAAGCTCAATCTTAGGTGGAAAAATTCCAAAGCAGAGGGATGATGCAGAGCAGCGGTGAGGCAGGACAAGGGGCAGAGAGGACCCTCGGGACATTCTTTTAACCTCTAAGACCCCGTTTCCGAAAAATTCCCCCCTCCCCTCAAATTCCGCCTCCCCTCAGGCTCAGTCTGTTTTTTTTCCTATTCTCTCTGTGACAGCAGGGGGTTTGTTCACAGGCCCCTCCTCACCCTCCCCCCTCTCTTTTTTCTTTTCTCTGTCTTTTATTCTCAGCGTAGATTCCTTTACTCTCCTTCTCTCTCAGCTCCTTTCTGTCCTGTGTTTTCTCCAATGTTTGATAGTTCTTCATTACGGGTATTTAGTGGAGTACAGATTTTTGCTTATTGTTATATTACAAATAAAGTCAAAGTAATGTGCAAAGAATAAAGAGGGGATTTATGTTTTAATGCCTCAGTCTTTGAACACTGAGCTTTGATCCAAAAGTCTACTATCATGGGTGCATTGAAGTCAAAGTACGAAACAAAACCCTGACAGATGAAGAAAAAGATGTAAACATAGACAAAACTTTTCTGTGGGGGTCTTCACTTTTTGACACACATCCTGTTAGCATCTTGTTGAAGTCATTTGCCAGCTGTTTTGATTTGTAATACATCAACATGGAGATGACATGATAGTAACAACCTGGTAACATGGTGCCACCAACAGCAGTGCAGGAGGACATACTTCAGTTAATAAATTGATTTGTGCCTGATGCATGAAGACTGTGACAAGGACAGTACGCTAGTTAGACTGAGCTGTAACTGTAGCTCGACTTGCAAAGGTTAAGACCCTGTCCTCTCCTCGTCTCTTACAGCCACCTACTACAAAACGCTTGATGTCCCTTATGAGCTACTGTAGAAAACATGGGGATGCAACATGGCACTCCTTCTATATCATAAAACGATAGACTGTATATAGAATGGACGCCATCTGCCTCCTTGCTGAGTGAAGCCACTCCACAACAGCACACCCTGGTGACGGGCTGCAGCATTGGTCATAAATCCCACCTCTGCCAGCCATCCTTATGGGGCTGTGGACAAATTTAAGAAATCAATTACACAGAATATGAACTTTTCTCACCCCTGCTTATTGCGTAGCTCACCCGGGGGAAACGCTGTTTCAGTGGAGTGTCATCACCGCTTGGCGACTCTCCCGCCGAATGTGCACAACGCTACTGCACAATGTGGGTTTCAGGAAATGAAGAAAAAGTACGAGAGCTTTTTTTCCATAGTATATACAGTCTATGCATAAAACACTTTCCCAGGTCATCAGTGATGACACAAAGAATTCAATCCAATATAAACTAATCTAAACTTACACCAGTGTTATACATTCAATATCTTCAGAGAAATGCTGTGAAATTCTACGCAATATACCGTTAAATGTAAACTACTTAAGGTGCCGATAGTGCTGCTTTAAAAAGAACTTCAAATTGTTCGGTGATATAAAACTTAACGTAAAATACTCTTTAGGCATGAGTCAGTCATAAATCTCCACACTCTGCATTCAATCCCGCCAAATTTGCATAGAGGCCATGACTTTTTGCCAAACGAGTTTATCACTCTCCGGCCCCCTCCTCCCCGGGCAGGGCCCCATGACGTCACGAACAGCCGGTATAAATCAGCCAGTGAGCGTTGAGCAGCAGCCGGTGGTGCTGACTACACTCTCTCCGTCTCTCTGCCTCATCTCTCACTCTGTCGCTCCTTCGCTTCGCAGCCTCTCTGTCACCCACACCCTCACACCGTCTCTCTACCCTACTGCAGACATGGCCAGCGCATTCGTGGGCACGTGGAACCTGAAGGAGAGCGTGAAATTTGATGAATACATGCAGGCGCTGGGTGAGTTACTGTTTTAATTCAGTTTAAGTGCAGAGAATACATCCATGTGAGCCTGTGCGCATGCGCGTGTCTCAGGAGAGGATGCAGTGTGACAGTGCAGCGTGCGAGCACGTGAAAAAGGGGCTGGGGGTTGAGAACCGCGGTGTTTAACCTGAGCTAGGTGACTGGAAACGAATGAGGGGAGGCAACAAAGATGGAGAATGATGTAAAAGAGAAGGAATAGAAATTTGTGACTCAGAGAGCGAAGAAAAAGAGGAAGAGTGGCTGACCGCATGGCCTAAATGCTGGAAACAAGGGAGGGGCTCCAGCTCAATGGTGGAAGAAAGAGGACCACACTGTGGGAACTCTGAATGGCAGCACACACACACACACACACAGACACACACTTGAGCGCAACATGAATGACCTTAGCTGAAAGCTGCTCATTGTTTGAGGCTATGGGAGGAATATTAAGATGGTCCCTGAGCCAAACCAGCAGCAGCCACTGGGAGGACAAAGTGGGCTTTAAAATATTTCACACATAGTTCAGTGTGAGTGAGATGGGGTCAGGTTCCTCTGGGTTTTACAACTAAGTGACAATGAACTATTTCAGTGTGTGTGTGAGTGCGTGGACACACACTGCACATGAGTTAGAAAGATTCATGCTTATTGACCTCACCATGGTACCATCGACCTGTCTGCTGATCACCATAGAAACCAAAGACCTCAATAACCTCCAGCTCCACTTCACTTGATCAATAAGGCGTTTGCACACACAGTGGCTTTTTGTCATATTGATCATGGAAACCTACCTCCTCTGTTTGAGATGAACCGGATTGACAGGCTGCCGAATAGAGCACGTTTTCTGCCGTACAAACAGAGAGGGTGTGTGAGTGGCTTTCCCCCAATGAAAATGAACCATCTTGATCCTTTTAAGGCGCACACCATGAAAGAAAATGAGTCATCATTTTGTACATCACACATGCCCAGACAGGCCAGCCAGGTCAATGTGAGACACCAAGCCAAACCGTGATAAGAGGGTTTGTAAGCTGTAGAAGACCCCAGAGGCAAATTTGCTGTCAGTGTGTCCATATTTAATCGATCTAACAGGAAATATCTCAACAACCTATCGCCTTAATGACCCCCTGGGGATTTCTCTTCTAATTATTTGTACCCTTTCCCTTCAAAAAGCGCTATCTTGTAGTGAAATTTGCTGCTTTTAGCAAAGTATTTTACCAAATATTAAAGTAACCACCTTCAACTTTGGTACCAGCACTATGTTTCATGTTTCATTTCAACACTTTCAAAGTTTTCTCCTTTTATCAAATATTACAACTTCTGCAGATTGAATGGTAAACTTCCCTCTAGTTTTTCTTGCATGCAAAGAAAGTTTAGAAAATTCTTTAATGCAGCCTTAGAACATGTGTCCTTGCATGTTAGATTTTTAAGAGATAACCATGCAGTTCTTGTGTCTCTCCTGTTTTACACAGAGAAATGAACTTGTCGCTGCCTGATGGACAACCTTTTAATGTCTGTTTGTTCTTTTTCCCTCTGTCTTGTCACCATCAAGCTGCAACTGAAATTTTGCCTGTTCATGATTTATGACAAACTATGGCTAGACTTGCGTTGTTTCGATAAGCCTCAGCTTGTGCTTTGCATGTGATGTGAGCATTTAGCCTAATGTGTTCTCTCGTTTGTGATGTTTCTTCAGGTGTGGGCTTTGCTACACGCAAAATTGGCAACTTTACCAAGCCAACCACCATCATTGAGGTGGCAGGTGACACAGTGACCGTGAAGACACAGAGCGCCGTGAAGAACACAGAGCTCAACTTCAAGCTCGGGGAGGAGTTTGACGAGGTCACAGCAGATGACAGGAAAGTTAAGGTGAGAGGTCAAGGTAGAAAGACATAGGAGCATGAACATTTGGAAGCAGCAAGTATTATTCAGTACTTATAGAGTCTTGAAGTTAATGAGGAAAGACTGAAATGACACAAATCCTGTCACAAAAGTTTTAATAAAATCCATGATTGTGTTATTAAATCAGATCATTTTGCGGTGAATCTGAGCAGGGGGACTTGCATCAGAGAGGTAAAGGGTGAAAAATGGGGATAAAGATGATTATTTCACACTACAAAATCAGACCTTCAATACAGCAGGGTTAGTTTATCCTCATTTGGAAGGCAGGGAGGATTGACCTGTGCTAAAAAAAGGAGTAGATATTCTAAAAGACGAAGTGTCAGACCTTGAGAAAGACTAAAGCAAGTAATAGCGTTATTGAAAACAAGAAGTTGTTTAAATATTGATCAACCTTGTTTTACTCAATGAACTTGTCGCTTAATTCAGTCACTGGAAATTTTACTATGGAAAAAAAAAAGAGATGGGGTTGTCTGAACATCAGGGGTGTCTTATTTTTGGGCCAATACAGTTCTGTCATTCATTAAAAGTAAAGTTAGAAAATAAAATGATCTGTATATTCTAACAAACTCTCCCTTTTTTCTTTTTTACTCCAGTCCACCGTAACAATAGAGGATGGGAAGCTGGTGCATGTACAGAAGTGGAACGGCAAAGAGACGAGTCTGGTCAGGGAAGTCAACGGCAACAAGCTCACACTGGTAAGACCTCCACTTTTCAACATTTTAAAACGTCCTATATGTGTCTTTTCTGTGCTTGAACTTGATTTTTTTTCCCCTTTCCTCTTCACAGACACTCACATTGGGAGATATTATTTCTACACGTCATTACGAGAAAGCAGAGTAAAAAAAAAAACCTCAAACACTGACACTTCCCTCCAACATCTTCATGCTTCAGCTAAAGCCCTGCACCCTTTACTCACATCATCCTGACCCGGTCAATAAAAGGCCTGTTTCTCCTTGATTTTCCTGTTGATGTTCAGGCTGTGTTAACATTTCTGCTGACTGTGACCTTCCCCTCTTTCCGTGTTGCTTTGTATAAACTGTTTTCCTTATACTGTAAGAAACACTGAATAAATTCCAATGGTTTGTTGTTTTGTTTCCCAGGTCTGCATATTTTCTTTTGTTTTGAGAAATGTGTAATGACTGGTGCCCATGATAAACCTGGGAAGTGTTAAACTTTGAATTTGCCCAAAGAAATAAGCGTGTACACTATTAAAATAAATGATAAATAATGGGATCGCTTTCAGTTATTTTATTATTTCTTGTTCAAACATGATGATTACATTTGCCCGGCAACATAGTTTACTTACTAAAGATAGGAGGTTTAGTTTACACAATTGCTACCTGGAAGTGAGCAAATCCCTTGCAGGGAAAGTAAACACTTCTGTTCAACTAAGTTACAACACTGTGCAATAAGTAGATAATTGCTGTTAGTTTCCTTCATGGAGCCTAATGTCATAGATGAGCTAGATGGGTGTGTCTGAAAATACCCAAGCTTGAGCTGTGATTGGCTGTCATGAGGGCGACACAATTGGATATCTGAGCAGATCCAAACAGTGTGAGCATAGTTTCCATCAAAGCAAGTTTCACAGGGACTCAAATCAGAGGGGGGCTAATTTTAGCCTGTGCTCTTCTCTGTGGGTATATAACTTGTGTTGGGTCTGGCTAGGTGAGGGGAAACTTTTATTTCAGCTTGGACTCCTTGTGCGCTGTGCTTGTGTGTTGATTGGTGAGTCTGTGCTTTCTAAATTAAGATCATTCCCTCCTACAGTAGGTGTACGTCATGTGTTGGTGACACTCAGCCAACTGGAGTCAGGGTTAAGAGGTGAAAGGGTGCAGGACAGTTCAGGCCAGATCCAGAAGTAACCCTGCACTCATCAAGTCACAAGACGGAGAGGGGCATACACAATATAAAAATAGAGGATGAATACAGTTGTCTTGTGTCATATACACAGCTACAACCTATATACAGACTGGTTGAGGGTAATTTACAAATGGCAATAAACCCAGTTACTGATGCTGCAGGGGAGTAAGACGGAAAAGACAAGGCTGCTGAGAACTCAATCCTTCATGTGAATAAATCCTGAATACAGAGCTGTTTGTGTTCATAATGTCCGAATCTATCAGGAAGTTTACATAAAGGGCAGAGGTCTGAACAAATACAAGTAGCACATTGAATATCAGGACATTTCTGACACACACACTAATCCCACTTTACTGTAAGAGCAGCAAAAGTAAAAATAAAATGTTCCAGAAAATGAGAATGTATTTGTTAGAGAATATACTGTATATTAAAGCTGCTGCGACTGGCTTAAAACAGGCTGAAATTCACAGTCATTGGATTTCTACTTTTCCTGGGCTGCACCAGTCTCATCCATCGCAGTTGAACATATCCTGGATTCTTTGCGTGCCAATACAATGGAGTAAGTTGATTCTCAAACTGTTATATTCTTATACTCTGTTGTAACCCAGTGGCATTGAGTAGCATCATCAACAGTTGACTGACGCACTTCTAAGACAAATAGACTTGATGTAACTGTTGACCGTTATTATGTAATTCTTCACTCCTGTGTCTGATGTGAGGAGGTTAGGTGTCAGACAAGACCAATGCCAGCACTATGAAGACATTGCTTTAATACTGCATACAGACACACCTACCTACACTCAAACACAAATAAACTGACTCATGTTAACCTGCCACCAAGAATGATAGAAACTAACATCCAAATGGTAAACTGGGTGTGTCCAAATATAAGTTAGTGCACCCTGTCTCCTTTTAAAAACAGACTTCAGTTGTAGCTTAAAGGACATCCTGTAGAGTGGGAAAAACCCTTTAGCCAAAATAAATATGATCATACAGGGTAAGCAAGTTTGAAGATTTAACTAAAATTTTCCATTGACTCACCCTATTTGTTGTTCGTAAACATACAGTTTCTAACACAAACTTACAACTCCACTTGCTAAAGCTTGGCTCCACTCCTAAAGTTGAACTGATTTGGCTTTTTAAGTTATCTGTTTGCTGCAAAGACGGGTGAGGAGCACTCAAACGAAGAGGAGTCTTGAGGCTGACCGGTGAACTCAAAAGCCCCCACCAGGGGAGGGAGGTGGAGGCGTGTGAGACTGCTGCAGCTGGAAACAATCTGTTTCTCCTCAATCCTACAGGCAGGAGTTAAGGAGCCAGGTCAGAGCAGGTCAATGGGAACAAAGAGTCCACAAATCTGCCTGATCTTGTCTGGACGTAATTAGAAGTTATCTTAAGGAATCAGTCTGTCTCTTTCTGTGTGACACTTTGACCTCACAGGTCAAGTTAAGACACCTTCCCTTACTATAACACATAAACTGAATCAGTTGGTGGGCCAGGCCATACCAAGAACTTCTATTGTTTGTGTGTGCTTGTTTTGTTTCCCCTACAATAAAGCGCCATAGTGAGTTCAAGGTCCGAGAACAAAGAGATCAAGAGGCACCTTACAAATAAAAAGACACCTTTAATGAAGCTAACAGTTGACATGCAGGAAGACGGATGTGAGTGTATGTGTGTGTTTGTGTGTGGCAAGCAAGAAGTCCCTTTTAGGGTATATACATAACACACATGTACAAACAAATAAAGGTTCAGACAACCTCAGGATATCACCACAGCTTTAAGTTCCTGTTAGGCTTACTTGTGCTGCAATACACGTCCTGTTTGTGTTTGACTACTTCCTATATGTGTGTGTGTGTCTTTGTGTTTGTGCAGGGTTTGTATGTCAGACCCCTCAAAGAGTCGCCTTCACACTCTTTATGTCTGCTTAATGGATTTCCCAGAGAGTAAGAAACCGGATAACTGTAAACTAGACGTATATTCAGAGGAGGATAGCCATACTTTCCTACCATACAGCTATCCGGTTACATGCGGTGTGTAAGCCCCGCCCTCTGTGGAGGGGCTGGAGGTTACTTTAGGTCAAACTATTGGTTCTTTTGCTTCTTCTTTACTTGATGTAATGTTTCAACTTAAATGCATGATCCTACAATGTTTTTAAAAGGTACAAAGAAGGAAGTCTGCCACTCTGTCTTGCCACAAACTTCCCCCCTTGTGTGTGTCTTAGCTGCATGCAGTGTGTATGTGTGCGTTTCTAAAGGTGTGTGTCTACCTCAGCTGTGTTTGTGCGATTTGTGTTTCTTGTGTTTCTTCTTCTTTTTATCCTCTCTGTCGTGGCGCCTCCTCTTGGTTTTGCATTCGCTACTGCTGCTGCTGCTGTCGCTGTCTGACTCCTTCCTCTCCCTTTTTCTCTTTTTCTTCATCTTCTTCTCCTGGAAGACAAAAATAAGCAGAGATTGTTGTGTAAGAATAAAAGAAGGAAAAGCATGGAGGGCAGATTTGTTTTTTCCTGATAGTTCTTATAAAGCTGCCTTTCAAAGATATGCACTGAGGTACAGATAATGCAGAAAATGTGTGGGTTATTGCATCAGATGAGTCACAGCTAAGAAAAACAGTCCATAAATAGGCAGAAGTGAGGGCCCGGCTGGACAACAAACAGAAGCATACCAACCTTCTTATTCTTCTTCTTCTTGTCAATATCTTTCTGCTGTGCACCTGTGGAGGTCTGCTGTTCTGGCTGCTGTGGCTCTGTGTCGTCCTCCTCAGGCAAAAGAGCGTACTGCAAGCCCGGTGCAGAGAAACAGTCCTTTGTGAAGTGACCTACAGAGATAAAAATATGTTCAATATTATCCACAGGTTTTTTTTTTTCAATTTCAAAAGGAATTCCAGATTTTTAAAAATTAGATGACAATTACAATCTGTTATTTTGTTCATGTTGTTTTACCTTTGCAACCGCATTTTGAGCATGTCGTGTTCAGTACAGCCTCCAGTGTGATTCTGTTGCCAGTGTGATCTCTGAACTGCTTCCGTCGCCTTGCATCCTGTCTACAATCACACACAGATAAACAACAAATAACAACAATACTTTTAACTGTACAGCAATTTTCAGATAATTAAGAATGTGCTTTACAAGACAATTATACCTGAACTAAGAGCAAATAGGGAATTAAAGAAAACAAGACGACACACTGGTTGATAAATGAAAATGTTTATGCCAGTCTGATTTCGTCTGTAAGGCTGTTTCAAATTCTGAATGCTCTGACAGAAAATGCCTTATCACCTTGAAATAGCCAGTAAAGCACAACCAGAGGGTCTCAGACAACAACCTTTTTAATAGAGAGATAAAAGCTCTGACACATATGGAGAGGTACGACCATGTTGTGCTTGAAATGTGGTTAAACGAATCTTAAAATCAATCCTAAAAGCAACTGTTAGCCATTGTGTGGGTGCAGAGCTGCTGCATTAAGAGTACTCTAAAGGCGGTTAATTGATTTTTTATTGGGACAGGTGTGTTGTGAACCAGGAGGAAACAGTGTTAATGAGTTTTTCTAGATCATTAACTAACATGGTAGACTTGATATTTCTAAGCTGACTAAAAACAGGACTTTCTCAACTTGTGGCTTTTTTTTTTGCTAATGGCTTCACATAATTTGTCATTTTTATCATGATCAGGGTTCTTTTTTCAGTTGGACAAAACTAAAAAAATTCAAGATTTGTTGTCACTGAGTTGTAGAAAGTTGTCTGACATTCATAATTTTATTTCTGCAAGATGCTGCAGATGTGTGTCTTTGCTAACACACATTTAAGCACTTACTCTGCCATAACATTATTTGGGTCCAGGTCCCGCCCCGTTCCTTGATTGACAGCTTTCATAGAAAAGGACAGCTTCACCTTGTCACCCTGAATCTGAAAAACAAAGGCCACAAAGTTGTCATCATCCTGATCAGTTTTACTGACATGACAATTAATGTGTGTGTGTGTGTTGTTACCTCTCTCCCGATAACTTTAATCCAAACTTTTTCCCCAACATCAACAATCTCTGAGGCTTTCTCGACCCGAGTGGCTGACATTTCACTCACATGAACCAGGCCTGAATGTGAAGAACAAAAGAAAGATTGACCAGATAAAAAGATACATATGTAAATAACATTTCCTGCTGATAACCACTGCAGCATCTTTAGTTTATCAAAAATCTGAGGCTCAGGTATACTGATTCCAGATCGTATTCAATTGATAAGACATTACAAATGATGTAAGAATTGTTTATACATTACAGCCACTCTAAATTCCCCCCTGACAATTTAAATCAGCTAGATAGGCTTAAAGAAAATACCATGTTTTTATTCTAACATGCTTTGTGTGGAAGCAAGTACTACCAAAAACAGCAGGTTTTCAGAGGATCTAATCTTGTTTGAATGTGGAATATACCCTTGCTTAGCACACCCCCTAGTGGTGCAAAAGAGGAAAGCTTTGTCTGAATCTGGCACGCAGGCAAAGCAGAACTCAGCCTGAAGAAATCATCATAAAATAATTATTTTGCATTATTTCCTCTTAATTCTCTCCATTTCAAAACGTGTGAAAATGGTCAGCCAGTTGTTCTGGCCCATTCCAACCTCAGCTGCCTGTACAAATTTCTTTATACAGTTATTAGACATCTTACTAGATTACAGCTATAAAATTTCCCCAAAGGCCTGAGCTGGTGGAGATAGGCTGTAAAAACACAAATTTGGTCAATTATCCTCAGACATATAAAAACCTGATTTTTTGCTCCCATTTTAGTGTGTTTATTTGGATTAAACTCTTGAATATAAAACTAAAACCAGCCTCTTTGTGTTCTTGCCTTTGTACAAAACCCAATTTCAATGAAGTTGGGAAGATGAGTAAATTGTGAATAAAAATGGAATACAATGATTTGCAAATCCTTTTCAACCCATTTTCAATTGAATATACTACAAAGACAAGATATTTAATGTTCAAACTGATAAACTTTTTTTTCGCTACATCTGTAGGTGCAAGTTAAAACTCTACTATGCAAAGCGAAAGCCACTTATCAACAACATCCAGAAACGCAGCCAGCTTCTCTGGGCCCGAGCTCATCTAAGATAGACTGATGCAAAGTAGAAAAGTGTTCTGTGGTCTGACAAGTCCACATTTCAAATTGTTTTTGGAAATAGTGGACGCCGTGTCCTCCGGGCCAAAGAGGAAAAGAACCATCCGGACTGTTATCAACGCAAAGTTCAAAAGCCAGCATCTGTGATGGTATGGGTGTGCATTAGTGCCCAAGGCATGGGTAACTTACACATCTGTGAAGGAAACATTAATGCTGAAAGGTACATACAGGTTTTGGAGCAACATATGCTGCCATCCAAGCAACGTCTTTTTCATGGATGCCCCGGTTAATTTCGGCAAGACAATGCTCAGCCACATTCTGCACGTGGTACAACAGCGTGGCTTCGTAGTAAAAGAGTGCGGGTACTCGACTGGCCTGCCTGCAGTCCAGACCTGTCTCCCATTGAAAATGTGTGGCGCATTATGAAGCGTAAAATCCGACAACGGAGACCCCGGACTGTTGAACAACTGAAGCTGTACATTGAGCAAGAATGGGAAAGAATTCCACCTTCAAAGTTTCAACAATTATTCTCCTCAGTTCCCAAACGTTTATTGAGTGTTGTTAAAAGGAAAGATGATGTAACACAGTGGTAAACATGCCCCTATCCCAACTACCTTGGCACGTGTTGCAGCCATGAAATTCTGATTATTATTTGCCAAAAAAAAAAAAGTTTATGAGTTTGAACATTAAATATCTTGTCTTTGTAGTGTATTCAGTTGAATATAGGTTGAAAAGGATTTGCAAATCCTTGCATTCTGTTTTTATTCACGTTTATCACAATTTCCTAACTTCAATGGAATTGGGTTTTGTACATATCAACAAAGATGTCGACAAGGTTAGTCTCAGTTTTGTCTTATGGTTTAATCTCTTTATTATAACACACCCCAATCTGCAAGTATTGAAAGGAGTCATGTTTTACCAACCTTCTTTCTTGTATCCTGGCAGTCTGACAAAGGCTCCGTAGGTCTGTACAGACACAACCTCCCCCTTGGAGATGCTGTACATGGGTGGAAGACCATCCAGTCCAGCAGGCTCAGGTGCTGATCCTTCACTATCAGACATTTCTGCTGTCTAGGTGCACCACAGGGAGCATTAATGGGATCTGCAAGATTATTATGAGACATTTTACATAATTTTTGTGCAATGTATACATCTATTAAGTTTGAATAGCTATCTTTCTTCACAGACCACAATTTGAGGTTGCTATTGTCTACAGAAAATAATGTCTAATATGAGTTCATAAGGTAATGGTTTTGGGACTGAGGCATAATATTGCATTGCTTTACATTTATATCCATTGCATCACTTCATCTTTAATGCATTGACAAAGATGCAAACAACCTGGTATCTTTCAGTATCATCCAGCAGCTTGTAAAAAAAATCAAAGTAAAATAAAATCAGTGTATAAAACTATAAATCCTGTAATTCTCTATTATTTTCTCTCTTCACCTCTACAGTGTTATTTTCCTCTGCTGAGGCGCTACAGAGAGAGGCTCCAGGTGTTAGGTTTAACAGAGGTCATGGCTTCATGATAAGGACTTAGAGGGGAGAAACATGTTCAGAAGTTTGAGTTTTGAACAAAGTCAGTCAGCTCATTATATTCCTGTACTGCAGCACTTAGACTCTGAAGAGAAGCTAACGTTAGCGAGCTGAGTAAAGCGATATTTCTCACAAACTAACGGAAGTAACGTGCAAAACAACGTTTTTAAAATTAACCTTTCCGTGCTCGAAATAAATGTCTAAATCTTTAATACGCCTGACAGCGCACAGAATAGAGAAGAAAAAAAACTATAATATTAGAGTATTACCTTGCCTGTTAGCGAAGCTGAATAAGTTTTGCATCCGGTGCACGAGAGTTCGACAACAAGCCGTCTGACCAATCAGCGCTGGTGCCGCTATTCTCGACCAATCAGAGGCCTCGTAGTCAGAGGAAGTACTTCAGCATTTCTTCGTTGGTGCTTTTCTTCCGAGTTCCTTTCATGGAGGACGTTCATTGATGTTTGAAAAGCAATCAGATATAATAATCAAGTTTTCAGAGTTTAGAGGAAAATTTCAGGATGATTGAACCCATGAAGAGAGCGGCCGACATGGCGGTGGTTCCTGCCGCCGTGAAGCGGCCGCGGATGGAGCTGGTGGCGGCGGCTCAGTCCCAACAACTGGTAGCTACGGTGAGTAAAATCTACTGCAGAGGCCACGTGTTTATTTATGTTTATATACGTGTTCAAACATCCGTTTATCTGTTAATACAGGTTAATATATGTTTATACAAGTTTTTATGTGATTGTACTGCTTTCTATGAGTCCATACGTGTGTATATGAGTTTAGAAGTGTATAGACATGTTTATTCGTGTTTATAATACTTCTTTTAAAGTTTCATGATATTTAGTCAGAGGCTATCAAAATACCGTCCATGACACCTGTAAATTTACCTGGTTTATACTGAAGTGAACTGGAATAATTGTTTACAAGTTAACTCAAAGCCCTTATAAGTAACTTTTTTTCTGTAGTGCCCCCTGTGGGTGATATTATGTCTCGTATCTTTATTGTTTTCTGGTTCTGTACAGCTGCAAGTGGTGTGTTATGACCATAGACAGTATATACTATGGACTAATTGGTTCTACTTCCCACACGTATACAGATTTGAAGCCAAATAGCTCTCGGTATTTCCGGGATTTTTCTTTATTTCCTGAAACCAGCGCTGCGCAGTAGCGATGCGCGCACTCGGGCGCGCAGTCGCCGAGAGTCGCTGTGATGACGCTCGGCTCAAACTTAGAGCACAAACCAGTCTTACTGTAACTACATGTCTCTGTCCATTCTATATACAGTCTATGGTTATGACACAAAGTCACCCTGTTTAGTGAATAGTGTCTAATATCATTCTAGAATTGTAAAAGGTGAAAAAAATGAGATTTTCCTTGAGAGTGCTGCCTTTCCCCATCCCGCATTCACAGGCTTTATTAATTACATCAAATCAAAATCTATTTGCTATCAGTGCAGTTTGATTCAGTAGGTCTACTTTCCTGGTCACGTGGCATTGCTTCTGTTGAACATTTTGCACCTTTTTATTAAAAATTCTCACAATTTCTTTTACCATTGACCCTAAAAATTACATTTATCTATCAAGTTGAACTACTGCAAGAATGTTTTACACCATATTTTGCAACCCTCCCACTAGTATTTATGATTTAAGATGTCTCTCCTTCAGGGCCCTCCACGAACCTCCAGCCTGCAGGCTCCCATCATGCTGATGTCTGGCCACGAGGGCGAGGTCTACTGCTGCAAGTTTCACCCCAACGGAGCCACACTGGCCTCCTCAGGATTCGACAGGCTCATACGTGAGACAACCCCAAGAAGCAGCTCATACATCTTTATTTTAATGTATTTACAGACTCTGTGACCTTCAATAACTTGTTGTGCTTTGTGTTTATTAGTGATGTGGAATGTGTATGGAGACTGTGATAATTATGCCACTCTGAAGGGTCACAGTGGGGCAGTGATGGAGCTGCATTACAACACAGACGGCAGGTATGATCAGTCCTTACTCTGGTTTATTTACGGTTTAAAAGCAGCACAGTTCAGTTAGAAACGTGGCTTTTGGCATCTTTAGCATCTAAACAGTCTTCAAAATTCTCACGTTTCAATTGTTAACATGTTGACCGTTATTGATATCTTGTTGTTTATCTCAGCATGCTGTTTTCAGCGAGCACAGATAAGACTGTAGGAGTGTGGGACAGTGAAACTGGTGAGAGAATCAAGCGTCTGAAGGGCCACACCTCCTTTGTTAACACCTGCTACCCCGCCCGCCGAGGACCCCAACTTGTCTGCACTGGTAGTGACGACGGGACTGTCAAGGTGAATGAAATCAGTCAAACAGGGTAGACATGAGAGGATTTTTACTTTGTACACTTTGTGACTCATCGTAGTACATTTCTATTTATCTTCCTGCATGTGTTTGCCACCCTTTAGCTGTGGGACATTCGTAAGAAAGCAGCAGTCCACACTTTCCAAAACACCTACCAGGTGTTGGCAGTCACTTTTAACGACACCAGCGACCAGATCCTGTCAGGAGGTATCGACAATGACATCAAGGTAACAAACTGGAGTACACCCGGTCAACTTGAACTAATCATTTCTGAGACAGCAGATTTTATTAAGAACAATATGATAAATATGAGACAAGAGAGGAAATCAGATTAGCCCTAAAGACATGTACATTAATGTCATTCACCTCAATTAATGAGTAATGATAACAGCTGACCTTGAATAAATCTTGTGTGATCCCCATACTATAAGTCTAGACTACATTTAACTTCTTTAGAATTGCTCTTTTCATGCACTCAGTCACCCACTCACTCACATACTTACTTATTTACTCAATTTACTCTCCTATTTACTTATTAACTAAACACCCACGCTTACTTTCTCTCTAACTTATTCATTTACTAACCTACAAACATACTAACTCCCCAACTTCATCACCACACTCATTTAGTCTTCAACTAACTTACTTCCCGACTTAGTAACCATAGTTAAAATACTTACATTTTTCCTACTTATTTGCATATTAACTCATTTACTTAATAGCATTTTAACTACAAACTAACAGACTAACTTTTTAGTTCTCTTACTTATTTATATACTTACTCACCATTCTTCCTAACTTAAATACTCACCTAATTATTAAATCACTTCACTTATGTACTGTCTCACTTACTCACTCACTCAATAACTAACTGCTTAACACCCACTTACCTACTTACTGTTGCGGAAAACATGTGTAGTATGCAGCATAATCAATGCAAAGGATACAGGATGAGATCTGAAGAGCAGCCGGGACATTTTTATTGTACAGATGCAGAAATCAGTACAGTTGACACAGAGTCCCTTTAGATGTGTGTTGCAAGACTTTCTGGCCTGATAACTGGAACCCTGGGAGATTATCCAAGGACATGTCACATTGTTCTGGAATTCAACAGAACATTAGTATTTCTGGGAACCCAACTTGACTTTCCTGGCAGTCATTAGGATCAACTCAACTTTTTGTGACCTGTGAAAGTTCAGGCCAACCTCTCAGTTGCCTTCATGACCCATCCTCCAAACTATCTCAGCCTATTATAAATCACTGTTATAAACATCAATAATTACTCCAACACTACATAATTACTTGCTTAATAATTATTGTATGTACTCACTAACTTACAATTTACTTTCCTGCTGAATTAACATACTTACATACTTTCTTAATTACTCATAAACTTACTTCATAACCATACAAACCTAATTAATTTCTTACTTATTCACCTTCTTACTTAAATGCTACACATACTTTCTCACTTACTGACTTTCCTATGCACTTGTTTGCTTACCTTACTAACATACTTAGCTACTCACACACTTACCTCCTCACTAGCTTACTTATTTGCTTAATTTGCTTACCTGCTTCCTTATTTTCTTGCTCACTTGCATGGACGCTAATCTACTTACTTGCTTGCTTACTTAATTGCTTGGTTGCTTACCTACTTGGAATATGGCCACAGACAAAGTAAATTGAAAAAAGGTTTATAGTGAGCCCAGGATCCTAAAGTGGCATTCATTATTCTGATACTATGTGTTGTTGTCCAAAATTTGAGGACAATTTTCATCGCTGAGACCTATTTTTTGTGAGTTTAACTTCTTCCATAACTTCTTGTTTTTGCTTTCTATAAGTGTCGCTAGTTTTATTCACTACACTCTGCTTGTCATTGCCTGTGCTGCAGGCTCCTACCTATTATTTGTGTCTACTGTTACCATGGTATAAATGTAGGATAAAAGAACAACATCCCTGCACTAGCTGACCTCTTCACTTGTGAATCTCTCGTTATGATGTTGAATGATGCTGAATCCTTGAGATTTTTGTTGTTGATGAATTATGTTGTGTTCAAGTGTTTGACTCCAGCCATTATGATGACAGCAACATTCACTGGTATGAAACCAGTATAAAGCAGGTTTTGTGTGTGTGTGTGTGTTGTGCAGGTGTGGGACCTGAGACAGAATAAGCTGATCTACAACATGCACGGTCATGGAGACTCAGTGACTGGACTCAGTCTGAGCTCAGAAGGGTCGTACCTCCTCTCCAACTCCATGGACAACACAGGTTTGGAGCTGAAGTGTGTTTTTATAACCATGTAATATATATGCCTTAATTTTTGGATTAAATTTTCTGCGGCTGATCCCTTTTCTTTAGTCCGGATTTGGGATGTTCGACCGTTTGCGCCCAAGGAGAGATGTGTGAAGATTTTCCAGGGCAATGTCCACAACTTTGAAAAGGTGACTTATAGAAACTCTAATACTTTTTTGGCTGTCTGGATCAAACCTCATCTACTACAACTGACTGTTCACATGAAACCTATTCGATCTCTAACTGTGTGCAGCTGTGGTCCAGCTTGCAATGTTCATACATGTCTCTAATACAGTCCCAATAATCCTATCCAATAATCTTTGTTTCAGAATTTGCTGAGGTGCTCCTGGTCGACTGATGGCAGTAAGATTGCTGCAGGCTCAGCTGACAGGTGAGAGGAGACACACCCACTCCATTTACACACTCTTGCACACACGTGGCTGTTTAGGGGGCTCATGTATATTTTTATTGGAAAATCTTTATTGGTTCAGCCTTGAAATCTTATACTATCTGACAACTTTTCTTGAGCTTTGTTGGGGATATGGACAGTGCATCCATCTTTTACAAACATGTTATATATGTGAGAAAGTTTTTTGTCATTGTCAGATGTCTGGAGTGAAGTATAAGGGTCTAATCCTTTAACAAGCATGCTGTTTATACTTACTGATACTAATTAGTTTGTATCATAGATAAAGCTGTTTTCTTATCTGTGTTTCTAGGTTTGTTTACATCTGGGACACCACGTCACGAAGGATCCTGTACAAGCTGCCGGGCCACGCTGGCTCCGTCAACGAAGTGGCCTTTCACCCAGAAGAGCCCATAGGTAAGTCTGACATCTGCTTCAGTCTCAGAACACATCCTATAATCCAAATTAGACAAATATGATACAGATATTTAAAGACTATTTTTGCTCTGTAAACCTCAGGACTAAGAGTATTTTTCCTTCCTCACAGTGCTGTCTGGCTCCAGTGATAAACGCCTCTACATGGGAGAGATCCAGTAGTGTGTATGTGCGTGAGAGAAAACATTTGATGAGTGTGTGTGCGTGTGCATGTATGTTCTGCCTCAGAAGTGGATGGGTGGTGTCCAACAGTGGGTTAGGAGTCTCTGTAATTTCATGAGCTTCATCTTGTCACAGAACAACCTCAGGACGCATGTTTGAAGTTTGTACCACTTAGTCACAACAACCTCCAAAATGACTCATTTTTTATGACGCTGTGTTTCTTTTTAATAAACTCTAGTATTCTGAAAAAAAAGGCTCCTGTCACGTTGATAGTTTCTTTGTGTCTTTGTGGTTTTAAAAGAAATCTGGGCTAATTTTATCAACAAAGAGTAAAAAATAGGGAACAGCGTGACCTGGTTATGCTCAGATGAGTTATTTTTGATCATTTATCTATTACATGGAAAAGAGAGGGAGGGAAAGTGTCTCTGTCTCCACTTTCTTAGTACTGCTTTCTAACCATGTACTGACAAAGTGAAGTATGCTAAGATTTGTGTATTTTGTGTAAATTTGTAGCAGTCACTGTTATTGTTGATAGCTGTGCAGACTAGTTGCTACAGCATTTAAAAAAACTGACCTTTGTTCACCTGCTTTCATATGTTCTTTTATTCATGTAAGTGTTATTTCTCACTGCCTTGGTACCACACAGTTGTCGGCCTCTAGTCTAGAGAGATGCATTTAATGGATCATTTAACACCGCAAGGGATGGGATTACTAGGAATTAATAAATAATACTTCCCGAACTCTAGTCTGTCTGACTTCAAACATTGAATTTTTGATTCAATAATAAATGAGTGTTATTTATACAACTGTTTATCTCCATCTTAGATTTCCTGTGGAAGAGCTGTTCTTTTTTTAACCTCTGGTTAGTCTGTATCCATGGCGATAAATTAATTAGGTCAGCTTTTAATTAGGGCTATGTAGAGTCATCTGTATTTGACTGAAGCTATTTTTCCAGTCTGGCTGTACAATTAATTTGGGTTTACTTGGCTAAGCAAAGCTCTGATCAGGGGTCACTTTTTCTCTCCCAACTGAAAATATTTTTGAGATTTGATGAATAAAGACGACATTCAAACTGCTTCAAAGCAAGGGATAGGAAAAAAGATAAAAATCTGCTGTGAATCAGTTGGATCTGGTTTAAAGACATCTTACAGGGGCCAGTTCTTTTGGGTTGTCAAAAAAACAAGGTCACATACATATATGATGCATCAGATACACATATTGAGGCGTATTAACCCAACATTAGATAATTCTGAATTTACAAAAAAATTATCTTAGAATTATACGTTTTTTGCCAATAGAAATGTTTGCCCCATTTTCTTAACTAGTGAGAATATGATCTTAATTCAGATATACTGAGTTTTATTCACATCAGATTTTTTCCACCAAATTACAAGATAATAATTCCATTAATTCAGAAAAACAGGGCAGACAATTCTATTTCATTTACAAAAAGTTATGCTGCTACTCTGAGTGACTTTTCTCCTTTATTCAGAATAACAGCTATAATTTCTTATTGTAATTCAGAGATAAATGTTATTAATTCAGAAGAGCAGAGCAGATTTTCCTCCTTAAAGGGATATTCTGGCGTAAAACTAATTTAGGGTCAAACACTCTGTAACACTGATTTAGACACCCCCTTGAGAGATGAATGTTGCTGACTGCTTGATTCTCTAGTTATACCAACTTTAGTAATGACCGCACAATAGCAATACACAGCGGCCACGTGCACACCTCAACCAAAAAGCCACTCTATAGCCACAAATAATGCTCAGAACAGCAACTAACTTCATCAACAATACATATAGGGTCCTAACCACAGCACTAGCCACCAAACATCTTTTTAGCTTTGCCAAGTTTCTTTCGCAAAGAGACTAAACACAACCCACCTCAGGCCAGTCCATTGCAGACTACAGCTGGGTAACGCAGCTCAAGGAAGAACATTTATGATCATTTAGGATCATTTCCTTGAAGTAAAAATCACTATATTAATCATTCTGCACTGCAGAAGCATTAGTTCTTCTGCCTTAGCATCTCAGTCTGATTGCACTTCCATGAAGAAATTATCTTAAATGTTCTTCCTTGAGCTGCGTCACCCCGCAGCAGTCCGTAATAGACTTGCCTGAGGTCTCACTACAAACAAGTGGCTGCTCGAAGAGAGTAGGTGAGTTGTGTTTCGTCTCTTTGCTAAAGACATTAGGCAAAGTTAAAAAGATGTTTGGTGGCTAGTGCTGTGGCTGGAAACCTATACGTACTGTTGATGAGGTGCTGTTCTGAGCATTATTTGTGGCTATAGAGTGGCGTTTTGTTCGAGGTTTGTTTATGGCTCCTCAGACCGCTGTGTATTACTATTGTGTGGTCATTACTAAAGTTGGTATAACTAGAGAAGTAAGTGGTCGGCAACATTCAACTCTCAAGGGGGGTGTCTAACTTGGTGTTACGATGTATTTGACCCTAAATTAAATTTATGTCGGAATATCCCTTTAAGTGAATGCAATATGCTTTTGTAGTATTGCCCACGTTTTATTATTGTTTATAGTTAACAGTTGACATATCTTGTTTTCAAAGCTCCTGTGAGGAGTTTTTGATTTGTTGTGAGACCATCAAACTAGACGAACAATTTCTGTTTATTTTGCTAATTTTGTTTTAGAGTGTATGTGGTTTCATGTGGTTTTGCAGGTGCCTCAGGTGGGCACTTGGGGAAGTAGTTTTTGGCACTTCTGCATCAGCTACATTGCCTAGGATCAGAGTCTGCCACTAGAGGGCGCCAAAATCAACACAGGCATAAAGTTTCTCACAGGATCTTTAACTATTCAGGGGTTATTGATAGTTTTTAGACTACAGTGGTGTACATTCCAGCTTCACCGACAGAATCAGCCTGTTTTTACTGATTTTTAGTTGTTATGAAGAAAGCATTGCCCTGTGATTATTAAATGGCCTCTGTAACTGCCTTCCCCCATCTCCCTCATCATCAGTGATAGCTGACCTGCCCTCAGTGGAGCTCAGTGTGTTAGTGTAAGTAGCTGAGATTAAACAGGGATCATGATTGTGTTTTTTCCGCTCTGAATCACCGCAGGCCGAGGAAGAGAGCAGCGGCGGGTCGAAGCGCTTCTTTCGGACTCTCAGATCGACGGGAGGCGGGATCAGACATTCTTCATCCTGCCTCCCGAACCTCCTCATCCTCCTCCACGGTGAGCCCCGTTTTCTTTTGTGCTCCTTTTCATGACTCGCGGTGGTGCTGCTGCTCGGCCGCGCGCACGCACGCACGCGGGTCTGCAGATTCCATGCAGCTCCTCCTCGAGGGGGTCGCGGTGACTGAGAGCCCCCACCCCCTCGTCTCTCTCTCTCGCTCTCTCCCCCCCGGCTCCTCCTGCGCCCGCCCCGGCACCGATTGTTGACAAAAGACGCTGCAAGACGGAGCGAAGGAGACTGGTCCTGGTGAGCTTCTCTGCCCGCTAACTTGACTTCTTTCCCCCCACAGTGTGAGGAGCGGAGGACCGGGTGGAGGGGAGCAGGGGTTTAGGGGAACGAGGGCTCTGTCGTTCCTAGAAAACCTTGAGTCACAGCGGGCTGCTTTGTGTCCGTAGAGGAGTGCATGTAGCCAAACGTTAGCCGTAGTAACGCTGCGGGGTCGATCCCCTCCTCCCCGCCGCCCCCGTGTGATTCACTATCATATGACGCTCATTTCTGTCTGCAGCCCGGGGTCGATTATGACAGCTTTCCGTCTCTCTTTGTGCCTTTGTGTGTCCCCTCTCTGGAAGGTGTGGCCGAGGTGATTCTGTTGTCGGTGGTGGTCGGACCGCAGCAGGCCGGCGTGAACTGGACCCCTCCTCCTCCTCCTCCTTCCCCCCTCTCCTCGCTCCTTCCTGAAAACCACCCGTGATTGGTATTTACCGACAAAACCAGCGGCCAAGATGGGTCATCCACTGTGAGAAAGGGCTCCGGACCAGCGCTAAGGGAGGAGAAGGCGGCGGCCTCAGGCAGGTCTACTCAGCCGGGAATGGTGTGAGCTGAGACGGCCAGGCAGTCTGGATCTGACTGGGGACTCGTCATTCCCCCGGAGCCTCCGCGGCCCAAAGCCGCGTCCTGAGCCCTCCAAGATGGGGAAGTGCGACGGAAGATGCACGCTGCTGGTGATCTGCTCGCTGCAGTTGGTAAGTATGTGTGTGTGTGTGTTTGTGTGTGTGTGTATGTGCACGGCTGAAGCTGCCTCTCTCAGCACAAAGATATAATTAGAGCAGCGTGCTTCAGACACGCACATTGTAATCAGACATTTTTCCTCCAGCCTCTTCGTACAGTCAGAGCGAAAAAAAGCTTGGAGCTGCAGCTGCTGGGGTGCCATGCCACATTACAGACCAGGGTGTGTGTGCCTTTGAAGCAGGGGGAGCAGGGCAGGGGGCGCTTTGGTGTCAGGGTGGTCAAGAGAGAGAGAGAGAGAGAGAGAGAGAGAGAGAGAGAGAGAGAGAGAGAGAGAGAGAGAGAGAGAGAGAGAGAGAGAGAGAGAGAGAGAGAGAGAGAGAGAGAGAGAGAGAGAGAGAGAGAGAGAGAGAGAGAGAGAGAGAGAGAGAGAGAGAGAGAGAGAGAGAGAGAGAGAGGTGGTGGTCCCGTCCTGGCAAAACCATGTGAATGTTAAGCAAGAGGGACAAGGAGGCCCTGTCCACCATCTGGTCTCCATTCTGGGTACAAAGTTAGCTGCTCCTTGTTCTACAAATAGCTAGAGACCATCACTCTAAAATGTAATAAGAGTGTAATGTGAGACTGTGGTGGGATGATGTGAACATGGTCAGCAGTGAGGGACTTGTTGTTCAGCCCTTTGTTTGATGCCTGGTTGTTTAGGGGCAGGAGGATTCAGCCCATAGATTCTCATTAGTTTGGGGGAGCTTTTGGGGGGATGCTCCTCTTTTTACAGTCGCTGGACTGGCTGGTGCTCCAGGCAGTTACCATGGAAACAACTGCGGCAGACCTGTGTATGTGTGTCCCTGTCACTGTGTGTGTGTGTTAGAGACCTTGATTACTAGTGTGTATATGTATATGCATGTGTCCTCAGTTGTGTGTGTCTGTCTATGTGTGTGGTATGTGTGTTAATCTTTTGCTCTATTATGTGTGTGTGTGTGTGTGTGTGTGTGTGTGTGTGTGTGTGTGTGTGTGTGTTTATAAATTAACAGCCCCTCCCTCTGTCCCCTAGGTGGCAGCCCTCCAAAGGCAGGTGTTTGATTTTCTGGGCTACCAATGGGCCCCCATCCTGGCCAACTTCCTGCACATCATGGCTGTCATCCTGGGCATGTTCGGCACGGTGCAGTTTCGCTTCAGATACCTCATCTTTGTGAGTCCAGGCCTCTGTTTGTCTGTCACTGATTAAACATAAGTTTGAGTTTTTCCTTTTACACAGAAACTGATGAGTGTGTGTATGTGTGTGTTTGGCAGTATGCAGTATGGCTGGTCCTGTGGGTGGGCTGGAACTCCTTTATCATCTGCTTCTACCTGGAGGTTGGAAACCTGTCTCAGGTGGGTTCTGTGTGTTTAATTTCAGATTAGTATTTCTGAAGTAACTTGAAACACTTTTATACACACTCCTGTAATGGGTAGGGTTGGGTTGAGAAACATCTTGTTCTCTTATCATTATTAACACATCATAAACATTTTGCATTTAACATCTTTGCATCTGCACAGTTTGTTGCAATTTCATTGTAATTGTGATAAGAGTATTTGCATTGAATGCATCACATAAGTTTGAACTTAAAGTTCCTCTATCTCAAAGCCTTTGTGTGACATTTAAAAGAGAACAAGAACATTAATAACAACACTGATCATTTTTAAAATGTAATTTTTCATGCTTTATATCATTGCAAAGGGGGGAAGGTGTCAGCCAAGCTGCCAAAGAAACAGCTTTATACAAAAAAGCAATGCTTTGTTTCCGATTGGATTAACGTGGCTTTGTTTTTACACCTCAACTTAGACCCATTTTATCTTTTCCCCTGACTATTTTTCTCACTTGTATTATTTGTTAGAAAAACTCCACTAAGATTTTGAGGTTATATCTAACTCAAAAATGTTTTGAGTTAGGTGTAACGCCTGTAAAGTAGATGATCTAAAGGTCTTTGGTGTCAAGCTTATCATCTGTTTTGTTCAGAAGTTGATTGCAGTATGAAAAAAACCCTGACCTGTAAAAAGTTCAGAAAATAATCACTTTCTCAATCAACAGATTACTTTTAAATAGGGCTAGGCGATAAAACGATTACGAAATTTATCGAAAATTAATTTCCCTCGATATCAATATAAATCATGGTCAATATCCTTTTCAATAGTTGGCATTCCGCCATGTTTTGGTAGACTATACAAATAGCCATGAAAAGGGGAGTTGCTCTGGGTCCACTTCGCAATCATGTGCTGAAATAGAAACAGGTAGCAAACAACTGCGTAGTAGCAGGCTACAGCTAGCTGTTGGCGAGAAAAAAAAGAAAACGAATGCTACCCCCGACAGAAATGCAGATGAAGGCTTAGCAGATGAGGACATCGTCGACAACACTGGCACAAAAACGTCGGTGGTGTGGAGGTATTTTTTGAGGTCAGACATGAAGCAGAGTAATGTGCACTGCAAATTATATCATGTACATGCACTAGCAAAGTCGGGGAATACCTAAAATCTTTTTCACCACCTGAAGCAGTGCCACATGGCAGAGCATGCAAATTGCACACGGCTACAAACCCTGAGTGGATCAAGGAGCCCATGGTGCCGAAACAGCTGACCATTCAGTCCACTGTATCTGTCGTAAAGTTACGAGAAAACATCATAGAGACACAAAGACCTGACAGATGCAGTAGCTTATTGTATTGCAATAGACATTCTACCGGTTAGCACTGTTAAATTTGTTTTTTTTTATCGTGATATATATCGATATCGACTGATATAAAAACAATATAATGTATCGTAATGAACTTTTTCCCATATCACCAAGCCCTACTTTTAAACAACTCATCATTAAAATTCTTCTTTTTAACTGAAATTGGAAAAAAAGTGCATTTTAAGTTTGAATCATTCTTATTTACGCTTAGATGAAGATTGCCTGAACGAATAAAATAAATGAAACCCCCATTTCCAAAATAATAAAGCAGCTTAAGACACAGAACTAATTGTTAGTTTTTGAAAACTATTGAGAAAGAGTCCAACAGATTCGTTACTTACCTGCTGGGAAACAACAGCCTGAATAAACAGGAAAAATTATAAAGGAATTAGGGGGTACATTGTGCTGGGATTTCTAATGAAGGCAAAGGCACAACCTACGTAACATAAACAGGTGTGAATCAGTCATTTCTTGTAACAATGATGTACAAAAATTCCCTGCTGAGTGTCATTAAAATTCTGCTGAAATGTCAATAAACCCTGCTCAAGACGCCATCCTACTATACCGTGTTTGAATGGGGTGAAGAGGAAGTGACCTATTGAACAGGACATCTTTGGCTTGAGCCTGAATAGGGTTATTGATTTAGTGGAAAACATTTTAAGAAAAAATATGGAAACTGATATTGAACAAATTACGACTCAAAGAGGTCACATCATGAGTAAAAAAGATAACTCTGAGTTAGACCTACTTTTGTCCGGTAGAGATGTGTGTCATCATCTTGCATTGTGACCGTTTAGTTTTACCTCGTGACCCTTTAGTGTGATCCCTGGATAAAATAACATAAAATGTAAATACAACCAAATATGATGTATTGTTCAGATATTTTGCGGATACACAAATTATTGAAACTGTTTTTTACCAACACATTAACATTAAGTCAAGGCTTTAATAATACTTTTCTGATTGTATGTATGCGCTCAGGACAGGGACTTTCTCATGACATTCAACACATCCCTCCATCGCTCGTGGTGGATGGAGCACGGTCCTGGATGCCTGGTAACGCCAGTGCTAGACTCTCACATGGCCCCTGACGACCACCATGTCATCACTGTGTCTGGGTGTCTCCTTGACTACCAGTACATAGAGGTGTTGAGTTCGGCCATACAGGTCCTTCTTGCTGTATGTATCTACCCACACACTCTGCCTTTAGATGGACTTGGTTTTGTCAGATAAACAGTCCAGTTTTCTCATGTCTGACCGTCTTTCTTCTTCAGCTCTTTGGTTTTGTGTACGCCTGCTACGTGAGCAAAGTTTTCCAGGATGATGAGGACAGCTGTAAGTATTTGCTCTTCTTTTAAAGTCTGCTCATCCTCCTGCAGTGTCTCCTCAGCTGATCAGATTTACTTATATCACACTATCACGGCGGCTTTAGTGTCAGTGATCCACATCTTTGATTGTTAGCGCTCATTCTTCTCTCCTGCTCGAGTCATGCTGAGTCTCTGTCACCACAGAGGATTCCCTGTGGCGGATCTGAGCTCCATCTGTGGGGAGTATTAGAGATGTCTGCTGGAATATTCCCTCCGAGTGTCCGTCTGTCTGCAGCTGAGTTCTAGTTTGTCTGCCTGGTTGTGCCATCTGGGTGTCTGAATGGGCCGTCTCCTTGAGTGCCTCCTGTGTGTTTCACTTTCGCTCAATGGAGGAATTAAGTCCATAGTTAGAATATGATATCATAGGAGAGAGGCAATGACTTAGCAGCATTATATGTGGTGTTAGAGTGCATGTAATAACACTGCTGGTAGAGATGATCCGATTTTAACATGAAATGTAAATATAATGCATCTATGCTATATCCCACCTATGTTATATTTTGAGGTAATTGAATTATACTCTTACTAAGGCTGTTATGATGTCAGATTTTCACCTTACAAATATCATGGCCTTAAAATATCACACTTATAACATTATTGAGGTATGTGCAGAGATTATCTACATTGCCAGTCCCTCAAATAAGTATCTTTTGGAGGAGATATAGCTTTAAAAAAACTATGCTTTTATTTTGATTTCTCTGCCTAGTGCTTTGGTTGCCTTATTGCCTACCCTGTAAATCTGTGCTTTTATTTTGAAGTACACCACTTGTAGTAGATAGCGTACTTATGTAGCCATAACAGTGAAAATAACGGTTGTAAATGCTCAATTGATGAATAACCTTAGGAGACACAAGCTCTTAGACTGTTTTAGATACATAATTAATCTTTGAATGTCAGTATTTGAAGTAATTATCACTCAGAGGGTCCCTAACAGTTAGCTAGTTGGCAGCTAAGGCCTCATCTCTTCTCCATTTTATGGCACGTGGAAACTGCTATAAGACTTTTGAATGGAAAAATAACAAACTTTACAAGCACCTGTCATGTTTATAAGTTTGCCATTTCACAATATTTACATTTGTTAATCTAATTATATCTACACAGTTGAAATGAGTATCAGGTTGTGAATCAAAGCTGGAGGACATCTGCCTCACGTTTCCGCCCCAAAAGAAGTAATTTCAGTTACAAAAACACAAACTTTAGTATCAGTTTTTGGTTCTGTCTTCTTGAGAAATTTTGTGTTGTATCTATGTATAAACCAACACAGTTTAGCTCTCTTACTTGATTGAGAAGGAGTAGATTTATGTATCAGTGACAGTGACATGAAGGCAGTAGGAGATGATGTATTACCTGCACCTGTAGAGGTGTACTGAGAGCCTTATCTGATGACTTGAGGGATTTTTACTGTCAAAACAGAAATTGATCTTGAAATGTGAGACTTTCTAAATATATAAAAGATTCAAAGGAATGTGAAATGATGTCATTTCCCTCTCTGTCTCCTGTTTAAAGTTGATTTCATTGGTGGCTTTGACTCATATGGATACCAGCCTCCTCAGAAGTCGTCCCATCTGCAACTGCAGCCTCTTTACACGTGAGTTACTGAAAGCTCATTTATTTTCTTTTGTATCTGCTTCAACATAAATAAAAGAAAGGATTTCCTGAGATGCAGTCCTCGACATTTTTGAAGTACATTTTCCATTCATTCACTCAGGGTATCTGAATAATTGTAAATCTAGGGAAGCCCTGAGCTAGTTCAGAGTTACACTAAATAAATACACTTAACAAAGGAGGTAAGAGTGCACCAGGTATAAATGTAAAACAGATTTAAAGCAATCAGTTTGCTCACAGCCGAGTCAAAACATGTAGGCATATTTGTTTAATTGTCTTTATATCAGGCACAGATGCATGAGACATCGCTGTATATAGTGTATATAGAATAGATGCCGTGCATACAGGTTTCTAGACATGCCTCATTTACAACGCCTGTTAGGGCAAATAGAAATTACCGAGTCTGCTTCTGTTTTATTTTTATCAAAACAACATCTTTGCAACTGTTTTTTGGGTGGGAATTTAGGGGAAGTACCGGTAGAACAACAACAGTACATACATGTAGCAGCTGTAATTTATTGCTTATGTGCAAGCTTTGATAAAACTCATGTATTTATTGCACATCATGTCATCAGTGCTATGTCTGTATTTTATCACAGATAACTCTTGTATTTTGTAGGCCAAGAAGTCTACTATCACTATGAATTTGTTACCAGAAGGAAAAATCTGCATAAGTGGCAGAGTTCATGCAGATGAACTAAAATGCATTTTTACTAACAGTGTGTGATCTCCTCCCTTCTGTACCCCCAGGGCTGGATAACTGCTGGTAGCACCCCCTTCAGGCCAAACCCTGACAGTGTCACTGTGGATGGATAGCAGCGGCGGTTGCCTTGGTTACACTCACTCTGTGTTTCACAGTTTACCCGAGGAACAGACTTAACCCCACCCAGAGGAAGTGACTTTTCTGCGTGTATGTGCGCGTGTGTGCCCGTGTCCGAGAAAGAGAAATCCAGCCCTGATAAGAATGTATGGAGCTCAGGGAAGAACCAGCATGCCAGGTGGTGTGAGGAGGGAGGGAGGGAGGGAGGTGGGAAGGGAGGGAGGGAGGGAGGGAAGAGGAGGAGCTGGGGACACCTCTGTGAAATCACTGAGGACACACTTCACTGAACTGCCAGCTCTCAACACTCCCACAAGTGTGTGTGTGCAATGTGTGTGTAACTCAACAGGACTTGGCTGGTGCTTTGTGGTAGCACCCTGGACTTCTACCACTCAATATCCCAGTGTTTTTTATTTTCTTTTATTATTTTATAATTTTGAGAGCTCGTGTGTGTGTGTGTGTGTGTGTGTGTGTGTGTGTGAGTCGGGCAGGGGCTGGGGAGGAGGGTGGGGGTCACATTATAAAAAGAGGCACAGCTTGTACCTGTTGTCGTTTTAGAGTGTGGTGATGTCAAACTAGAGCAGTCTTACGGTTTCCTTTCCCAAAGCCATCTTTATATCCTCTCACACTGTTTGGTTTTACTGTTGTCGATCAAACTATTTAAATTAAAGCTAAAGTCTGATGAGGCAACAAAGCTGAGCTAGTAAGACTAAAATAGATGAACCATTTAAAGGATCAGGCCGGTAATATTTATGTTCTTTATATGCTTGAGCAAAACTGTTGATGTGCTCATCTGTCTATGGGTACTTTTCCGGCTTTTCGTGTCTCTCCCTTAAACTTGTTTAGTCCTAGAGCTGTAGATCTTAAAGAAAGCACAGAAAATTACTGATTAAATTTTTAAAAAAAGCCTTAAAAGCATCCTGACGTAGCTGGGCAATGCCGCCTTCGGCAAATGTCCCTCAAACAGAAGTTTAGACTGCTTTGATTGCAGGTTATTTAAAGCTGCACTTCTGCTGCAACAGACAGTATTTGCAACAACTAGATGGTATTTGTGGTGTAAATCAAACAATTATGACATGATTATGGGGGAACATGCCACTAATTACAGGTTGGGAAGGAAATGGATGTCAAAAAGTAATTTACTGCAAAACAAAAAAAAATTGCTTAACTATTACCAGCCTTACCCTTATAGTTCAGATTTACTGCAAAAATCCTGCAAAACGTCCATGTCTGGGGTGTTGTTGTTTTTCAGGAAAGTAGAATAAGCAGCCTCAACATGTAATTCAGCCGATTAGGGATGCAGATGGCTTTGGGATCAGGCATTAGTGTGTCTTTTGGTGGGGGGAGCAGGGGAGATACTGTGCATGTAAATAACCAGCCAATGATTGTTTTGTTGGTTCCATTTAGAGAAAAAAAAAAGTGGGAGGTGGGGGGGTTGCATTAGGGGGTTGGGTCTGGCCGTGGGAAGAAGGTACACATCAAAGCTTTCCTTCATATCTGCTTTTTTTCTTCCCTCTTTCTTCCCACTGCAGTTCCTCTACCCTTTAGCTACACTCACCTGATCAGAGAGGGAGCTGGGTCATAAAAGAGACCCCACAGGGAAATTTACTGTAGATATAACAGACATGTGCAGCAACATGCTTTCAGTAGTTTTTGAAGATTCTCATCGGGGCAGGAAGAGGGAAGAACGAGACAGGTATGAGGTGAGGACCTGAATGAGTGTAAGCTACAGTTTGAAATAATAAAAATACACTTTCTACAGTAAACAGACTGTTGTTGTGATCTGCTGACACATAAACATCAGTGACGTAGAGTTAAATAAAATAAGTGCTTTGATTCCTGTTGTTGATTACATTATATTTATATCTGGATTATGCTGTACAAAATTATAATTTGAACAGATTGGAAGATTGTAGAAATAATACTTTACAGTAATTTTATATTGCACAAAGACAGTTTAATATGTCAGGGTTATATGATGCATTTAATGGAAACAGAAAATAACAAAACAGAACAATGATAATATTGATATTTGTTGTTATATTTATCGCACTGTGACCCATTCACTCAATTTAATTCAAACGCTATGACGCTGATTTCATCAATGTGGTGATTCATTTCTAAGTAGTCATGTTCTACTCTGACAGAAATAGCTCCTCTACATTCATAAAGTTTGCTTTTTAAAAAAGCTGCTTTCAGCTCTGAGGAAATTGTAATTTCTACAGTTCTTCAATGTTTTTTCAATGTATTCTGTTACACAAGGCAGTCTGATGCTTTGGGGCTTTTTCAGAGCCCTAAAAATCACATTAACAAAAAAAAGAACATTGAAAGGAAACATTAATAGTTATATTATCAGGGTTAAATAAGTTTAATGTGCAAAAATGAATTCTAATCTGAATATATTAGGTAAATAGCCACCATCCACAGGAGCAGCTCAAATTGAATGTTAATTTCTACAAAATCAACCATCTCAAAACATTGGACTATTGTGGAAAAGTCCAGTTTCTTGTCAGTTCTGTCAGCTCTGAAAAGAACTCCAATCAGCTGATCTCCTCTGAACACCTGCAAAAGTTTACCAAGCCTTTATTCTCTCACTCTGACTCGGTACACACAACTACAATCATGGTCCGGACTGTTGACCTGTTGTCCAGAAGACCATTTACACACACACACACACACACACACACACACACACACACACACACACACACACACACACACACACACAAAATCTAAGGTGCCTGAAGTCCACTTACAGTTTCCACAGTCTTTGATGATTTGAGGTGCCAGGTGATGTGCTGCTGTTGATCTGCTGTGTTTTATCAAGTCCAGAGTCAAAACAGCCTAAAGTCTACCAGGAGATTTAGAGACCATAGTATCTGCTGAGAAGCTTTATGGCGAAACCGATTTCCTTTTCCTGCCATAACTACCACAAACTGGTTTGCTGAGCATGGTATTACTGGTTTGACCTGAACTCCACTGAGAAGAAGACAAGAGACACCATTGCAACAATAACAGACGAGCTGAGGGAGCTATCAGAGCAACCTGGACTTCACTAACACCCTAGCAGAGCCACAGACTGATGGCCTCCATGCCACACAAATGGAGCCCTGATCATTTTTTATTGGTGTTTTATAAAATTCTAATGTTTTAAATAGTGGAGTCTTAATTTTCATGTGCTGTAAGCGAGTCTTTAAGTATTTCACTTTGAATGTGATGAGTCAGAATAAATTGAAGTTTCACTTTTTTAATAAAATTAAGGGGGGGAAATGAACTTTTTGAGATCATTTTTCATAATTTGTTAAGTCGCATCTGTAGGATTAATTCTGCCTGATTGGAAAGCATAAGTATGTTAAACAGCCTGCCCTGAATATTTTCAATTAATCACTGTGGATTTTCGTGCAGGGCTGCCATAATGTGGCAGCATTACGTCATGCACACACAGGCTGGGGACCGTTTGCCGCCTGTCTGCAGTATCAGGGTCTCTGCCGACACAATCCCAACAACCTGAGGGGTGTCACTGCAACTTGAGCCACACTCGCCCCTTTTTGCACCGTTACATACCGGAGGTGTAACGGAGCGACGAGCAGTCACACACCCGCTGACCGTGTGTCGCAGCGCGTTGCCATGGCTGCCAAGCACCTCGTTACCGAGGAGACCCCGGTACATTGTGTACAGTTACCCAAGGTTCAAACATTTAATATCCCCTTATTCAAGCAAGTCATTATCTTATATTATAGCCCTCCTTTCATGAGTTGTAAGGCAAAATAAGACTATTGTGATATTTTACTGCTTTCTATTATTCTTTTATTTTGCAGTATATAAAAGCGTCATACTCACGAACGGTTGTAATGAGCGTTTTTTTACACGCTACTTTTAACCACAAAAATAACGTGAATAAAATCAAATTAATAAGCATTATAAATACACTTCTCATTACAAACAGACTAGACACATAACAAAGAGACCCGTCCGGTATGACCCTCCCTCCCCTCCCGGTTGGCGCAATGAACCGCACGCTCTCTCTCATCTCTTCCCGTCATGCAGCGCTCTTGCCTGCTCCTCCGTCGAGCCGCCATGTTGTTGGAGTGAAAGCCTGGGGTGTCAGAGAGAAACTGGGGCCGAAATCCGCGACCATCCACCCTCTCCGCCGGTGAGTACCGACCCCTACCTGGTCGCGACACCTCAAGGCATTGTTTATTCACGCAAAAGGGCAGGTATTGTCGCTACAGCGGTTCCGAGAGGGGATAAAGAGGGGTATTTCGTGAAGCTGAAGCGCCCTTTCTGCTGCTCGCCTCCTTCCTCTCGTTGTATCGGTCTTCCGCTCCAGACAGCTCTCGGGCCTTTGTTAGCATCCGCGTCACGGGTACCTGTGCGGCTGCAAGGTCGGCAGACAAGCAGAGACCCCTTAGGTGTTTATTAATGACAGGATTATGTTGTTGGGGGGCCGCTGCGGCTGGTAAAAACACTGTATGGAGCCTGTGTTTGGCTGCCGGTTCGCCCGGGCTGAGCTTATGTCGGGAGGCCGTGTTATTGTTGGTAGACATGGGCAGTGAACCCTCCATAACAGATCCGAGTGTGAGTGAGTCAACGCGGGTGCATATAAATGAAACCCCCGGTCACCATGACGACCTCCTTACACGAGTTTCTCTTCAGTCCCCTATGGTTTTGATGTGTCATGTCTGTGGGGAGAGAGAGAGAGATGTTTGGTCTGTGTTCAGACCCCGAACGTTATCTCATGCTAGCTGCAGGTTGCTTGCTCGGATCGTCACACCCCTGTCTGTGCCCGGTATGCGGTGGATTGATCCCCGGTATTGAATAATGATTAACCCAGTTAGCTCAGGAAACACGATGCCTGTTTTCGTGTGGTGAGTTAAATTTTGGGCCATAACAGGTCGTGTACAGCTCGCTTGCTGTGCTGTGGATTTCCGGGTGATTCTGCACCTGATTTGGAGCTGTGGCACAGGAACGAGGAGCTAACATTTCGTGTTGCTGAATGAAGTGGAGCAGGAAAACAAACAGGAGTAGTGAATGATTACTTGGCAGGCTGGTTTGTTTTTATCTTTTGGGCCTGTGGAGCCGGTCAGCTCGTGTTTTTCCGTGTGCATGGAGGTGGTGTGATGCAGAGTAGTCTCAGCAGCATGCTTTTGGTGATGTTGACATGCTGACAGACTGACAAAGTTAATTACAGCATATGGCTCAGTGTAAGATGAAGTGCTTGTAATTTCGTTGTGGCCTGTAGGGACAATAATGTGAAACCGGTGATTTTAACAGAGATTAGAGCTTGTTGGATAAATAGGGGTTGTAAAATAGAAATTATATCCCTGTGAATGTTGGAAACTACTGAGGGTGTTGAGCCTAACTTTGACCATGACCACTTAACACATCAGCCTGTGCGTGCTCTGCTCATGATTTCGCCATTCTAAATAAGAGGCCATCCCACCTTTCAAAACGAACACCACCAACTCTTCTGTTAACAATGTCAGGAACCACCCTCTTCAAAACTTACTAAAAGCATACACTTGGTTGTAAGATTTTATTAAGATGTTGAAGAAAAGTTTGCACCCTTTGTACACTGAATGAACTCTACCTCTGATTTTATAACTTAGTTGGAACAAATATTATAGAAACATGTCAATTTAATGAACCCCACGAGACCACAAAGTGTCATTAACATCAGCTGACTCAGTATGTAGTAATGAAGTTATATCTCAGCTTTAGGAGTTAGAACTTCTCCTTTGACAGAGATGCGCAGCTCTTCCCTCTTAAGCAGCCTTGCACAGATTTTATAAAATGAAAATTTTTGCAAAAATGTGTCTTGAACCAGATGTGGGTACATTGAATGAACTCTACCTCTGATTTTATAACTCATTTGAACCAAATATTATAGAAACATGTCAATTTAATGATCCCTACAAGACCACAAAGTGTTATTAACATCTTTTTTAAAAGTAACAGCAAAACTTTTTATTATAACGTTTCCAGACTTTTCTATTAGACACCGTTTGTTAAGTTAGACACATCAGCTGACTCAGTATGTAGTACTGAAGTTATATCTCAGCTGTAGGAGTATGAACTTCTCCTTTGGCAGATTTTATAAATACATTTTTTTGCAGAAATGTGTCTTGAACCAGACGTAGGCTAAACATTTGTGAACATGCAGACCGGTGTCTCAGTGAAGCTTTAATCTAACATGGAAAACTTTCTCCTTGTTTCATTGAACTTGAGCCCCACACAGCAGCAAAGTGAAATTCTAAGTATACAGTGCTGACTGCAGACAGAACTTGAGAGCAAGCTTACCTGCCACCTTGCCTGCTATAAGAACAGATTTTCTAGTTTATGTCTAAAACTGAAGCTGAAACAGCTCCTCTCAGATCAAATAAGGAGCTGCTTTATGTGTCATATTCATGCCGTCCCTTATGTGGCTGTAGTCTAAAAATTTAAAATGAACTTCGGCCTCTTTAGGAGGATTAAACTAATTAAGTTTATTCATTTGAAATGGGCCTAGACATTGCTTCAGTGTTTTTTTTTATTTTTTCAGGAAGAGTAACTGAGTGCATAAAATAACCTTGTAAGTTCTAGCAGGAATGAAAATATCTACTCTCTGTGACAGTTTTGAATGAGACTGAGAATCCACTCAGTAATTTTAGTAACTACACAGAATGAAGTCTGAATCAACAGCACTGCATCAAATTCTGCTCCCATGGAAACTTCACCGTTCATTTTAATTTTGGACATCCAGTTGTATACAATGCACATGACATTCAGCACATAAAAAACACCTTCCCATCCGTATTTACAAGTGAAGCTTGTGCAGGAACAAAATTTTAAACCTTGGCATGTCTGGTAATAATGAACATAAAAAATACAACAAAGAGACTGATCAAAATGAATTGAATGTAGTTTCAGTGAATGCTGTGATTTAATCTGGATGTTCCTACTAACCTGGTAATTAGATTGTAGCCTAACATAAAAACCAGTCCAACTTGCGGCATTTGCTGAGCTGTACTCTACTTGTCTGGTTCTGCTTGAAGCTATCAAAAGTGGGCAGCAAATACAGACAGGGTGCTGTTAAGTCCCGCCCGGGCCAGGGGGGGCATGGATGGTAGCAGTCTGTTCATTTCTGTTGCTTGGAGGTGAATCTTGTTAGTTTCTGTCTGCAAGCAAAAGATGTAAAAAGACCTGAGTGTTTCTGAGTGATGAGCTGCACAACCAACAGGCTGAAGATCCAAAAGTTGGTTATAGTGAGCACAGAGATGGAGAAACAGTATGTAAGGAGATAAAACGGTTGCAGACAATATCATGTGAGACATGGCCTGGGGTAATTTAGTCAAACGGCACAGGTTGAAGCTTAGTGATTCTATTAGTCTGCTTCTACAAAGCGATTTGGTCGAATAATGGTGAGCATCAAAGCGTTTCTGTGGACCACTCAGTGGGAGCTTACCACCAAGAAAAGACTCGAGACAGAAAATATGGACTTATGACACCAAACTCTCCTCCCCGCTCGGGCAAAGTAATCCACAGACGAGGTTTTCAAAGTTTGCTCCCTGCTACTGTTGCTGCTCTAAAATGACAGCTAATGGGCTTTATTCCATCCATATAACACAGTGACGACTGTTTCTTACTAATGGAGGGCTGATTTATTGAGGGATTCATGGAACAGCTGTGGCCATGAACTTTGATCGTAACCACATGGGAGAGGAAAATGATTTAAAGGCCCATTTGTCTGATTTTGCTGTCAGCAGTCTTCTCTCATGATGAACTGCAGGATCTCTGTTATAGTTTGTCATGGTTAGATTGTTGTCAACATTAGCTTGAACAACAGTAAGGTTTTGGTGCATGTGCAGAACATTGTTAGCAAGTCTTGTAGTCCGACCAGCCGCACCACTCGGTCTGGATTTCCTGGTGATGGCAGAAGTTTGCATGCTGAACACTACACTCAGTTAGGTGTTCAGCAGGTGCACTTAAACTCATGCAAAACTCATGCAGCTCATTTAACAGCCCCGCTTACAAAGCACATGCAAAGGCTTCATGGTTTCTCCGAACATACATGCAGCTTACACGATGTTTAAACTTTTGCTTTTGAACTGTTTATTTCATCCCTCAAATGTACTGCTCAGTTAAAATCTAACCTATGATTGCTGTGTATGAACTCATTTCAGCTGTGCAGAGCTGATCCTCCTTTGTGTTTTTTTGTTTGTTCGTCTGTACAGGCTGTGGTGGAATGAGCAGTGTGTGTGTGTTGAAGAGGAAAGCAGTGCTCTGGCAGGATTCCTTCAGCCCCCACCATAGAACTACATCCCCCAGCATGCCCGTGGTGCTGAGCAGCGGAGGACATGCCCCTCCAACTGGGCAGACCCCTCAGGCCACACCCCCCAGCCAGCAGGTAAAATCCTTTTACACTTGGACACACTTTACATACTTCTATACCAACATCTCACTGGCAGCATGTCGCTGTCCTGTCCTTGTTTGGAGTCCTTCAGGGCTGTTGTACTCTCCTTCTAAAAGCCGTCTAATAAACCTTATTAGTTTGCATCACAAACTGATGCACTTCAGGGACCAGTGGCGTGTGCAGCATGCTGCTACCTTATAAGCTTCTTGTGGGTGCATAGAAAACAAAACTCAAATGTGCTTTTCCTGTCATCAAGTCTCGATCCCAAACACACAGTTTCAGTAGAGAAGCTGGTGTCTGGTTCAGTACACAGTGGCTCGTGGCATTATAATGTTGATGTTGATGAAGCAAAACAAAGTATCTGGATGTGATCGACGTTTGGAAATGTGAACAATCCAAAATCATCTACTTGGTAGGAAATGTGATCCCTCTTATGACAAAAACAACACTAGATTTTCATTATTTTAGCTGCCCAGGGCTCCGTTTTCTCCATGCTTGTTCTTATTGATAAAACAAGCTTGTCCACTTCATTGGGTCTCAGTCAGCTGGAGCTCAGCCGGCTCACAGTCAGTCCAGCAGCAGAAAACACACTTCGAGGAGGCCCTGATATTGCTGGTATGCAGATACACCTTTGCCACTCTGGGATATCTAGTCTGCACTGACTTTTTCACCAGGCTGTCTCCTGTGTTTCCAAAGACGGGGTTCTGTCTTGCTTCTGCTGATTTTTTTCTGCTGCCCAAAATGAGTTTGTGGAGACTTTGCACACGGTTGAACCCCCTGCTGAGCACCTCAGCAGTGTGCAACACTTCTAGCCAGTAAACATGCTTTACTATTTAAACAGTACGCTGAGTACACTTCTCTATTTGATGGAAAAAAAATGAACAAAAACACCTGTTTTGGTTCGCTCTTAACAATCAGTTACTTTATAGTGGATGGATGTCTCTAGTTAGTGTGTCATCTCTTCCCTGTGAGGCTGTAGGAGACAGAGGGGCTGCAGCTCCACCAAACATGCAGTGATTAACTCAGCAAAGTTTACTTTTCATTAGGTGACTGTTTTGGTACAAATATTTACTCATTAACCTGTTTTTAAATGTACTGGCCAAACAGAAAATCTGCTTATGTCTGGCATTTGGTGTCTGTTAATTTTGGACCCTGTAGTTTTCTGCTTTTTAATCCTATTTTATTTTTTTTCTTCTATTTTTTAAAATATGGGCGAGCCTTCATGCCTTCAGCTGTTGATGCTGCACTGAAGAAGTGTAAAAGTTCTTTGAGTTCCTTATAAAGAAAATAAAGTTTATGTTTTATAACTTAAATAACTCGTTCAACCAACAAAACACAGTCAGTGCTTCCCTTTGGATCAAACACAGATCTGCATCTTCTGAGAATAAGTGAATAACTTTATTTTATTCCTGAAGGGAAACTTTAAGCAGTACCATAGAGGAGTGGAGAATGATGATTGTTCTGATATTGTAAAAACACAGGAGCCCTAATACACCATACCGTCCTGACAACACATTATAGTAAATACAGTGTAATGTATCATTATCCTTGTGTTGGAGTACGTGTTGTTTTTGCTCTACCTGCAGCTCTGTTGTTGTTGTTGTTGTCACTAAAATCAGTAATGCAGATTGACAACTTAGTAAATACTAATCGTAGACCGAGTCTCCTCCATCATTTATCTCTGTTTGGCTGCATTATTCGAACAACTGCACCATAATGTACTGAACAAACAGGTGTTTCGATCCATCACCCTCTTGCAAAGCCTGTTTAGAGTAGGATCGTTAAGCCATTGTTCAGCCTTGTTGATTTACTTTAAATGTAAGAAGTTGGAAGTGGAGGGGGGTCAGTTTTCAGCTGAGCCAGCAGAGGAGGTAGTGACAGAGCTGAATTGTTGCACTGTAAATGGAGCAGCCAGCAAGATGGTATGGTATGGAATTGAACCTGTTCTGGTGTGTCGATGCCAGGAAGCTTTGTAAAATCGCACACAGGCATCAGTTTGTGCATGTGGTCTGGTTCTGCAGGAAAAACAAAGCAGGCGTGATGAAAGAGCTTTTCTGCAGGCCAGATCTCTTCATGAAAAGGTCTTAAGTTGGTGTATTTGTTGACAAGATGTCCACGGATCAAATATCCTCTATAAACCCTTTTCACACACGCACAGTGTTTTTCACCCTGACTTCACCTGGATTACTTCCTACTATGCTTCTGGTATCATCTCAGGGTGAAGTCCAGGTGAGCTCAGGTGAGAGCACAGCAGGAAATCTTACCAATAAGCCCCAGCTGGTGGCAGCGGAGGGAGCAGGCGGGGGTTGTTGATGTTTATCATGAGGCTAATGTTCTGTGTAGTAAGAGGGGCGATCGTTTTGGAGTATTAATGTTTTCAGGTGAAAAGCAGGGAGAAGTTTACTGCGAGAATAAGGCAGCAGGCCCCCAACAGACAGACAGAGGAGACTTTGTTCAGTGAGGGTGTTTGTGTGAACAGTAGAACCAGGTGAATCTTCTGGAGTTTTCCAGAATGAATGTCTGAAAACAGTTTATTTGGAATCATGACCTCCGTGTTTGGCTACTCGTGATGATAACTACATTTATTTAGAGAGGAAAATAGAATTATTAAATGACAGACAGGGTTGCTGTTAGGGATTTTGGACAACACCAAACAATATCACTGTGAACCTCACCACCGTGGACCCATTTATGAGGGCCCCTGTGGGTCATGGGCCCCTGGATTGTCCTTCAGCTCCTAGCTTTTTGTTGACAAAGAGAGAGTCACTCTGTGCCAGCTGTTAGTCTTTTATAATTCATGTTGTCTTTTATTGGAGTTCGTACAGAAACTTCAATAATGTCTTTTGTGTGTGGAACCTGAATTCACCATGACTCTGGATAACAAACTACAATGACTGAGCAAATTGTTCTCTCTCTCTCCGTCTCTCTCTCTCTCTCTCTCTTTCTCTCTCGCTCTCTCTTTCTGTGGTTCCTATCAAAGCCGGGATCTGATCATCTCTGCTTTGTTTTTAAAACCTCCCTTCCTGGTAACATGGTTGTCATTTCTCATGACTAATCTTGGGGGGGGAAAGTGAGGAACAAAGGCTAAGTAACTGCTCAGTGGATTGTGATTGGTCATCGGTCATCCCGGTAACTTTTGACTCCACCTTCTGCGTGTAAACAGATGACAAGGCCCGGCTGTTTCCAGTACATGGCGAGGGACTCTGCGATGAGAGTTCCTGATGGGGGATTTTGTGTTTACCCTCAAGATGAGTAAGACAGGAAGCTTATGCAAGCTTATTCTTAGCGAAGAAGGAAACCACTACTTTTTGCTCAGATTTGATTTTCTGAGGAGAGGATGTGGCCCCAAAATGTCTCAAACTGCAGCTGATTTATTACTGATGATGACAGAGTTTTAAAAACACAGATAATGAACTTTTACCATCTGTAAGAAAAAGCTGCATGGCTCAACAGAAACTCGGATGAATACAAGATTGTAATTCTGTCCTGAGAGTTTAGTTTTGATTGAGGAAACTTTTGTAAATTTTCTACATCTTATGAATACTGAAGATCTACTTCCTTTTTAATATTTCCAACAAGAGACCAAAGAATTGACCTCGTCCTTCGTAATAGAGGTGGGCTGTTAGAATCAAATCCAGGGTCTACAGCTAATCTAATTTAAACAATAAAAAAACTGGACTAATAATATGTTAATATTTCATGTATGTAGACCAGTGTGTTTCCTGCAGTCTTCCTCAAAAGAGTTGCGTTATGATGTTGTGGCGTTGTCTGTCACATGATTTGTCGAGGTTTGGTCCTACCTGTATGCCTCCTGTTGTCTGACTGCCTTGGAATGGGACGGCCGCTTAGGTTAGGACAACCAAACCTTTGTAAATCAGCTGACGGGTAACATCAGCTGTCTCCTCTAAGCAGTCGAATAATTTATCTAGATCTAAGAAATATTAACATGTTGATTGACTTTTTTTCAACTTCAAAACACAGAATTACAGCGATGGTGGAGAGCGGGACAGGTGTATCTATGGAAATCACTCCATTTCTAATGTCAGTAACAAGGTTTGACATTTGAACTGATGAGGAATGACAGAGCGAGCTGCAACAGCACAGCCAGGATAGTTGACTGTAAACTTGTATTATTAACATGTGTCTTATTTTGTATATTTATATGTCAAAGTGTGTGTCTGATGGGTTGTTTCTCCTTAAAAAGAGGGCCCTGACATGACCTACGGAGCTGGCGCAGCTCCTCAGACACACTCTTACCATTGCTCTTGTCAGTAATTTTAAGATAATAATCACGTGTGTGTGTGTCTCTCTGTGTGTGTGTGTCTCAGGGTGTGGCAGGTGCTGGACGTTCTCAGGATGATGCCATGGTGGACTATTTCTTCCAGCGGCAGCATGGAGAACAACCCGGCAAACATCGCTGGCCCACCGGAGACAACATCCACGACAGCCAGGTGTGTGTTTGTTCTCGGTGTGTGCATGTGTTGCACAAGTGATGGCATATCCTTGCAGTGCTGGTGCTGGTATTGTATTATGTCACGCACTTTTGAGTGCTAGAGCGAAGTTCACAGAAAACTATTCTTAACATTTATTCTTACATAACTGTAAAGTCATGCCTTTACTGTTTTTAAAATAAAATGAAACCTCCGACTGCAAAAAAAAAAAAGCAAGCAGGGTTAACGGAAACACAAGTATCAGTGGCAGGAACTGACATTTCAACATTTTACTTTAATGTCGTTATACTGTCGCCTTCTGTAACATTAAAGACAAATCAGTAACGAGTAATTTAACTGGCTAAGCTCGAGACTCTCGTCTTTGTTTTCACGTCTGACTGGTCTGTCTGTGATTGCAGGTGCGGTCCATGGACGAGCTGAACCATGACTTCCAGGCTCTGGCTCTGGAAGGACGCGCCATGGGAGAGGTGAGACGATGGGACTGAAGGTCGGGGGTTATGTGTTATCTGAAGAGAGGTGGTAGTTTGACCACTTAGCTTCAATACCTCAGCTAATAAGAGGTCATTTGGGCTGCGGTGTCAATACATAGTTGATTTTTAAAGCACAGATTACATGATTAAACTAATAAAACCTCTCCCAGCTTGAGCAGCAGCATCACAGTAGTCAAATCACTTGCTCACGGAGTCAAACTTGAATAACAGGAAATCCCTGAAAAAGAGCTGGATCAGTTGCTCAGTGGAAGGCCTCTGAGCCAGTCGTATTGTGGACTCGTGTTGTCTTTGTTTTTTCATGAGTGAAAAGCCCTGAAAGACGAGAAGAGACTGAGTGGAGATGCTTTGGGCTTACCTCTGGCATTTATTAAACACAACCCAGTCTTTCTGTGGATGTTTGACTCGTGCCTGGATTTACCTTATTGAACAAAGTCCTTCTGTGTGTTACTTTAACTTCATGGTGGATGGATTTAACACATATTGTACATCTGTACTCGGATTTATGTAAAAGAAAAAAACTGATTTCTTCTTTATTCACACCTAAAAGTGATACATGAGTCAAATCAACCTGCTGTCAAAGTCCTAATGTTTGTATCCTAATGTTCTTCCCTACAGCCAGAACATAATGATTACTTTTGTGTACACAGACTAACTCTTGTTATGACTTGATAACTGTTTATTGGATACTGATGCAGCCCAAAGGCGCTGTAGCGAGTGCACCAAACTTCTCCCACCAAAATCACATTTTCCCTGTTCGCTTAAGTTTGGCTGTGGTGCCGTCTCTGATTTATTATGAGCTCTTACATCGGTCCAATTCAAGGCTGGATCTTTTATTTAACCCCCTCGTTACACACCATCTCCAATGTGTAGTGCACGGAAGCATAACACCTCATTCCCCGTCTGACCTTCCCTTGGAGGTGCAGAATGGGACAGTCTCTCTAAGATCAGCTTTTTATTTTGCACGAATCATAAAGCACAACCTTTTGAATACTTTAAAAAATGGTCGCTAGCAGGAGTGACAGTTTGTCTTTGTGTTTGCCATCTTTGCAGTGTGGCTGAAAGTACAGTGGAGTGTTTGCTCGGATCAGGTTGAGTCTGTGCTGTTACGATCTTAAAAACTGCAGCTAAAACAGAATTGAACTGAAAAATCAACATAAAGACCCTGTGACCTGCCGAGGGTCTGCAGATGTAAATGAGCTCTCGGCTTACTCGAGTACAGAACCTCAAGCGTTAACATTTATGTTTAACTCTAAGGAATAACGTGAATAAATACTTTGATCTCTCTGTGAACACATTCTAATCTGGTCCCATGATCACACACTCCTGGTTTATATTCTAACGGGGTCTCTCCGCTGCTTTGATTGTGACTTTGTGTCACTCATCAGGTTTCAATGGCCTCGTCTTGCTTGTTTGTTTTTTTGGGAGTGTAGAGGGAGCAGCCATGGGTCAAAGTTCTTCCACTGGTGTGTGTGTGTGTGTGTGTGTGTGTGTGTGTGTGTGTGTTTGACTGGAAACTGCAATGCAGCACTGACAGTTTGACAGTAAAAACACTCAAGCCAGAATAAATGCAAAAGCTGTTCTGAAGGTTTTCTCAGATTTGTGGACTGTTCTGCTTTCCTCACTGATCATGTGTCCTTTATTGAGACTGTTCTCTTCCTCGTACTCGCAGTAAGTGCGTAAACACGTCGTTTCTCTGCGTCTTTACAGCAGCTGCTTACTGGAAAGAAGTTCTGGGAGACGGACGACTCTGGGAAAGATGGACCAAAAGGGATCTTTCTGGACCAGTGGAGGGACAGCGCCTGGGGGGCCTCAGGTATAGACCAGTTGTACTTCACCTGTGAGAGTGTGGAAGACAGGAGGCTAATGAGAATACAGAAAGATTTCACAAACTCGTAAACAAACCGCTGGATTGCTCACTGCCTGGTCTTCAAGTATATTTAGATGCCTGTTGGAAACGGAGACTGATGTCAAAGTGAACTCACCCTGATGATGAGGGAGTTTCAGATTGCTGCTGGATCGTATCAACACAGTTATTTCTGTCTGCAGTCCTGCTCCTCACTCATGCATCAAAATAAAAGCTGCAGAGATTTGAGCTTGATGCTTGTGCAAAACTTAAATTATGCATAAAACAGCCCGTTCTTTGGGCTTTTAGGTGTTTGATAAACTCTTTGTCTGTGACTTTTCCACGTACACAATGATGTAATTTGGGGTCTGTTTGGAAATTTGGATTTTCTGACCCAAGTCACAGATATTTACATAAAAACATGTTTGCTGGGGCACTGCTGGCCTCCGCAAACATAGACGCAGGCTGCTGGGGTTCATTTCACCTGAGTGTTCCCTGAGTTCATTCTGAAATCTCTTGTGTGGTTTTCAGTTATGACCGTCCACTCTCAGAGTATATTATGCTCTTATTTTGAAAGCAATCATCAGCGTGGTTTTCCTGCCTCACGCCTGGTCTCATTATGGTTTGAGAGGACTTTATTTAGTCCAGTGAAAATAAAACAGACGAATAATCTAATCAGAAATATTGGTTTGTCAGGAGGCAGGTTCGATGATCTGCAGTCAGAGCTAATAAGCAGAGAGCTCGCTGCACCGAAACACTTAATCACACAAGTCCACACAGCAGGGGATAACACAACAACAAGTGTTTCACAGAGGAGCCAATGTCAGTCACATCATAACACCTTTTTTAAACATTCATAGAGCCCACGAGAGAGTGCGACCTTACTTTGTTGGGTTTCTGAATATTTCATCTCTGGCATGAAGGATGTAAAGCTAAAAGTGTCTTTTGCAGCACAAACATCAAGTGAACGTGCTCCGAGTATGACCTTCAGCAAACTGATGTGTAAAGAAGAAAAACGCCAGACTTTTCCCTGACAGTCCTGACGAGTTTGGATGATGTTCTGGTTAATAATTTAAGGGCTGCATAAGTGGATGTTTTTCAGAGTGATCATGTCTTTGATTTAATGAAGCTTATGAAACCGTCGTCTCTCGCTGCTGCTGCTGATAAATTCAACGCTGCTGTTGAACAGTTCTTGGAAAACACGCTGCGCTCCCATGTGCACAAACGATTTATGAGCCGCCTCTTCTCTCCCCTCAGATCACTCTGTGTCTCAGCCAATCATGGTGTCCCGTCGACCCGGGCAGGGTTTCCACGGCGGGGGTGAAGTCGGGGTGGGCTCGGTGATGTCACCGCGCTCTGAGAGTGGAGGTCTTGGAGTCAGCATGGTGGAGTACGTCCTCTCCTCCTCGCCAGCCGACAAACTGGACTCCTGCCTTAGGAAAGGACCCTATGTGAGTCTGACCTCTCAATCTGTCCATCAGTGCTGCTCTGAAACCTCCTGTTTTCACATTTTCTCTCTTTTTTTTTCTCCTCTAACCACCGTCACTCTCGCTCTCTGTTCGCTCAGCTGACTGTCACATTTCCCTTCATTTCACAGGGGCAGAGGGATGGGGAGGTGGAGGAGGAGAAGAGAGAGAAGCCAAAGGCGACATTCGAGGGAGAGAAACTGAAAGAGTTGACAGAAGGTGAAGCTGATGTCATCGGTGACGTCATCAACCCCAACGGGCTGCCGGTGCAGAACGGTCTTGACGTCGACGTCAAAGAGTTTGGGTACGTCTACGATTGAGAAACTCATAATTAAGAGTCACAGTCTCTACTGAAAACCTTGATCTATGATCTGAACTCCTACCCTTGTCCCCCCTGCAGTCGTCCCCCAGGCAACATGCCGGCTCCGGGCCCAGAGGGCGATCTGCTCGGTGGTCCTGGTGGTGTTGGTGCTGAGGGCCTGACACCCTTGGGAGGGGGTGGAGGTCCCAAACCTCCTGAGGATTTCTCAGGTGTAGATCAGGGCGGCGTCACCATGGACCCCATGGAGTCAGTGATGGAGCCGCTCCAGTTTGACTACAACTCCCAGATGCAGATGGACTCGGCACCCACTGTGGGTCTATTCGATTACACCAACCAGCAGCAGGTAAGAGTCGCGGGCGCATTTCCTGATCTAATGCCGCTGCAGGTTTTTTCTGATCCTGTCCGAGTTTTCAAATAAATAAAAACAAGAGTGATAGACACAGAGGAGGACTTTTTCAAGGTTTTTGTGTATCCAGAGGTTTCTCTGAGTCACCTGTCACTGTCCTGATTGCAGCTGTTTCAGAGAAACAACGCCCTCGCAGTGCAGCAGCTAACAGCAGCCCAACAGCAGCAGTATGCTCTGGCAGCAGCACAGCAGCCTCACATCGGTAAGAAAGTGTCTTTACTGAGCATGGAAATAGAGAAACTGGGCAACTGAGCAATTCAGTTCTGCTACTGTGCTTTTGATTTGGTCTTTAAACGGTCTTTTTGTTCAGCTAATTATGATCCCTTTCACATTTATTGAGGCAGTTTCTCTTTTGTCGTTTTGCAGAAATGGGATCAATAAATACAACCACACGACAAAAAAAAACTTTTTAATAGAGAGAAAAGTGTGACCGCATGATTTCCTGCATGGCTCTAAACTGTGAATGTGAAAGGATAACAGTTACTGCTAAAACATCAAACCAACAGTGGGACCTAATCCTCTCCTTAAGTCTGTTATTTACAGTGAATTTGCAGCACTTGTGACTGTGAGGTAGCTGCAGTTTCAGTCTTGCATTTTGGGGCTAAAGATCAGCGAAGTTGGAAAAAACTCTGTTCAAGTCCTGCGGTCACTAATTCATGTTGTGTTCATGTTTCTCTGGGGGTTAGTAATGCTTTACGAGCCTTAGCACTCTTTGGGACGTGTTGTGGTCGTGCACTAACCTTTTAACAGTCTAGAGCGAATTGGTTATTAATGAGTATGAGGGGTCTTAATCATGTGGTTATCCTGTTAAATCTTAATGTGTAAAAGGGGGAGCCGTTTAACCCGGATCACTGTGTGTTTTCAGGTCTGGCCCCAGCATTTGTGCCCAATCCTTACATCATCAGTGCCGCTCCTCCAGGGACAGACCCCTATGCAGCCGGACTCGCAGCGGCAGCCACTCTGGGTGTGTTAAAACGAGCCCTCCGATCTGTTAGGATCCAGAAACCTTCCCTGATAATTAATCCCCACAATCAGGAGGAACGGACGGCTGTAGTTACTGTATTTGTTCTCATCTAGGTCCAGCAGTGATGCCTCCCCAGTACTACGGTGTGACCCCCTGGGGTGTCTACCCTGCCAACCTTTTCCAGCAGCAGGCGGCTGCAGCCAACAGCTCGGCCAATCAGCAGGCGGCAAGCCAGGGCCAGCAGAACCAACAGCAGGTCAGTCGGCCGCTCGCCAAAGAGGAGAGCTGGCACGCCGATCGCCCTTGGCTGGAGACATTTCTGTTTGTTTCTTCGGTGCCAGTAGAAATGTGCGTTCAGACTTGCTGCAGCTCTCTTTGGATCTATAAGCAGAAAACTCTGCATGGCCCGAGGAGATTATGAGCCAGTCAGCAGGAAATGTTTCATACAAATGCAGTTTCGGTTATTTACTTTTGCTGTGCTCATAAATTTAAGCTAACATAAGGAATGTGCTCCAGTCCTGGCTCTTTATTACACTCCAGCATTCGTCTCTCTCTCTCTCTCTCTCTGTCTGTAGCCACATTGTTTTTAACAATAACTGCAGAGGAATTTGTACATTACGATCCAGCACTGCACAAGAGTTGACAGGAGTGCTTTTTTGTAATATTTGACATATTTATCAGACAAACGCCTCCAATAAACTCACTCTTTCTTCTCACTTTGTGAAGGTTATGCGTGCTGGAGGTAACCAGCGACCTTTGACCCCCAGCCAAGGCCAACAGGGTCAGCAGAATGACCAGCTGGTTGCAGCAGCAGCCGTCAACTCAGCCCTTGCCTTTGGGCAGGGGTTAGCAGCAGGAGTTCCTGGTCAGTATGAGAACTTTGTTTATTGCTTTGGCCAAACTCCACGATAAAAACAAAGAAATACATCAGGGCTTTGGTGAAAACTCCTGAGATCACCAGATCTTTATTAACATACAAACTAGAACCAACGTGAGCTTTAGTTCGTCTGTTTTCCTACTGACAACAGCATGTGTGCCTCTCTCAGGTTACCCAGTCCTGGCCCCTGCAGCCTACTACGATCAGACAGGAGCCCTCGTGGTCAACACCGGAGCCAGGAGTGGTCCTGTCCGCCTCATGGCCCCTGCCTCTGTTATCATATCTCCCTCTGCAGCACAAGCAGGTAGGACACATTATCCCAATCATCCAGAAGAGGTAGAAAAAGGATTATGAGTCTGCAGCTTCAAGCCCAGCCTCAGATTTCTACTTAGAGAATCAGGATTATTGGAAATTCTGATTTGTTATTAGTGTGAAAAGGCCTAAATAAATATCTCTCATGGTGAACTAACACTAGGCGACCTGTACACTTGACCATTAATGCCCCCTACAGTCCAGTTTGCCTGACCAGTGTCAGCGCTCCAAACTGTGATTTGGCTTAGTACGCTTCCTTGGCCCTGGCACGGTTCAAACAGGTGGATTTACGTGCACGGTTCAGCTGCTCATGCATGTGCACTCATGAGGCAACTGAATTGTTCTGCTCCTACTTAGAACTGGAATCATTCTACAGCATGTTTGGGGGGTGCTGACCCAAGTGTGAGCCCCCCCTAAAGTAAACATTAGCCCCTGTTTGCTGTTCTGATGAGGTTTTACCCCCAAAAAGACTTCTGTTAATCACCTCTGTTTCCTCCCCACAGTTGCAGCAGCAGCAGCCTCAGCAGGTGGTGCCAATGGTGGGCTGGGCGGCGGGGCCAACGGTCCATTTCGTGCCATGACATCCCAGCAGCCTCAGCAGCAGGGCGGCCCCGGCGGAGCTCTGGGGGGAAGCTCTTTCTACGGATCCTCCTCCCTCAGCTCCTCCTCCCAGAGCTCCTCTCTCTTCTCACAAGGTTCAGCTCAGCCCGGACCAGGTTCTGCCTCTCTGGGCTTCAGCCAGCAAGCCTCCTCCTCTCTCGGGGCAACGCTGGGAGCCACGCTGGGCGGCTTCGGCACTGCAGGTAGGAGTACACCCGTAAACATATGATCTAAAGAGAACTGTCTGCTGTTTCACGTTAGTTATTTGTATTAAAATGGAGTTGTCAGTGATGAAACAAACAAAATGTCAGTCATGAGTATTTCATTCTGTTCAGGTGTTGTGTACTTATTCAACTCTGTCTCCCTCTAGTGGCGAACTCGAGCGGTGGCAGCGGGTCCAGACGGGACTCCCTGACAGGCAACAATGAGCTGTATAAACGCACGCCCTCCAGCCTCACCCCCATCGGCCACGGAGGCTTCTACAACGGCACCTTGGGCTTCAGTCCCTCCCCTGGTCCTGTAGGCATGCCCCTACCCAACCAGGGCCCCTCCCACTCCCTCACACCTCCACCCTCCCTGTCCAATCACAGCTCCTCATCCAACCTCAATCTTGGTGAGTGCCTCTGATTGCTTCATTGTTTTTTTCTCAGTAGTATCACTAGATAAGCACACAACTTAGAAAAATCACGACAGGAACTACACAGTGGGCAGACTCGAGGAATAAGCACCACATCATCCATCGCCGCTTTGTAACACACCAGCTCAACTCTAGTTGGTCGTGTGATTTATATGCCCGTCATCTCATCAGTTTCCAGGGATAAGACAGACATTTGAAAACAGGACATCTGATCCCGCAGTCTGGTGTTGCTCTGTGAAATCATGAGGTCCATCGGTGTGTGAAATAGACTGCAGTCTGGAGTCTCTGTTCACAGAAACGGTGGCAGCTGTCTGATATGAACAAGCCCTCTGCAAGTTGAACATGCATCCTGAGATCAGTGTGTTACTCCAGACACACCGGCCCCTCACAGAAAAAGAACTTTTCTTCTTCTTTGGCAACAGAGGACACACTTTGGTGCAGATTAGTGATTGTTTTAATCCTTTTGGCTGCTCAAGCTGGATTTCTGACCATTTCTACCAGCTCCTGCAATGTGTGTGTGATCCACTCACTCCTACACTTGTGCTACTTCTGCCCATTTACATTTAGGATAACAGGTGAGCACTTTGCTCCATTAAATCAGCGTTATAATAAGGTATCACATATGACAAATAATTCAGGCCTTTTACTTTTATTTGAATTTGAATAGTTTTCTTAAAACGCATACAAACAGCGAACAACACTTGTACCCCGGACATGAGGACAGAAGTTTTCCTGCAGGACTGGAAACTGCTGACATGACCTTTCTAACCAGCTTTAAAGGGATATTCTGGCGTAAATTTAAGTCATGGTCAGTCACACTGAGTTAGACACCCCCTCAAGAGATGAATTTTGCCGACTGCTTGCTTCTCTAGTTGTACCAACTTCAATAACGACCACATGATAGCAATACACAGTGGTCTACATCTCCATGCACAAACCTCAACCAAAAAGCCACTCTATAGCTACAAATAATGCTCAGAACAGCACCTAACTTCATCAACAGTACATATAGGGTCCCAGCCATAGTACTAGCCATCCAACATCTTTTTAGCTTTGCCTGTTTCTTTAGCGAAGAGACTAAACACAATTCACCCACTCTCCTCCAGCAGCTGCTTGTTTATGGGGGCAGCCCTGACGTGACGATAACCGAGTGCAGCGGATCATTTCCATGAAGTAATAATCATCATAATAATCATTTAGCACTTCAGACATGGTAGTTCTTCTACCTTAGCGTCTCGGTCTGATTGCATTTCCATGAAGTAATAATCATAAATGTTCCTAATTGAGCTGTGAAACTCCGCTGCACTCAGTGATCGACTTGAAGTTGGTGTAACTAGAGAAGCAAGCAGTCGGCAACATTCATCTCTCCAGGGGGTGTCTAACTCGGTATTACAGTGTGTTTGATCATAGCTTAAATTTACGCTGCAATGTCCCCTTTAGGAAAGTTTTGCAGAGTGACCTGGACTATGAAGTGCTCACAACAGTGTTGGTCACCACAGCGCAGGTCTTAGACAGAAGCTTAAACCAGACTTAAGGCTGGCCACCACCATGACTACCACTAAAACTGTATCTGTGGGTAAACACGGCAGATTAACGGTGTACTAATCTCATGAGACATCTCATCGCCTCAACATGAAGTCTCAGGATCGTCACACCCTTCTGTCGTGTCTGAGCTTCAGCTACTCATAGAGCACCCAAAGCTCTCCTCAAACTCAAGTTGAATTTCAATGTTTCAGCTTTTTTTTTTTTAGTGTTTCAGTTTCACAGGGTCTGACCTCCAGCAATCCACAGTCAGCACTAGAGTTTATCCAAAGCCGCAGTGTAATTCTTTGATTCCAGCCTCTCAAACAGACACACACTGGCATATGGCGCTGCAAGCTGTAAAAGACTGACGCAGCCTGGAAGCAGCCAACTTTAGCGGACTTGTTCTTTGGTTTTTAAGTGTAAAGGCAGGAACGACGGTGGGAATATTTTTGAACTGCTCAGCTTTGACCCCAACAGAAATGTTCAAACATCCTGAAACATGTGTACCACTGAATAATTTAAAGTTTTTGTGTTGTCTGAGGGTTTGTGTTGATACTGTAAATGGATTTTTAAACTTTTCCTGGTCAGCCGAGAGGAGAAGCGTGTTTTTAGGCTAACTCATGATTACTCATAGCAGTGCTGCCATCCAGTGCTGTGTTTCTGTGCTGCATGAGAATGAGATGATATTCCTGAAGCTGTGTCTATATTTTAATACTGCCGTGTCATCAATTAAAGAAATAATCCATGTTAGCTCATGCAAATAATGACTGCAGCAATATTTGACAGTCAGTGGATTAAGAAGGAAAACTTCTTTACATTTCTGCTCTGAGTCTGAGCTTGTGGGGATAAAAATGAAGAGCGTCGAGGTTTTAACAGTCAGCTCTCTTCTTCTCCAACCCCTCAGGAGGACTGACCAATGGCAGTGGGCGTTTCATCTCTGCAGCCCCGGGAGCAGAGGCCAAGTACCGCAGTGCCGCCAGCTCAGGCTCCTCCCTCTTTTCACCCAGCAGCCAGCTGTTCCCCTCGTCACGGCTACGCTACGGCATGTCGGATGTGATGCCTTCAGGCCGGAGCCGCCTGCTGGAAGACTTCAGGAACAACCGCTACCCCAACCTGCAGCTCAGAGACATCGCCGGTCACATCATGGAGTTCAGCCAGGACCAGCATGGCAGCAGGTACGCATAACCCAAAGTATTCACAAGGGGATGATAAAGGGAGACACCAGAGCCTCATTTAGACATTAGTCTCTGAACTTGAGGCTTTTGATGACTTTGGTATCCAGGTTCTGATCAGCTTTTTAAGCATCCTGTTTCAGTGACTGTGGGTGTAGACAGCCCGGCTTCAGAAACCAGGATAAGTCAACAGTAGAGCTCAGACAGAAAACAGGGCACTGTGGTATGTGAACATTATACCTCTGCTTCTGACGGCTGCTGACTACCTGTGCAGGTGTGACCTCAGAGAGCTGACGAATCAGTGAAACGAACATGGAAGCGGTAGAGAGAGTGATGGCCAAGACAGACTGACACCGGAGCTGAGGGCGTGTTCTAAATGTTCTTTGTCACTGTTGTTTAAAATGAGGAGGATACACCAGATCTGCAGTGCAGTGTTAGTTTTCATAGCTTTAATTAGATTTGTAAAGTGCTGCAGGGTGTTTTAGAAAATTTAAACACAGATGAGACCTGATACGATTTTTCTATATAGGAACGCCATTATCTATTCTGCTTATCAAGCCAGTTCTGTATTCTCTTCATAATTCCTGTGGATTACAAAGCAGACCCAAACAAGTTTTGTGTCAACAGCACAAATGAAGTTTCATTTCCGCCACTGCTCGGCGGAGACGGGAAAGTCTGGCCTCTGATAGGGCCTCTAGAGATCAGCTGATCCCAGATACCGCCTCTAAATGATTGCATGACCATAACAAAGAAGGCAGCCCCTCTGTTAGCCAGGGAACAACAGAAACCACTTTGTAAGATTAACTCACCGATCATTACAGATTACCTTCACTTGAGAGGGTTTGGATCCTGACAGGCGGAAGACTGCTGATATTTTTTCCTGGATGTCTCAGAAACACACCGAGTTTATCACAGGAAAGCTGCCGGTTTAATGAAGCGAGTAGTTTTTACAGTATTATGGTGTTCTGTACTGATCTATCTCGAAAGCTGATATTGCAAACACAACAACATTAAGTGATACACCACTGTGTTTCAGATTGCCCCTGTCTTCTGTCAGACACGATTCCTCCCTCGGTTGCCATTGCACAGACTGCCTCTCTGAGTTCATCTGTACCACAGACTGTATATACTATGGACAACTTGGCTCCACTTTCCGTCATTAGATGAATTTAAAGCTGAATTGCTTTCAGTATTTCCAGGATTTTCTCCACTTCCTGGAACCACCACTTGTGCAGTAGTGTTGTATGCATTCGGTGGGAGAGTCACTGTGATGACGCTCAGTTCAAACAGTGTATCCCCCGGGTGAGCTACGCAATCCTTGAATGCCCATAAGCTGTATCAAGTGTCAATCATAGAAAACATGAACCCCCCTTTTAAAAATGTAGCTGTACAGAAAAAAGAGGACTTGAGCACAAACCAGTCTTACTGTAACTACATGTCAACCTCTTAACCAGGAAAAAGAAAAAGTTAGATTCTGTGTAATACATTTCTAAAGTTTGTCCAGCGCTCCATAAGCTTTGCTGGAGGAGGTGGGATTTATGACCTATACTGCAGCCCGTCACCAGAGGGTGCTGTTCTCACGGTGACTTTACCCAGTGAGGAGGCAGACAGCGCTCATTCTAAATACAGTCTATGATCTGTACACAGTATTTTAAGGCACTCATAGACAAGTATACGGTGACAATAAGGGGGACTATCAAGAATAAAGGCAAATGAGGAGGACGGCTCAAAGACATTTTTCTGGGACAGATTCTGATCTGGAAGCAGTTTTTCGATCCTCATCCATAATCATAAACTCCTGTGTAAATAAGATGCAGAAGCCAGGCTGCAAGTAATGATCATGTAGAGGGATGTTGATAACCAGGTTCATCTGTGTGCATGAAAACAACATAACCAGAGTATGATCAAAACCAACTTAATTTACAGTCAGTCTCTATGAAAGACTACAGAGTTCTTGGTGCTCCAAATGCTGAACAAGTAAAAAAAACAATGAAGATCGTCTCGAATCTGTAGAATAGTTGTGCTCTGATGTAAATAGAGGGAAATATGCCACAGATCTGTTAGTCCATCTGCACCAGTCTGATGTTTCGAAACAAGCAGCTAAACAAAAGCATCCCTGGCCTTGGAGGAGGATATTCCAAGAGTTTCTGAATGCATTCTTGGCTGCTGAGCTGGCACCATTTAAAAAAAGGATTTCCTGCACAAAAACAACTGCCAGAGTGTTACACAACAGTTTTGTTTGTGTCATACTGTTTTGATAAATTTCTAGACGTGGGTCTCTGCAGCCACATTGTGGAAATCGTTTCTGAAAAGGGTTACATGAGGCGGGGGCTGGAAAAATCTGAGCACAAACACTTTCTGATGCTGCAGAGATCTGGACCTTCTGGAGTCTGTAAAATAAGTTATACCTGAGGAACACCAAGTCCTACAAGTTATTTACTAGCTCCTCACTGAGTGGTGTCCTCAGTTTACAGTGCAGGATTTCTGAGCCACTGTAGTCTGGTCTTGAACAGCTTTAGGGGTGTTTGAAGGCAGTGCTGGAAAACTATAAAGTTGAAAGTTCATCCCAGGCTGTGAGCGGGCTTGGTGTAAAGAAGTTTCAGAGTAACTGCCCTCAGGACGTTCCTGTAGGTTCATGCTTGATCCACGCTCTTATAGATTCCTGTTACTCTGTGCCTCTCATTAGATAGGAGCTGTGAATGTGACAGGAATGTAAGATAACCCTTTCAGGCTGTGTTCTCACAGGTTGGTTGTTAATATGTCGATGATGTGTCACAATCTCTGCTCTGCCCGTGATAAAGTCTGGGGTTCTGGTGTCTCTGTGTGTGTGTCGATGTCAAACCAACCCCGCCTCGTATGCAGACTTTATTTTTCCACTGAAATGATCTATAAATACTCTGTGACGTCCAGTCTGCACATTCCAGACGTACTCACCATCACTCTGCTTTTTATCTCTTCTTCTTCAGCCTGGCATCCATCACTTCACCTTACCGTTCACACTCCTCCTTTCTCCTCTCTGAGCTCCAGCTCCTTTTGTCTTACTGTTCCCTCAGGTTATAGATACAGGAGCACCTCTCTCTGTCTCTCTCTCTGTCTCTCTCTGTCTCTGTCTCTCTGTCAAGGCACATCTGTTTCACTTTATTGCTCTGTCATTGTCTGAAGTGTTCCTCTTCATCTTTAAGTTCATCCAAACTTTGTAAATCCCCTTTAAATTCTCATCAGGTCCATTGAGAGCAGACTGTACTCCTCTGTCTTTAGGCGTTTATTGAAGGAACACATCAGGAGGGTTCTACCTGCGGTGTCTCAAATATGCACCCTTTCTCTCTTTTCAAGGTTTATTCAGCTGAAATTGGAGCGAGCCAGTTCAGCAGAGCGCCAGCTTGTCTTCAGTGAGATACTGCAGGCAGCGTACCAGCTCATGGTGGACGTCTTTGGAAATTACGTCATCCAGAAGTTCTTTGAGGTGTGTATATAACGCTGAGTGTTATCAAAGTTTTAATTTAGAGGGAAATACCTGTCACTAATATTTCAAAACCTGACCTTCATGGTTTGACGGTGCCTGCATGGATGTGTGTTGGAGCTGGTGTTATGTTCTGGTCGACTGATTGTTGGAGCGTCTCATTTGGGATATGGACCTGTGCAAGGATGTTTAAAATCAATCATGTGACCTGAATCATGTCCTGTTGTTAGCACTTTCTCCTTGTCCAGGACAAATCTGTGATAAAGTTCTCACAGCGAAGACGAAGTCTGGAGGTCCCTTTTTTAATCAGCAGACAAGGTCACAGGGAAGATAATCCGAACAAGGTTACCCAGTGCTTTTTAACCCTTGGTTCCTGTAAATTTTAAGCTCCATCCAGCCTACTTTGTCCCCAAAACGCACATGCAGATGAGTGTTCATAAAAAAATAAAAAAAAAACATTTTTAGTACTTTTTTTGACTAAAATCTCTTAAACAACTTCAGCCCAAACCATTGAAAAAGTAATGAAAAACAAATTTGATGTATCACCCTTTTGATTCCAGTTATTGTGCACCATGTCATAAGGCTTGGGTTTATTGATTAAGTCTGCGTTCTAAACAGGTGTGTCTATTGGAGCGGAAAAACACTCTAATCTCACCTTCTTTTCTCGAGCCACGTCCTCTACAAAATTAAATGCGAGCAAATTCATTTGTTCATATTAAATTAATTTTATATATAAACATATAAAATCAGAAGATATATGTAAGATAGGAATCATTTACGACTGGTTATCTTCCTCTAACCAAAATATGACTGTGATTACGGTGACTACACGCATATGAAAATTAACCGCGTATTTGAGATGTGATATATTCTCACCTCAGTTGAAATCGTCCAAATGTCCCACTCTTAGACATCCATACCTAGTGGCACGTTACGTTTCATTCAATTCTGATGATGTTTAGTGGCTGAAATAGTGTTTCAAACATGCTAAGTCCACAAATGAAGACCTTTGTGCGCGACACCAAAGGGGTTAAAATTATGTGCTGGCACAATCTCCCACTGTCGGAAAGTAAAATTCAGAGCCCTGGTGATCGAGTGACTGTGGGAAAAAAAAAAGGTTGCAATATGTTGTTATGGTGCCATAAACATGAAGAAAAATAAGTACTCTCATGAAATTTGATGCCCCAGTCTTTAAAAATGTGACTTTTGGTTCAAAATAAAGATGAAAAAAATAATGACAAATGTCTGCGAAACAGACAGCAGGAATCGAGGGTTAATGTTATGGGACCACAGAGTGTTTACTTTTAGCTGAAGAAGACGAAGATACCTTCGTTAAATTAACTAACCGTCACAGGGTTTACGATGCAGATTACACAGAATTAAACCATTGAAAGAATTATTGATGACTTCCAAAGACCTGACTAAAAGCCATCTGCATTTACTAGTGGCCTAAAGTTTCGAGAGAAAACATGTCACTCTGCCTGTACTCTCTCCCCTTCCTCTTGACTTTTCCTCTCCATGCAGGTGTCAGAGCTGCTGTCAGAGGGCTCGACACAGTGTGGTAGAAGTAGGAGGAGAGCTGGAGAGGGGTGTTGATGAAGTGCAGAGAATAGACTGAAAGATCCAAATAATAGATGGTACAATAGGCCAATAGAGTTCTTTTTATTTCAGTTTCATCAGCTTATACATCATGTTCACAGTTATATCAGTTTTTCTTTTTTTTAAAGCTGAATTTTAAAGGTTCACAGGAACAGACATAGAGAGCTCTCCTCTGCTCAAACTGATTTCAAATGGAGCAAAAGTGTTTGTCAAGAGATCCCGCTGCTCTGAAAATCAGGCTCGAGGACATCCCACCTTATATTCCGTGTTACTTGTGTTTTTCCAGTTTGGCAGCCTGGACCAGAAGCTGGCTCTGGCGGAGAGGATCCGGGGTCATGTGCTGTCTCTGGCCCTGCAGATGTACGGCTGCAGGGTCATTCAGAAGGCTCTGGAGTTCATCCCCTCTGATCAGCAGGTCATCGTAAGTACACTTGTTCCACTTCCTGTGTGCATGTACAAACAAAGGGAACAGACTGAACCTTTGCTCTATCATGATCCTAATGAGGCTCCTCCTGCTGCGCCCGCTGTGATCTCGCGCCGTTACCGTGAGGGATAAAAGCGTCTTTGAAACGAACCACTTTAAAGGCCTTTTTAACATGCCTGCTCATAATTCAGCTGTAGAGGAGGGCGCTTTGCTCCTGGGTCACTAATTTCTGTTTATATTGCACAATGCAGCATCGATAAAGAGGTGTGCTCCTGACGCTGAAACGGCATTTTTCACCTACATTATGGTTTTTTTTATGTCGGCGCTGCGTCGTGTAGCAGCAGGTTCCTCGCGGGCTCTCCATCATCAACGATGAATGAGGCTAATGATACCACAGTTTATATGCAAATGTTGAACTGCAGGTGTTAGGATAAATCTAGCTGAATATCAACAGGAAATGTCTTTGCTTGAATTCAGTGGTTTGGGGAAAAGAGAGAGTGTGTGTGTGTGACAGAAAAAGAAAGAGAGAGATCCATCTCTCCTTAATGGACCTCAATAGATTTCTCCAGGGCAGCTGTTCAGAGCTGGCTGTTATTTGTTGGCCTGTGAGCCACCATGAAAAATGAAGGAGCAGTTGGAAAATGCTTTTAGGCAATATTTGACTCCTCACAAACAATTACACGTCCCTCTCCACATTCTTTCTCCCCATCTTCATCCCCTCCCCGTCGTCTTCCTCCTTTTCCTCCCCCACAGAGCGAGATGGTGCGGGAGCTGGACGGACATGTGTTGAAGTGCGTGAAAGACCAGAACGGTAACCACGTGGTGCAGAAGTGTATCGAGTGTGTCCAGCCGCATGCGCTGCACTTCATCATCGACGCCTTTAAGGGACAGGTGGGTCCCCCTTGTGTGGACACACAAACACACACACACACACGCGAATTATTTCCCCCCTTTCAATCACTGAAGCCTGCCAGTGTTCGGCTGTCAACCACACACACACACAGATTCTTCCTTGAGGCAGCGAGCATATTGTCACCGCCAAAGTACACCGACACACAAGTGCTCAGTCCTTCCCAGGGACATGGTACGTCACCATGGCAACAGGAACCACAGCCCGGTGGCAACAGCCATCTTCTATCCAGCAGCTAAATGTTACATTAGCATAAAGTGTTAAAGAGAGATTTGATGTGTTCATACACACACCTTATTTCAATTGGAACCAAAGGCTCCAGGTTTAGATGTCACTCAGGATGTTCTCACTGTGTTTGTGTGTGTGTCTCACATTTGCATGATAAGTAGTTGTGTGTTTTCTACCTGGCTGCTCAGATTTGTTTGCGTCAGGAATGTATTCTCACCTTCCCTGCAGGGGTTGGCGCTGTGTGCCCGAGTGTGATTATTTACGCCTAGAATACAAGCGACTTTCTGCACCTTTTAGTGTCTGAACAGAGATAAACTGATGTTGAACTCGCCCGGCTCCTGGACCACTCAGCGTACGTGTTGAATAAGTAAAGATGTGTAATTATGTGCGTCTCTCAGGTCTTTGCCCTCTCCACTCACCCATACGGCTGCCGAGTCATCCAGCGCATTCTCGAACACTGCCTTCCTGAACAGACGCTGCCTATATTGGAAGAGCTCCATCAACACACAGAGCAGCTAGTGCAGGTAACACACACACCCACACGCACACACACTCATGAATAAGCCCTCGCTGCTGTCTCCTCTCTACCAGCATAATGACACGTCATGTTTGCCTAAATAAAGCTTCTCTCAGTCCAGATTTCTGATCTCGTCTGTGTTTGATGTGACGTCAGTGCGCCAGCTGCTCCCTCACGTTTTCAGTTAATGTGTCTGTGTTTTGTTTTATTTAGGACCAGTATGGCAATTATGTCATCCAGCACGTTTTGGAGCATGGCCGAGCAGAAGATAAGAGCAAGATCGTGGCTGAGATCAGAGGAAACGTCTTGGGACTCAGCCAGCACAAGTTTGCAAGGTGAATTCCAGGACAGAGGCGCAAACTCAAGGCTGCGATCTTATCTGCTGTCTTCTTTCGCTTCTTCACGATTGCAGCCCTTCTTCTGCTGTTTCGTTTTTAACCCTCTCTGTTGCGTTTTCTAGTAACGTGGTGGAGAAGTGTGTGACCCACGCGTCTCGAGCCGAGCGAGCAGTGCTGATCGACGAGGTGTGCAGCCTGACTGAGGGCCCCCACAGTGCCTTATACACCATGATGAAGGACCAGTACGCCAACTATGTGGTGCAGAAGATGATCGATGTGGCCGAGCCCACCCAGCGCAAGATCGTCATGCACAAGGTTGGTGGACAGGAGAGGGTCGTCTGACATGTTTCATCAAAATATGAGAGTGGATTAAAGCAGAGCAGACAGGTGGTATCCTTGTGATTAAAGGGCTGGAATATTTGGTTTTAAAAGTGAGGTTTAACCCTCACATTCACTGACTTTGACCATGTGTTTGTGCATGAACAAGAGTGCAAACCATAGCTGTGTTTGCATGGGTGCTTGGTGTGGTGAATTAAATAAAATATCTGGGGCGTATCATCAGGGAGGGGGGATGATCTGCAGTACCGCTGCATGCTCAGGCTCACAGTCTGACTTTGGTGGCCAGAGAAGCAAAAACCTGAAATGGCTCTTTAAGTTTGAGGAGTTACAGCTTGTTAATTTTGCCTCAAAGGCCTGATTGACTCATGGGTAAAGTTGTATATTTGTAGTGGTAAGCAGTAAACTGGCGAGCAGATATACAGGCTGTAATCCAACAGCCAGATAACTCCCTCTACACCGCTGCCATCATTAATTATTAAGTTTTGATCAGCCTATTGGCACTAAAGATCAACCTCATAGCGGAAAATAAGGCATCGACCCATCACCCCACCTTCTACTGACATAAATTTAAGTCATTCTCAGGGTTTTTTAGGAAGCAGCACAGCTGATAACCTGATAAGTGATCATTGATTTCCAATAAAATAGGTGTTAGAGTTCCTAGAGTCACTGAAAAACAAGATTTTTCTCATAATCGTAAAGGGAGAGATCTAAGTCTTTAACTCCAGTGGTCTGTTACCTTTAATCCCCTTTAAATGAGTTCATGGTCATGTGTGTTTGTCTCCGTCAGATCCGGCCTCACATCTCCACCCTGAGGAAGTACACATACGGCAAACACATCCTGGCCAAGCTGGAAAAGTACTATATGAAGAACGGCGTCGACTTGGGTCCTCTCTGCGGCCCTCCTAATGGAATCATGTAAACCCCCCTCCCTCCCATACCTCCTAAAATGAAATCACCTGACCCCTCCCCCCCCACCACCACCTTTCACCTCACCCTCTTGATGCTGTCATTTCCCTCAGTTCCTCCCTCCTCTCCCTCCCACTCCTAGCCCTGTCTGACCTCTCAAAAGTCATCGAGCACACTTCCCCCCCCCTCCAAATCCTGCTCACCGAGGACATTGAGTACCCCTCGCACCCTTGTTACCATGACAACCGTTCGGGAGGAGCCTGTTGCTACAGGCAGCCTTAGTTTTTGTCTGATTATGTTGCCCCTCCCCCACCTGAGCCGCAGCCCCTGAGCTCAGGGAGGGATGGAGGTTGGGGGAGTGGAGAGGTGAGACCTGCTCCACTTCCCCCTCTTCTACTTTTTTTATGTTTACCTTTTTTTTTCTTCTATTTCTGATGAACCTAAAAAAAAAAATCATTTCACCTTTTTGCTACTGCTGCACACACAATCCTGCTGTCCCCACCTCCTCCTCTTCTTCTTCTTCTTCTTCTTCCTCCCATCTTAGCTATTTACCACTATGAGATGGAACGAGTATTTAATTTGTCTGACGTCACAGAATCATAGACGAAAACACACACACGCACATGCGCCATCAGCTAACCAGCAGACAGATCATTTAGCATGGGAGATTCGTTTTCTGGTCTTGCTTCTATAAATATAACGTGTATACTTGGTGTAGACCTTTGCATATATATATAAATATATATATAAAACTTTGTAGTTTTTCTGGTTTTTGATGTTGAATCTGTATCTATAATGTATCCTAGTAGTGACCACATACTTCTGACTGTATAATTGTACATTTGTAAACCCTTGTAATGTAAAAGTGCTTTACCACCCTTTTTGGTATGAGAAGAAAAAAGAAAAAAGCTCACTCTGGAAAAAAAAATCTTAGAAAAAAAAAAACCTGTGCATTTCAGTGTATATTCTCACCTCCTTGGTTGTGACATATGAGTTGTTGTATATTGTAAATTGTAATATCAAATTTTTGTTTTGAAAAGCCCTTTCTATACAGCGTAGTACTTGTACAAAGATTCGCCACGCTTGGTTTTATCTTTATCTTGTCACTGCTTAACTTAAAAACGTCGATCTCCCACTGACTCCCAATTGGACACGTTCTGTTAGACTTAGTGGTGTCTTCTGGTTTATGTTGAAGGCTTTCTTCTTCTTCTTTTTTTTTTTTCGACCTTTTTTTAAGATCTTTTTATAGGAATGCTTTACCCCATGAAATGTGTCATGAGTATGGGTATGCTGGCTGGGTGGGAGAATGAACTTTTACTCATTTAAAACCTTCTATTACCCATGACTGTTTTCAGAGGGGTAAACCCACAGATTGTACAGAGGAGATTCTTTGTGTTTTTTGGCATTTCTCTAGTGCTGTAAGTGCTGTATCATACTGTCTATGTCCTTTGGGGTGAGAGAGGCAGCCCGCCACAGTGCGGTGTACATTTGGAGCAGCCTTGTGTATATTTACTACGAGCACACCTGTAACCATATGTGTATAGTTAACAGAACCTGTGTATGCTTATTGCCTGGGCAACTATTTTTTGTAACTCCTGTTGTAGATTGTCTCTAAACAATTGTGTGATCTTTATTTTGAAAACCAAACTGAACAAAAAAACTTTGAAAATTTAACCGTCTCAAGTGTGCTTCATCATGTGTTGAATGCAATTACCGGGGATTTATTGCAGACAGGGAAAAAAATCATTTTTATGGTGGAAAGTTGGGAGGATAAGATCTATCACAGTTTATTTTGCAGCCATCTGAATAAAAGTTTTCTCCTAAAAAGACTTACTTCACAAAGCATGAATGAGGGGGAAAACAGGATTGTTCTCTTTTGCTTTCGTTTCCTCAGAAATATGGCTGATTAGCAGAGCTGGCATTTGAGCAAAGCATAAAACTGACAAATGACAACCAGCTATGTTGATCAGTTAGGATAATGACTTCTCTCAGCGAAGAACAACTTAAGTTTCGGTAATGAGTGCAGATAACAGCAGCTATTACTTTGATTCAAAGACCGTTCCTGGATTTATTATCCGGATAATTATTCACAACTGGATGAGCCGTGGTGAAAGACTTCAGTTCATCACTCCCGGCAGAAGTGAAAGGGTACTGGTATTTGAGGAGAGAACAAAAGGACAGGAAACCCACACAATAACCTGATACTCTCATAATCATACTACACATGAGTAAATGCCTGAAGCTTAACAACCAGAGATCCTAATGCACTGCAGTGTTGAGCAGATACCTCCTTCAAACAACATCCTGCTTTCTGTTTTCCATTTGCATCTTCCAAGGAAACATTAGGGCCAAGTAAACCTGCTTCTACCTGCCCACTTTCAGTCTCCATGTGGTGTGGGCTTCAGTGTAAACAGAGAGGATGTGAGTCAGAATAGTGGAGATTTAATGATTCTGAAGAGATACGGATGTTATTATCACTATGGTTTTTAACCAACTATATATAGCTTTGGTACTTTTTCATGCATTATAAAAAGGGTCAGTCTGCAACTAATTTAGCTATAACCTCAGAAAAAAATCAAACTTTGACATTAGTTGCGCATTATGTCTTCCTCACTTTTCACCCAAATATGTCCCGATCCTGCCAAGAGAGGTTGTTTAAAATACAGAACATTCTTCTCCCAAATGGTGCAGCACACAGTTAATCGCAGTCAATCACAAAACTTTTAATATGATGAAAAGTTGAATTCATCTTAAACTGTGGGCTAAATGAGAATGGACATATTTGTCAAATGCCTAATTTTTTCATCATTATGAATATATCACTAGAAACCACTTGGTTGACAAAAAAAAAGTATTTAAGGCCACATTTATTGTTGTAATTTGGCTTTTAAAAGAATCAACTTGTATTGCTAACAAAGGGTATTTCAAATCAACAGTCACCCCTTGTTAGCAATACAAGAACTTTATGTTCCAGGGACTTCTCCTTGAGGAACTAAATGGTTCATGTGGCCTGTTGTTTGCATTTACTGTGGGACTGATCCCTGAGTACAGGATGCAATATTAGGGCAGTTGAGTCACTCAGAATACTTGCTCTTGTACCTTTTGGTTCCTCTACTGCTCTGCTGGTGTCTGTGTATAAATTGTATACCAGCTTAAACTGTAAACAAGGTTAGATATCCTCTAAAACTGTTAGAATACCAGAGAGCATCCCTGAGATGTACATAAACAGAGTCGAAACTTATGTATGTTGTTTGTTTTATCGTTTGTTTTATCAGTCTGTATTGGCAAGTGTTCTGTTCTACGCTGCAGTCTGCTGGGGAGGAAGCATCAAACACAAAGATGCAAGACGTCTTAACAAACTGGTGAAAAAGGCTGGCTCTAGGACTCAAGCTGGACTCAGTGGAGGATGTGGTGGAGAGATCTACACTGAGGAAGGTGGAGTCTATTCTAAAGAACATGGATCACCCACTTCACAACACCTTGATGGACCAAAGGGCAAATGGTAGTGGACGGCTCCTCTCTCTTCGCTGCAGGACAGAAAGATTCAGAAGATCTTTTGTACCAACAGCCATCAGGCTTCATAAATCTTATGTAAATACTAGATAACTTTACATATTATGTGAGACAGCAGACTATTGAATTTACCTTCAGAGATCAATAAAGTTCTTCTTCTTCTTCTTAGATACTGTTAGGTTATGTAGAATATAATCCAGAAACTCTTTCCCCTCTTCCATGTCTGTGTTTTTAGTATTTTACATGTAAATGAACAACCTTTATTTTCTTTAATGTAAATGAAATTCTCAAGACCCGTCTCCTAAAGCCCCTACAACCCTCTCGAGCAGGAACTTTTCAAAGAGTAGATCAACCTCACAGCTAAAATTAGACCCTATAGTTCCTGTGGCAGTTCCTGTGGTGAAAAAGCACTCAAACTCATTGGAGGAATTCCTAGTCGGAGCACTAGAGGAGTTCCTTGTTGAGTTTTGTTAATTGTCTTGTATTTAACCCTCAATTTCAGGAGTTATTCAGTGTTAGTTTGAGACTTTAATGGTTAATCCTTTATAATTTATGTTTTTGCCTTTCAAAATGATTGGCTAAATATTGTTTTTTTGTTCAGTAGTCTTTTTTTCGCATTAACATGAGCTTAGCAGCGACGCAAATTGGCTCCATTTAGAGTCGCTCATCTGAATTCTTGCAACACAGGGCACAGGTGTGCTCAGGGGGGAATTTTTCCGTTTGTTTTCTTAACTGCTCAAACGTGACTCAGCCAATCACAGGACATGACAGGATTTGACCGGTACAGGTGTGTAATAATGGCGTGAAGCCAAGCGTAACCACCTGAGCGCGAAAACAAAAGGCACAAACCTGGGAGCAGCCATGACAGCCCCGCCGAGCCTCAAACATGTGAGCTGTACGCAGGAGTGTGTGTTGTGTGTCTATGTGTGTTTAAGGGGCTGCGGGTGCCTAAACGAGCTGCAGGGGGCATCCTCGCCCTTGCTCGCGGAGCCCCCCACCCTCCCACCCAGCCTTCTTAACACACACCATAGTCTCTATCACACACACACATACGCACACACACACACACACACACACCGCTCTCCCTGCCAGACTCCCAGGCCAAGCAGCGTCGCCATACGGAACATCCTGCCCTCAGCGGAGAGGGGGAGGAGAGAAAGAGAGAGAGAGAGAGAGAGCCTGAGTGTGTGTACAGAGCGAGGGGGAGAGAGCGAAGCTGAGTGTGTGTGTGTGGAGTGAGAAAAAGAGAGAGAGAGAGACGAGGTCTGGCGTCTCCCTGTTGTAAATCTTTCAGGTCCAGAGCTGAAAACTCGGAGAAACACACAGAGAAGAAGAGGAGGAGACCTCGCGGTAATCTCATTGTGAAGCTACCTGGTGACCTGGACCTGCAGCGCGTGAGGCCGTGGATTAAAAACCCTGCCTGGAAGGACGGATGGTCGCGCGGACGGGCGGCGCGCTGTGAAGTTGGACAGACTAACCGAGACACCGACAGCAGCGGCAGCTTTTGTCCCCCACCCCCAACACCACCACCACCTCCCCGATCCCCGTGAAGGCAGCGGCGGCACCGGGAGGCTGCTCTTGCGCACCCCGACCATGAAGCTGCCTTGGCTCCTGGCGCTCACGGCGCTGCTTGCTCACGCCGCCACGGTAAGCACGAGCATCAGATCCTTTGTTAACCGGGGCGCTCTCGTGCACACGGGAGCTCAGGCAATTTATACATATGTTTGTAGGTGCGTGCATGTGTGCATGTGTGTGTGTGGGGGGGGTGCGCGTTCTGTTATAGATAAGACAGAGGTAGCGGTGATCGGTAGGAAATCCTACACTCGACCTACTTATCAGCCCTTATTGGCCGGCCGTGACTCCCGTGCACCCCCACCCCCCGCTTTTACGCACACACACACACACCCACACACACGCACACACACACACACGCCTTTGTGTCTCGGTGTTGGGGTTTATCATGGCCTCGCAAGTCAGGAGGAGTGTGTGCGTGCTTGTGTGTTGCCTGTGAGTGTGAGTGTGTGTGTCGGTAATTAGCGGGTAATCTCTAATTGGGCTTGATTGCGGGTCTTTGTGCTGTGTCTCGGTTTGTGGTGTCTGTGTCACCGGCTCACATCCTGCCGGTAATTTGAGGGGCTCCAGCCATACTGCGGTTCTAACGACTTTATTACTGGGCAGGACGGGTGTGTGTTTCTCTGTGCGTGTGTTTCTCTGTGTGTGTGCACGTTTTGTGTTTATTGTCCGATCCCCAACCTGCGGGGCGCTCGGGAAGTGCAAGAAAACAGCGGCCTCGTTATGTGGATGCAGGAATCCGACTTGGGGCATCCTCCCGTTATAACCCGACTTGTGTGTTTGTGAGTGTGTGTGCGCCGAGAAGTGGGTGGGGTAACGGGGAAGTTAACGGCGATGCGGTGCGCGAACGAAGGCAGGGATGGAATGATGTCATCGGGAATCGCGAGCAGGGGGGGCTGATTAGGAATGCGTGAGCCCCCCCATCCGTCTCTTTCTCTCCACACACACACACACACACACACACACACACACACACACACACACACACACACACACACACCTCCCCGGAACCATCCACGCCGAGATTCACGCGCCCCTCATAGCACGCCCACATCTTCCGTTACCGATTAATCCAGATTTATCCTATGAGGAGGAGGAGGTGGAGGAAGAGGAGTGTGGAAGCTCATTGACTCATTCAGGGGAAAAAAAAGATGCAAGTACCAAAAATAGTCAAAACGCAGGTCTACAGAGAGCGTAAAATAAGAAGCATACCCTTCAGAGTGAGTTTACAGCCATATTAATGTACCAGGGAGCAACGAGCCAAAATTTGAAGTGCTGAGCTCTAACTTGGTGTTTCCCGAGTATCTTTGAAGTCCCATACAGTCCAGGGCAGCCTCTACTCTTGTGTTGGAATGATAATAAAAGATCTCCTCCTGACATGTTTGTCTGAGATGTTTCCATAAAGTCCATTCTCTCTGTTTAGTCTGACTGTCACACCTGTCTAAATGGCACTTTTTATTGCATTGTTATGTCTGGCTTCCAAACATATGATATCATTTAAGTGTGTCCACGTTTTCAGGGCAGAGAGAAAGTTTTCTGCTTTGGCATTTGTTTGTCAAAAGTCTGTATGGACAAGCTCACATAGGGAGAACAGTTTTTAATGTGAGCGTGGCACTTTTATTTGAGTTATTGGTAACGCTTTCTTTTATGGTACACTTATTACCAGGTAATTAACAGGTAATTACATACATTACTTTCATGTTACAACATGAAATTATCTGGTAATTACACAATAACTACTAAGTTAATACTGTCTAGCTACCAAGTAGGCCAAATTGCTCTGGTATTTCCAGGATTTTCTCAGCTTCCTGGAACCACCACTTGCGCAGTAGCATTGTACACATTCGGCGGATGAGCCGCTGTGATAATGCTCGACTCAAACAGTGTATCGCTACGCAATCTTCGCACGCCCATAGGCTGTATCAAGTGTCAATCATAGAAATTAAGAACCCCAAATAGCTTTTGAAAATGGAGCTGCACAGAAAAAAATTAGACAGTATTGACTCAGTAGTTATCATATAATTACCAGATAATTTCATGTTGTTACTAGGTAATTACCTGGTAATTACCTAGTAACAAAAGTGTACCGTAAAAGAAAGCGTTACTGAGTTATTTTGTGGTAATTCAACAGATCATACAGTGTTAAAAGTGCCCTGGTGCTTGAACAACAACAACATCAACAACAAAAAGTTGGTGTTCAAGCGACTTTTCAAATTCAAAGTTAACTGCATTTGAGAGCAGATCAAGTCAATATTTGTGTATTCAAAATTAAATGTTCTTAGTCAAATGAACTAACTGTAAATCCCTAAATATAGCCAAAGCCTTCTTGCGTTTGTCTTGTGTTACTCTTTGTAATTGAGCTTTATCATTGTATGAAATCCACTGTAGTCTTTACTTGATGGAAACAGTGACATCCCTCATCTAAGACTGATCCTGATGCAGGCTAAACTTGAAGTTCAGCGTATAATTTTTGGAAACAATTACTGCAGGGATGCCCTTGCTCGTTGCATAGAAAGGATACACACCATGGCTGTGTCCAAAATGAATCACTCAATCCCCAACCCTTAATCCCCATATGAGGTTTCACTATATAGCTGACTATGTAGTGAGCTCAATCACCAGAGGTTTCGGACACTACGTGGCAAAACGCAATGCATGACGGGATGCCCACCACCACTGAGTGACCATCGGATGGTCACTACATTTTGCAATGCTCTATGGGAAATTTTGTGTCGCCTATATGGGGCACTGGAATTAATCACTCAGGTTTCGGACACCCCTCAAAATAGCGCTAACCCCCATATAGTCGTCTTTATAGGGTTAGGGATGCATTTCGGATACAGCTCTTGAAAAACTTCTAACTTCTCTTCTTTGTCAGCAGTTTTCTGCTGCATTGGACTGATTTCGGTACAGCGCCCTCAGCTGGTGAGCGGTAGTCATTCCCCAAGACTGTCAGATATGGAAGTGCTCTGGCCTTCATGTGTGGTATAAAGCATGGTGAAGAGGTAGTTCTTGAAATTAGAATCCTGACAGGGTGAGGCCAGAGTTTGATATGAGGAGTAGAGTTTACCAACAATGCTAACACAAACTAACTCCTCTGCTTCAGTGTCAACAAAGAGCAGGAAAATGTGCAGGAACTACTGTCGGTGGAGTGATTTAACGTGTGTGATCTGCTCCTCTCTGGCATTGCTTTTGTTCAGGAGAGTGAATAACCGTTGTCAAGGGGTTTAGACCAATCAGATTCGAGTATTTAACACAGCCAGGTGATTAGTAAGGAAGTACATCTTTATTTAATTGTTAAGGATGTGATCCTGGGCTTAGCAAGGGGCCTGGACACTAAGTGAATACCGGTTGTTGTATGAGGGTTAAAGGTGGTTGTTATCCTTCAGTTTTATTCATCTGCACAATTTGGTTTTTATTTCATTCAAGGACAGATTTAACCTTCTAGCCACAGAGCATCCACCACTTTATGTGATCATGTTCAATTTCAAATGGTGATATAAATATATTTTTCAGTTTGGTTTCTAGTCAACCCTAAGTGTGAGGTTGGTTTATACACATGAAACAGTTACAGAATCCATACAAAAAGCACAGCTGACCACATTAATGCCCATTAGCTTCATTAATAATAATATAACTGCACACTTTATGAGGACTTTTGTGCGGTTAATTACCTTCGTTTCCACATTTTAACTCGGTGTTTGAGTTGTCAACATCTCAACACCTTGGACTGTCACTGTGCTGCGTCTCCTGTGATGCTTCACTGCTTTGGACAGGGGTTTTCAACGCTACACTACACACACATTACACTAAACATACACACACGCTGATGATTACTGGGTCAGACGGTTGCAATCTTTGCCAAAGATCCTCGGCCTTCCCGCTGACCTAATCTGTGTTGAAGTCTACAGATGGAGACAGGTGTGACACATATACACACACGTTTAAATATACACCCTGTTAGCTGGGCGCAGATGGATGGTGCTGCTTGGATAGGTAACACACACACGCACACATACACACACACACACACACACACACACACACACACACACAGCAGCCTATTAATTGCATGACTCACCTCAAGCAACCCAAGCCTTGGACACACAAAAGCACACACATACATGACCCACAGTCAAACGCATTTGCTGACAGGACCTTTCTTTAGACTCCCCTTAGCTTCCGACCAGCTGAGCTGACCCCTCTCTTAGTGTGTGTGTGTGTGTGTGTATATATATATAAATAAATATGTGTGTGCGTGTTTCTTCTCATGCGTGATCCCTGGTGTCATGTCTCTGTGGGTATTTCCTGTTATCAAAGGTGTGACGTCATATCCGCGCGACAGCACTTTACATAGGAGACCAGTTTTTTCCCACAGACATCTGTTGTGTCCCACGGAAAGCTAGCGCCAGTGTGTGTGCATGTGTGAGTGTTTGTGTGTGTCTCCATGAGAGCACTCAGTGTCCATCTGTCTGTGTGTGTGGGCTCAAAAATAGTGAATCTCCACTGCCAAAAACTTGTTCTCGCCAGCCCTCGCTCCTTGAAAAGTGTGCGTGTGAGAGCGTGTTTGTGTGCGTGTGTGTGTGTGTGTTTGGCGGAAAAGTGTCCTGTTCTCGAGGATCATGTTTAACGGGGATGAATCAGTGTTTTGTGCGTCCAATAGCTGACAAAGCCCCCCATAGAGAGACCAAGAAAGAGAGAAGGAGCAAGAAAGAGGAGAAAATAGCCCGAGCAAGGCGGATCGAGGGAGAGTGTGGAATGTGAGAGGCTATTTGACACAGGAAGTGGGTCCTTCTCGCTCTCCTGGAGGACAAAGTCCCCTCACACTCACGCTGGCAGGTAGAAAACACTCCCGGTGAGAGGGGGAGGTATTTCAGGTGTGTGTGTGAAAGGATGGGAGAGCGTTTGGGGGTCACCTTCCAGCAGGGAGAGGAAATGAAAAGGATCACAGCTCATATCCGGATGCCCCGACGTCTGAAGGGGAGAGCGAGAATAATGACGGCCTTCAGTGGGAAAACATCTCCCCTTTTCCCTCACCCGTCTCCCCCTTTTTACTTGTTTAGGTGTGTGTGTTAGATTCGTACACACTCATATCTGAAAGCATTTTCTTATCACCGTGGAAGGACCGGCTCTGCAGATGTGGCGCATTTGACTGAAATTAGTTTTCCTTTCTGGTGGGGAAAGTTTGAGCATTTGATTCAGCTTAGAGTGAATTTTCCATTAACTATTAAACTGATAACAGCGTGTGGGGACTGAGAAACCCGCCTCCACAATACCTGTTATTTCTGCTGTGTCCTAACTCGGAGGTGAAAGAACAATGGCTGCCCCAAATTTGCAGCAAAATTGGAGTTCTATTCACTAAAACCAACCAAAAGTTCAACTCTGCATGAAAAACTATTAGTAAGAATGAGAATAAAAGATCCGCTGTCATTATTTGCCTCATGGGAACTTGAAAAAATCTCTGGGAACTTTTACATCCGGTGTCTCAGAAATAGTGTAGTCACTACTGTGGAGTCTTATCTGGATTTTTCCTCAATAATCATGTCTTTAAGCCGTTTCATTGTGCTTTTCAAACCAAGCCACCAGTGAAAAAGGCCGTTTCTCTACTTCTTTAGATGCAAAAGAATATATCCCACAAATACACAATGATCAGGTGTATTGGTTTAGATAATTACAGTGCTAATGTCCAGATCGCATCCTTCAATCAGAAAGGATGACAGCCCGTAGGTAGCCTGTGAGGCAAACCTGAGGGGAACAAAACCTGTAATCACTCAGCACCGCTCATTAATTACTGAGCTCTTCATCCCTTGTGGAAATTACACCCTTGTTTCCAATCAGGAGATAAAAACCGGGCTTTGCACGCTTACATCAAACTCTATTGTATTTGAAATATTTCCTGCCAAACAAGCATCAGGTGTCATGGTTCAGAGTGCTGAAGCCTCAGAGCTCATTACTCCAGAGTTGGACTCTGTTTATTGGCAACCAGCGGAGCTAAAATTCAATATAATACTTAGTTATTTGGCACTGGCACTGCATGGTAGTTGAGCTCCCTGAGCAGTGAATGTAACACAGGGTTTCATGGGGTTCTTGTCTGCTGTCTGAAAAAAGCAGCTGTCTTTGCCCTCTCTTCTGTTTAGTTTGAAATAACCAAAAAATAAAGTTATATAGGCAACATCACTGTTGTCTTTTGGATTTATCTGGAATACTGGGGTTTTTGACCCTTAGAGGTGACCATTGAATCATACATGATGCTATATTTAGATTTATGAAGGGGATTAATGGCCCAGTGATATAAGGAAGATTTCAGGAATTTATGAGTCTTACCCCAAGAAAATTTTGACCCATTGACTGCAAACAAGAGTGTTGTGATGCTGGCAAAGACTAATGCCAGTTCAAGCTACAGTGTTTTCCCATGATCAGGACAAGGGCAGAATTTAGGGAGGCGCTATGGTGTGTGTGGTTGGAGCTAGCATGGTGAAACAGCAGATGTGTGTGAGAGAGTGGGTGAGTGTGTATGTGATGCTCTTGTGATAAATTTAAATAGATGGAGTGAGCCCCCTAAGTGACCACATGGGGCTGACTGCAAAAAATGAACATGCTTGAAGCCTGTTTTTGGTCTAAATAGCTCAATGCTCTCATGACACCAGCTGCATGGGGAGTGAGTTTTTTCGTAACACTTAGTTTTGGACTGATTATGGTTTCAAGACTGGCAAATCAGAGGCACAGCTGACTTGAATGACTGGTGGGGACACTGTAGCTGTTTTAAGGAGGCTTAGGGTTTGCCTTAAAAGTTAGTTTGAGTGTGCATTTCCATTTCCATTGACTGGCTTAGAAACTGCTTCATGAACAAACAGGTGATGTTGGTGATGTTGGTGATGCTATACATCCAGTTATTATGCAGTTCATGCCCAGGAGGGAAAATCGGGAACCTTTGGCCTCACTTTTGGAAAGCTGTCAGGTCCACTTCTTATACACCCTGTACAGCAGTTCTCACAAGTATTTTTACTTTCAAACTTTCAAAGCGTTTGACTCCCTGTTTAACTGGAGTTAAAATATAAGATCTGACAGCTTCTAATTTTCAGGAAAGCTGCTGTTTAACTAAATCTTCACCCGCTGATACTCGGCTGATAGGCCATGATGTAATACTGTCTTGTCTGTGTGAGTCCTCTCTGCTCACTCTGCCACTCACAGTTTTGGGAGTACCTGTTTTCTTCAATCACTCATCTCCGACACATTGTGCAACACTGAACTTTCCCAGAGGAATGTGTTTGACTCGTCCCACGAATTAGAAGGAATGCAGCCAGAGCTCCAATCCGCCCGGCTGGAAACTCCTCTCATCACAACCACTTACACAGATACACACTCACACACAGACACAAGTGCAGACATGCTTTTCTCACATATATGCACCAATGCACCTTAAAGTTCTGATTATACACACAGAGACAGAAGCACACACGCACACACACCCAGAGTTACAGTGGTGGTGGATAACGGTGGTGTGCAGCAGTTTTGTTGATTCAGTGAGTCAGAGGGAGACGGAGAACGCTGGAGGTGTTTTAGGTAGGTCAAAACAGGCTGGAAACACAGCTCGTGTAGCTGCTAAACACACACACACACTCACACACACACCCACAGAGCTTCCCTTGCAGTAATTGGACAGCACTGTGCAGACATACATACATATTCTCAGGAGAAGAGGGTTAGATGAATATAGAGAGAGGAGGAGGGAGAGAGGGAGAGGAGAGCGATGGAAAAAAGGGAGGTGTACCGACCACAGGATAATGAGAAAGAGAGGAGGAGGGGAGGGAGTCAAATGGAGAGAGGGAAGGATGGAAAAAGTGTTACGGTAATGGTGAGATGCTCGATAGCAGCGGACGAGAAAGATGAGCGAGAGAGAGAGAGAGAGAGACAGTGAGGGTGAAAACGAAGCAGAGAGCAGAAGAATCTGGAGAGGGGAGGAGTGGGAGGAGAAGATGAGGGATTTTCGGGGATGGCGAGGAAGGACGGGAAAAGGGAGGTGGTGAGGGCTTGGATGATGAGGAGGACAGCGAGAGGATGGGGCGAGACTGAAGGATGGAGATTGAAGGATGTCAAAAAAAAAAGAGGAATAAAGAGCCGGAGGGTGGGGGAGGGAGGCGTGTGCGCTGCTCACTCCCAGGAGACTATGCTCTACCTGCTCTCTCCATGGCCGTCACCATGACAACCAGCATGGCTGCCTCTGTCATAGCTTTATCCCCCTTTCAATCCCCTCCTTTACCCCCCTTTTTATCCCTCTCTTTTATTCTGTTCAAGCCGTCTTTTTTTCTCTCCATCCCCTCACATTCACAGTTTTCCATTCTCTGTTTTCTGGCTCTGCTCTTTTGTCTCTTTTTTTCTTCCACTTATCTTTTTACTCCTCTCTCCTCCACCGCTCTTTCCTCATCGATAAACTGAGCAATCCAGGAGAGAGGAGAGACGGCAGTTGTGCTTCACCTTTACAGTATGTGTGTGTATATGTGTGTGTGTGTGTGTGTTTTGTGCTATTACAGGACTCTAAATTAGAGAGCATAAATGCAGAGCTGGGTCCCATAACCACAAAGCATCCTGGGATTGCTGTGTGTTTGAGTGATCGCTATAATTTAAACCCAAAAAACAGGGAGCCTCCTTCTCACTGACAGACTTTTATGTGTGTGTGTGTGTGTGTGTGTGTGTGTGTTCCTGTATGTGTGCATCTCCACTAGCTCTGTCGTTTTCCTCTTATATTAGTCACGTTTATGTTAGTGTCTCTCTGCCCTCACGCTGGATAATTAGGTTAATGATGGGCGGGGTCACGCGCAGCTGAAACCTGGAATGGTCCAATGGGAATGCAGGAATGTAAACTTCCTGGCAGGCGGTTGATAAGAGCTGGTCGAGGCTGTGATAAGGCTGGTGTCCGTGCACTTGGCTGGAGTCTGGCCTCCATCTGACCTCCGACACTCAGCTCCCTCCATCTCCCACTCCATCTGTCAGTTTTCTGGTGGTTATTTTGTCGGCAACTTTATTGACCTTATATTTATTCTGTTGCACTTTTTTGAAAACATTTCAGTCCAGTATTTCAGAGTTCCAGCATGAGAACCACCACCCGATCGCAGAAGCAGTTATTAGTTTTCTGTATGCCACAGGGCTGTACAGGAGAACTTGAGTGATATTTGGATGTAATCTGCCTATGGGGTACCAATGTTTCATTGTTGGAATATCAAAGAGGAAGAAAGTTATGGGCAACCATGTTACTGTTCATGTAGGTGATATTTACAAGAGACATTGTAGTGCTTCAAATTTCAAGAAGATTTATGTCGCCTAAAGACTTTTCCATTTGTACTTCCAATTAGATATTTCTACTCTGTGTACGTATTTTCATTAAGGTGGCTGGATTATCAGGGTTGATATTCGGCATTTCACTGATTATCTGTATCAGCCTTTATTTTACAAATAGTCAGTACATTAATTTATTAAAAAACTTGCTTATTTAGCTCTGCTGTGGGTGCATCTTTCCCTCTGGGTCAGTTTTCTAGAACAAATCATTTGGACAAAGTTTTGTTTTTAAGTTTGTAATATTATTGATTTTGAATTTTCACAGAAAGTTTTCAGACATTGGTTCCAACTAAAAGTTATTGGTTTCATGAACTATTCATAATTGGTATTGGTATCAGACCAGGATGAACCAATATCAGTTGACCCCTTTTTCCTTTTTTTTTTTGGTTGCACATCAAGTTTTGCTTTCTGATGAACTCAGTCTCTCGTGGTTGTATGCAGCCAGCAAACATGTCTACAGCCTGACACAAAAACCATGTAAAGTCTGCACAGTCCAGTAAGATATTAAGGCTGAAAATTAATCAGGGACGTATTTGACATGACTGAGGAGTTGGAACAGGAACCAGGAGGGAAAACTCCTCTACTCTTTGCTAACTAAACTGAAGGTTACGTCGATCCACATTCCCAATAGGGAGACCACCAAAACATAACAGGCTCCAAAACTGCCTCAGAAACTTGTTGTCATTGAACCTACATCTATTTTTGAAACAGCCAATGAGTTTTCTTAGATATCACTGTTGCATCTTTTTTAACATGCATAATTACACTTACAGTAGACCGACCTTGATTTGGATCACCAAAGAACTGGGAGGATCAAACTAAAATAAGGATTAAACTTTGTTTTCAAGATGTCTGAACCTAGATTGGGAAAGAAAAAGTCAATCTCACCCTTATGAAAATAGAGCGGTGAGTAGTTTGGTTTTCTCTGGTAATATAATGGTGTCTGTGTTTTTAGATTATTACTGACCCTTTTGTGTGTGTAAAAAAATTAAAACACACACAAAAAACGTATTAATACAATCAGCGATCAGATTTTTGTTGTTGTTCCTATTTCACCAACCTTAAAAGAGTCGAACATTTTCTGCTTCCAGCCTCATAACCTCACTTTCTCCTCCTCTGATTTATATTTTTGTAAATCGATGCACTTTTGGCCGTGGGAACCAACTTATTTTATGGACTAAATAGTCCTCCACAGACTCTGGACAGGTATTGATTTGATCATAAAGTACAGGGCTGTGAAATTCTCCCTGCTTTTGTGATATAGAAGGAAAAAAAAAACAGTAAAGCCTTGCAGCAGTTGTAATTTTTGTGAAAGTTGGCTATTAGTGACACCGAATTCAACTCTCTGTGTTTAAGGGGCCCTTTCCCTCAGCTTAGAGATGTTTGTGGCTAACTGTGAATAAATGGCTATCACCGCTCCACTGGGAACCATCTTTAAAAATGGCCCCCCTCAAAGCTGTGTGAGTTAGTCTCAAAGAGTTGTAAATGAGGGCCCAGTAGAGGAGAGAGGCTGTGTATCCCTGGGGGTCCTCTTTAAGGCTCTGCAGGAAGAGGTGAAGATCAAGTAAAAGGGGAAGAACAACAAGCTAACTGTAAACGGAGGAGATTTTCTATGCGTGCAGATTGTAATGGCTTATTTCTCTGTGGTATAGTCATTTATAAGAGAGCGGCCTTCACGCCTCAGGGGCTGCTGGGTGCAGTTAAAGGGTCTCAGGTTGGCCCTTGAAGGAGAATGAATCGCTGTGTGATTTTCCCAGATGCACACACACACATGATTGGATATATGAATGTTTTGTCACCCAATTTGCCTCCATTTCATCTTCACTCGCCTTTGATCTGCCGGCGTCACGGTTTCTATTTTCAAACGACCTTCCTGTCATCTCGGTCTCTGATAACAAAGAGATTTTGTCAGTTTTGATTCACAGATATGCATTTCTGACACATGTTTCTCATCAGGGCGACGTAGAATTTATCACTTTCATTTTTAATAGATTTTCGTCTTATCTGTATTGTCATCCTCTTTGAAAATTATGGAATATTTCATCATTATTTCATTAACACTGGTTCTGTGACAGAGAGCTGCGTGTTTGCATACTGATGTGCATGCGTGTGTCCTGCGTGTTTGTGTGTGTGTGCATGTTATAGGAAGGAGACAGGAAGGGAGTATTTATAGATCCGGCCTTTAAGCGTAAAACCAGAAGGGCGCCTCCTGAGTGGTTTTATACAGGTGTGTGTTTTTACATGTGAGGCAGAGGAGGCGATGAAGGAGCACAGGGAGGCCACTTGTGCAAGAAACGAGAGCGAGGAATAACTGTGTGCGAGAGGCATGTGACTGTGTGTGTGTGCGTTTGAATTATTTAGCCCCAACGTCCCGACAGAGGAGTGAACGAGGTCAGGAGCTCATTGCTGCAACGTTTTCCTCTCTCCATCTATCTATCCATCCATCCATCCTTCCTCCCTTCTTCTTCTTCTCCTCCTCCTCCTCCTTCTGCAGAGCTCCTCGTTTTCTCGGCCTGTCCAGATAAACAGGAACTGAGTAACAAAAGGCTTCCCACATGTTACTCATGTCCCCTCAATTATCGGCGAACCATGCGGGAAAAACATCGATCCAATTAAACGCAGACATTGAAACCTGCTGTGTGTGTGTTTGCGTGCTCGTGTGTGTATGTGTGGACTCTCTCAAGTAAACCTTTCAACCCTGATTCTTTAAAGGGCTCTTTCAAAGGCGTTTGCAGTTTGAACAAGCGACTGAAGTTAATGAGCTGCGTGTGCATGTGTGTGTGTGCATGTGTGCACACATTTGAGTTTCTGCAATATTGCCTGGTGGTTGCAAAAGGCTGTCCACCTCCATGCAAGCACACATGCATGCAGAGTTGCACACACACGCACGCACGCACGCACGCACGCACGCACGCACGCACGCACGCACACACACACACCTTTGCAGCAGCAGGTGATTCATTCTTAATCTTTCATTCCAACAGTTGTGGATTAGCCCTAATCTCAGCCCACAGAGACTAAGGTCTGAAAGGCTGACTGACACCGAGAGTGTTTGTGTGTGTTTTTTCCTGTGTCTGTGCTGATAATTATTTCCCCCGTTGGAGCGTGTGTGGTGTGTGTTTGACAGGACATGATGTGACTGAGGCAGATATACACGACAGATTGACAGGCTTCACAATATCGAAACATTAGACCCAGCAGGAGGGATATGTGTGTATCAGAGTGTGTCCGCGTGTGTTAGTGTTAAAGGAGTCATGACCTCTTTTGACTTTAATTCCTTGTTTTGACATTTTCGAATCAGCTCAGTCACAGCCAATGTCAGTTTGAGTCATGTCTAAAGTTTACTTTAAGGTCAGAAACTCAACGTTATCTGCTGAAGTGATTTTCTGCACATTTTTTTCAGGGTTAAAGCTGCAAAACAAAAACAATGAATACTGATAATAACAGCTCCCAAGGGCTGAAAAGTAAGCCATTGAGGGATAAAGATAATCTGTATATAAGGATGTTACTAGGGATGCACAATCTTGGATATTTTCTGATATCTGTTATGTTGATATTTTCAAACTCATATCAACCACACACACTCTTTTCTTCATGAAGAGCCCCGAGAAACAGACATAATACAAGACAAAAACATTCCCTCTAATGAACAGGCATTCAGATGTGTGACATGAGTCTGTTCACAATATTTCAAAACTTGTGCATACATGCAACTATACATGTTGGCACACACATGCACAGTCACTGCATGCAAATATTTAATGCATTACATTTTTCTGCTGATATCAAAAATTACTTGCAGAAATGTGCAGATAATATCTAGTGATATTGATTATATGCCAATAACATCATGCATCCCTAGATGTTAAGAGACATGTAGTGATGGTTTTTAATGGTAAAGTTGCCTATTAATTAATTAGTCTGTTTTCTGCAAATCTACTATTTGATTGATTTTTGATTTTGTTTTTTTCTAGAATCAGGGACGATAATTTCGACAATAGTCAATGCCGCTGTCTTTTGAATTACATCTGTTTTATATGTTTCTGTCTACATTTATTTAAATGTTCATTCAAGATCAGCAGTTTTGTTTTTCTTTTGTTAAAGCTCCTGTGAGGGACTTTTAACTCTGCTGGTTTGTGGTGCCCCTGTGGACAGAGCAGTAACCCTGTAATTGTTGTTGATTTCATCTCATCTTTATGAAAAGGCTGTAAATAGACAAAAAAAAGTCTCCTCCCATTGTTTCTTTACAGCAAAAATTTAAAATTTATCACTATGATGCTCTGCTTTGGGAAAAGTGACAAAGGCTGTGTCTACCCTCTTTAAGGCAGTTACAGACATTAACAATTACTATATAGAAATTGTAAATCTAGGGTTAGGGTTAGGTTTGTTGGTGATCTCATTCACTTTTGTATATCATGACCAATCAAAACCTTGTCACGGGAGCCTTAATAATATACTAGTGTTTTTTATCAAGTGCTTAAAAGTGTGATAACAGCATTATATATTGGTATTGGTATTGGCCATTGAAAACCTAATATCAGTCAACCACCAGCACCCATAAACAATAGTCGCTCTATAATTCTGTGGAAGAATAAGTAAACAAATCTTCCACACAAAACACACTTCTGATGAGAGCTTTTTTCTTTGCTATGGTTCACTAAACTTGTTTAATTCCAGCTGAATGTAACTATACTGTGAAGAAATGTGAAAAAATTTAAGTTGTTATGATAGTCAACTTCATTTTTCTGCTCTTATTTCTCTCAGACTCACTGCTACAGACGAATAAATATCAGTTTTTCAAACTACTTCTCTTATTCCCGTGATGCTCCGTAACACTTACCGAGCATTAAAGTTCAATTTTTAAACCTTTCATTCTGAAGAGAAATATTTAGCTTAGCAATGCCCTCTGAACATAAATTGTATCTTTACACCTTCCAGCTCTGGGGAAAAGTTCTGTAAAATCCTGCACAAAGCGGAGAGGTGTGGAGACAGATTTGAAGGTGATTAGATATTGTGTGGAGGGAATTTGAAGAGAAGAGGTGGTGAAGGGGGGGAGCGAGGTCAGAGGCAATCACAGACAGAAGTGATATTAAAGGAGGGCTGGTGACGAAAGTGCAGCGGGGTAAAATAAGGCAAAGAAAGATTGAGGAAAGTGCCGCAGAAGTGGAGAAGAAAAGACGGACAAAAGGATTTGTTAATATATGATGGAGGTAAAAGGAGATGAGTAGCTCATCAGAAAAAGAGCATGAGATTAATAGGGAGGGAGAGAGTGAAATGATAAAAGGGCAGAGGAGCTGACGAGGTAGAAAAAAAAGGGAGATGGATGGTAGCAGAGAGAAAGACTGGTGGTTAACGCCGGCCTGTAAAGAGCTTAGAGACGGATTGTACGGAGGGAACAACCTGGACAGGATTACACAGAGAAAGAAGACGAAGGCTGTTAGAGCGAGATCCTATCACAGCCCATGAATCTCCCCGTCCTGCCGTTACACATTTCCACTGGTTGAACAGCGACCGCAAACTAGGCGGCAATCACACTTTAATTAAGGCGCGCTCGCAGTATCGAGGCATTAATGATCAGCGATTGTTATAGCAAACACTTAAGAGCTAATCTATGAATTAGACAGTCATTCAGCAGCCGTTAGTTTCTTAAATCCACCTCTTAATTAATCAGTCAGTGAGTAATGTCAACGACAGAAGGGTGGAGCTATCTTTAACCACGCTACTTTCAGCTAGTGAACACGCCGAGGCTGATGGGAGATAGAAGAAATGTCACTTAAATCTTACATAAACTCATATAATGATACCAATTAGTCCTAATTAGCTGTTAGCTTGTACCTGCCTTCCACATGTTAGCATTGCTTGACCATGCGACCAAAGTTTTTCTAAAGTTTAGAAAGAATTAAGGAAAAGTTTGACTAAGGATGTTTACTTTTTCTATCTTGTTCACCAAAAACAATACAAATCCAAAAAGGGCTATTCCGTCTAAATTCACATGCTCATTTTGTTACCAAGATAGCTCTGTGTTGGCATACAGCTCTACATTGGCCAGGCATTGATAACAGATAACCGCATGAGTCAATATGATACCTGCTAATGCACAGTTTTTATATTCACGAAACACAAGTGAGAAGTGCCGGGTAATCGATAACTCTCTGCAACTCTTAAGACCTCTCAGATCATCCCTGAATGTGAGCGACAGTTAATTTACTCCAGAGTGAACTACGCTAACAATCCTGTTCATAAGCTGCTCAGTTCACTAAAATATGAGTGCATTAATTAAATGTGTTCATTTAGGCGCATTATCGCACAACACTGACTGCATCCTCATCTCAAGTTGACTGTGTCGCCTTCCTCTCTGTCCTGTCAGCATTCAAGCTGTGTCGCTCAGCACCCCTACAGACTCTGCATCATTTGGATATTTGCAGGAAGCTTGCTGTTCATGTGGTTGTTTCAGCTGTGTGCAGCACGGTTTTTTCATTTGCATAGCATCTCTTTTGTTGAGTTGGTTTTGGACTAGCATGTGTTTTTAAAGTAGTATTTAAAGTAGATCACTAAGGCTGTCATAAATCATTTGCCCTTGTCAGTCACAGCAATTCACCCAACTTAAAGCTCTTGTAATAAGTTTTAAACATTTATTAAATAAACTGAAATCCATATTGATGCCTTTTAATGGTATCCAAAAGCAAACAAGACCGTTAGGGACAAGATTATTAGCCTTTATAGCTAGCTTTTAATGCCTGAAATTAGTATAAGGGGGTAGGTAGACCTGTTTTTTACAATTCCCACAGAAAATAATCACAGTCATGATACAAAACTCAAAACTAGCAGAACAAGATTTTTTGGGGTTGAGGACATGAGAAGCAATGAGTTATTTGTCCACCAGTTAAGTAAAAGTTAAAACTGCCACTCTCAAGAGAAACTAACCTTACTGCGTTTGACATTATAATCTCGACTGTTTTCCTCATAAATCAAACCCTTGTGCGACCTGAAAACAGCCTCCAGAAAGGACGTGGAAAAAGAACATCAAGTGCATTAGAACGCAGCCCCGGTTGTGCTCAGATTGAAGGAATATGAGTGTAGGAGAATTATAATAAAAGGGCCAAGGATCTGGTTTCTCCTGCGAGTTGCTGTTAAAAGGTCAAACATCTTGTGACCTCTTTTTTGGCTCCCGATCACAGCAATATCAGATTATTCCAAAATATAAAATAAGATTTGCAGATGTGCTGGTACAGATCATGAGCGGCTCATTAAAGAAAGCAAATGTCTTATTTCCTTATTGGCTTACAGTTTGGTTGAAGTCTTCTGACACTGCCTCTTGGAGTTAATCAGGGCCTCATGATGAATATGTGATTAGGTCACAAGCATTCAGTCTGTTTGGCTCATTAAGACAGAGACTGTATCCTGCTTTATCTCACGACCTGTGTAATTAGTGCTCGATATCAGGAGCCTTTATGATACATGAAGAATCAATCAGCTATCTGGCAACAGCTGCGGGGCTCAGGGAAAGGAGCCAGTTCGCCCAAAGCCGGTGAACCAATGAGAAAGAGCCCAGCGAGCGCAGCAAGGTCAGGCGCTCAGGAATGCCCCTGGAGCAGCAATTTGTTTACCTCCTCCGTGAATGTGTGTGTGTGTGTGTGTGTGTGTCTGGGAGAAAAGGACAGGTATGGCATGATAATAATATGCCTCATGCCCTCTGCGCACACTTGCAAAGGTGCATCCCTCCATTCCAGATTGAATTACACAGGGCTGATTGGATTTTTCTCCTCGGCATCAAAGACAAAAACACTCCTGTCTCGTTCTTCTCCTTTTTCTGCCTCTGGTTCTATCTATCCCATCATCAACCGCTTCACTTTTTCCTCTCAAGTATCCTCCATCTGCACCCAAACTCCGCCTTTGATGCATCGATTTTGCTCCTTCTTCTTGCCATTCATTCCTCAGGGTCTGTAAAGTCGCATGACAGTCATTAGCCTGATTAAACAAGCTGTAATTAAAGGAGCGCGCACACACACACACACACACACACAGATGCTGCCTTGTGATTCCTATCTGAGCCAAAATGTGATTCTCATCATGTTTGTGTCTGTTTGTATGCGCGTTTTCTCGCATGTGTGTCAAGGGTTTTTCGATTCAGGGCTGAAAAGAGACCATTGATTACCGTTTCTGAATGTACTCAAAGTGCCCCTCTCCCTCGCTCTCTGCAGCACAAAGGCATCATGGTCCGTGGGCACTCGCTCTCACACGCAGCCGCATTTCTGAGCCCTTTTGAAAAGTTCCTTAGAAACACGAGAAAAGTTCCAGCCACAGGCGCCACGCCCTCCCACTGGCGCTGCAGAAATAGGCCCATTGAGCTAGGCTGTAATCACACACACACACACACACACACACACACACACACACACACACACACACACACACACACACACACACACACACACACACTCATAAAGAATCTGCATTCACTCACCACTCTCTCTCCAGCACTTCATAGAAGTCGCAACAAAAATGCAGCCATAGATCCACCAGCCAACCAGCAGCATTCAACGCTACATCTCCCCAACCAGACATCAATACACACACACACACGCACGCACACACGCTCAGACACTCCCTGAACGCCGCTGACAAACCTTAAAACACACACCCTAGTAAGCACACAAAAACACACGGCAGCGTATTGTGGAGTGTGGGAGCGGCAGTTGTGTCAGAATCTCAAGGCATCTCTGGCTGCAGGATGGTGACACACACATGTACACAGAAACACACACAGGAACACACTCAGAAACACACACTCACTCAGAGATGCATGTTTCATAAGGTCATATATAATGGAAGAGGATTCCACGCAGAGAGGCCTTGTTTGTGTGTGTCTGTTGTTGTGTAATTGTGTGTGTGTGTGTGTGTGTGTGTGTGTGTGTGTAGCTCCTAGATGTGGTCTCTAATCCTGCTGGATTGTCAGATTAGTGTAACAGCTGGCTCCTACACACAGATATACATCTCTCTGTATCACCCCTCCTCCCATCATACTCCCTCCTCTGTACTCGGTCAGGAGCCAGGATCTATGCATTAGTGTCTGCGTCTCTGTGTGTGTGTGTGTGTGTCTGAGTGTGTGTGTTTGTGTGTGTGTGTGGCGGTCTCACAGCTCCAGTCCATTACTCGGTTTGAGACCAGCTGATGTGTCACTACACAGTCATGTGACCTCTGCAGAAAGTACAGTGAGTTTCAGTGTCTGCTGCTCATTTGGTCAGAGATACACAGATATCATCAAGGATATGAGTCAGCTGATCAGGCTCCTATAAAACATAGACGTTTCTCTCGAATTAACCCTACATTTTACTTTTAAAGATGTTTTCCTGTGCATTTACGGTCTTGATGAGTTTCTCACCCTTGTGGTTTTCTCGCTGTAACAGGGACTCATTGACACATTCAGAGGAACCTGTTCAGAAGAGTCAGATCTGTCAGGTCTTTCTGCTGACCAACTTTCATCATGAGTCAGAGTTTGATTTTAGAAACCAATTGTTTAAAGCTCCTGTGGGTAACTTTCAGTTTGTGCCACTTTTGGTGCCCCCTGTGGACAAAGCAGCACTTTCCATCACTCTTTTTATTGCCTGGCAAGTAAAAATGTCCCCCCGCTTTATCTTAGCAGCAGAATGAATCCCTAAATGTGAATATCAGCCGTGAAAAGCTTCAAAAAATCTGTTCCTCCATCATGATTGTCTGACACCTCACTGCAGTTTCAAGAATGACAAGAAACAAGAAGTCAGTGTTTGCCTTCCCCTTTTTTGTGTGCTTTTGCAAACACTCAAAACCTCTTCGAAGTAGCTATAACTAATCAATTAATCACTAAATTGGAGATATTTGTACTTTTTTTGATGCAGCTTAGTTAAACATTACAAGTGCTCCTTCTCCAACCACCCGAAAAATCAGAGACAAAACCATAAACAGACACTTTTTTGACTCATCTGAACAGTAATCACTCAGCAGTAGCAGCATTCAACAGAAACTGAGGAAATACCAGCGTCAGGGTCAGAAATGAAACCTTCCCACATACATTTCTGCACTCTTGAAAACTGTCCAAAACTTGCGTTTTCGCTCATGTCCCTCACAGCGGGAAGTCTTACCTGTTAAAAGAAGGAGGAAAAGGGTCTCAGGAGGCAGGATTTAATGTAAGAGGAGTCATTTTTATATTGCAAGTCTGTCGTCATCACCGCACCGGAGACTCCACATACACACTCAGACTTGCACTCTTGCACAGGCCTGCCAGCTCACAGTGAGCCAGTCTAGCCTCTGTAACGCCTCTGTTACTGCCTCTGGTGCCGGCACAGTGGTCCAACCATCAGCCCTCTTTCTGTAACAAAGCCACGCCATCATCGCACCGATGTTAGGCCTGCAGCAGCATAATATTGTTGTTCCTGGATGTGATTTTACATTGCATCATTGGGTTGTGGAGGTATGAGAAGTAAACACACAGCAGGAGCTTTACACACACACACACAGCACTGTCTGCCCAGCTCACAGTGAGCCTGTCTAGCCTCTGTAAAGCCTCTGATGTCGGTGCAGTGGTGGGCCGACTTGGTTTCACCACCCAACTCTCTTTGATAGAAATACTAAAGGTGAAAGGCGAAACATTTCTGCAGATATAATCAATCAGCCAAAAAGGTGATGCATTAGGGATGTGAATGCAGTGACAGAGTACATATGTAGAAGTACTTGGAGGTATTGGAAACACACAGCAAAAGAAGTCTACATTACCAAAATCCATGAATAATCTATGGTAGAATCAAATTCTGTTACAGAATAAACTTTGCATTCTTCATAATGCAAAAACAGCTGGTTTTATGTTGGTATCAATATCAGTATCAGTCAACATGAGTGTGTCAGTTTCTCCTGAGTGGAAAAGAGTATGCCAGTGAGCACAAAGAGTGTAAAACAGCTTTGTTACATACAAGACGTTCACACCAGTGGTGCTTTTATTGCATGGTGTAAACATCGTCATTCCCTCGTACTTGCTTGAGAGGAATTTAGACATTAGCATTTTATAGATACTTTAATGGGGGTCTGGCATTGAAAAAGTCTGGGTATTTGTCTTGGAATTGTTTGTTTGCGCTCTTACATACAGCTCATGTTTAATGCAGAGGCACAGTAAAAGATTAAGACTCCAGTTTACTGTTTGTCTGCATATACACTATTAAGTAAATCAGAGTAAAATCCATCACATTTTTGTAGACCTGAGTAAATTTCCATGAGGGTCAGAGCTAAAAGACAGAAAAGCATAGCTCCATGATAATTCAGTGAAGATCTGTTTTCATGTTGCAAACAGCGTGACTGCAGTAAAAACAGTGAACGTCACTGTCTTTGTTTATGATGCATGATCACTGCCGTCCTTTATCCTGCAAACAAATCAGGGCGTTTCCTGTGACTCCTTCACAATAAAGCCATTCAGCTCATCCTCACTGCTCTTTTCATGTGGAGCAGCAGCCGCAGGAAACGCTGGATTTGCATTAGTAACCTGATACTGCTCTTTGCAAACACTGAGTTTGATATCAATGAGATGAAATTACACAACACTCATACAACATTCATTCATTGTCTACTGTGATTCCCTGCTGCGTAGGAAGGTAATCCGAATCCCTCTCGTCAATGACAGACATCTTCACCTCCCATTAATACTTCTCCTCAAAGATGAAGCTGCAGGAAAATACAGGACAGAAATGTATTTATAGTTGGCAGGGGGTCAAAATGTCTGATTGAATGACTTTTGCAATCAAGTTGCAAGAAAAGAGGAATTATCCACGCAGTCAATGAAGGGAGACGGGATTCTGTTGTGTTTTTGTGTGATTTATTGGCAGTGAACCTCAGTTTCTCATTTTTGAGAGACATCATGACCTCCAGAATCAATTGTGTAAAAGAGGGCGGGCTGCCGGGCGGGCGGCCTTCCACCTAATGATGATTAATCGGTGAGCTAACAATGAAGCGAATTTTGTGCCACGCTCCGTTGGAGGTACACTGGACTGCCACAAATGGATTTTGCTTCATTGTTTTCTAACAGACGAGACAAATATTGAAAAATCTTCTGCATGAAAAGGGATTTAGATTAGCTTTCAGGAATACAGATGCAGGATTTCAGCTCCAGTCTGCACCTGTTTGGTCTCAGACCAAGCCACAGCGCCGTATACCATTTATATTTTTAGGCTCTCCGTAGGGGCATTCATCACTTAGATCATCTCTGTCCCTATAACTCAGAGCAGTAAGATAATATTAGTGCTGGGATGCTTTTCAGCTGTGGTTTGGTGCTGCTCTGAGACAGTTTCAGGGTCTGAGTGAGCTGGAATCGCAGGCTGAAGCTGGTGTAATGCCATCCTCCCACAGGTTTTGTACGGGGGAAATTAATACGGCCAACGTGGCCACGATTTGGATCAGGCACGGTTTGCACTATCAGGAATTTGATCGGCAGAATGCACTAAAAATAACAGTGGGAGGAAAAGTGTTTCACTCATTTCCTGGCTCTTACACAAACATGTTTACAGTCTTTGCTCAGCAGTTCACATTTATTGGTCATGGGGTGCGCGCGTGTGTGAAAAACTGAGACAAACATGCAGGAAAAGATCAGAAATGTATTTGGCAGGGGGACTTAATCTGCGTTTCTACCTTCCCACTCAGCGCCACTTTAAAAAAACATGCCTACAAAGATATTTTTTTTGCTGTTTGAGAGATATCACAACACAAGAAGTACAAATGCACCCATAAATGAGCCTTTTGTTTAGTGTTGTGCCCTGTGTTACTCTGAAACTAACATCCTCTGCACTTTTTCAATTAATCCCAATGTTTGATTTTATTTAAGACACGCAGAGCCACTTCTCATCTTTTAAACAGCTAATCAGCGTTAAATTGCTCTGCAGGCACCCTCTTACAAACACGAATTGATCCCTGCTTATGACCCCCTGCTGCAGCTGCTACTGCAAAGAATAACTTGACACAGAATAATAATTTCACTTTAAAATCTGGAGCCACTTTATTTGGCGTTTTCTGCATAAAGAAAGAGGCCTGGAGGCGTAGACTACAGAGACGTTCATCGCAGACATCAACGCTATGACAGTAAATGTATGCATTAGGAAAATCATTGGATCATTCTGATGAATGCTGAATGGTTTGAACCCACAGGGAGAGGGTTTTTATACATTATTTATATGTGAAAATGTGGGCATTCATCTTATTTAAAGGTACCATCCTGAGATTTTTATACTGCCTAACAGCGACAGCGTTTATAGAGGAGTTTCAAAGCTTAACAGCGAGCTGAGAGGAAGGTTTGCGATTCAGGATCTCAGTTAGAAGCTTAAAAATGGATGCATAAGTGAGCAGGCCCCTGAGCAAGAGTTTGAAGTTTTAAAAGTGACATTTTCATCCTTTTGTATCAAATATATGTTGATACAAAGTCTGATCTGATAAAGATTTTCATGCTTTTCTTAACATTTTTCTTGTGTGGCTCCTCATAGCGTCTGCAGGCGAGAGTAGAGCTGCTGTATCTAAAAGGCAGAGCAGTCCTGCTTCAAGAAATATAACCCACATATCAGGTTTTATTTGGTGCATGCTGAGTGTGTCTTTGTTTGCATGGTATTGTTTTTTTTGCCAATTAACTTAACTGGCAAGTGGGAGGAAGTCAGAGTATCAGGAGAAAACCCCCCACAGGCTCAGGGGTAGAACATGCAAGCTCCACAGAAAACTGCTTTGCATGTTCTCCCCGTGCCCACTGAGGTTTCCTCCAGGTGCTGCAGCTTTCTCCCACAGTATAAAAACATGCCACTTAGGTAAATTGGGGGATTTTATTTTGTCTGTAGGTATGAGTGTGGGTGTGAGTAGTTTTCTGTCAACTCAGTGATTGACTAGTGATGATACATGAAGTACTCCTCCTCTCGCCAGATGCCAGATGTCAGCTGGGATCAGCTCTAGCCCTTGAAACCCTTTAAGGAAAGCAACATTTGTAAGCAATAATTAAATGCTTGGCATAATGAGCCGCAGTGAGATTCTGCATCCATTACTTATTTTATTTTGGGATTAAAAAAAAAGACTCAATATCACATTTCTTTTGGCAAATAAACTTTGAATCATTAAGAATTGTGAGTTAAGCAACATCATGAGAGAAAATACAGCTGCGCAACAAGAAAATATAGATGTCATTAACGTCACCATTATTTTCACATAATTATAAAGTTTCTGGCTGAGGCTCTAATGACATTTTGTTGTGCTTTTATTTTCTGCATTTGCTCAAAGGCACCCATCTGGAGAATCAGCTCCACCAGCTGTTTATCTTGACGCACAAACTCCTGATAATAAAACAGTCATGGATGGAGACACAAATAAAGCTGCTTTTTCTTGTACAATTTCTCCCAAAAAAATCAGGAAATATTTTATAAATGTGCTTCAAATTTGTCAGAAAATCAACATATGGCTGATGTGGATCTGCCTTTCTTAATTTCAAGCACAAACATTACAGTTAGTTCTGACAGCAGAACCTCAGAGTCAAAATCAGCCAAGTCCTACAGAGACCAGCTGTAAGAAATCTCTTTTACTGTGATGAGCAGCATGGTCTGATATTGTATCTCATATTTCTGTATTGTGTTGTATCATGTTGTATTTTAATGTATCTTAGGATATAACATTATATTTTATCTTCTTTTATTGAATCATTTTCTTGGGAGTCTTATCAAACATATCATATTCTCAATAAATCCCATCTGTTTGTATTATATGATACAGAGCTCCTTCCCTTTCTCGATCCCTTTATAATAAATCTGAGTGGCTCATATCGTACATATGTGTCATATTATGTCATATTCAGTGATATTATGTTATACTGTATCACAATGTATCATGTACTATATCATGGTATAGTTTATCATTTCATGTCGCATTGCACAAACTTGTATCATAACGTACGTATGTATGATGTGTCATATCATAATGTATCATATCGACATATAAAATAACCAAATATTAGATCGTAACATGTCGTATTGTTCCATAATTGAGTGTTAAATACCCAACTATATCCTGTCATATTATATAACATGTCATATCCAAACATGTCAAATCCTGACATGTTGTATTGCAACCTAATGTCACATATCATATTATATCACAAAGATTGTCACCACTGTCTTATCTCTTCTCATAGTTTTGTTCTGTCTCATATCTTGTCTTCTATCTTATCTTGCTGTGTCATATCCTGTTATATCATGATATAATGTATCAAATCACATAATTGCCTATCATATCATATCTTATGTCCTAATGCAGTATCATTTCCTGGCTTGTCTCTTATATTATGTTATTTAATCTTACAGTCATTTCTCCTGTTGTATCATGTCACAACGTACCATATCTTGATCCTTTCTCATAGTTTAATGCAGCATCATATCTTGCCTTATCTCAATTTGTATAACGCTATAACATCTTGCCGTATATTATACTGTATTGTATCATAATGTAATGTCTCATAATTTCCTATTATGTCGTATTTTATAGTTTAATGCACCATATCTTTTGTTATTATTGTTAAGAGGTATTTCTGGGCGTTTTGCCTTTATTGGGAGAGGATAGGACAGGCAATATTTAATACTTAATGTCTGGCAATATTATTCTGACTTTCATGCCAGTAAAGCTCATTTGAACTGAATTGAATTAAATTGGATAGGACAGTGGACATGACAGGGAGTGGGGTTAGAGATTAAGGGGTAACATGCAGTAAGGAGTCACTGTCACGAAACAGACTAGGCTGACCACCTTTGTTTATGGTGCCCCTGCCTTAAGTTTTACGATCTTATGTGATCTTGCATAAATCACAATTGTTTCTCCTGCAAATTTAAAGGAATTTGCAGGAAGTTTAATGTGCTCTGAATTTATGAGAAAATGGACATAGGGTCGGTGAGAATGTTGCAGTACTTTGCTGCTCTAACAACACCAGCGGAGCTTAAGTGAGGTTCATCATGTTCAAGTGAATCAGAAGTTTCAGTCAGTTTTCAGAATCACCCCAGGTAACCCGAGACTTGCCTGCTTTGATCTGTTTGGCCGTAGCGTGCAGGTGTGAGCTGTTCAAGACCCACAGGAGTGTGCGCCTGACGTCATAGCTACAAGATACCGTCTCATCACCTGACCACCTGTGTGTGTGTGTGTATATGCGTGTCCGGCATGCGCTAGTGTGTGTCTTCGAGTGTGTGTGTCTTGTGACATTGCTGAGCCTTTCTGTGCTAATCTCTGCTGAAGGTGGCAGGTGTCTTAACCAGGCCATCACCTGGTAACCTACTCACACACACACATACACACACACACACACACGCACACTGCCCTCTGCCTTCTCGCTTGACACTAAGTGTGTTAGCGTCCAGGTTTGGCCGCCATCCAACCTGTCCAGCTGGTAAAGAGGTGAAGAGACGAGGGGGAAAAGAAGGAGATGGAGGGGGATTAGAGGTGACTTTTGACAGGGTCAGGCAGAAAAAATGGTTGTGGCGTGATATAAGTGTAAACAAGCAGCATTTTTTCCCCTGTAAACGTGCAATTACTAGAAGGGCATGTGCCAAGTGCTCAGAGCTTTCCCAGGTAGAGAGTTACCCACGGTCCATTTCAGCAGGGCTCAAACTCCGCACTCTTATCAGTGCAGGTCAGGCGGCCATGGAGAGGAGCAGACACAGAGATGGCCGTGATTCAGCGGCTGCCTCATGAAGCGTGGGCACCTCCACCTACAGAGAATTAAACTGCAGGGAGGCTGGAAACACGGCTCTTAAAGATCACTTTACCTCATTTTCTGTCTCATATTTCTGCCAGATTATTATTACTGTCATGCTGCGTTCAAGCTCCCCGTTGAAACGTCTGATTTGAAGCACTCCAGCTCAGCCAGGACACCCACATTGAAATATAAGCCATTCATTACCACAATAACTCACATTTATTCTGGTGATGCAGCTCATGAGAGGCCTTGGTACGAATCTGAGCTAGCTTGACTCTCTGATAAGAGGCAGAAATACACACTGCAAGGATGATGCAGGCAAAATTTAAAGCATTTTTATATCAGAATCAGAATTTTTAGTCTTGAATGTGTTTTTCAGAGCTCAAATACACAAAACTAATCCAAATAAAGAGCAAAAGGCTGAGGGGACCCTGTGAAAGAGCAGAGAGGACAAAATGTACGTTCTGTTTTTATTCATCTAAGCCTGTAAACATGAGGGTGCAGCTCTCAGAGGGAGTGTTTTTGTGACTAAATGAGCACCAAATGTTTGTTTAGACCACATAGTGTTTGAGGTATGTCACTAGAGTTATTTCCTGAGCATATGATTATCTAAAGTACCACATGGCATTTAAGAGTGTCTCTGCTGGTCTCTGTGGGTCCCAACCTGTCTGCCTCGAGCTGCAAGATGCTTAATGGATCAAGAAGGGAGAAAAAACTCTGTTCAGCCACCCAATTTAAATGTAATTTCTCTGACCTTTCCGGTGGAAAGTTTTTTAGATTCGGATTAATAAAGTCACATTGAAATGAAAGAGGAAGCATCTTTATCTCTATGCATCACAAGATGTATTTCAGGTTCACTTGGACTCAGAGGTGGCTGGTGTTTTCAGTCTAGGAGCCATTCAGAGTATCAACCACAGAGTACCAAACTTAGAACATCTTCATAACTTTGATTGTCATACTTTCTCATGACATGTTTCATTGATTCCCGCATTTTCTTGTTACCATCTATCACATTAAATCATTCTTTAACCTATATCCTGCACTGTCTTACCTGTCCAGTAAACTACTTCATATTTTCACAATGCATTATTATGCATTAAGATATACTCTAATACAATAAATAGAACTGTATCATATATCATATCCTATTCTGTTGAACTGAATCATATCTTATTAAATCAGATTGAATCAGATCATATCATTACATGAATCTCCAAACATCATATTGAACTTTATCATATCAAACTGTACCTTACAAACAACATGCAAATCCTACTAGGTTATTTCATTTTGTATTCAACTCTTTTTTTAAAAACATTTCTATCCTTAAATATTGAATCTCAAAGCATCATGGCAGGTTGTATTGTATTGCACATCCAGTGTTGCCCTATGCTAACGTATTGTAAGAGATTGCATTATATGAAATCATATCACCCCATATTTGGACCTATTCTAGCCTGAACTTTCTTATCTTGAGTTAGTGTCTCTTGTTACTTTGTATGATATCTTAATATACCTTGTTGTGTTGTAACCTATTGTATGCTGTCTATGGTGTAGTATGATATAGTGGTATGAAATCCTACTTTATTGTTATTGCATTGTATCACATCGTGCCATGTCATATTGAATAGTAGTGTATTGTATTGCATCATATTGTATCGTGTCATATTCTGTTGTCATATAGTATTGTATCATATCGTGTCATATTGTGTCGTATCATATCGAATGGTAGTGTATCGTAGTGCATCTTATCGTAACATATATTGTCTAGTATGGTGTCGGACCATATCGAATGGCCTTGTTTCGTATCGTGTTGCAGTGTTTCATATCATATTGTAATGGATGGTACAGAGTAACTTGTGTCATTTTGTCTGGTATTCATCATACCTTAACATATCATATCATGTCATAAAATGGTAAAAAGTGTGATTATTGCAGCATGGTTTCACCATACTGTGGCTTTAAAACTTAATATGTATAAGAGCAGCTCATCCAATTGTTAGGTGAGAAAATCTGAACACACAATTCTAATTAAGTCTGCAGTAGCTGCTACAACAGAAAAGCTGTTATGCTTTTCTATCTTTTAAACAGAAAATGTGAGAAGTTTAGTGAAAAAAGATCTGTCTCTAATAAAAGTGCACAAAACTCCTGGTTGAAGTTGATGACACAGCACTTCATTTTGAAGAATAACTAACCAGAGAGGTATGGAACGTTTCCCCAGGGACCCGTTTTATAAAACGCACAATAAATTACTTATTAAAATGTATGTGTCAGCCGGGAAAATTGGATTAAAAATATACAGAGTTTAACTTCAGGACTGTAACTAAGACAAATTACAGGATGCAAATGCCTCTACATCATGCTCGGATATTAGGGAGGATATATATATTTATAGGATTACTCATCCCCTTCCTACATACACAGCGTGGTGTGAAAAATGGCCTTAAAACCGAACACAATGGACACGACCTCTGTCTTTGTCATTGTGTTTCTGTCTCCTGCTCTCCCTCCACTCTGTGCAGTAAATGGAGGGACAGCTAGAAGAGTGGGACTCACAGATGGTGCCAGCTGAGGGAGTATTCAAATCATTCTTCACAGTATGAAAGCGCTGAGATGCTGCAGCAGCCGAGAACATTTGCTCCGATAAAATCTCACATATTAAAAAGCACAATTAACGATTATTTCTCGGAAGCAGAGCAGCACTGTATCTAGAGCTTAAATGCCTGTGTTTGTGTGTGTGTGTGTGTGTGCATGCATGAGAGTGTGTATATGTGCCAGGCATTGTGCAGTAGCAGCCGCAGCCTCTCGGGTTACTGAGGAATGCATTTGAAGTCAATCACAATGAAGCTTCTATCTTCCCAACAAGCCTGAAGGGGATCTCCATTCTCCAACCTGAACTGGACCAGCTTGAAAATCAACCAAAAAACCATCCTCACATCACACACACATCTGCTTGAGCTGTGATTGTGTGTGTGTGTGTGTGTGTGTGTGTGTGTGTGTGTGTGTGTGTTGTGCCTCCTATTGTTATCTGACTTCCTGCATCTCAGTGGAAACAGAGCTGCATACGCCCACTGTTATTACAGATAACATACACACACACAAATACACACTCCATGGTCTGATTCTCCTATAACTGTTGTATTAAACCTTGAAACACACACCTTGCCGTTGCCTTATAAGCATCACACACACAGGCACACACTTCCTTTTCTTCTTCTCTTCTGATCCGTTCATTTAAATTCCTCCTAAATTGAAATGTGGAACAAATCAGCTTCTTTGGATTATTAAAATCTGTGAAATAGCAACATTGTCTGCTCAGGTTGGAGATCCAGGCTTTGTAGCTGTAATGTAGCTGACACACACACATTTGTGGATGGGCTATAGGGTGAAATGTGCTCTGCAAACCTCGGTGTCAGCTTTGGATCACATTGCAAATGTCGCAATAGCTCTCAGAAAACGCACCTGCTTTGTCAGGACATGAAAGAAACCCTCCAAACACAGACTCTTTGTCTGCTTCTGTGTTTCTGTCCTTCAATTTTGATGTTTTTCCCTCTCTTTCTATACAAGCATACATAATTATATACTCCATCCCCGCTCCTAGATTATTTTAAAATGACTCCAAATGGCACCACGTCTTCTCACAATGGCCGCTCTTCATATGTTGCCAAATACCAGGATTGCTTCGCCTCCGAAGTACGGCTGTCATTTTACTGTTTCCTTTTATAACGAATGGGAACAAAATGCAGCGGTGGAGAGAAATTGAGGGCAACATACAGATGATTTTGGCCCCGGGTTATGCGTGCGGTGGAGGGGAGCTCATTGCGTCTCGTTGTGGTTAGTTAGTTATGTGGCGCAGGCAGAAAGTACAGCTGTTTATAGCTGCTGAAACAGAGGCAAAATGCAGAGCTGGCCCTATTGGATCACATAAAAACACACACACACACACACACACACACACACACACACACACACACACACACACACACACACACACACACACACACACTCGAATACGTCTGAGGGGCATTTGGTGTCTGCATGTACGCAAGCACCGCAAACAAAGCCTGTTATTATGCCCATTCAGACACACACACTCACTCTAATTACATACAGTGACGCACCACTGCCCGCCATACTGTGAATGAACGCGTATAATATCATAAATTAAACATGCAGAGGCATTACACATCGCTGTTCAGGGCTGAGACAAACATAGACGACGTACGTTTAAACACCAGCTCCAAAACCAGAGACTAGCCTTTGCAGCTTCCACGTCCTGGAGGGTGCTGTGTGTATAGGGGGCTTGTTAGAGGCCCCTAGGGTGGGCTCTGGGGGCTGGGTGTGTGTTTATTTAAACGTGTGGATGTGTGTTTTCAGGGGGGGAATTCAGGGGGCTCGCCTAAAGATAAGAAATGGAGTGGGGAGATGAAAGGAAAATGGGGCGAGGACGGGGATACACTGGCACTGAGTTTGTTGGGACTAACGGGGGCGGTGCGGGAGGGTCTAATCAAAGAGGGAGTCAGAGGAGCAGACTGTTTTGATGTTAGTTTTTAGGGTTGTTTATTTGTCGTTACATAACACCTTTGCTTATGTGGTTAGAGCTCTTATACGTGTGATTGTGTGTGTGCGTTTGGGACTCTGTGTGTGTGTCTGGTAGCTTCTCACTAGGAGACAGGAATTTCTGTGAGGGGCTAAGGTTGCCCATAGCAACGGCCTTCATTGTAAAACTGATCCTTGGAATAGAACTCACACACACACACGCACATAGACATATGCAGAGACACACACATTCCCACCATGCTTGCACCAAAACGCCCTTTCAGTACTTTTCGCCACTTTCAGGGTTCGACATCGCCAGGTCTCCACTCAACCTTTTACACACAAGTAAACACTCAAAGTGGGAAGCGCTCTTTTTCTCTCTCACACACATCCGTCCACTTTGTTGAGGCACATCTTCTCCCAAACAACTCCAAGTGAATTTGATTTTCAGTAGGTACATCTAACATTTCAGCTGCACCTCACACCAAGACGTGATGGACGGAGATGCTCGGGTTTCTAGATTCCATTATGCTTTTATTGGCTTTTAAAGGCATCGAGTTTCCTCTGTCTGGAGCCGGGGAGGAGCTTCCCCGCCTCTCTGAATGTGAGTGGGTTTGTTGTGGTGCTTGTGTGCACAATTAGCATCACACTGGCTAGCAAAGACAGAGCTGTGCAGGGCCTCAGGATGGTCTTTAGATTGCTGAGGAGATAGGGTTGTTTTGGTCACATTTGCAGCAGTGGACTGACTCTCTTCCAAAACCTGGAGCTAATCGGAGCCCTTTGTTCCTAGCATCACAACAGATCACTACTTAATGTGCACTGAGCTGAATCTGGGTTAGAGAGGCAGTGATGGAGGAAGAGTTCAGCTCCTTAAAGTTTGAATAAAATTAGCAACATTACACTTTAAAAGAGACTAAACATCAAAGTTTTACAGTCAGAATTTCTTTGCAAAAGCAGTATTTCTTTCTTACTTCGTTTACTTTGTTGTAATGGGATTAACTCTCATGTCATCATCCATTTCTAAATTTACGATTCACTCACATCACCAGCCCCCTGACTGAAACTCCTCCTGCCAAGACATTGCCCCCAAAAATGATACTTAGTCATGCTTTTAGTTTGATATTTTTCCAGTCTTGCATTGAGGTTGTTTTATTTCTGTGATTGCAAAATTATGTCTTTATTTTGAAATAAACTCTTATTGGTAGATCTTCAGTTAAAGAACTGTTTTAATCAGATACAAGCTCTAAAAGTTGTCCTAAAATGTCTGTAAGAGTGCCCAATCATCTCCCGGAGAGATGCTACAGCTAACTCACAGTCAAATCCTCACAGGAGCTTTAAAGCAGAGGGAAAATAAAAGCAGCAAAAACCGACAGTTAAAATACGACCTTTCAAAGTTACCATGTATCATTAAAATAAGTTTTTAGAGTATAATTTTTTTTAAAATAATCCAATCAAAAGCAGTGGTAAATGGGTGAGTCAGTCTTCAATCCCAAATTAAAAAAAGACTGTGAACCTCAATGCACCAGATTTGATTCAAACTTGTGGCCCTTTCATTATGCCCCTCTCCAAACTATTATATGCAGTGTCCCATCCTCTCCAAAGAAGGGCAAACAAGCCCAAAAATAAAGAGACTGATGTGTTCATTAATGAGACAGTTACACAAAAACAGTGTTGTTCACTGAAGTATCCATCAGATAGAAACATGGGTGATTAAAACGGCTGAAATGACTTTAAATGCTGTACCAAGATAAAACAGACAAGAAAGGGAGCTTAACTAGTCACATCTTGCACATGCTCAGTCAATGACAGATAGGAAGAACCTTCACTGATCTGGATGAAAGAGAACCAGCCAGAACCACACATACAGCAGAGCACATCACTGCCTCACCTACAAAGAACTAATGTTTAAGTCACGATCTGATTTTCCAGTCTTCATAAAAGCGACGGAAACAGCAGCTTTGGCGTTCACTTATCTAATATCTGTGTAATCTCCTATCACTCACAAACAGCTGGTACGGTTTAGTCTTCGCTCGGTGGCTGCTTTACAGGATCCTGTGTTTGCTGAGAATCTGGCAGAGTGGATTTTTCCCGCTTAGCGCCCATGTCCACAAAATAACCTTCAGAATAAAGTGCAGCTTAATGACTGTCTCCCTGAGCGAGTTCAAAGCTCTGATAAAAAGGAACTTTGTAACTGAACAGAGCAATTACTATTCTTTAGATGGGTTTGTATTAACGCAAAGTCTTTGTTGTCTCTTCTCTAGTACAAAGCTACATTTCTTCTACACACCATTTGTATTTGACAAGTTTTTGAACTTCTGTATAAACCATATCAAACCTCCTCAGGGAGGCCTTTTTCATGAGGTGTTTTCAGTCTCGATGGACATCCTGGTTAAGTAAAGGTTAAAAAAGTAAACAAAGCTGCTCCTATGAAGTATTTAATGTTATCAGCTGAGGTGAAAATCAGGTCGCACTCTGAGATGAACCCTGAGTTTGGTTCAACCTTACAGAGAGCACTAAGAGCTCCATCGCCTCTTTCAAGTTGATGGTTCACAGAGGATGTAAAAAAGTGAAGTATGAAGCAGCTTAAAATGTGGTGGAGACCAAAAACAGAGCTAGAGGAAGCTGTGATTGGATTTTCACTCATCTGATAGACACTGGGACAACTACTGGGTGCTAAACTGTATGCCTCATATACTTTCCAAGTATAGAGTCCTGGATGCAGCAGCTCATACTGCGTGTTATCCCTCACTCTTTCTTCATGTCAAAGGAAACAAATCGATATTTTTTCTAGGCTTTTTTTTTGTCTTAGTTTGACAGGGAAGAGAGTGGATAGAGCTGGAAGTGAGGAGAGAAATCAGGAAATGACATTTGGGAAAGAAACTGCAGAATGAAATCGAACCCAAGCTGTTCGCTTGTGTCATGACCTTCATGTTTAGGGTGCATGTTTAGATCGCTAGACAGGCAGTGTCTGTAAATATTTTTTTGATATGGTAAAAGTGCTGTTCTAATGTTGCTCCATGGCAGCTCGACATCTAAATACATTTGCATTTAGGCTTGACGCTTTATCCAAGTTAATATGACTGTGTGGCGTTTCCAGGCTGTTCTGCTGCCCCCTAATGGTCAAGAAAGTGTCTTATGCAAGAAAAACGTAGAAACAGCGGGTTCTTCTTATTTGGACAACTTATAATAATTAGTTAATCTTCCTGATGTCGGTTAATTATCACTCAAAACATAACTGTCTCAGTCTATATTTCTATGTGAAGAGGTGGAGATCATTTCAATGGTTTTAATCTGTGAGGATTAACAGCATTTATGATGTTTGCAAAGAAAATCTTAATTCTGTAAAGCTATTTGAAACTTAAGCTGTCGTGTACATTATCGGAGGAAATATACTTAGTAACAGTCTTAAATATGAAAATGAAAAACATTACCTCAGATAGAGCTGAAGGAAGTTTATTTGAAAACGTTTCTGGATCAATTCTACTGCGAGTTCTTGAACTAGTGTCCTGTACCGTCTGATTCCCAGCAGTCTTTAAAAGCTGCCTTGAACCGGTGTGATATGCGCTGTGGTGTGAAATGTATCTTTGCCCCTCAGAGGGGGCAGCGTCTCCTAAGTGCATGCATCTGATGCCTGTATTAGTGACCCTGTGTGATGTGTGAGTGCTTCAATGTGTTTAAACATGACAGGGATGTGGGACAGAGGTGAAAAGACACAAAGAGAGATGAATGAGGAGAGAGGAGGTGGAGGGATCAGCATCAGAGTGACCAGAGGCCGAGGTCAGCTACTTCAGAGCTCAAACCCCTTAACAATCGGACTAATCTGTCTCACTCACCCCTGAGAGAGGTCATCAGGCGAGATAACGCTCCCCTCTCCCAGGCGTAGATGAAGCAGACTCAGGTTAAGGTGCAGTGATGAGCAAGGAGGATGCTGGGAGATGATCTGCTGAGACAGTACAGTCAGATTACAGACTGCAACTGTGAAACTGAAATACGCAGCAGTATTTAATGTGGCATGTCCTCTGAAAGAGTTCAATTAGCACTGGAATCATTTACCAACAACAATATTGATCAGTTCTTCATTCAGGTCATTTATAAAGCTAATTATAAAGCTAATTATTTGCTTGATAAAGCTTCTCAACTGTGAGGATTTGCTGCTTTTCTTGGTTTCATCTCAGGAAGTAAACATCATTAGATTTAGAAATATGATCATACTCTCTCTAATTTTTGCAGACGCATCTAAGGGTGAAAAATATGCTTTAGTTTAGGGTTTAGTGTTTGTTGCACAGGGTGAGTCATTTGAAGACATTACCTTTGGCTTTTTAAAGTGAAATGAACCTTATTCTGTATTCTCTGAGCGTTTCGTGGTCTAACAGGTGATTCCTGAATGAAAGGCGCCGTTTCAAAGACAAACTGATGATAGCATTAATGGTGTAGATCAAAAGGAGCTGCTTCTCCGTCCACTGCTACTTTGCAGGCTGAGCATCACTCGTAACAGACACGTAAGCAGAGACTGAATGAAACCCTCTCTCCTTAAAAGCTTTGATGTTCCTCTGCCAAAATCCCAGCTTTAGATCGACTCATTAACTATGCTCCTCCACAGAGCCACAGACGGACAGATGTTACCCCCGTCCACACATAAAGCAGGCCCCTCTCGGCAGTTGTGTGTGCGTGTGTGTGTGTGTGTGTAATCTGCCAAAGTGGTGTCTCTTGTAAATGAAATGACAAACAGCTCGCTGCGTCTCTAATCCGTCTCCCCCCTCTTTGTGTTCCTCTTCAGGGACAGACTTGGTCACCCTCAATCGACGACGAAGGCTCAACGAGAGATGATTTCTACGATGACGAGGACCTCTACTCAGGCTCCGGCTCTGGCTGTAAGTGTGTGTGTTTTGTTAGGTAATTTGTGTGTGTGTGTGTGTATGTGTGTGTTTGTGTGTGTATGAGGTTACACACTCACGCCCTGGTTCTTTCAATCCTGACAGCTGCTGGGTTTCAATCTGCTGACCCTGAAGACCCCAACCCCCCTCAGTGTCCTCCAGTTATAGCGGCCCTGTTTGCCACATTACTTCCACAAAGGCCGCCACACACACACACACACACATCCACATCCACACACACAGACATTTTCACACCATTCAAACACCCTTCTTGGATGGACAGGGAGGTTGTGATTCAGATTTATCCGAAACACCTTTAAACACAGACACACCTTTGCAAACAAGCAGCGACCCAAGCTCTATTCACCCAGATCTTATTTGCAGTAATCAGATTACAGTCTACACAGATTAGCCCATCACACGCACACCAGCAGTCCTGTGCACCTATTTACTCACTCCTATCTGTGTCCGAACAAACTGGCCGCCAGCGTGAGGAGGAATTACCTACTTAACGTAAATCACATTGGTGTAATTCAGCCTGATTTTCTGATCTGGCTGTTGAAACTTGAATGTGGCTCTCCTTATTAAGCATGACTCATTGGGGGCTATCCTCAGTTCAGGCGCTGCGCTAACGGAGAGCAACGCTCAAAATAAATTACAATTCAGAGCAGGAGAGTGCAGCAGAGGCACCCCCTGTGGTCGAAACAGCGGCCCGGCAAATTGCTTTATCTCACACGGTGATACAGAGCCGTCTGAATCAGAAGGGAGAGCTCATTTCTAACAGACGGATGTGCGTTTTGCCTCTCAATGTGGCATTTTTAAGGCGTCAGATAAGTGTAACTGAGGCTGCATTGTTTGAGCCGGCATTTCGATATCCTCTCCAGCTCCACTGTCAGCCTTCATGTCTTTGTGCTGGTAAATTCAATTTGCTTCTCTTTCAAACCAGGGAGCGTCACAGGTCTAACAGAATGAAAGGTGCTATAATAATGCTATTACGAGATTGAAGAGGGAGATCAATCAGTAAGCACAGTCATCTCTGCTCCACTCTTTTCTCCTCAAAGCGCTTTAAGCCAGGTAATTTTGAAAAATAAAGTGTTTACATGCAGCCACCTCAGCTCTTTTCACTGCCTTTGAAAAAAAAAACTAGCCCACCTCTGTTTTTTTCTGACACAGATAGCTGCTCCCATTTACATAGTTCCCCATTTCTGTTGTCACAAAGCTAAACGAGCAGAAAATAAGAATTTGATTGCAGCTCTGATTGCTGCAGCGAGTCGTCAATAAAATCACTACCTCTGATGCTCAAGTCGTCTCACAAAATGAACATAGGGAGCTGTTTGATTGGATGTATTGACATTTCAGACAGTCCGTCTTAAAGTGCCACGACACTGATTCTGCATGTAAAGGTCAGTCATGTGGAGGTCGGAGCCAGCGGTGTATTGTGTCCCCTGTTGCTCTCCTAATAAACCAGTTTTTTTTTTAATGCCAGTGAAAAAATGATGGAGGCAACATGATGTCATCCATGTTGTCTCAGCAAGGGCTCCAAGATTTTGCCTGCAGTGATATTACTGATGCATTTACATCAAAACTGAAAAGTAAATAGAGAGACCGGGTGGTGTTGTGATGCATTAAGGTGGAAATGGAGGTGCTGGTTCAACCCCTCGCCCCAACCCTCTGATGCACGCCCTCTTCTACTCCCTACCGCCTCCCTTTCCTGTTCCTGTTCAGCTCATCATAATAGCAACAGGGGGTATGCTCATAATATAGTCATTTTGATTTTTTTTCAGGCCAACAGTCAATCATAAATTTGCACAATTAGATGCGGTTTAAGTTGATAGACATTTAGGCATGGTGTTGTTTGGATCCATCTAATTGGCTTGGGGATCCTGCGCCTGCTACTGACGTCATGAAACATGACTGACTGAGATTTCATTTTCACAATGTTATTGGCTGTATAGAGTTTTACCTGCCAGGGTTGTTTGTCTTTGTAGAGTTTCCATGTTATAGGCTTGGGACCATGAACCAATCTGACCACCAGCATAATGCGCAACAAATGCTACATTTAGTATCTGAAATTCTCCATTTATCATCATATACAAATGACTTTCATTCCTCCTAAGACCTCCAAAAAACTCACAAATCCAAGTTTGGTCACTTTAAACTTTTACTTATGGCGTTTGAGAAGGAAACTTTGCAGCATATTTTCACCATTTCCAATTCAAAAAGTAAAAAAGCTGCTCACAGTCTTTATATTTGCTTTTCATTAAACTTCACAATAACTCAATTCTAAGCTCTTCTGAGTAAAACATCAGCCTAAAAATTGTGTAATTGTGTAATATCATGAACCGTTGTGGGTCCCTGAGCTGGCCTGAACACATCTGTTACCTACACCAGGAGGTTTTGAGTTCCTCCTCTTTGCCTGTTTCTTAATCGATCTAAAGATTGGGAGAGAGCTTTCCCAACATGATGACCACTCTGGTAGATGTGTGCTTCTCTGAGTTTTTCTATTATACAGTTTTTGATTATTACTTTTAAAAAACTCACTTTTTTTTTAGATGTACCAACCACAGAGATCTTTTCTGACAAGTTTCACTCGTATGTGAGAAATTTATCAGATTGGATCAGAGTCCTGAGCCGAGTGAAAAAGAAGTGTTTTTAGGTTCAAAAAGTGTCTTTGCCACATACAAGCAACAGCTCATTTTAAATATGTCTAAAAATGCAACTCCATAAAATGTGTATGTATGTGTTTCTCTGTGTTGGTGGATGAGTGACTCATTCCTGTTAACTGGAGGGATATAGAGACAGTGAGAAAATGTAAATTTCACTGACTGACTGTAAAGACGTTTGTTTCTGTGGCATTTTTTGAGAAACTGCTGCATTTCCTTGTTTCCATCTTTGTTAAAATCCTACATTTTGCTTCATTCTGTGATCTTGTTGTTTGCTTTTAATGGTTGTACTTTTTAACAGCAATTTCTGTGATCATTTTGAAAGCCTGATCAGGGACAAAGATTTCAATTTAGCCATAGGTAGAAAACTTAATGAAGCATTTTTTCATGTTTCATAAACCTCTGAATACGTGAACAGAAGCTCAAAGGATATTTAAAAAGCCCTGTGACAATCTCTTGGAGTCAAATGCTCTTTAAGTCGTTTTAACCCAAGAGTGTGAAATGCATGCGTGATGTTGTGACTGAAAAAAAAAAAACCTCTTTAAAGAGATGAAATATATTCATAAATGCTACTCTCTGTTTGCTGACAGTCCCACAGAGCAATCGTGAAGTCATGCAACACTGCAGCTGTTTGTCCTGATGTAAAATGACAGTGACTGAAATCTCAATTAACTGCTCACAGAATGAAATTATCGAGTGTTTATTGTATAGGGAGCAGTGAATGAGCGTCTGAGGGATTGATTTCAAACACAGCCTTCTGATTTACAGTTTGTGTTGGAGTACGGGTGTGTGGGCAGGCAAGTTGACTGATGAATTTTATGTGTGACTGAGTGTGTTTGTGTTTTCTTTACTGACTCCTCCGCTTCTTGTAACGGTCTCGTTTTGAAGTTTCATTTTCTGTCTTCTCTAGTTCCTGATATCAGCATAAGGCCGACATCAGCAGGTGTGTCCTTCACCACAGAAGAGCCGCTCCTCCTCTCCACCACACAGGCAACAAGCCCCGCCCCCTCGGCCTCACCTGCAGCCGAGCCGAGCCCCGACCCTGAGGAGCCCACCGCCACATCGATGCCCACCGAGGCTGATGGAGAGAGCGGCGTGTTCTGGGAAAGGGAGAAGGAGCCGGAAAGGGAGAGAGAGAGGGAGTTAGAGAAAGAGGAGGAGAGGCAGAGGGAGCTTGAGAGGGAGAGGCAGCTGGAGCGGGAGAGAGAGAGGGAGAGAGAGAGGGAACGGGTCCGGGAGAGGGAGAGGGAGCAGGAGAGGGAGAGAGAAAGGGAACGTGAGAGAGAACGAGAAAGAGAGAGAGAGAGACAGAGAGAAAGAGAGCTGGAAAGAGAGAGAGAGTTGGAGCGAATCAGGGCTGCTGCTGCTGCTCGGACCACACCTGCCCCGCGATCACCCGCTGCCGTACCTGTGGTGACCACCAACCCGGCCATCAGCTCCTCAGAGAGTGCAGCGCCCTCTGCAGGTTCGGATGACCTGAGCACCACAGAAGAAGATGACGATGTCTACCTGTCACCTGAGCCCACATCGTTCTACCCCGGGTTCAACATGGAGACCACCACAGAGGAAGACATGGAGACCACCACAGAGTCCACACCTGAACCTACCACAGCTGTGCCCACCACCACCACCACCAAGACCAGGTTCCCCTTCAGACCAAGGGTTCCCATGACAACTGCCACTCAGGTGGCACCGACTGAGAGAACAACACGCCCACAACAGCCAACAACAGCACAGGTGAGATTTAAAGACTCACATCATCCTGGTCATAAAAGAAGAGAAGTTCAGTCTTTACGGGACTCTGAAGACCAGATCAGATCCATACAGGGAGTAAGACTCAGGGTTATGTATCTGATAAAAGGAAGATTTCAGGGTGTTAATATTTCTTAAATAGAATAGTTTGCCCACCAACAGCAGAAACCAGCACCCCCACTAGTTGCCAGGCAGCAGCACCAGGATGGGAAAAGATTTTTGGAAGGCGATGCACCAATCTGTTGTTTGCCAGAAAATGTAAACTGCAAAAAAACTCACAAGGAAACAAAAAGTTGTTTTTACAGGCAAAGAACAGACTTACGTTTACATTCAGCATCAACATCCCTCCTCAGGTATAAACACACCTCAGTGGAGGGATTCAGATAGGATCACTCCGGTCTACAGAAGTGGTCTGGCAGTTTGTATGCTCATGTGTCCTGGATCACGTTAAAGACTTCCCAGCCTCCCCATTTTCACAAATTTGTGGAGTAATAGACCGTCTTTTCACACCTGGTAAAAAAGTGATGATCAGTATATCTATAGGGGAGTATTTAAGTAACGGATCAGACTACATGTGATGGCATTATGAGTATTTCAAACAACAGAACGGTCTTTTTGAGATAAACCACAGTGCTCATGGGAACAGAAGAACAAGTCGCCCACTGTTTAACAGTATCACTTGGAGTGTTTTGAAGATTTCGTGGTGATTAAAAGGAGCTCTTTGGCGCTGAATAAAAAGCAGTTTTGGTCACGATCAAATCATTACTTGTATCTCATATCGACAGTGATGGAGGATAACACATCAAGAACCTAATTCACAAACTAGCTTCTGTGTACTCTTGACCAACATGGTTATTTTGTTCTGTAGCAATAAACTGTCGAGGTTTGATACCCGCCCTTCCTCCTGCCTGCCTCTAAACCACTGACAGCTTAATTATTTACAGACCAGAGTTGTTTCCCTGATTGGTTTGCCTCTGTTTATTTGGAGCAGTCCTGCATTAAAGTATGATGTATTTCGATTCGCCTGGTTTTCCACGTTATAATTAAGCTGCCAGGTTTTATGAAGTGCGTATACACGCTGGACAATGAACAACTTTCCATCAGTCTGAACATACAGAGACTCATTGTTTCAAATGGTGAACATGTGCCATGGAAATTTCTGGGTTTGTGTTGGTTTGGAGGGGTTTTTAGAGCAGCAGCTTCATGGAACAAAAGTGATTACATCAAATGTCAATTTTCCTCTAACCCGTTTGACTTTTTCTCTCTGTCTTAGGAGGGCATCAATGAAGTGGGCGCTGCAGGACCAAGTGGAGATTTTGAGATCCGTGATGACCGGCGCAATGATTTGGGTCGAGGTATAGTGCCAATGGATCCTGATCTGATTGGCAACACGGTGGACGGAGGAAGCTCTGCGGCCCAGCTGCCACAGAAGAACATCCTGGAGAGAAAAGAGGTCTTGATAGGTAAGACTTTCATCTGTTACACGTTCACAATGTTATTTTGTATTTGTCCTGTTCATCCAGCTCAGTCTGTGTCTCTCTGTCCAGTGAACCACTCGGTCGCCCCCCTTAGATCAACAGATTACCCGTTGCCTCCTGTATTCTTTCCCTGCTGAGATAAAGTGGCCTTAACTCACGTTAGGGTTGCACAGATTCATCACGATAAGTGAATGTGCTGCTTAGCCCCGTTTGACCCGTTGAGAACAAGCAATCCTCTTCTTGGGTTAGCTAACCCCCTTTCCTCACTCCGCTCTTTCTCTCATCATTTTCCCTCTGGGTAAATCCAATTTCTATTCAAGCCCCCCTCCCCTCCCCTCTCCTCATCCCAAAGAGCTGTTGAAGAAAGTGCAGGAGCAGCCAACTTGTCTGACCTGACTGGCTCTCTGTTTCTCCTTCAGCTGTTCTGATTGGTGGACTGCTGGCGGTGGTTTTCGCTGATTTCCTGGTCACCGGTAAAGAGCAGGAGGCAACAGATCTTAGATTAGATTATGTAGATGCCAGGCAAAGGTTTACATATGTAGAGCTTTACACGTGTAGTGACTTTTTACCCATGGAGGTCACACATTCAAGATGATATTTACCAACTTTGACTAGATTTAGCCGACTTTTATTTAAGTTATGAAGAAGTCTTTTTCTACCAGGGATTTAGGTCCTGATGAATTAAAAAGTAAATAATTATTCAAGTCAGGTTCTCAGCAAAGCAAAGATGAGTTTTATTCTGCAGTTTATCTCACAAATTTCTGCTCCATGAGACTGAACTGCAGAGCTATGAGCCACATGCTAATATTAGAGTAGCATATCAGCATTGTCAATGATAATGCCACATAAAGATATCATTAAGGCTCCATGTCCACCATAGCTGTATTTGAAATCATGAGTCCATATGCAAATATGAAAACACAGACAGCGTGCCAATGTGAGCGAGAAATATTTTGGAAATTCGCTGCAAGCAAAAAGGTGGGAGTGATGACGGGTTTATACTGATGTGTCATTTGAGATGCAAAAAAAGACAATCATTCAATAAGTGAAGTTTAGGAGTCTGCACATCCGTCAGTTCACACAGTATTGATGCAGACTGTAGCTACAGCTATTTACGGGGTATCAAAGACAATCTTCATAATTGTGCTGAAAATAATACAATCAGCCCTAATATGAATACATGACCATGACCTCAGCTCCACTTCCTGTTGCTGCGCCCACCATCTTGCCGTAAACATCATACTGTGGCTTTTGTTGTCTGCTTTTGATGTTGAGTCTTGCAAGGACATGTATGAAAGAGCAACATCAGAGGACAAAAACTCACAATAAGACTTGATGAACTGAGCCCAGCACAAAGTACAGCTAAGCTCAAAGGAATTATATTGGTTTCCAGGTGAGCTGTGAGGCCCTCAGCTACATTTTTTTGCTAATGAGACATCAGAGTTGCATAAAAGGTCCTCTGGGTTGATGGAATTATAAACAGTTAGAGGAGGCTTAATCTTGAAAGCAGTTTTCCTGACAATATCTCCTTCAACTGTCAAAATGTGGATAAACGTGGTAGACTGACTGATTTCTACTCGCGCACTCAGGCTGCTAGCGTGGCTAAAAATAGTCCTTTTTTTTAGTCAGTGATGGTAATGAAGATCTGATTTTATGGATTCAAGGAAAAGTAGTTCATCATGTCTTTTTTATGAGAAACTGCAAATGGTGCACTTGAAAGAGTGAAATTAACATTTCTCATCTCCAGTCTCACAAATGTCCTCCACAGTCAAATCGGCGACCGTAAAAAATTCCAATTACTGCGCAATTTAAAGCAAAAATTTAATTTTACTTTTTTAAGTAAGAGTAAACGGTGTGAGAAGTCAGATGGCTGAGTGTTTCTGCAGTGACAGTGCATAAAGTAAACTCCCGTTATTTTTCACTACCCCAGCTTTTGCTCTCTGATATTGGCAGTAATGAATAAACAAAGTAAACACCTCCCACGCTGTGAATGGAAACAAAGTGTTCCTCAAGCATTTTGGAAAATAAACACTTTGTTCTCTGTTTTGGCGTCGATACCAATTAGTTTAAAGAGGCAGCGTTTTTCCCATTTGATAAGCACACACTAATCTATGGCACGCAGTGAGAGTTCATTAGTGATGTGTGCAGAAGACAGTGGAGAAAGCAGAGAGCTGCAGACTGATTCAACCAGTCACATCAGGTTAGAGCGCCATGCAGCTCTGCAGGGCCAAAGTTAAGCACAAAGCTGCTGTCAACACAAAACACAAGTTAGCACACCCGGGCTCGTCACATAGCAGCTAGCTGGTAGAGACGCTGTGGTAGCTTTGCTCGGTGTTTAAAGCAGCGTGTGTTTGTCGTGTTGTAGTCTCCAGCAGGATGTAACAGTGGCTTTAATGGTATTTCAGTGTTTGTTTATGTTTCTGTGTGTTTGCAGGATCTGTGGTGGAATAGGACGTTTTTAAGAAATTCTCTTTCTGTATTTCTTCCCTCAGCCGTGATCGTTGGAGGAGTTGTAGGCGCCTTGTTCGCCGCCTTCCTTGTGATGCTGCTGGTGTACAGGATGAAGAAGAAGGACGAGGGCAGCTACACGCTGGAAGAACCCAAACAGGCCACCGTCACCTACCAGAAACCAGACAAGCAGGAGGAGTTTTACGCATAACACTCGAACTCCAGAGAGACGCACCGCACACCGAGGGAGAGATACAGAGCGAGAGAGAGCGAAGAGAGAGATACTCTAAGCCCCCTTCCCCACTCCTCCTCTTCCTCTTCTTCCTCCTCTTCTTCTTCTTCTTCTTCGTCGTTTCCCCCTCATCTGCTCGCCTCTCCTCGTCCTTCTCTCCTCTCGTCTCCAAAACACTTGAGAGCGCCTTTCTCTCTGCGGACTCAGAACTTTCTTTTCAATGAAATCCAAAAAAAGAGGACAAAAAAAGGAAAAAAAAAAGCAAATATATTCTGAAAAAATAACACATACACACGAGATGTTTTTAAAGTAAATGTTGTTATTAATATTCTACAGATTCTCTTGTTCTGTACGTAATGATATGATTATTTTGTAAGAAAAGAAGAACAAACAAAACAAAACACAAGCTCTTAACGTGTTTTCCAGCACAAAAAAGTCCCTCCTCTGTTTTTATGGAGCTGATGAAAAGGCAAAGAGAGGAGAGGAGAGGGGCAGAGCGAGCTGAGCGAGACACAAAAGAAAGAAGAGAGAGGGGTGGGCTTGACTCTGCCCCTTATCCCCCCGCCCCAAAATACACACAAAGCGTCTGGTTGGCCGCACAGAGCAGCGCGGGTCAAAAGGTGAGAGGAAAGGTCTCTTTTGTGCCTTCCATCGCTCTGGTGCTTAGACGCATAAACCAATCCATGCAACCACACACACACACACACACACACACACACACACACACACACACACACACACACGCAAGGCTTGTGTCTGCTTGAAGGTGGCTCCGACCTCCCTCTCTGTGCTTGGCCAACCAGAAAACGCTGATCAACCTCGGCGTGTTTCACAACGTTGAGGAGCCGCTGTGGAAACATTGGCTGGTTACAAAGAGGCTCGCACGCGCTCACAACGAGCCGGCGGCCTGTCTGCTCCTCTATGCTGTACAAAGACTAGTTACGGATAGTAATAATAACCAATAATATATCAATGTTTTGGGCTGGATGGTGATAATAATAATGATGATAATACCATTATAATAATAATGATGATAATAATACTTAAACAGGAGGATATGTATTTAGCAGTTTAAAAAGTTTATATGTAAATATCTGCGTATCCTTTCTGGCATCACTAACCATCTGCATGATCATGAAGAGTTTTTATTCGTCACATCCGTCATCACTTAAGATGAGCTGTGCTCTCGTCCGCCACATACGCACCCACACACACACACACACACACACACCCACACACACACACACACACACACACACACACACACACACACACGCTTACACACACATCCATACAAACACACACACAGACACACACAAATGCAGACATTTAACTTGCTGTGCATTTAAAAACACCTCATACTGTAAATCATATGATTCAAACACATATCAAACCCATCGTCATCCGTCATTTGTCATTGTAATAGTCATCACTCGTGATCAAGCGAGAGAAGTTGGTTTCAATATGTTATTGATTAGTTATGGATCAGTTGCGGGTTGGTTCAGAGTTTGGTCTGTTTGCGTAAAAGCACAACTTTGTGTCCAGTCACCACGTCATCAAATATCCCTCCACATGCACCTTCTGCATGCCTCACTTTGTTTTCCGTCTACCATTGGCTCTCTGTTCGGGGATGGGAGGGGTCTCTGGGAAGCAAGAGGGGCTTTAATGAATAACAAGGAAGTGAGCAAATGTGCAGGAAGTTGCTCCCACCTGCGGTAATTCATCAAAATCAAAACTTTTCTATAAAAGTTTGGGAAAAAGTTTGACTTAGCGTGATTGGGTACGACTTTATCCTGATACTGTTTTGAGGGAGGGGAAAATAGGGAGGGGAGGGGGCGCGGGAAGAGGAATTCACCATTATTACAGCGGCTATTTCCCATTGGGGTCATGCTCAAATGCTGGAATAATGTTGTACTGCTTATGCTGTGCCTGTTGAATAATATCCCTTAATGTTCCTTTAAAGGCATCATTTTTCAGACAGACCCATCTGCAGAAACGGTGGAGCTCTGTGATTTCTTTTTAAGAATTTACACCTTCACTATTGAATTGTATAATTTTACCAAACTTTTGTAGCTGTCAACGCCCCCATGTCAACTCAAATACAGGCCAACACACCTCAGTGTCCTTAGGGTTGGCTGTACTTTCAGGTGCTCATGAATTAAGAAGCACTACTTCATAATGATTTGTAAAATACCCTGAATTTACATGATATAAAAGCAACATTTCCGACCTGAGCGTAACCTCAGTGGAGAGTAGCCGCCGTACGAATGTGGTGGGTGTGTGGAGGCAGGAGGGCTGTGCTTCTATCTAAGAGATTGTAACAATAACCACACCAGTGCGACTGGGCTAGTAGCTTCTATTTTACTCAGTACTGTAGAACAAAAAATGCATGGGAGTCAATATTATACTAGTCTGTGTGTGTGTGTGTGTGTGTGTGTGTGTGTGTGTGTGTGTGTGTGTGTGTGTGTGTGTGTGTGTGTGTGTGTGTGTGTGTGTGTGTGTTTGTTTGAAAGGATAAAGGGGTGAGTTTTAGTCAGAATGTACTGTGGTGGAGTGTGTGTTTACCTACTCCAGCAGTCTCACGCTCTTCCACAGACCGGTAACACACCTCCTCCACTCATGTGTGTACGTCACCTGCCCCCTTGCAAGTGTGTGAGAGTACGTGTGTGTGTATGTGTGTGTGTGCGCACCATACCTAATCCCTCCACCTGTGTGTGTGTGTTTATGTGTGTGTATGTGTGAGAGCTTCACCTCGGTATTTCACAGCAGACTCTTGTGTACACTGACTAGCCTGTCGATGTGTGTGTGTGTGTGTCTGGTGTGTGTGTGTTTAGTCTGTTCGCTGCTGACTGAGGGGCAGCTGGTCCCTCACAGTGGATTTCACACACACTGACTGTCTTTTCACTGTCTGTCTGTCTTTCTGCTCCAGGACAGGCAGACAGACAACACGCCACTTTCTCACAGGCAGGAATGATCTAAACACGTACTGTCTTTTCTAAAGTGACTGTCAAAGTGTAAACATGTGTGTTTGTACCCATCTTAAGCCTGCGTAGCCAAATAAGATGTGTGCATGTGTGTGTGTGTGTGTGTCTGGTGTGTGAGAGAGAGAGCTGGAATACGGATTTGTATGTGTGTGAGTGCAGGTGTGTGTGTGTGTATGTGTGTGTGTGAAGCCCGATGGAGGCGACACTTCTCTATGTTTGCTGTTCCCATTCCTGTTTTTATACATTTGCATTTTTTTAAGGCTGAGTTTCTGTCATTGGCTGAGTGAGCGAGAGGAGGCGGATCCTCCACGCCACCGCCCTGTCACTAATCTGCCACTCTGTTCCAAATAAAAGACCTGATTGGGTAAACGTGTGCGCTCCTGTCTTTTCTTTTAGGATTCTTTGGTTTGGCAACAGCGGAGGAGGCATCCAGAAAGCTGGTTGCTTGAATGAAGCGTCTCAGACAGAGACTGAAATGAATGTTTTTTAAGACAGCAGCCTAAAATGTATGAACAATTTGTTGAGCTACAAAATGTGATGCTGCTCAAAAGCTCTTTAACAGACGATATAAAGACAAACAAAATAAGCATCATACTTCCTGTTTAAGAAAAGGCCTTACGCCATACTATCCTGTACTGCCAGTTAAAGCTGCATTAAAGGCACTGTAGGGAGTTTTCACAGGTTGGAAAACAAGGTTCAAACATGACTGTGAGCAACAAGGCCGCAAATGTCTCAGTTTTGGTGGTGTGGTGGTGGTGGTTGGGGAGGTTCTGGCCCTGCTTCCTTAAATCCCTGGGCCATTAAATAAGGAGCAAGGGCTAAAGGTAAGCCCAAGTTTCTGCATTTGAAAAGTTCCTCAAAAGGTCCCTTGTGTCTGGGGAAAGTGTCTGCATTTGAAAAGCACTTTTGTAAAAATCTGTAATAGAAAATATCTATAAACTTCTGAGACGACCCGAGGCAAAAAATGTTCAGTTTTGCTTCTGAAGACCCTCTTCTCATGCAACTTTAATGCTTAATAAAATGTTTAATTTACAACATGTTCACTTTTGAAAAATGTGCTTAGTCACTCACCCGCCAAAAGTCAGATAAGAAGATCAATACTAATCGTATTTCCTTCTGTTTCATATGAAGCTACAAGAAGCAGCTTTAGTGGAAAGGCTGGAAACTGGAGTGAAAAGCTCACGTGGTGGATCCCAGTGCCGAATTTGGAAAGTCTGCAAACTCCTCAGACTTGGCTCATTAGTCTAGCTTCCTGACATTACCATTTTCTCTGTTGAAAAAGTACCAGATACATAGTGCCATAGTGTGTGCTCTTTTCCAATAGTCTAGCTATATTTGGAAACCAAGCATGAGTAATGACAAAAATACAACTGCTGTACATGAAAGTTTTTTCCCCTGTGCATAAATTGCACGTCAACTCAATCTCTCCAGGAATCACAGTTGCTCTACTTTACTTGGCCCTGCTCCTATAATAGCAAAACCACTATGCTGGCAAGTTTGGAGATACATTTGCATTATACTGAGACAGATCCGCTGGTCTCTCGTGGTTGTTGAGGGAAATTGAATCTCTCTACCGAGGGAAAAACGGTCACAGGATGGAAACTAAGTGGTCCAGATCCTCCTGATTTCATTGGTTCCAGCATTACGTTTGTGTTTTGAACGAGGGATTTTCTTCTTGTTTGTTTCTTGTCAGAGTGAATTGAGCTTTTGAAGAAGCCCGTAAGTCGACTTCATCCCATTTGGACAGCACCAGACTAGCTGTTTACCCCTAATTCCAGCTAAGCTAAGCTAACTGGCTTCTGTTCACGTCATCTTCAGCAGGAGAGGGAATATGTGTCAAACTTCTCTGTTAATTACAAAAGATAGCACAACATTGTGAGACCCACTTCTGTCGATATTGTACTTAAATTGCTCTAATTCCTCATAAAATGTGTCATTAATCAAATTACCAGGAACAATTAAGCTGCAGTGAAGCTGAGAATTTGTTTAGCCCCGAGGGGTCAAGGTAATCCCGCTTTGTTCATTAATATAATTATGACCTGACCGTGATGTACGCCGCCTCTCAGCCCGTGTCAGCTGGGAAAGACCGCAGGCCCTCAGAGACCCGGCAGCAGGATAAACGTGTAGAGATAATGGCCATTACAGCAGCAGGAATTACAAATGAATGGAAATTACGACTCTTGTGCTCCAATTACAGGAGTATTTAGTTTTGAGAGACATTTTTCACTCATGAAGCAAAAAGGCGATGTTGTAAAAAGAGAGCTGAGAGTCTCTTTTAATTTGATAGCTCTCTCTCAAACCCCTGATTAAAGATGTGGTTTGAAATATATCTGCACAGCCAAATTCAATTTAACTCCATTTTTCAGTCAGTTTATATAAAGCAGCTTAATCTCTTGGTAAACTTTACATAAGGGCTGTTGTAGTCAACTTATGATGGAGCAGTGGGGCCACATGAAAGAACTTTTTTACTTATGAGAATAAAGTTTTGGAGCGACTTTACACTCCTCCGTAAATCTTTAAAAAATGTTTTTAAATGTTTTTTTTAAGTTACATTTTTTTTTTAAATTTCCTTATTTAGAGAGGAAAGCTGACAAGTGATTAGAAATGTGAGGAGTAGAGCGCTGGGGAAGACCTAAATGTGGCCCTAATACTCCATCACATGCACTCCTAATGCACATCCTTTAAAACTATATATATACAATATACTATATATATATAAAACAAAATGAAGCAGCTACTTGCAAGCCAGTTTTGGCAGCCTGCTGTAAGATAATTTATCTTTAAAATCTAAGATTCTGGATCAAAATATGGCAGAGCTTGCTAATGAATCAAATATTTATACTTCTAACTGAACTGTTTTGACTGTTTTTATTCAGTTCAGTATCTTGGATCTAACAGAATTGCAGTACTTCAAAATAAAAGCATATTTTACAGTGCAGCAAAACAGAAAAAATATCAAAATAAAAGCACGACGTGCAGTCTTTTTATAAGGCAGTATCTCCTCTGTGGTAGCTTTAAAGTGTTGATGTGGACAAATTGGATCGATTAAAACAGATAAAGCATGCAAATTAGTTGTGTTTATTGGTGAAGTTTATGAATTTATGTGTTGCTCCACCTTTGTTTTACCGTCTTCATTTGACTAATTGAGCTGGTTTAGTGTCAAGTTTTCCTTAAATATCCAATAATCTCATGTCATGATGGTTTCCTTTGAATGGTTTGTCGACAGATTATCTTTTTTTCCTGTGTCCACCTTCATTCAGCTGCAGCACACATTTGGCTCACACCATGAAATCTCTAAATGAGTCTCATATCTATTTACATACAGAATCCTGGTTACTGTTGCTAATCCAGGGAACGTGCTTTCGTCAGCGTGGAGCTCAGATTATCCAAAGTAACCAGGACATTGTTGCTGGAAAGACAGTCTCCTGCTGAATAATTTAATGGTGATTTTGAATGCTGTTAGCATTACAGATGAAATTCCATTTTGCCTCCACATCTCTGGGCTGGAGGAGGAAATCTCAGAGACAGACGAAACTCTGGCAAGAACAACAACAGAGAGCAAACACCTTTAGATTCATGATATGTTGAAATTGTATGAGCTGATTCTTTCAGTCTTCTGTCAAACGTGAAGCTCAGGATCTGCTGGTTGTTTTACAGGGTGGATAAAATAGACAGCTCAGCTCAGTGAGGCGGTGAGGATATATTTTAGTAACATCCGTTTAAAAGAACTTGCATGCAGACACAAAGTCTCGCTCTGGTGTTATCATGCCCCAGCATTAGCTCGGCCTTCATACCACTTGTGACCTGGCGACATTACTCACAGCCTTGTGTGCGTGAATGTTATCTGATCTGACAGAGCTACTGTAGATGTGTATGTACTATCACAGCCTCTTAACAGCCTATTTACACTCGCTGAACTCTGCCAACTCTGCACAGACAGCCAGAGATGTTATTATTTTGAAATCATCACAGAAAAATGTACTTAGATAAACTGTCCATGGGGAGGTGTGAGTTTACGGGAATAGAAATAATTCCTTGGTTTACATTCTTTGCATCAAACTAGATTAAACCAAGGTCACTTGACGAGGAAGAGGAGTCTAACAGAGAGTCTTTCCCTGGATCCTGAGAAGACAACAAGCCGTGCTGGCCTGGCTGATATGGGAATGTGCCTCGTGCAGACGATGATGTTTTTTTTAAATGTAAGTGCTCCTCTCTCTTGTGTGGGAGGGGTAAACACTGCACTGAAGAGTGGAGGTAGACTGGATGAGATCTCAGAGCCTGGGGTCCAGCCAGTACCCCATCTGGTGGGTGAGGAAGGAACAACTGCAGCGAGAAAAACTCACTGAGAGGATTTCACCTGATGTTTTTCAGAGCTGAGGAGTGTTAATGTGGACTGGGATCCAGCAGTTTAGTAGAGAGTGAGCTGCTTTATGTTTCAAGGATTTTCTTGTTGGGCCGTTTAAGATGTTTTTGCACAAAGAGGCTCAAAGGATCATCTTATTTATCCACAATTTACAGCAGTGAAGGCAAATCCACCAGACTGGACCTTCATGAGATTTTATAAAGGGATGGGGGATTATCATTTTTTTTTTTAGAAATAAACACCTCAGATCAAGATTAGGTCATGGCCTTAGTGCTCATGCTCGCTATGTGGATTTTTCCTCCAAATTAACACAAATTGTTCCTTTTAGGCCTCTGTGGTCTCAAGGATCCTCTACCACAGTTTTCCTCTGTTTAAAGAGAACAGGGGTACAATAGAAAACCAAAACATGTCATCATGTGTTAAGTGACTCTAGTGCCGTAATAGTTTATTCATTATTTGATGATGATTTAATTTACAAGGTTATGATTAGATTTAATCAAACTCTAAATGGATTTTTATTTTCGGGGCCAATCTCACAAACAATAACAGCAATAATCCAAAAATCAATTACAATGAGAAACACGAGTCCCAGCAGAATTATTATCATTACTGCACACTGAAGCAGCGACGTGGGAATCATAAAGAGATAATTGGGATTCTCAGCAGATGCATAATGATAATGAAAATCAGCAGAGGTTCGATTAGGTGTCCTTTTTCCTCAAAGACAATGCAGACTACCTGTGACTCAGTGTCAGAATAAGGATTTTAAAGCACATATTGATCTGTCAGTGGACTGCAGATGAGAAGGTTGAAGTGATACAGAGAAGGATACAGTACCTCACACCTGTACTCGGTGCTTTATACAGGTGCAGCTCAAAAAAAGTTCATTTTTGTCACATCATTTTATTTAAAATGTGATACTTTCATATATCCTTCGCCGTTTAAGATCTTTTGGTGCAAGTAGACAGATCCTTCTTTTGTTTTTTACTTCTGTTATTATGAGTGTTCTTCAGTACTGTAGTACCACATGGTATGGATGTTTGTCTGCAGCCCTAAAAGCACAACTGCTGCAACAACTGAACATTTGCTCAAAATATGTAGGACAACCACTCCATAGGCGATATACATCTACGTATGACAGCAGTGTCCTAAGGTTGGTAAGAAATATTACCTCAAACACTAGCCATGTGTTGTATGGAGAATATAGGCTGCTGCCCTCAGGAAGGAGATATGGTGTTCCAGCATATAATAAGGTCAGACTAAAAAGGTCCTTTGTCTACCAGTCGACCTTAAGGCTTAATCAGGAGTTGGGCCAGGGGTAAGCAGGGTGGTGGACTTTGGCCCCTGTCTTCATGTCTTTATGTATGTAATTTTTGTTTTCTGTCTCTCTGTCTCTGGTGGCCATGTCAAATGTGTGTATTGTCAAAGTAATACATCATATCATATCATGAACCAACACAGACTCTACAAGCACCCTGGATTCTGTGTCAATGATGGTCCTCTGGACAACTGTCAGGTCAGCAGTCTGGACCATGATTGTGTTGTGTACTAAACCAGAGTGAGAAAATAAAGGCTCAGGAAACTTTTGCAGGGCATGAGTCGATCAGAGCTCTTTTCAGGCCTGAAATACCCGACATTGAACTTTTCCACAATATTCTAATGTTTTAAGTTTGACGAGCTCTAACCATCGGGATTCAAACAAAAATGTTTTGGAATATTTCACTTTGTGTGTGATGAATCTAGATTATACGAAAGTTTAACCTTTTTTAACGTAATTGTGGGGAAAAGATGAACTTTTTTGTGGATGTTGCCATTTTTGTGATTTGCACCTGTAAATGTAATAGTGAAATTTTAGCATCTGATCTGGGACTATCCAATTTCATGATAAACTTAACCAGCAGACACATGACATCACTTATTATACAGCATCTGTTTAGATCCTTTTAGAATATGATGCCAACCTTGCAAGGATAAATCATAAACTAGCAATAAATAAATAAATGAATACTTTTAACTTAATGAAACAGCATCTTTCCAACAGTAACATAAAAAAGAGTAAGTAAATCTTAAAATAATGGTTGTTTTATTAGTGATCGATACAAAACTGTACCCTAATTAAAACCTCTTCAACTTTTAATCAATAACTTGAAATGTAAAGTCAAATTTTCTTTGCATAAAACCAATTTCTCCATGAATATTATGAATTACAGGTGAGGTTGTCCTTCTCTTTTTGTTCATTTTGCCTCTTTCAGGCTGGACCCCTGCTTTGGCCGTTCTGCTCGCTGATTGGTCGCGTCGGTTTCACCTGCCACGCGATAATTCTACCTCACAGTTGAAGGAGATAATCAATCAATCAACCGCATTAGCCCACGGTCCAGGAGCAATTTCCTGCTTGACCCTGTGCGGCTAAATTGATTAGAATAAAACGATTATTGGGTTTGACAGTCGCCATGGATGAAGACTGTGATTTAGCCGAAGGTTTTGGTAAGGACGTTTAATTGTGTCATTAGTGTATGAGCTTGGAAATGTTCACCTGCCGACCAAAGACAGGCTCGACTCTGTAGTCAAACTTTAGAGGACTTTTAAAAACTTTCCGAGTTCATAATCTGTCCTGTGAGGCGCAGCTCCCCTCGCTGCTCGGTTCCACTGAGACAATTTTAAAGTCGGTTATTAACATTCACGACCCCCTGTTTGTAGGTGGGGACAGGTTAGCTAGTTTAGCTGCAGCTAGCCGTTCAGAGTTAATTAACTGTCAGGTGAGGTGGCACGAGGAGCTGCACAGCTGGGACACTAATTAAGTCATTGCAGGCTGCAGCGCCGCGTGAGCGTGACGTTATCAGGTTCTGTTTGACCTGGAGGTGAATGGTGAAATAAGAGAGACAACAGCACCTATTTTAGGAGGTTATGAGTGCAGTATAGGCGCTGTTTGATGAGAAATAATGAAAATATGAGACCAGCAGGAGCCTCGTTATTCACCACAGAAGTATTCAGACAAACTAATATTAAAGAAGTGGAATTCAATCCTGTCAGGAGCGTTTAATCATATTTACCACATAGTTTTGGTTTTTTAGAGCTTGATGATAAAGCTGAACCTTCTGCTTGTTAGTTTGCCAGTTTAAATAAAAAGTTAGATTTCTTACTATGACAGGATAGTGAGTATCTTTTATATGGGCCAGCTGTATACAAAAAGCACACCTTTAGTAAATGTCAGCTCTGTCTGTGGTTTTCCTTCCCCCCTTTTATTTCTGCAACTTTTATAGATAAAAAGATAAATATCTTTATTAAAATTCAAACCACCAGATTATTTGGCAACAAAATACAGCCCAAAGTAACTGTCAGAGTTTAAAACTTCCCTTTGCTCTCATAATAAAAGTCCAGTTTGTAATTTAAAACAAATATGTCAACTGCAGCTCATTATATATAGTTTGTGTCAGGAGAGCTGTAGCACAAACCTATTCTAAACGGGGATAAACAAAACAGTATTTTTAATTTGCCCTGCTTCCAACAAACCAGAAACACTCAACCTATGGAGGCAATTTATGTATTTTAAGAGTAATTGTCCTTCACTTAAAGATTAGGTGAAAAAAACAGGAAACCGAAAGAAAACTAACTAACATTAGAGTCTAAACCCTGATGACCGGAGAGATTTGACCGGTTCAAATTTAACTAGAACATCTACTTTATGAGGCTTAGGCAGATCAAGAAGTAAAAGTACGCTAAAATGTGTACTGGAGGTGAAGTTTGTTAAGCGAGGAAAGAGAAAGCCGAATTTGTCACATGCTGCTGATAATGAAGACTATTCATGGCACAATGAGACACACGAGGGGATTGAGCGAGCTTCATGCTATAGGACAGAAGAAACAGCAGAAACCGAGAGAGAGAGAGAGAGAGAGAGAGAGAGAGAGAGAGAGAGAGAGAGAGAGAGAGAGAGAGAGAGAGAGAGAGAGAGAGAGAGAGAGAGAGAGAGAGAGAGAGAGAGAGAGAGAGAGAGAGAGAGAGAGAGAGAGAGAGAGAGAGAGAGAGAGAGAGAGAGAGAGAGAGAGAGAGAGAGAGAGCCGGGGGTTACATGACTGCAGCCTTGTGGCTCTGCACAACTTAACCACTTAGGCAAACCAGGGCCCTATTTTAGCCCAATTACATCCTAATGGGACAAAATGAAAGAAAGACACATCTGATTAGAAAGGTCAAAGGTTGCCTCGACTGTTATGTCATGATATTCAGGGTGAAAAATGTGTTATTTGGTGAACATTCAGTGATTTTTAAGCTTAAACTTTGGTCTTCTATTGCCTGTATTGAGAGGAACAGTCTGATTTTACATTTACTTTATTAAAAGAGAGAGCTGTGCTGTTATTTGGAGCCTCCTGTGGATGATTGTGTATCACCTGTCAGTCAGTGTTGGCCCCCTAATAAGATTTCTTTCAGGCGAATGCTGTTTTTGAAAAGTTGTCTGTATGCTCTTTGTTCCCCCGTGTGGCAGTTTCCTTTTATTCTGTGGACAACACTAAAGGGTATACACTATAACTTGCAACAGCAGTAGTGCTGAATCATACAACCCTAAAGTGGTCATTTTATTGTTCTTATGTTTCATAGCTGCTACTGTCTAAAGCTCCAAAGCCCACCTTTCCTCACAACTCTGCAATAAGGTGCTGTTGGATTTTATGTGGCTGCAGCTAAAGCCGGACTTTAGCCTCCTGGCTGTGGCTCCTGTGAGAGGGGAAAGACGGAGACTCTCTAAAGTCATCTGTTATTATATGTATGTTTATATTTTTACAAGCTAAGTCACTTTTTTATCTGGAATTACAAACTTAAAGCTCCCATAAGGACTTTTTTGTATTTATGAAACAGACTGGGATTCATTTTGGAGCCTTTTCATGATATCCAAAAACAAACAAGAGCATCAGAAACAAGATTTGATTGTCATTTTAACATCTGAAACTAGTGCAAGAGGGTCGGTGAATGCTGAGCAGCTGAAGAGACAGCCCTGTTTTTCAATTTCCACCTGAAGAACTCATAATAAAGGACACATTTGATCATCAAAAGTTAGCAGGATGAGATTTTTTTGGTTAAATATATCACTTGACAATTTAAAGGAGAGCATATGCAAAGACTGGTTTGTCCACAGAGGGCGCCAAAGTTGAGACAAACTGAAAGTTCCTGACGGAAGTTTTAGTGTATTATTCTGCACAGATCTCTTCACACTTTTTATTTCACCAGATTTCTAATTTTTTAATTTATCCTGTTTTTTGTTTTGTTTTTATGTTTAATTCATTTGTCTAGGCAATGCAAACATGTTTTTAATGCCAATAAAGCCATTTGAATTGACTGAATTGATAAATGGTGGAAAACCACCTAAGTATAATGATTTTCAAGTCTTGCCATTACTATAAGACAGAGGTTTATTTTTACAATCAAGCTCATTTAACCATAAAGAAATAATCTTTATTTCTTTTGCATATGTTAAAAATACAATAATACATCTGGATTTGTTTTAATCACTTTGAGTTTAATAGTACATTTACTTTTGGTCAAGTGCAGTTAACAGTCATCATGTGAGAATTGCGAAAGTAGTCCAAGCTCTGATAAAATCCTCTCACTTCCCTCTGCTGCAGACTGTCCAAGCCTTCTGTGCGAGGAGCTGGAGGATTTGGAAACAATAAAGGACCAAGGGAGCACAAGGAGGAGGGAAGGAGAAGATAAACAAGCATTTAATGAAAGGGCTGATGAGGAGGCAGGAGAGAAGAAGGAGAAGGAGAAGAGGGAGAGAGAAAAGAAAGTTTTCGTGTCAGAAAAAGACGTTAAGGCAGCAGAGGAAGAAGAGGAGGAGCAGGTAAAGCTGGAGTGTGGGCGGCGAGCGGAGGAGGCACAGGAGGTGCAGATGGGAGACAACACAGTGGGGAACAATGAGGAGCAGGAGGACAGAGACACAAAAGGTCTGGGAGAAAAATATGAGAAAAAGAAGAGTAGAAAGAGGCGAGGTAAGAATCAGAGCGAGCGCCTGAGAAACAGGAGAAATTTTAAAGACGCTGCTGAGTGCTTTGAGGGGGAAAAGAGGAGTCAGATTCAGGAGGTGTCAGTGATGAGCTCTGAGGGGAGCATGGTTCTGTCAGAGCCTCCCATCGGACTAATGAGCACCTGTGACCTGTCTGATCCTATTTTTCTGGGCTATGGGGGGACCGGCCTGTATCGCCAACCAGTTTCTGTCCCCCTGCTGTACTCCTCACAAGCTCCAGTCCCGATTCAGCCTGCACCTCCTCACTCCCACGGGATGAAAAGAGCCCTCAGCTCTCCTCTACCTCACAGTCTCCCCCAGCAGGGCCTCCAGCCTCCTGAGGTTAGAACCGACTGCCTGTGTTTACCAATCACCTACCAGTGATTTACTCACTGTCTTACATTACACTCTGACACCAGCTCAGGATGGGAAACTCAAATGCTGCTGTCTGATTTGTTTCAGAAAACCTTTTAAATGAGTCTGACTGATCATAACCAGACCCTGACCTGCTGGTTGGAAACTACAAAATGACAAGAAATCATAAAAATCTGGAAGAACAACCCACAATATTTCAGTCCTTGTGTTTGTTATGTTTTCTCCTCTACTCAGCTTAACGCTGCAGGAGCTCTCGTGGGTTAAGTGGGCTGTCAATCATGATGTCCCCTTTTTAAATCTTGATAACTAAAACTAAACTTATCTGAGACTTGGGACATAAATCAGCATAAACAGTCTATTCAAGGGCAAAATATTGGAAATATCTCTGAATTTAACAGCTAGTTAGTTCATATTCTGCACCATGTTGTTACTCTGGATTAAATATTTCAACCAAAATGATTCATATTTGTGAAGCTGAAACATCCAGTCTACAGAGATGTTCAGATAAATGCTTCAAAAGCAGGAGCTTTGACCTCTTCAACCTAACAGACACATTTGCGTGCTCTAGTGAAGACATCCAGGTTTCTAATAATAACTCATTGTCATGTATAATCACAGTGCAATGTGTATGAGGTGATGCACACCTACACCTTCTGCAATATTAATGATGCAGCTGTGAAAATAGCCTCCTGGATTTTCCTCAGTGTGCGGTGATGAGCTTCACCGTGAGTGTTGGAACAAACACATGGAGGATTTGATCATGTTTAACCGCGCGGACATATTTAATATCATCTTAAACTGAGAAATCCATTATAGTGTTTAATTTGCTCAAAGTTTGACACACTGAACATTTACCGAGAACTTTTTGTAAGAACTTTTGACTCTAAATTCCTTTAATTTCTTACCTCATCAAACAAAATAAGCTGTGAATAAATCAGACACTGAATTCCATTTTAAAAATATGATGAGTGCCAGGTTATATTTTCCTTTTAACAGATGGATTTCGCACAGATCTATTCCAACCAACGCTCCACACGCTGCAACAACAGGGGTCGAGGCCGATCCCTGAGCTTCCCTGTGCTGCAGGGCTCGGAGACGGAGGACGGCCTTGTGCTGCCGCCAGCGCCAAAAAAGAAAACGCGGACTCTCTACAGCACAGGTAACAGAGTGATCTTTGTGCAGGAGAGTGCAGATTTGACTATGCAAATCACTGACCTGTATTTGTGGTGTTTTTGTTTGTGTGAATGCTTCCAGATCAGTTAGAGCATCTAGAGGCTTTGTTCCAGGAGGACCACTATCCAGACGCAGAGAAGAGGAAGGTTATCGCTGCTGCGGTTGGTGTCACGCCTCAAAGAATTATGGTTAGATGGTCATTTTTCCTCACTCACTCCTCTTGCATCTTTCTCTCAGGACCCTCTTTAATCGTGTGACTTTCTTTTGAAAATGCTCAGCTGAAAAGAGAATTAAATCACTTTCCCAGATTTAAATGATGCACACAAGCATCCATGCTTGTTCCACAAAGGAGCAGGTAGCGGTTGTGCTACAGGGTTGCCGCCCTCCTACACCCCCCCTGCCCCTCCTGGTGTACTGGATTTCTCTTTGTATCGCAGTCTAACTGAACAAGTGGTATCCTGCAATTGTGACTGACTTGTAGCTACACTGTGATGATGATGATGATGATGATGATGTGGTCCCCTTTATTACTTTGACTGTGCACAAGAAGCTGCTATCAAACAGAGAATTACGATTTCCTTATGTGTTTCAACCCTGATTCTCTTCCTCCAGCTCATTTTTCCACCTCTCCCTGTGACTGTGTCTGTGCCTTTAGGTCTGGTTTCAGAACCGCAGGGCAAAGTGGAGAAAGGCGGAGCGCTCCATCCCAGCGAAGCTTGAGCATAGACAAAGTAGAGCTGGATGCAGCAGCAGCCCCTCATATCATCAGATCAATCCCACCCTGGCACCCAGCAGGTACGACAGTATTGTTCCTACAGTGTGTGATTTTGTAAACACACATGCTGCAGATTATTTATGTTAAAACTCATTTTTGTTCATGTTACATTTCCAGTAAAAGGGCTCCATATTCTGGGTACTTCACAACCAAGCTGCCTCCACTCGCCCCTGCAGCACCTTCATTCCCACCCCTGTCCAACCAGACTCCCCCATCCTACAGTAGCCTTTTGGCAAGCGTTAACAGTCCAGGTATCCAACTTCACATATATTCACACTCTTCATGAAAATGTGCTCCTAAAACAAAAGGGCTTTAACATGTTGAAATGAAACGACATAAGCTTAATCCTCGAATGTGTGTGAGGGTGTAGCGGGCAGATGGCACCTCATCTATGGTCAAGGGATTAGTAATCTTTGCCCAGAGTTATAGTATTAAACTGTTTTTAGTTGAAACTGGGCAAGAAAACAGCAAAGGTGCACCACATCTGGATCAAAGCTCCACTAGAATACTTTAACAGGCTGAGAGCTAAAGGACCTCAGAGCATCGCTACCGTTCCTCACCTCATCCTACCTTTCTCTGGCTGTCCAATGTGACTGGACTCCTGATGTGTGTGTGTGTGTGTGCACGGCTTGGTTGGCAGACAGGTACAAAATCCTGTCAGTCCAGATCAAAAGATAGGGCTAAAAACCTGCTTTAAAGGCAGGTACCCCCGATTATTTTCCTCTTTTATCACGTCATTTGATTGATTAATTTTTGATGTGCAGTCATTTTAAACAATCAGAACAAAGATGCTTTAAAATAAATTGGCTGTCCTAGTTTTGGTAAACACCTGAAAGATCAAAGTTTGTACAAAATCTCTGAAGTAATATCAGTCTGTGCACGCTGAGTTGTTTTTTTATTAGCCTGGACATAGCCTCAGGTCATCTTCAGATAGAAAAATGCAGAGTTGGTGAGCAGCATTTAAAGCTAATTAAGTTTTCTTGTACCACAGTGGAGTTTTTTCTTTTAGGACCTGCTGAGGGAAAGAGCTGCAAGAAATGTCTGATGTCACACCATTATTCATCACCTTATTCTTTGCAGAATCAACCAAACTGTGGGTTTGATCTTGTTTCAAAATTCATAATGTCTTTAGTGGCTTTAAAATTATGTAATCACAGTTTGTTGCGGGACCCACAAAGATTCATCTTAATGCTGTAAAGTCGTGACTTACTTGTGCAGAGTGTAACCTCAGTGTTCAGAGGACCTTCACCGTGCTGCTCAGGCTGTAAAATTCCCCAGAAACAGAGCTACAGTATCACTTTAATCCTCAGGTTTAATCTCTATGTTTCATCTCCAAGGTCAATCCAGAGTGAGAGATGGGGGCCAGCACCAGCTTTCATCTCAGGGGGGTTTGGCAGAGTACCACCCCCGCCCCATGCATAGCCCTCCCCCACTTCGTCGAGCCAGTTTCCCCCTTTTTACAACCAACTACAACCCGGTGAACTCCGCTCCACCTCTGCTCAACACCCTGGCTCACACCCCGCCTCTGCTCCTGGATGCTCTGGACGGGGGCTCTTCTTTGGGCCATCGTGACACCCAGTCTCTGCAGAGTGACACCAGGTCAGTTAAGCTCACAACCGACACTGACATAAATACTAGGAGATGGTTTGAACTGGGACAATGAGTACAAGACATGACAGGAGGACAGAGAATTGGCAGACTGCAGACATGAGCAGGGATCCTGTGAAATACAGATTTAATGATGCCTCAGACAGGGCCTGAAATAGTGGGGAGTCAGTTTCAGCTAGCGCTGTGTTGTGTTTAAGAAGTCATGCTGGGAGAAGTCTCAGCCAGTAATTACTTTGAACAAAATTTTGTTTGTTTCACTACAATCATGTATCACAGCGCTAAAAATCCCCCAATGCAACAGAACACAAAACCATGAATATGAATACATTTTCCTGTCCTGCTGCTGCTGGGAGACGTCTGATTCTTTTAGCACCAAATACCTCCAGGGTTTCTGAATGGCAATGTCAGTCACAGGTTGTGAACTATAACAGCAAATATTGAATGAATTTCCAACAAAAATGGTTCAATTGCAAAACCAGAATGACATCTCTTTCATCTTAATGATAGTACACTAAACTGAAACAGTAAAATTAGCAGAAATGAACTGATGTGAGCTTGTTTGATTGATTCAGTCTGGGCTGCGTTTGTCATATTTGGCTGTGTTCTGAGAGCTCCCTGCCCTACCACATGTGCCTGTGAGGTGCCAAGGCAGGTAGAGCAGCAGCAAAGACCTCTAAGAACAGAACAGAGCTAGCATCAGTGACAATGTATAAGACACTGTTGAAATAATCCACAGCAAAAATAGGAGCTTGGTTGGAGGTCAGAAAGATCACACCTAATTTTCTATGTGCACACTTAAAAAGCTGAGGCAGGGAGAGGATCAGTAAGGAGCCCTGGTGCAGAAAAGAGCAGGCATCAGTGACAATGCATATGACACTGTCAAATTAAGACACGGCAAAATAAAATTAGGGTTTCAACACTTAGAAAGCACACTTCCAAAGCCAAGGCAAGGGGAGCATCAGCAAACCCCCCAGGAACAAAACAGAACTGGCAATGCATATCTTACTGGTAAAATTAGGCACAAAATAAATAGGAACTTGGCTTCAACGTGTGTTTTAAAGCTGGAGATCACCTCTTCCCTGAGTTTTTTAATGTACATAAATGCAAAACTAAAGCTGGGAGAACCAATATCTTTAGACTCAGCAGGAATAGGAACTTGGTTGGAGCTGGATTTCAAAGCTGGGAGAGCAAACCTCCTCTTTGTCTTATGTGCATACATGTAAAGCTAAAGCAGGGAGAGCAGCAGCAAAGACCTCTGGGTACAGAATAGAGCGGGCATCAGCGTGTTGTTACCATTCATATCAGAGTGTTAATCCTCTCTGTGTTTGAGCTCCTGTGGGTATTTTAAAACAGCAGCCCGTCTCCTGCCTGATTTGCATGTAGTAAAGTGTTTTTAGTGCTTCAGTGTTGTTGGTGGTCTCGTAAATCTCAGCAGATAGGCCAGCTGCTCCAGGTCCCATTCGCAGTGAATGATGGTTCTGTGTTTTATCTGAGTGCCCTTGAATCCTGTCATTTTGGAAACTTGACCCCTTTAGAGTGGGCATTGACAGATCGCTGATGTGAGTGGTTAGGGTGGAGAGCGTATAAAGATGTTCGTGATTTTTGACAGGCCTGTGACACCTCTGCTAGCGGTACAGAATTCATCTTCTGCTGAACAGTCCTTGCAGGCTTCTTTGCCTTCAGTCTCACAACAAACACAGACAGACTTGCCTATCATTGACGAATGAGTTCAGTTAAAGGGTACAGGACCTTATTAAACCCTCATAGTAACACACAAAGTTCGGGTGTTTTTATCACTTTTTCGTGTGGTCTTCAGCTCTCTGTTTGACTTTGGGGACAAGCTAGACTTCCTGACCTCAGGGCGTCAGAACAACACCCTCTCCTACCAGCTCCAGACCTCCTACCCCACCAGCCAACCTCAGCACCAGCCACAAGCATCTCTGACCCGTATGGCCTACCTCACCCCCTCCCCCTACCTCGCACCCAACCCTCCGGATTCTAACTCTACCTCCTACCTGACCTTCGCTCCTGGAGGAAATTCTGCTGGATTGGTGACCTACTCCACAGGAGGGCCCGCTTATTTCCAGTCCCAGAACACAGGACAAATCCTGCTGCAGTCTGCTGGGCATCATGGTAAGACACTGAGGTAGACGTTTTTTGAATTTTTTTGCAGGGGGAGCACCTCTGTAGATCTTCAGCCCTGTAACATGTGACAGCAGGAGGGATGGCTGAGTTGTGGTTCTGCTCCTGGTCTAACTTATCTGCATTTCAGCCTCTTTGTCTCGCCTCCTTTTATCTGTTTGTTCATGTACAGGTGGGATTGCCTCATACCAGACGTACCCATGGGGCAGCATGTATACTCAACCCCCCATCCACCAGCGTGCCCAGTGCCCTCCTACCTACGCTGCCAATCTTGGAGGTGCTCGAGACCTCCAGCCCCCCTCCTCCACCCTGCCTCCCCCTTCTTTCTTCACCCATGGGCCCTCACATCCAAACCCCCAGCGGCCCTCACACAACATCAACAGCAGCAGCAGCACAGTCCTGCCTCCTGTGTCGACCCTTCGGCCATCTCTTCTCAGAGCAGAGATCACTCCAACCAAGGCTGCATCCCTACTGCCTTCTCAGGTCAGCCCTACCTCTCCCGAAAGCCCTCCAGTGCCCCCTAGTGTCAAAATCGAGTACGACAGCCCTAGAGAGATTCACAGTCACTTCCACTGTGACTTTTCCCCGCCAATACACTTTTGAGAGTGTTTAAGTGCTTGTTGTGTGCAAAAACATCCTGTGTAACCCTGAGTACCTTTGCATGTCTTTTCAGGTTATTATTATTATTCTTTTCTCTAAAACATTAATGAAAAAAAAACTTTTGCTGGGCTACATTTGGGCTGGCTACAATAAAAGTTCATAACTCTGTTAACCTGTAGATTTTGGCTTAAATATTTTTTCTTCGGGAGCTGGTTTTAATGGGACTCTTGTTCAGAGGTAGGGTCTTATCAGTATATGCATGTTGGTAAATCATCTTATTTTGGTTCGGATGTGGTCGGTTCTAAATGTTTTTGGTTTTTAATAACGCAAAAGGCTTGATATAGAGTCGGATGATGTGCAAAGGAAACGAAAACAGAAAAGAAAGATTGGGTAAGTGAGATATGTTTATCAGATGGATAAGATATATAGTGAAAGATATATAGTGTAGTCTTTATTACTGTGTCTGTATCTGTTAGAAACTGTGAGAGAAAGTTTGTGAACACTGTAAAAGTATATGTCAGCACAGTTAAAAACAACAACACCACAATATACAAGGATTTTTGACAAATATCAGGCTTAAGGATGCTTTTTTTTATATTTCACTTTCATTTAACTAGGTAATAACCCTGAGATGAGATGAGATGAGATGAGATCGAGACTTCTCATAAAGGTCACCTGGCCAACAGATCAGCAACACATGTCTTAATAAATATGACTTCGTTAAGAGACGGATGACAGACATTTAGTTTAAAAAAAAGAGTTAAAAAGGTGAAAGTAGTCAGAAAATAAAGAGCAGAAGCTGAAGGCACAGGTTTTAAAACACGGACTGTCTGTCTTTAAACTGCATCACAGTGCATGATAGACATCATATGAAACCACCTCTTGCATGAATACCACCTAATACATGAATAGTACATATATAAAACCTTATAAATCCATCTGCACGATAAATAGGTATAATGCATATTTAACCAAACCAAATGCTTAGTATCACTCATAAGGGTTGTTATCAAGCCTTTTCGATGCATTCATGAGGGTTTTTAAATGTGTTTCCAATGTTACCAATGTGTTAGATAGATAGATAAATATACTTTATTGATCCCAAACTGTAAAATTCTCTACCATGTCTTACTTACACAAAAACAGAGCTGAGGGACCGAGTGGACTTTAAATGAGCATACCTTTGTATGGCCTGTTTGCAGCTTAGTTAAAAACAAACCCATGCAGATAGTCTTTGGAATGACACCTGGAGGCTCATACATCTGAACACTGACGAATAGAGTAGATGGAAAAGTGTCTTTCTTTGCTTTTGTGTAGCTTCAAGAAGAACAACACAGCTGGGAGGGAACTCAAGACATGTTACACAATATGCCTCATGGATTTGCAGCAAATGCTTCAGGACCTCATAAAAGTCCTCGTCTCAGTTGATGGAAACCTCTGATTCAGGTTTTTCAGGCTAAACACTTTGCTGATTCCAGGTCTGCCTTTACGCCACAAGAGGGCACTGTTCCTTCATGTGAGTCAACCAAACGGTGTGGTGAGATTTATTTAACAGCATGTTGTTTCTCAGACATCCCTCCACAGGGGAGCGGGAGACGAAGTGGGGGGTGACAGTTGCTAATCGGATGGAGGAGGAAAAGAACGAAGTAGTTTCTAGGATAGACACATCCCAGACAATCACAGACACAGCCCAAATCCTTAATCTGTGTTGCCATCTGCTGTGTTCACACACTTACTGCACTTTCCGCTCTGTTTATTCTTAGTATGCAAGTCAGTCATAAAGGCCTCTGGAAAACGAGTCTCTCTCTTAAACCCCGCCCCTGATAGAGCTGAAGGCGTTTTCCTGAGACAAGAACACACGTCTGGGACCGGCATGTCTCTCTTTTTTTATTTCTCTCAGAAAGTAAATTTGAAAGTTTCCTGCTTAAACTCTAGTTAATATTCGAGGTTCATCGCCCTGCTGTATGTAAAGTGAAGTTTGAAGTGAGGCTGGGATGACGTGGTGGTGGGAGTACGAGAAGAGACTGCTTGAAGGGAGTGAGGAGGAGGTGGCAGGAACCAGGGGAGCAGATAAAGGAGAGGGGTGAGAGAGAGAGAGAGGGGGGCTGAGGCTGTGTGATGGTCCAGAGAACAAGGGAGAGAGGAGATGAGCTGTTGCTATGGGAGGTGGAAAGGATGATGGGTGGGCTCTGCCAGCAGGCGTGGGAGGGAGAAGGAAAAGGAGAGGAAAGGGAGGGAGGGATGGAGGGAGGGGGAGTGTGATGGAGGCACAGGGGGTTCTGGGATGAACAGAACTGTTGGTTATGTAACGGCTGTATTCGGGTTTTAATGAACCTCTCTCTTCCTGCTCACTGGCTACTGAGCTGTTACTGTTGGCAGGAGCAGCGCAGCATAAACACACACACACACACTCTCTCTCTCTCTCTCTCTCTTTTACACACACACACACACACACACACACACACACACACACACACACACACACACACATAAAACTCCTTTTGCAGCGCAGAAAACTCTCAAACTCTCACACACACAGAAAAAAAACACATAACACATTCATCTCAGGAATGAAAACCCGAGTGTTTGAGCTCTACTTCAGCTGAGTCCTGTGCTCTCACTTTAAGTCATGTATGTGCGTCCCAAAGATGAATTTTTTCGTGTATGCGTCCTTTAGTGTCTCTAATTTCTTTATACTTGTACGCCTGTGTGACTGAGGAGGGCTTCATGTCGGTTTAACTTTGTAATTAATTTTTCCACGACTTCCCTGATGTGAACAGAGGTAGCTCAGAGCACAGCTGGAGGAGGGCACGTGTATGAATGTAGGCACATATATATGCGTGTGTGTGTGTGTGTGTGTGTGGGTGTGTGCATGTGTAAGTACAGGTATGGGATGCTTCAGTCCACCCTGATTCCGCCATGTCAATATTTGCTCAGTATTCTGAGATTTGAAGAAAGGGAACTTGTTTCAATATTTATGGATGTGGTCAAACACGAAATCCTCGCAGTCTTTCCGAGCTCGGTGACTTTCTGCACACACACACACACACACACACACACACACACACACACACACACACACACACACACACACGCTGGGACACAGTGAAGCAACAGAGTTTATTGATATTAGTGCATGATGTTTATTGATATAACTGATTGAAAGTAGTAATATTTGTTGTTTAACAAAGCTGAGACACGGTTTGGAGATCCTCCAGTCCTTTGGCTCTTTGGCTCTAATGCCGTCAGCTTGTTGATCTTTTGGTTTGTTTTGAAATGATACAACAAATAGACTCGTGTTGGGTTTGGAAAAAAGAGGGGACGTGGTGGAGAGTGGCTGTGCTGAACAACAACTTAGTAGATCAAATGAGCAGGTTTGCCTTTTTAAATGTTGCATAAAACTGCAGACAAACAGAGGAGGGTCCAGATTTGACAGAGTCAGATGATCCCCTGCTTCACTTTGTTGACAGTAAACATCGGATGTGGTGTTATTTAAATGAGTCCTTGCAATAAAAAGTGCTAATCTCACGCAGTGAGGCTTATATGGAGGTATTTGTTTGTTTTAGACTTGTTTTAGATTTGTTTCCATTTACCTTATGGGTTTGGCAGAACTATTGTGATGAATATTTTTTCTAAAAAGAGCTCCCTGAGGCAGCTCGGCTATTGGCAGTAAAATAGGATTTACAGGAACATTTCCATTTCCAGTAAAAGAGCAGAAATGTCTTTTCTATATTTTACATCTCTATATTACTGCTGCTGAGAAAATAGATGGGGAGAAAATGGAAAGTGGTTTTAATAAATATATTTCTCTGATTGTGGAATGACATTGTTGATTCACAAAGTATCACAAGAGTATCACAAAGCAATAGTTATAGTGATGGTAATGAAGAAGAAATATTGATATCATCCTATACGGTAATACTGTGCATCCATAATATGGGGGGGGGGGGGGGGGCGTGTTAATAAGTAGCTGTTAGCAAACTAGCTTTAGCAGCCTTTGAAGAGATGATTAAACACTTTTAAAACTGACATTTCAAGATTTATTGTGAGTCCAGAAACAACATCATCTTGTTGCTCCGCCCTCGTCTTTTCTTTCCTCAGTCTGACAGATTGTGTTTTATTTTCATCTTTTTTTCAGATCTCACAACACTAACACTTTTGTGAAACTTTATGGCTGAATAATCATAGTGATTCAACTTAATGGCTATATTAGTTTTTTTGACACACGTGAAACAACCTGAAGTTTGAATTGAAGCCTTTTGATGATGTACAAAAACAAACAAGAGCATCACCGACATGTTTAGTGATGTTTATATTGATTTTTTAAAAGAAACTATTGTGGGGGATAGGTGTCAGCCAAGCAGCTAAAGAAAGATTCCTGTTTTTACTCTTGGCATGTTAAATATTCACAACAAAGGAGACTTTGATGGTTAAAAAACAGCAGGATGAGATTTTTGTAACAGAGACTGTTAAAACATGTTGAGGACTGTTAATAAGGCTGTTCCGCCCACAAGGGGGTGCCAAATTTGACACAAATGAAAAGTTCCTCATTGGAGCTTTAAAGTGGATTACCTTTAACCAAACTGATGAGAATGTTTTGAGAATGTAAAAATGCCAAACAGTTACAATTTAAAACCCCAAATTTTGAGGAATCATTGCTTTTTCTTTAACTCCACTGCAAAGTTAAAGCTCCTGTAAGGAACTTTGGGTATGTGTTGATATGTTTTCTGTCAAAAAAAATCTCATCCTGCTGACTTTGCCAGTCAAATTTATCATTTTTTGTGGAAACTGTAAAACAGGACTGTTTCTTCAGCTTCATGTCTGACACCTGCCCCCTTGCATCATTCTTGGGAGTTATTTAAAATTACTACAGTAGTGTTCCCAGTGGTCTTGTTTGCTATTTTTTATCACAATAAGACAAAGATACAATTTCTGTGTATTTTATAGAAGTAAAAGCGCTTTTCACTGTAGCTTTGATTTCATCCTGTTTTATGACTGGCTAAAAACTCCTTATATGAGCTTTGATATATGAAAGAATTCGCGATGTCTTACATTAAGCCAATAATCACATATTTTGCTTTTTTTTCAACCACAGTATCAAAAATATTGATGGAGGAAGTCCCTTAAAAAGTGAATTGTTGAGATTTGACAAAGAAAAGTGCAAGGCACGAATGATTGTTTTTAAAAGTCGTATTTCTATCAAGGGTGTCTTATTAACAGTTGTTTTAAAAAAGAGCGCATCTCAAAAGTATAAATTATATGAATGACGTACACTTGAGTCATTTTAGATTCTGTCTGTAAAGTTCACAGCTTTCTCTGTGTGCGGCCGGTGACGCAGCAAAATAAAAGTACAGAGAATACCAGAGTCATTTTGGAGATCTGTAGCCATGATTCAGATTGTGCTAGCTCTCAGAATAATAATGGCATTAATATTCATCTTTAGGCTCAATCAAGCACTTTTTCTGAACACTAACGCCTCAACAGTTCTCCTGTGGAACTTCAAAAGTGAACTCAGGATGAAAAACAGTTTAAATTTAATCAGAGAGCTGCCCAAACACTGATGGATGTAGGTAAAATTCATCCAGCTCGCTGCTTATGTTTTTGTTTGTCCGGCCTGCCAAGCAGACGAGGTTACATAACCTGTGTGTGTGTGACTGTGCGTGTATGTTTGTGTGTGTGTGTGTTTGTGAATCCACGTGTGTATGTTTGGGCTTTTTCATGTGTGTGCTTATGTGTCTCCTCCTATAAGCCAAGTGGCCCACTCCCAGAGATGACACGCTGCCCAGGAATAACATCTCCAAACTTTCATCTCATCTCATCACACGCACACCGCACGCACACATGCACACGCGCACACATACACACACTTGGTTTTACAGCTTGTTCAGTTCTGTCTGGTTAGTTACTGTACAGCTGGACCCCCTGACTCCTCCCTCCCCCCCCTCGTAGACTACCCCCTCAATTGCGGCTTGTTCAGGTAGAGTGTGTGGTGGTGGAGGAGGAGGAGAGGAGGGAGGAAGGGGAGGTGTAGAGGAATGCAGGGTTGGGTCGGGTGGAGTGGGATGCTGGAGTGAAAAGAGGGGTCTCTATGTGGGTTTGTGTGTGGACCCTTTAGAGATTAAAGATGTGTATGTGAGCATATTGATGAAGTGTGTTTACTCCTCTGGGGCCCCCCGACTACCTGACAGCAGAGAAACAGGCGGGAAGGAGCATCAAGGGAGAGGAAATGGGATATTTCTGAAAACGGGGCTGTAACTTTTTATCTGTGTTTTCCATTTAATGTCAGATATGGGATTTGAAAAGTCTGAATTTTACAGAACCAAGCTCTGTATATTTAATTAAAGCTCCTGTAGGGAGTTTTCCAATGTTAATGAAATAGACTGAAATTCATACTGATGCCTTCTAATGGTATCCAAAAGTAAAAAAGGTCATCAGCAGCACGACTGATGATTTTAATATCCTAATTTTTAATACCTGGAACAGGTGTGAGGGGGTAGGTGTCAGCTGAGCAGCCCCGCTTTTACAATCTACAGCTGACATGTTTACATTAAATTAAGGATTTCACAGTCAAATGTCAGCAGGATGAGATATTTGATCCAAAGTAAATACTCAAACATGTCAATGGACATGACTGCTTTGCCCACAAGGGGTGTCATAATTGACATGAATCAAAAGTTCCTCACAGGAGCTTTACATTTTCAAGTAAGTTCAGTCGTTTTTTCAATGCACTAAAAAAATTATAAAGGCATTACATACAGATCATTGGCTGGCCTGCTTTCCCATTATCTGCATCAGTATCAGTACTAATATCAGCTGTTGGAAAAACTGACATCAGTTGACCATTATTTGGTGCCGGTATGAGTGTTGGTATGGAAACAAAGCAGATACTGGTGTTGATACTGGCAGTTGTTTTGACACTAACAATAGATTTTAAAATCACACCTTTATCTGAGAGGTAACAGCCAAAACTCATGTTTAGGTGGTGTTTCAGGTGCTGGTTTAGATCATCAGTCATACAAAGCGCCCCCTGCATCGTGGCTGCAGTCCTTGAATTAGGCGGCCTGAGTTGTTCCAGTTTACCACTCCATCCATCATCCAATCCTCCTGATGAAGGCATTAGAAATTATCGACTCAAATAATGATCAGTATTTGATTCAAGTTTAAGGCCACAGAGTTTTGATATAGAAACCACGAGGAGGGAAGTTGATTGGGAGAAAAAGACAAAAACAGGTGACAAATGTTGGGTATAATTCAGCAGGACTGAACTGAGCTGAACTTCAGGATCCTTAAATTGGCTCGTATACTTTCAAGTTACACAGAAACTCATGCTTATGCAAAAATGCGCGCACACTCGTCCAACGTGCGGAGCTGCAGGAACACTGTGGGCTGTGTACGGCGACCCTCCTTCACTTCCGCACCATAAATGTGTGTTTGCTATACGAGGGAACACGGAGGAGAAAAGAGGAATTCATGTTGGTGTTTATTTGAGCTTTGGCCAAATCCAACCTGGGGCGGCTGTGTTGGCGCGCACTCTGCACCAAACCCCAGCCGCTCCTGTACCCCCAGCTAGACACACTCATACTGTACACACACACACACACACACACACACATTTACAACCCTCCCTCTCACACACACACTCATACCTGTCCATCCTAGCCATATCAAGGTGTGTTTGTCTTTCCCTGCCCACCATTTTAGGTCCTCCCTGGGCAGGTATTTCCCTCGCTTCTCAACACACATACACATTTACACACACACACACACACACACACACACACACACACTGTAGCTACAGAGGGGGGCTGTCTGTGGGCCGAGTGTGTGAAGCAGTTGCATTGATAACCTGCAGCTCACAGTCACTCAGTCTCACTTTGTGGCCGTCCCCCTGGTGTGGAGCTCCCTTCGCCTCTGCTCTGTCTCCCCTCTTGCTTCTCACTCTAGGACCATCTGTAGACACGCTCGGACCCTGTTTACCGGTCACCCGTCCGTCACGATGACACCTTCCCCGCTGTTGTTCCTGTTGCTGCTCGGCCTTGTAGGCGCTCAAGCCCCCGTGGACCTCCGCACCGCCGCCGCCATGGGTAAGAACAATGACCTCTAACCTCTGAAGCTGTTTATAAGTACACAGTTTGTGACCTGACATCTAACACATCAGAAAAGTCTCTATAAAATGACTGACACTCATGAGGTGGTAATGGAATTTTAAAGGGATATTCCGCTAAATTGATGTTTGTTACTGTAAGAATCCGACTGAGTTTGATTTTTTACATGATCAGGTTTTACTCTTACTTGGTTAACTGATTTGGATAACTGTACGTAATACAAATACGATACATTTTTATTGATTTAAATGTTAAGTGTCTTCAGGTGTCGATTTACCAATATTTATTGATTGGAAGTTATCAGTATGACAGTTTTTTATTTGGTGGGTGTTTTCTTCTTGTTGTTTTGTGTTTTTTGTTGGTGCTCATGCAAAGTTTTTTTGTAGTACATTCTGTGAAGATGTGTGTGTGTGTGTGTGTTTGTGTGTGTGTGTTCATGTGTGTGTGTATGTGTGTGTGTGATATGAAGCAGCTGGTTGGAGGGAGGGAGAGAGGTGAAGGGTGAGAAGGGAGATCAGTGACATTAACAGACGTATTAGATTAATAATAAATGATTTGATGAGGCCACAGAGAAAATCCAATGCATCCTCTTTTTTAGCTGAACTATTAACAACAAAATAATGTCAAACATTAACTTTCTTTCTTCCACATTAAAAAAAACACCTATAAGTTTGATAATTATTATTTATGCAACAAAAAATGCATAAATTTATTCATACAGGGTTTTTTTTTCTGAGTTTTCCTGTCATTCTCATAAAATGATGTCGATATAATGATCTAAAATATTTTTCAGTATCTATACTTTTCATTATTTGGTGACTTTTAATTTGATCTTTTTCTGTCCTTCATCCCGGTTTTTCTGATCCAGCCTCTCTCCATCTCTCTCCACCCCTCTTGCCTCCCTGTATCTTGTTTTTCTGTTTCCTCCCACTCTTTTTTTTTTTACCTGCCTCCATCCTCCCCGCCTCCCCTCCTCCTCTCAATACCTCCCTTCTCCTCATACTCCTCCCACCTTCCCATTTTCCCTCTCCACCAAACTCATTTCTTTATTTGTGTACCATACTTTTTTGATAGTTTTAATTGTCATTAAAACTTTATGACATGAAAACACACTTCATTATGTCTCTGTTTGTGCAGCTGCAGGTTTGTGCAAAACCCGTCCTACAGACATCGTGTTCATCATCGACAGCAGCCGTAGCGTTCGCCCTTCGGAGTTTGAGCAAGTTAAGGTCTTCCTCGCTAAGGTCATTGAAGGGCTTGACGTTGGACCCAACGCAACCCGTGTGGGAGTGGTCAACTATGCCAGCCGCGTCAAGAACGAAGTATGAGGCGGCAGCAGGCGCTCACAAGCCCAAAGCAAAGATTCAATGTGCTTTATGTCACTAACGCTGCTTTTATCCAACATTAGGTGTCCCTTAAGACTCATCGCACCAAAGCCGGGCTGATCAAGGCCGTGACGAAGATTGAGCCGCTGTCCACTGGAACCATGACCGGTCTGGCCATCCAGTTCGCCCTGAATGTGGCATTCAGCGAAGGCGAGGGCGCCCGAGTCAAATCTCCTGATATCAGCAAGGTCAGACACGATTTCACCATAAATTCAGCTTGTTAATAATGTCGATCAGGATTTCTCTAACTGGACTTTGTCTGATTCTCTCCAGGTTGCCATTATTGTGACAGATGGGCGTCCACAAGACAACATAAAGGAGGTGGCTCAGCGTGCCCGTGATGCCGGGATTGAGATTTTTGCCATCGGTGTGGGTCGTGTAGACATGAGCACCCTGAAGCAGATGGCCAGTGACCCTCTGGATGACCACGTGGACTACGTGGAGAGCTACAGCGTCATTGAGAAGCTCACCAAAAAGTTCCAGGAGGCCTTCTGTGGTAAGATGGAGGACAGAAAGAGGAGAAGATAAGGGTGTTTTTTACAAAAGTCAGAGAAGGAGAAGAGAAAAAAGAGGGTTCAGTCTTTAGTGGTGATTATTTCTGTCAGGGTGGGTAATAAGTACCCATCATCCCTGTGAAGAAAGCTGTCTGCTGCCCCCCTGTACTGAGGGTAAGGTGTCAGGACTGTCATCTTCTCATTCCAACATATTGTTTCCTCCCTTTTGTCCTCGACAATACAACAATATGTTCCCTCATTAAACCTCATTCAATATTCTCAGTGCATGAGGACATCAGGGCAGGAACAGCCTCTTGGAAGGAAATTCACTCCTGTTCTTCAGCCGGGAAGCGAGACTGATCTCTCTGTAATTACCGATCCATTAGTGACAATCATTAAACTTCTAATTAGCGATGCCCTTTGGCTCTCCCAGTCTGCGGCAGTTTGTGACTGCAGCCTGACACTTGCTCTCGGCAGCCAATAATGCCGCAGAGGTTTCATCCAAGGGTAGAGCTGCATGATGGCAGAGCTGGATTGTTATTGGATGAGCCTGTGCATCACATTTACAAGCAGATGAACAGATGTTGTTCGTTTGTGGCTCTTCCAATCCTCCCCAGCTACTAGTTTTAAAGATCCACTGGATTCATGCATCTTTATACGTACAAACATTTACTCGCAGGTTGCAGTGGATCGTTAAAAATCAATACTAGAATTTCAAACTGACATAGTCTTATTCTCTCCCCCTAACTCCACCCTCCTCCTTGTGTGTGTGTACATGCTCCGGCGTGTATCCACTGTGTGCACTCGTGTGTTCATGCACTCACACACACAGTGTCGGACCTGTGTGCCACCGGGGATCATGACTGTGCGCAGGTATGCATCAGCAGCCCTGGATCATACAAGTGTGCCTGCAAAGATGGTTTTACCCTCATGGACGATGGTCGCAGCTGCAGTGGTGAGTGTGTGTATGTGCATGTGTGTGGGAGTGTGTGCGTGTATCTGTGTGAAAATGCTTTACGTTCACTGTGTCTCCTGAGTAACACACTCCATTGTGCGTCTGACACCTCCAGCTTGCAGCAACTCAGCGACAGATGTGGTGTTCCTGATCGATGGATCCAAGAGCGTCCGCCCTGAGAACTTTGAGCTGGTTAAGAAGTGGATCAACCAGATCGTCGACAAACTGGACGTCTCTGAAAGCAAGGCTCACGTGGGTCTGGTGCAGTACTCCAGCTCAGTCAGACAGGTACGTATCTATCTAGACACCTGTAAAAATCTGTTTTCTTCTTTCCATATCAAACTAAATTTTCAATATCTCTCCTGCAGGAGTTCCCTCTGGGCCGCTACAACAACAAGAAGGACCTGAAGGACGCTGTGAAGAAGATGGCCTACATGGAGAGAGGGACCATGACTGGCCAGGCTCTCCGCTACCTGTCAGACAACAGCTTCGGCCCCGGTCAGGGTGCACGACCTGGAGTCACCAAGGTGGGCATCGTCTTCACTGACGGACGCAGCCAGGACTACATTGGAGATGCTGCCAAGAAGGCAAAGGAGAATGGTATGAAAAACGAGATGTGGACACCAGTAGACACAACAGGAAGCTTAACTTTACAAGTCCTGTGTGAAACCTGTGTGTGTGTTATGTCACAGGCTTTAAGATGTACGCTGTTGGAGTTGGCAATGCAGTGGAGGATGAGCTGAAAGAGATTGCCTCTGAGCCGACTGGAGAGCACTACTTCTACACGGCTGACTTTAAGGCGATGACTCAGATTGCCAAGAAACTGCAGATTAACATCTGTCAAGGTGAAATCAGAGAAAATAGAGACAAAAATTTAAATTTAGCTCAACATTACTAGCTATTGCAACATGGATATTGATGCAAATGCTGCTTTTTGTTTCCACAGATGAAGACCCATGTGAGTGCGACTCTCTTGTAAAGTTCCAAAAGAAAGTAGAAGATGCTCTACAGGTGCTAACAAAAAAATATATCCTTTACAGCAAGTGAGTTTGGAGAAGAAAGATGATGGTAAGGAGGGTTTTTATGCCTTTGTCAAGTTTTCTGTTCATGTGTTGCTGTCCTTGACAAACTCTCACTAGATAGCATGTCAAAGAGGATCGCCTTGCTCGAGAACAAAATCGTCTGAGGACTCCATCCCACTCCTCACTTAACATCTACACACACATATCCACAAACACACACATCTAAACAAACAAAAACACTCACAAACACACATTTTACTTCCTGTAAAATACCAACAAGGATCCCTAGGTGTGTGCATGTGTGGAAACTTTGACCTCTGCTTGGATCTTGAGCTCAGCCTCCTCTTCTTTCGGCCTCACCTTCTCCACCCTTGGGTCTCCTGGGACACAAAGCGCCGGTTGCCATGGTGATCACTCCTTTGTGTGTGTGCTCTCCGAAGGTCATCCTCCATAGCCAGCCTGTGTGTTTGTTAATAAAAGTCTTCCCTCATAGGGAAACGGTACAGTGAAGGGTTTTTATTGTTGCTGCCAGTGTTGAATTCCTCCAAAATCTGTTGTCTGTCTCTTTTAATGTCCACCAAAGCAGCACACTGTCCTCATTTGTCTGTTTATATCTACTGTTTTCCTCTTTTTTCCTACTTTTTTCCTCTTCTCTCATATCTGAAGGCTAACCTTTCTTTTCACCCCATGAAGGAATCTAATATTTAATAAGGTGTATATTTAAATATATCCCATTTAATTTAATACAAAATATAACCCCTTTACCTTTGGTGTTATTTTTATTTTCCTACATAAAAGGGATTCAGGAAGTAAATTTAACAGAATGTGAAATAAGTGAGTGCCAAATTGACTTCACAGACACGGATACACATACAATAATATCAAGAAAATCCTCCTTTGACACAGTTTAGGGTTTAAATTAAAGGTAAATATGTAAAATAAAAAAAGCATAGCTCTTCCTATAAAGAGTGGGCTCAAAGGACCACAAGGGCTTGATAGATAATGGTGCCATTCACTGACACAAATATATACAGTCACAGCTAAATGGGTAATAAAAGTAGGCTTAAACGATGAAGATAGAGATATGTGAACCAGAGGGTCACTCTTCACAGTACCAAGACATAATAAAGTCCAAGACACAGACAAAGGGTGATCCTTTCCATGACATAAATGTCATTTACATTATCAATCCGCTCCTGTGTCGTGGAGGTTAAGGAAGCAACCAACATCTGCTAAGTGGCTTAGGTTGAAATGCCAAATACATCTTTATCAGCAGGCCTTTCCTGAAAATGATACCTCATAAAACAAAGTTGCAAACATTTAGGACAGGTCGGTTTTAATGATACTTTTGAATGTTTTCATGGACCTCTGCCCTAAAGAGTCTTAACTCATTTAACTAAACTTACTTTGAATCTCAAACAGGTCCATTTGCCCTTTGATAACTATGACCTAAGTGAATGATAACCTGCACAGACATCTCCCTTCTTTCCTAATTTTGCTTTAACATAGAATTTAATGTTAAGTTGCTTTATTTAAAGTTGGACATAAAGTTTTAAGAACAGAGGGTTACTTTTATTGACATTTTCATCTATAAAAACCAACTATTTCATTATAGTTTCAAAGGTTAACAAATATGAAGAGCGACCTATAAATAAATAAACGAAAAAATCTATTCTTTAAAAGATGTGACATTTTACACTTGTGTTTAAACAGAGGTTGACAAAGTTTTGAAAGTTGCAGCAGCGCGAGCTCTCCAGCGAAAACTTTTCTACGCGTCACAGTGACGTCATTCAGGAAGTAAAACTGCTCTTCAGTCGGAGCCATAGACATAATAAAAGATAGACTCCGCATCGGCCGCTACCACGAATGGGCGCTGTCGAGAAATGCGGCCGCCATCTTGGTCCGGTCATCCGCCTCACTCTGCACCGCTGTTTAACCGGCGGAATGAAGTCTGAGCGCATTAAATGAATCATAGTTCGCTCAATACTACGTAATTTTCTTCTCTGCAAACGCCATTCAAAGAGGCATGATAGAGGCCTTTTTTTTTTTGGCGTTTTCAAATTCTCAGAATGAATAAAATGATATTTTAGAACATGGCAGCAGTGGCTGTATTATAGTATAACAATTAATCAAGGATATATTTAGGTTTAGAGCTAGGTTCCTGCTATGTCTCAATAATTATTAATAACTGGCGGTTTTAATAGGCCAATTCAATATATATTGATTTGATTATAAATTTTTATATAGTTTAATTTTATTTATCCATTTGTAGACACACACAAATAATGTCATATAGAAGCACTATTTTAATAACTGGAAAATACACACAAATATATAGCCTACATATCAAAAAGATTTAAACACAAGAACAGCATGACAGGACAGCATCTAAACTACATATCAATTTGCTTGTTGGCTACACAGCACAGAGAAATCACTTGCTGCGAATTTCTCCCTCTAACAGCAATCTCCCACTTCTTCCTCAAGTTTTTGTCCTTAGGAAATCTTCAAAATGAAACAGGAGATCACCACAAAGAAATCTTTAATAAAACAGATAATAAAACAGAGCTCACTTTCTCCCTTTTTCTTTCTATTTTATTTCTTAACGTTTCTTAGAACCTCTCTCAAACAAAAGTTTTTCAATCTAATGCAAATCTGTTGATAATCGACCAAAGTTGCTATTATTGTGAATAAGCTAGCTGTTCGCAAATGCTGTTTCCTTTTTGGAGTTGACCGATAGTCTTCCTCTTTGGCCTACAAATGACTCTACAGTCAAGTGTAATGTTTAAAAAACGTTTAATCATAACTGTGAAAAGTTATTCCTTGAGCCCTGTTCTCTGCTGTCCGCCTGCTGGCACAGGAATACGCCGCACAGTGCTCCGGCATCGCTGAATGAATGAATATGATTGACCGGAGCGTATGGGAAGCTTGACCTGACCAAGATGGCGGCCGCATTTCTCGCTGCGCAGCACCCCCAGCGGGGTCTACCTTTTTATTATGTCTATGGTCGGAGCAGCTGAACGAAATAAGCGAGTAATAACTCTTCTCTAAGTATTCTCTAAGTAGCCCCCAAAAATGATGTTAGTTTTAAAGGGGGTTATTTGTGCTCTGTAAGTCCATTTCGAGCATAAATCTCTGGCTCAGAGTGTTTTTAAATCGAGCTAAATCCGCTGTTTTTACAGCTCAGCATCTGCTAACAGCAGCTAAGCTAACGAAGCTAACCGGGTCTGCTCGGACAGGTAGCAGGTGTGAAAAAAAACTGGAGGATTTCTGTTCGTGTTAATGATTAATGGAGTAGATGACTGCGCACTGAATGAAGACAAGCCTTAAGTTTTGGGCGATTGAACCAACTTCACATCCGGCTAACTGTTGCGTTCATACTTCACCAGCTTCAGGTGACTCCGTTCAGGTGCGTCTGGATCTCTGCAGGAGATGATGGCCAGTCATCCCGGGACAGACTTCACCTGCAAAGCTAACGGAGGAAACAGCTCGGGGCGAGTACCCGGTTCTGGTCGACATCAATCCGAATCAGAGTCCGAACTGAGCCCGGCTCTGAAGAGCTTAGCTGGGCTGTGCAGCAGGGACGCGGAGGAGCGAGCGGCGGCTCTGGACGAGCTCAGCCAGGCGGTTCTGCTGTGTTTAGGTGTGGACCGGCCCGGTTCGGCACGGCTGTGTAAACAAACACTCCTGCATCTTCTGCGGCTGTCCGGGTCGTGTCCGCTGCGGGAGGTTCGAGGGAAAGCGACCGAGCTGCTCCGGACTGCACAGGTGACCACAGGGGGGAGGGGGGGTTACGGGGACTCACTGTCTGATATGATCTGCAAACTGCAACCATTAAAAACAACATATCTGCTCCGCTTCGATAAGGAACAACTCTCTAAATGTTCCTCAGTGTTTGGCTGAACTGTGCATCAATATCGGGGCTGATCTTCACCTGTTTAAAAACTATTCATCGCTCATTAGTAGTAATGTCTTTTCAGGTGATACCTTAGAGTAATCAGCTGATTATCGGCCTCTATCAGGTTGCTGGATGTTTCATCAGACGTTGAACTATCGGAGGTGATGCAAGACTTCGCTGCGGTGTGCACAAACAGGCCGGCCGGACACGCCCCCTCCCGGCGTCCTGAAAACACACAGGGACACACCCCCGGGGCTTCATTTTCACCGCTCATCGTAGCGTCTAGAAAATGCAAAACAGTCAGTCTCTTGTGCGGCTTTCACATTATAAATTTGGGAATAAGTTTGTGTTGCAATCGTCGGCCGGTGTTAGGACGATGTCGGTGAGTTTTTGCCCCTCGGTCTCGGTAGCACATTTCATGAGCTGCTCGTTATGAAACGACTCTCTCCGGTTACAGTACAGCTGCTTCAACAAGTAGGTCTGCTCAAGTTCAAGCGGATGAAGCTGCCTGCACACTTTTACAGTTAACCTTTTATTACATGTTGTAAGTTTACGTTTGGAAATGTAAAACACTGTGAAGTAACTGACACTCACGCTTTTGAGTTGGTTCGTCAAAACAGTTATGAAATTCAGGTCAAAGGTCGTTTATTTTATCTGAAAATGTTGACATTTCAATGCCAAACACGCTCTGGTTCCAGTCTCTGATTACTTAGAATTAGCAGATTTCTGTTGTTAATTTTTTGTCAGATTGCAAAAGAAAATCAACATTCAGAAGACAACTATAATGAGCAATTTTTTCATCATATTTGCTCATGCATAAGTTCGGATTTTATGGGTATTTTACTTCATTATGAGCTACTTATTTTTCAGTCTTTCTCTTGTGCAACAGGATCACGGTGTGGAAGTTCCTCGGGCTCTTGCTTTGGGTCCAAGTGCCTTCATCCATGCAAAAGAGGTGAGCACGCTGTTCTTTTTAGGAGTGTATTCATTCACTGATACTGAATAATTGCATTTGCATAATTGCAATTGCATATAAATCTATACAAAATCAAAACATGTAGCTGTCGAGTTGGTTAGTCGTGACCTAGTTCAGAGTAGTACTTAGCAATGCTGCTAACTATGCTGCTGCAACACTGGAGTACCTGTTGCTTCATATCATCAGGAGAAGCAACAGCAGACTCAGATTGCCTAAGCCAATGGCTGAAAATTAAGATTTCATGTGTGAGTCACTCTGAGCTTTCCTCTGGAGAGAAAGTGTGGGTGTAGTACCAACTTCATGCAGCTGCTTATTTCCAGCTCTCTTGAGAATATTTTCAGGAGAACCCCCTGCAAATATTGACTCAGGCACTCTTGTTTTGTATTTCCAGTGTGGTCGTCTGAATAAAAGGACTGTAGTTGTAAAGATTTGTCTGTGATGAATATGTTTGTGTCACCTCTACTCCTCAGATGATGAAAGAAGGGCCAGACCAGGACATCCTTGTTGAATCTTTTCTTTCATCGGGTCGTGTAGACCACATCACTATGGTGATGGCGCTGCACCCGGCTTACCTCAGCTGCTTCCTGAGAACCCAGCATGCCTTGTTAGAGCTGGATGGCCCTTTGCCTCGTCACTGGAGGCACTATATCGCTCTTATGGTGAGAAAACCTCAAAATCCTCTTTTTTTTAAGGGACACTCAAAAGCTTTTTTGTAATCTTATGTTAGAGAAAAAAACACTAGTGCTTGAACTGCAGGTGTGACAGATGTTTAGGATGATTAGCAATGTTTAGAAAGAAGAAAATAAGATAACCAAGCAGTTTAAAGAGACTTCCATCTGTCCACAACAACATATTTTACAATCTTGGAAGGGATAAGACAGAAACAATTCAAGTTAAAATGAGTGGAGAAGCTCTAGCTGTAGCATGTCATGGCTTCGAATCACATGATCAGCACTAAATGAGGTTTCACACCTTTTATAGAGAACTGTCGGTAAGTCGTCATGACGTGGTTTGCCTTATTTTGTTGACTGGACGTGACTTGTTACCACAAAAAGTTGCTGATATGATTAGAAGTAGTGCAAAATATCCATACAACATTATACTGTCATCCTGGTTCACACACTAGTTATGGTATCTCTGGCACCAAATATTGATATTTGATTTAAAATATGATGCTGCTCTTGATAGGGTCCTTTCAGTTTGTCTCACAGTTTCATAACTTCACGACTCTTTGGTGTACTTCTAATAACATCAGTCCTGTTGTTTGTTTTTAGAGGTATTTTGTGTTCCTTAGTTAATTAGACATGGTGATTTATTCAACGATTCAAGGAACTTTATTTGTCACACCCCACACCTTTTACAGTTTGTGGAACAAAATTAGTACCCAGGTCGGTTCATAATATGTTTGACTTTTAACCCCATATTTGCATAATTGTGACATTGTTGTTATTGGGCCCAATCTGTTGTGTTTTGTATCATGTGATTCAACTCCTCTCTTCTTACACTAAATGATGATTCACTGAACTCGAACATCCTGACAGATGCAGAGAGATTTACAGACTGGTAAAAAGTGACTCTGTTTTAACTGCAGGTAACAGCTTTGACCGTCTCACTCAGGTCACTGAAAGTGAACCATGAATCGTTTGACTCAGACTGAATCATTGGCTAAATCGTCCCAATAAGAGTGAGATGGTGTGACTACCCAGCACTTAAGTGTGTCATAGATAGGTAAACACAGCTGCAGCAGATATGATTAATTAAAGCGAAAGAAATGACAACATGGAAAGTTTTGGTCTTGTGGCTGACGGTCTTTTTTGGGGGGTTTGTAGGTCAGTAAGAGGCATCAGTGTTAACTTTAATCTGATTAATAAGTCAAAACCGAAGTTTGTTTATGTGTCCGTGTAATGGATTTAAAAAGTATCCTCATCAACCTGTTCTTATCACACAAAATCAGGCAAAAAAAATATAAAAAAACCTGAACGTTTTTGTTTGTTAATGTAAAGCATCTTTCCTTTAACTTGTATCTTTAACATTTGGACCATGTGGAGGACGATTACTGCTCCCAAAACTATGAATTAAGGCTCAACTCAAAGACACAGCTGGGGTTGAATTCCACTGTTAAACAAAAAATTAAAAATGAGTAAGTCTGAGAAAGATATTTTGTGTTATAAAATTATTAAATCGATCATTTATGGGCCCAAACATTTGCTGACGATGTTACAGTAATCGAGCTCTTACTTCAAGGACAGACTAATACGTATGTTTCCCTCTTTCTGGTGTTTTTCAGGCTGCAGCTCGACACCACTGCTCATATTTGGTTCAGCAGCACAGCGCCGGCTTCCTGGAGGCCGGAGGAGAGGAGAGCTGGCTGAGTGACCTCCAACACGCTCCAAGCAAACTCCGCAGCCTGCAGACACTCAACAAGCTGCTGGCACACAGACCCTGGCTCATCACACAGCAGCACATCCAGGTCAGACGCACCACCCACACACTGCCTGTCTCTCGCTCTCCTGCTCGCTCTTTTTAGTAATATGATTTAATACTCTGGATTTAGTCTGTATCTGAAATCACTCCCTCATTGACTCACTCACTACTCCCCTGTTGAATAATCCAATCCTTTTTGAGCAGTAAATAAACATTCGGATGAAGCATGATGTGCGTCACTAGTGGCAGGTGTAATCTCGCGTCTTTAAAATAAGATTTAGTGCTGTGTGGTGCTGCGTTTTTTTTAGAGGAAAATAAAAGCTCCTGCTGTTGACAACACTGCTCGACAAAGTGTGCCTAGATTGTTGATCTTGAAAAAAAAAGCCTGTGAAGCAGGAACAAAGGTGTTTGTGTAGTTTTGAGTGAGAGATTTAAACCCTACAGTTTAGATTAAATCTAACTATGAATGCATGGAATTGGATTTTTGGTTCTTTATGCGCACCTTTTTTTTTAAACAACACCAAGTTTCCCCTGTAAGAGGATTTACTCTTGTTTTTTCTCTCCTCTTGAATTTACTCTACTTGCTCTCGTTGTGACAGTGTGTTTGTTTTAGAACCAGACAAACAAGACAAACAGCATTTGATTCCTTGATTTAAGATGATAGATTTGTTTTGCCAGAGATGTGTCTGCTGTCTGTTTTCCAACACCTCTGTACAGCCCACATTTGTAAGCTCTCGTCTTTTGCACTCTTGCAGTCTAGATTAAAAGTAAAAAGAAAGGCTTGTGTGTAAGTGTTGTGTATTTTAGGGCAAGTGTTGATGGAAACTTACTTTCCTTTTGCTTTGTACCAAATGTTGAGTGTTTTTACAAGTTTGAATTTTGACCAAGTACCGATGTGTTATAAGAACTCAAAACAGAGCGCCATTCAGGCTGAGTCTCATCAGTTTTGTTGGTGATTTAATAATAATAATACGATCATAGGGCTGATCAAACTTAAACTTTGACTTCATGATAAAAGAAGAAAAAATTAAGATGATGAACATTTTTATTTCAGAGAACAGGAACATTCACTCAGTTCATTCAACCACTGTCAAGGTATTTCAGGCTTTCTAATCAGCAAACTCCTGTATCCACCCCACCCCCTGTGCTGGTCCTGCTCTGTCCTGCAGGAGCTCGTGTATCCCGGCGCAGACCCTCGCTGGTCATTGGCTGAACTCATCCATGCTGTGGTCCTGATGGCACATGCTCACGCACTCTGCTCATTGGTGTGGGGCTGTGGCATAAACCCTGAACCTGACCACATAGGTGGCTACACCTTCCAACCTCCATCACCCGGACACTTCCCTCGAAGCCCTCATAGCCCCGCTCATGAGGATGGCAGGCAGGAAGTGAGTCAGCTCGCCTTATTTAAAAAAAAAAAAATCTTAATTATGTCTACAGAGCTGAAGAAGGATTTGTAGATTTTTGGTAGCAAAGTTTCAAAAGCCTTTCACTCTTTGGATCCTCAGCTGGTTGATGGAGCAATGGAGGTGGAGGTGCTGATGAAGAGGATGGTGGAGCTGCAACAGCAGCAGGAAGAGGAAGAGTGCACACAGGAGGAGATGGTTACTCGCTTTGAGAGGGAGAGGAGCGAGAGCATACCCACTGGTATAAACACTCTTTTTTTTTAAAAAATCTTATCCATCGCAGATTAATATTAAACTGGTCGATGTTTATTTATTCACTTTTCCTCTTTGTTGTGTTTGTTCAGCGAGAGTACGGGGAACACCGCCTGACCTGGTGCTGCATCTGGTGGAGGATCCAGAGTTCAGATATGAGGACTTTGCTCCCAGAGGAGAGCAGGCGCCACCCACCATGAGAGCACAGGTAGTTTAGAGGATTTCAGATTAAACTGATGCACACACACACACACACACACACACACACACACACACTCCCCAGTTGATTCTATTGATGTTTTTGTCTCGTGTGCAGGACTACTCATGGGAGGATCACGGCTACTCTCTGGTCAACAGGCTCCTGCCAGACATGGGTCAGCTCCTGGATGAAAAATTCCAGGTACCCTCACCTTTAAATTAGTAGAAGTAAATCAGTGATTTACAGCGAGATGATTCAAAACCACACAAGACTCTTTAGTTAAAATATCAGGGGGTTTGTGGGCTTCTATCTTGCAGAGAACATGATTTAACATGATAATGTGAGCCTATTTGACTCATTAGTGTCAGGAAAATAAGTGGTTGGTGATGATTTGCGTGGGAAATTGAAAAATCAGAATGATCCAGAATTTGTTTTTGTTCCTTCCCCCAGAGATCTGGTGTTTTTCAGTCAGTGGAAAGAGTGAAATTCTTGACAGTTTTACCTTTTAGTGCATCTCAAAGTAACTCAAGTTAAACAGTCTAAGATGAAACATTACTCTTTAATAGAGGGGCAGACTTTGCTTTGTATGAAGGAGCCGAAGAAAAAAAAGGTGGACAAGCGATGTTTATGTTGCCGTGTCCACTCTGGCAAATAACAGTGATTATGTTTGATATAGTGAGGGCCAAAAAAGAGACCAGACATTAATACTGAAGATATCATAAGATCTGCTGTTGTTTCTGCAGGTTGTGAGCAACTTAACTTACCACAGGATGGCCATGCATGAGGGCGTGGACACCCACACTCTGAGAAAAGCTCTGTGGAACTACATCCACTGTCTATACGGGATCCGGTCAGTGTCAGACTCAGTTAAAGAAACACTTTAAAATGTTTTGAATCTCTGTCAGTATCCTTACTTGTCTATTTATCAATGACCCTGTGTAGATACGATGATTACGACTACGGCGGCGTTAACGTGTTGTTGGAGCGCTCTCTGAAAGTGTTTGTAAAAACCATGGCATGTTACCCCGAGCAGACCACAGTACGCATTTACCAAGCCTTCTGGAGACACTTCAGACATTCGGAAAAGGTACAAACCATTAAAATTGTGAAAAGGGGACGTTAAAATATCACAATGGATGTAGAAAAGTGACACCTAATAACGACGTGGTTCTGTGTGTTTCCTTGTGCAGATTCATGCAAACCTCATAGTGATGGAGGCCCGCCTACAAGCAGCTCTTCTTTACACCTTACGAGCCATCACTCACTACATGAGATGATGGACTCACCACACATTCTTGCAGATGCTGAGCCAGCTGTGATCTACCACAGCCCAACACAAGGATAGACAATCTTTTGCACATACACTGACACACATCTACACACACACACCCACACACACACTACAGTGAATGTTTGTGTTTTCATATCCTATGTTTCAGTGTTAATGTTTCTTGATGCTGCTTTGCACCTGTATATCTGAGATTTAGAGTTTGTTACTTATTTTGCACTGAAGTTGATCAGGTTTCGTTTCACCGCTCGAGCCTCAGGAGTAGTTCTGACGATCTTGCACGTCATCTATCTTACGCAGACATATGTACGCGCTATACGCCATGAATGCTGGTGAAATTAGACCTGGTGGAAATGACTCATCATGATTCAAGTGTTTCTTTTGCAGTTTTTAGCTGTTCTCTCTATGACTACCTGTGCCTCAGTCGTCTGGACTGAGATCAAAAATACAAAATAACTTGTATTTTTATATACAATAAAAAGTTACTTTGTTATCAAAATCAAAACAGTGTGTTGTGGGAATATTCTGTAGTCTATAGTCTTTGGATGGGGATTTTACAGTTTTTCAGTCCTTTTATTCACCAAAGTGTTTTCTCACATTTCCAATATAACTGTCTTCTTAATCCAGAAAAACAGAGTGAACGTTTTTGTGAATTCAATAAGTTCTCGAAGGAGTTTAAGTCATAGCTGTGGTCCGATTTTTACAGAAGCCTTTTGTATTTATTATAGTGAAAAACTCTGCTCTGTATTTCTGATTCAAGATAATTGTCTCAAATCGAAGAGATTTATGTAGGCTACAGATAAAGAAAAATTATCTTGTAATGCTAATAAGATAATCTCGAGTCAAACATTGAAAATTTGTTTTATCTGTATGATTTTTCACTTTTGATTTTTTCACTTTATGAGATAATTATCTTGCCAGTTTGGAAAGAAAATATATTTACAAACATTTTTTCATTCTAAAATAAAAAATCTGGTTAATTCAGAAAAACATGTCAGAATAGTTTTATTTTAAAAAAGTTTATTTTTTTGTAAATGTTCATGAAGTTGTGAAGAAAAGTTCTCATTTACAAAAAGCTATTTCGAAGTTTTAAGATAATTATCTCGTCTATTCAGAAAAAGGAAAAAATATCAAAAATTATGTCTCGTATTTCTGAGATACTTATCTTAAATCAGAAAAATAGGGAGAAAAAACTTTGTTTAGAAAAATAAATAACTCGTAATTCTGCGACAATTAAATCGTTAATTCAGAAAAAAATGTAGCCGTCAGATTCTCTTCAAATCCGGAGTCAATGACCTCCTTTAGTCGGAAAACTTGAATGAAACCATTATATTTAAGATTTGATAGTTGGACGTGTGTTGCTGCTCGAGCTGCATTGATCCTCCACAAGATGGCGACAAACACTTGAAGAAATGTTTAACCCTGAACAGCCAGCAAAACTTCACTGAAAAGGGTACAATTTGAACAGAGATCCAGTACATTTCTCCCTGTAGTTAAAGTTTTAAATTGATGTTTATTTTGATAGATTTTTACGGATGGACTCCACTCCGTAATGCTGAAGTGACTGCATGAATAATCCCACCTGTGAGGAGCGTTGTTTCACATTTCACTCACGGATATCACACTTTTTGTTCTGTCTTCCTGTACTTCACACCAGAGAGAGGTTTTGACAAGTCACTTCTGCACTCAGGTTTTGTCATTATAAAGCAAAATGTCTCTAATTCAAGTGTTCACTTTTAACTGACTTCTTATGCTGCGTTAATATGCGTAAAAAACATGACAACACGCTATTACAATACAAACAATTCAACACAACAGACTTCTCTATTATTTCTCACAGTTGCATTTACAGCTACCTACTGCGCACGCGCTCCACTGGGGCGGTAACGCGCATGAAGTCCGTTCACTTCTCATCGCAGTTGCGCCTCGCGAGTCTCACACGGTCCGTTCAGCGCCAGGATAGCCGGGATAACAGCGCTCTTTGTGTCAGGTATGTGTGCTAAATTTACACTCTAATGTTTAAAAAGGGCAAAAACTGTCGTAGTTTTGTGAGTTTTGAAGGGCTGGTTTGTTGTTTTTGATGAACTCTCTAACTTTTATCACCAACTGTCAGAATCAAAGGGAAAAAAATGGTTATGAGCAGGTGCTTTTTCTTGAATTACTTAAGTAGCCTATTTATTAATTCACACTCAAACTTAGATTCATTTTGTAAGCTTTAAATAGGCCCACTCTGATTGTCATCTCTTTTAAATACAACTCATACATTTAATTCGTACTCTAAAGGTGTGTAAAATAAACCAGCTGAATGAACAAACCTACATTTTATCACAGAGTCGTCTGGATATCATGAATTTAAAACAGTGTCAGCAGTTTATTCGCAGTTTTTTTTTCCAAATTGGGTAACTTTGGAGTGGTTACTGTAAAATAAAAGGAAGTTGGTAGCTGTCTATGAGAAGTTAATAAAGTGCATATCATAACTTCCACTCTTCTTACTGGTCAGACACCACAGAGGAAGTTATGTGGGACATCCTTCCAGCACAGACCAGTGATATACAGACAAAATTTATTGAAAGGTTGTTCAATCAAATGGGTTGAGTATTGGGTCGGGGTCATGTGAGATATTGTGAGAGTCTATCCAACATTTTTCTGATTTAATCAAGACTAAATGTTTAATTTGCTCCCACAGTTGCTTGTTCCTTCATGAAATGTGACTGTGATTTCCCTCACCATGTCTTTCTATCTGAAGTGTTTCTGCCTTAATGAAGGTGTTTATTAATTCATGATAGAGGAGATCTGTAGTCACACCACCACCTCTCTGTAAATGACCAATGTCCTCCTGTCTGTTTGTGTCACTCTACATTTCAGCTGTGATTGCATGAAGGCGTTTTCGTGGAATTCTAAGGCTGGAATTGAGGAAAAAGCGCGATTAAGGTGTCCAAGGCCGGACTTCATCATCACATCCTGTTTCTTTACGAGGTCAGTTCCTGTCTTTAGCCTCGGGGTTTGGCAGGAAAGAAGGGGGCGTGGAGCTGTTTCTAAGTGTGTGTGTGTTGAGGGGGGGTTACAAAGTGACATTCCTATCGTCATTCAGCTTTCCCACCAAGAGGTGACAGATATTGTTAGTTTGATATACCTGATTTCACCTGGAGATTGAATGTTTTAACCAAACCTGTCAATCCAAGCCCAGTTTTGTAAGTTTTTAGCACCTCACTTAACAAGAGGATCACTCTTCTTTATCCTATCCCCCACAGGAACTAAACCCCAAATACTTAAAATGAAGATTTCCCTGTCAAACTTCACAAAAGTCATGTAAATGTCCATGTTAGCCTCCCAATGTCAGTCCTCTGTATCTGGAGGATGTGGTGACTTCATGTGGAAACAGGACGTCCCGATGACCGAGACACCTTACTTTTCCACCCACCCCCCCTTTCCCTTCATTTGCTGTTTCGCTCCTTTTGGACTGTGCGTATGTTTGTACTCTCAATGTGTGTGTGTGTGTGTGTGTTGTATGTGAGGATTCGGTGACAGCCTGCTTCCCATTGTCCTATCATTCCTGCTGCACTCATACTCTGCATCCTGTGGGGTTTCCTGCAGATGAGGGAGAGAAATAGAAGAAAGGTAAGAAACTGATGGAGGAACAAGAAAAAAGAGGTAGAGAAGGATTGGAGAAAGTCTGGAAATTTGTATCAAAGTACAGAAAGTCTACAGATGAGAACAAGTGTGCTAGAGTGTGTGAGAGAGTGTGTGTTTCTTTGTGATTTTTTCCCTCTGAGACCAGCTTATCTGCAGTCCACTGTGCAGGAAAGGGTGTGTCCTCTGGATTTGGATGTTTGTGAGCTTGACGATGGCGGGTGAGGGTATTGTGATTTTATAACAGAGCACTGAATGCTTCAAATGCTTTGTAGCTCAGGACTTATTCACAACCATTAACTGTTGAAATTCACTACAACTGACTTTTCTACAGCTGTGAAAAGTGAGAATATACTCCTACATTTCAACATTTGACAGACTAAGCAATAACGAGTGTATGAAATATATAATGTATGATTATAGATTGAAGCCTGACCTTGACCATCTACAACATCAAAGTATTGCTCTCCTGTTAATGCATTAGTGATCATCAGAAAATGTAACACTGAAAAAGGGTGTTTTTGCTTCTGTGGGACCATAACTTCTGCTTCTTTTAGCACATTTTATTAACAGTTACAGCGTACTTTACTTCTACATGCACTCTGGAGTTTTAACTCGGATGTGAAACAGACTGTAATTAATACTGTTGGCTCTATGTGACCTACTTCAGCTAAATAGGAAATAGGAAATCAAGTGACTATTTCCATATATTTATTTTTATGCCTAAAGCAGGGTCAGTGACAGAATAATAGTTTCAAGCTCTCTGCTGGAACAGTTTTGTTTGCATTACTGTATTTTTTTGATAAAGAGATGTGGTAAGATATTTCATCAGAATACACCGCTTCCTCATGCACAGGTTAAAATTACTGGAATTGATAAGCTTCTACTTTTAAGAGTAGTTTTGTTATCATCACCCTTCATTTGTACTTAACAATTTATGCAGAAAGTATTTTTATTTCACCACATCTTACACAGCATTAGTTACCAGCTTTCTTTCCACTGCAGACCAGCCAGCTGATTGGATGATGTCTATACTGCAAATAATTATTATTCTCAAATCGCCAGTCAATATATCATTATATATCATTGCACCTATTATAAGCTACATTTACCTGGTATAAAAATAAATCTTGTTTCAAGATATTTCAAGCAAAAATTGTCTTTGCTCCTTAAAATGAGAATTAATTTTTGTTTCAAGAAATTTAAGAAATTTTTGCTTACTGTCAACATACATATGGTGCCAGTTCACAGCAAATGTTATCTCAAGATGCATTACAGAAGAGCAGGTCTAGATCATCCTCTTTATTGTATTTACAAAAACGCGACATGAAGATGGGATCAGATTGAGCCCCATCTTGTTAGATCAGACCCACTCCCATCCCGTCTTCAACCACATGAGTGAAACACTTTAGTAACACAGTATTTAGCAAGTTACAGTGGAGAGGAAGAACTCCCTTTAACAGGCAGAAACCTCGACCAGAGCCAGACTCGTGCTAGACAGTCATCTGCCGAGACTGAGCTGGGTTCAGAGAGGAGGGAGAGGGAGATAGAGAAAGAGAGACAAACAACAACAACGATTGCTTATACAGATGTACTGTACACACCTTCTCATTCAACGCATTTTCTTTATTCTCATTACTATTTAAATTGTAGATTCTCAGTGAAGGCATCAAAACTAGGAATGAACACATGTGGAATCATCTGCTTAAGAAAAAAGTGTGAAATAACTAAAAACATGTTGTATATTTTAGATTCCTCAAAGTAGCCTCCCTTTGCTTTTTTGATAGCGCTGCAAACTTTTGCTCTTCTCTCAATGAGCTTCATGAGGTAGTCACCTGAAATGGTTTTTACTTCACAGGTGTGCCTCGTCAGGGTTAGAAGTACTTCTGTCATCAAGAGCAAAGGGAGGCTATTTTAAAGAAACTAGAATATAAAACATGTTTTCAGTTATTTCACACTTTTTTATAAGTACAAAATTCCACGTGTTCATTCATAGTTCTGATGCCTTCAGTGATAATCTACAGTGTAAATAGTCATATAAAAAAATAAAGAAAAGACATTAAATGAGAAGGTGTGTCCAAACTTTTGGCCTGTACTGTATGTGTACAATTTACAGCATGTTGATAATAAAAGATGGATTTTAGTATAAGGCAACTAAAGTCAACAGGTCTGTCGTCATATCATAGGGAGGAGTAGGAAGGATCAAAAAGTTCTACATTAACTTTGTAACTGTGACAAAAACTGAGACACTGATACTAGTAGTTGGGTCTCCTGAAGACTCTTAGCACAGTCAGCCATGCTCACTAACTTCACCTTGGATAGATGCAGAATCCAACTAATTTCACACATTAATGCGGTTGGTTTTCATACAACAAGTAGTTTGGAGAAAATGCATATTTTGGGAGGCATATCCAACACCCCCATGAGTTAAAAGTGCTTATCCAGAACTTTGAAGTGTGTTTTAAATGGAGTCATTTTCAGTTTTACTTCTGTTAAGTTAAACTATGATTTAGGAAACTTTACTTTTACTTGAGTTAGCAGATTGGTTGGTTGGTTACAGTAAGATGATGAGTAAGACAGCTGAATAATAGTTTCCAATAAATCATCACTGGTGATATATTGATCGCTGTGTCTTTGGCCTGATAATAATAGTAAACTCATTTATCAGTCTGTCTTTAAGAGGTCCACCTCCATCACAGGCATCACAGTTACAGACAGCCAGTTAATTAAAAGTTTCCAGATATTATTGTCAGTCAGTTCACTTCTCCACTTTACAATGTGGAGAGGGCTGACTTGGGAAATCTCCTGTTTGCATGTCTTCATGAGCGGGTTGAAGGAAAAATGTAAATGTTTTTGTGATGGCTCAATCATCCCTTAAAATCTGTCAAAACACCAACACTGCTGCCTGCTGTCTATTGAAGAAGAAGTTTTCGTCTGAGCTTTGAAGGACTGTTTCTACAGACAGACTCATCTCAAACCACACTTCTCCTCACCAGAGGAAGCTGCTTGTGTTTCACAGTTGTCTAATTACAGTGTTTCTTCTGTGTCTGCGAGCTGCTATAAAAATCTGCTGTGAGAGCCCCATCTGTAAACTGAAATTTAATTCCGATACAACAAACAGAAGAAGTACTCGCATGAATGTAATTGAAAAGTAGCTGTTTTGTGGTAAACTTTGGCAAGAGGAGAGCTGCAATGGCAGTTGCATCATGGAGAAATAATGACAGTGTCATTTGCTGTTACAACACGGGCAAGTCTTGCAACCAGAGGCAGAGTAGTGAACTTAAGCCCCTTACTCACACGTAAAGTCCTTACAACATCCAGAACATTTCAGGAGAATAGGTCCTGTTTTTTCCCGGAAATGCCCTCACAACTCCAAAAAGTCGGTTAGGTCTTTGTCAGGGGAGGCACATGATTGGAGGATGCAGGAGGAGCTGAATCCATAATCGTTGGTTAATATCACTAAAGAATTCATAAAGACTGCATTAGACTAAATAGTACGGCTGTTTTAGGCAAACATGTAGATGTTACAGCGTTCTCACTTTTGCAGAGTTTTACATGTAGAAATTTCCAGACGATTACCTGCTGCATTCACACATGACAGGAAAATATTGGCATAAATTCAGGGGAATTGATTCAGACATTTGGAATGAGGAAGTGCAACGCATGCAAGAAAGAGGTGAAAAGCCACAATTTGGTAAGCAGATTAATTGTACTTATTCATGCTAATGATGATAGCTTTTTGTACTCTAAAATAAATTGAGATAAAAAGTAGATTTTGCCACAAGAAAAATTCAAAAAATGATTATTTCCAGGGTCTGCTTCATATGATATCTGAGTTTCATTCTTGGTTTCAAAGAAAATAAGGAACTTAAAGTGTACTGAAATAACTCTGTTGTGGTCCAAGCATATGTTTTTTGATGCGCAGACACCTCAGAGGCAGTAGTGTGCACTCACACACTCATTACTCTTCTTAAAATGTCTTTCACTGATCGGAAGAGAAACTTACATCTTATTTAAAACAGTGACTATGAAGAGCTAGTTTGCATAGGGTCATGCCTGGTGGTATGTTTTTGCGCGATTAGCATGCTTGACTGGTGAAGCCTTGCCCTATCTGTCAATGCAATTTTCTGTTTTCATCACAGGGTTTCCTTTCAGCTCACAGCCTTTCAGATAAACTGCATTATCAGGTGGCATTTATGAATTATCACAGCATGTCTGCAGAGAGGAAGAGAGCGAGAAATTTCGTCAACAAGAGCCCAAACTGAGAACAATGACTGTCCGGCAAACCTCTCCACACACACACACTCACACACACGCATGCATGCACGCACGCACACACACACACACACACACACACGCACACACACTCCTAGTGAAACTGTGTACGGTCATCTGCCAGTCTTCAAAAAGCAGATGAGAGACAGGTCAAGAGGAGATAAAGATGAAAGGGTGGAGGCTTCTTCTTCTTCTTCTGCTTCTGCTGCTTCTGCTTTTTAAGTTTTATCAGAGAAAGTAGGTCAGATGGGGGGAATATTAAAGGTTATTGTTGGAGGGTGTGGGCACAGAAAGGAATAACAGTAACAGGGAGGAAGATGTGTGTGCGTATATGTGTGTGATTGGGGTGTTTGTGGCTCTGCAGCTGCTTTTTGTGTTTGAGTGTGTGCGTGTGTGGATGGACTGTGTCCTGAGTTTCCAGGAAAAGGGGGGAGTCATCAGAGGGGTGGACAGGAAACTCAAACAGGGCTAACTTCCTTTAGTTCTCCTGATGGCCGACCTGATAATGCCTGTGTTTGCGTTTGTGTGAAAGTCACAGTTTTGAATATTTTGACCCCTCTGTGTAGTCTGTAACAGCTTTTGTTGTTTTCAACACGAGGAGGAATTTCTGTGGGTTTGTGATGGCGCAGGTCACCGGGAGCTCTTGTGTGTTTAGTCATAATGAAAGTGTTTTACCTTTTGCTGAGTTTTTGTTGTCGCTCCCTGCCGTAACCTGTATTGTTCTTCCTGTGTATGACTTCCCTCACATTCCTCAGGAGGTGGAGAGGCTGCAGCTGGAGTTTAGGCAACTTGAAAGGTTGACAGATGATCCCAGAGCTACTGTGACTGAAGTGTATGGATATTTTGAATGCTGAAAGTGTTGGTGTAACTGTCGCCTGTAGACCTTTTCAGGGCTGACATCACTGTGACACGGTCATATCAGCTAAAGGCAGAAAGAAGTAAAACTGGAGACAAACATGCATCACTGCCACAGGGTAGAGGGTGACATAGGAGTCCTAAAATGGCATGTTTTTGTGTTGTGGTGCCAGGAAAGAAGAAGCAATACCAATGTCTCAAAACTAAAATCCTACTGTATACCAGCCACCACTGCCTGTCAACAAAAACAAAGACTTTGGTTAAAGGTGATGATACTCATCTTCATATGTCATGTGTTCACTGTTTCATAACAGGATGACATTTTTATTCAGGGTTTTTATGACCTAAACTAAAATTGGGAAGGTTTCAAGAGGAATATTGGATTTTCTGTAACATTAAGTGTTTTAGCTCATGGGCTAGCTCTTAAAACGAACTGATCATTTGTCATCTTCCTCTGTGCGACTGCCATGGTAATCACAAATATAAAAGCATCCGAAGACTTATAAACCCTCAGTTTTCCTTTACTATACACTCTTTGTTTTTCTAACATGACCACATTATGTTACAAAAAAAACTACATTTGTGAAGATACCGCAACACTGTAGATTATATGACTTATTATAAGAAACACTTCACTGTCTGTTATCTTACATATCTAGAAAGATTCATGTTATCTTTTGCTGATTTTTGAAAAAGCCCCAAACAAACTGCTGGCTAATGCGTGTAAATGTTTGTTTTTGGACTCCAGCTAAGCCCCGCCCACTTAAAAACATCATACTGCTTATTAACACTGAAAGGGTATCCCGGTATCGTTCGATTCATTCCAGTTTTCTTTGGGCAACTGTTTCATACCAAAGTGCTGTCAAGTGATTAAACAGAGCTTCAACCAATCAGATTGAAGCTGAATGTGACATAGAAATGTAAAAAAACAGCAGCATACAGAGACATAGGGAACACACCTTTCTGCCCAATGAATGTGCAGTTGTTTAGTCTTCTGTTAATGACCATGGGATTTGTTTAAATGGCTCCAATAGTGGACCGAACCTTCCATCAGTGGAAGCTGCAATCATGATTTTTTACAAATATGCTGAATGCTCCTGTCATTGTCCTCTAAAGCCCGCCCCATCTTTGAATAGAGAACCATGATTGGGTCGATATATCTGACACTGAGGGGAAATCATTTGGACTGACAGTAAAAATGAAAATGAGTCAGCTCATGGGTCTGGCTAAAATTAGGCCATTAATGTAGTCCTCCAGGAGCAGTTTTTCAGAAACGGTCAAATAAACATGAGAAATGGCCTTTCTGAGAATAACCGTAAAGGCTCGAATTGAAGAATGAGGAAGAGCTGAGAAGAATTTGCGTAGCTGGCTAGTTTGCAAAGGATTTTCCCTCTTAAAATAAACGTAACGACACTGCAACTTTGTAGCAGCCCCTCATTGGCTATTTCTGTGAGATTGTGAGGTGGAATCAACTGTGCATCTAATGAGTGATTAGTGGTGGATAGATTCGCACTGTCCCTCCACTTTCAGCCACAAATTTTAGGTTGTTGCTCTAAACAAGGCACGCTTCATGTTTGCATTAAACATATAGACTCTATTGGAGAATGAAGTCCAATCAAACCCCCCCTTATGTTGATGACTATGTGTAAACACCCATGAAGGCAGTTAAAGTGTTTTACAGTGTTCTCTCTGTGTTATTTCCTCTCCATACTGGCACCAGTCTTTGCCTCGTCAACACGACCTCAAACAATGAAGCTCGATCAAAACTGGAAGTCAGGGTTGCGTACATGAACACTTTGTGAAACACATGTCAAGTTGTCAGGGACTGTCACTGTGTGTGTCAGTTAAGCCTGTTTAATGATGACATTTACAGGTAGATTTCACCACAGCACCACCTCTGACACACTTGCACGCACACTGATACAACCCCGCACACATACACGTACACACAAACACACAGCTGTTGACCAGAGCGAATGACTGAGGACTCTCTCGAAACTGCACAGCAGAAAGGGAAGTGGCTAACCTCACATCTCTCTTTGTCTTTCCCTATCTTGCGCTGTCCGCTGTCTCCTTTTTTCTGAACTTCTTTGTCTACTCACATCTCCCCCCGTGTGTCTCTTTATTAATGCTTTACTGCTCCTCAGCCTTTCTCTTTCTCTCACTCTCTCTTTCAGCTCCTCCGTCATCACTTCTCTGCCACTCAGCCCCTCCTGCCCTGCTCCCTCATTCTAGCCCTCGTCACTCACCTCTTCCTGTTTTTTTTTTTTTTTTTTTCTCAGTGGCGATGGTGATTGACAGATGATCTGACAGAGGAAGACATCAGGTGAGAAAAAAGTTAACTTCTCTTTCCCGCCTTAACTCCCCCTCCACCCACCCTTCCCCTTTTTCTCTCTGGGGAAGTAAAGTTTTATATTTAAACTTTGTAGCTTTTCGCCTCTTGGCTGAAATCTTCACACCCGGTTGTTCTCATACGCTGTGGTGACCCCCTTGTGTACTGTTGGTGTTTCACTTTCTTTCACTTTCGTCTGCCTCTTTCAGAGTCAGGCGGCTCAGACAGGATTTAGACTGAATCATACCTTCTAGTTTTACTACATTTGATCTGTCTTTTGAAGTTCCTGTTTGTGCCATTTTTGATGCCCCCTGTGGACAGAGCAGTCTTTGCTTATCTTACCCAGAACATGCTTAATCTCATCTGCTGAGTTCTGACAGTCAAATGTGTCATTTATTGTGAATATTTTATGCGGAAATCTTGAAATAGGTCTTGAGCCGCTCAGCTGACACCTACCCCCACACACCTGTTACAAACTGTCAATCGTGTTGCTGATGGTCTTGTTTCCTTTTAGATATCATGAAAAGGCGTCAATGTGAATTATAGTCTATTTCATAAATTAAAAAAAAAAATTATTGAAGCTTTAATTATTTATTTATTCTTCTCACAACTATTTTGTACTCTTAATTCTCTCTGTTTTTCTTTTTTTTTAATGCTGGACAATAGTATTATCATAAACATCATACATAAAGTTTTTAAGATCACATGTGTCAAGATTGGAGGCATTTTCGTGTGTGTGTGTGTGGGTAGCTTGTTTCACAGTTTGGAGGTCAATACAGAGAGCACGCATCATCCTTGTTTTTACCTTTACTTAAGGATCTCAAGAGGCAACTGATCAGCAGAGCTCAAAGACACAGAGCAGAGATTAGAACAACAAACAATGAAATCTTACAATAAATCCTAAAATGGACAGAGAGCCAGCAGAAAGGAGCCAGGATGGGGTATAAGTGCTCAATTTTGAAGGCCAGACAAGCAAATGTAGGCATGATGGGAAAGCACAATTAACACCAACATCTATCTATCTATCTATCTATCTATCTATCTATCTATCTATCTATCTATCTATCTATCTATCTATCTATCTATCTATCTATCTATCTATCTATCTATATATCTATATATCTATCTATCTATCTATATATATATATATATATATATATAAGTCAGCACCGGGTCCAGACACTATGACTTCAGTTTTGTTTTTTTTATTCATTTATCTATTCAACCAGGAAAGTGTCATTGAAATTAAACTCTTTCACAAGAGTATCCTGGTCAAAATTAGAGGTAGCATGTGTTGACAAAGTTACAGACGTGCAGCATTTAAGTGAACATGTCCTGGGTCAGAAAACAGGAAATCATCAGTCAAAGTATATATAGTCCCCCGCACCTTTATCCACCACCATGAGCTACTTTTGAAAAAAAAAATTGAAGAGACCACCTCTCTCAGACCCAGGCTTAAGGTGCAGCATACGTGAGAGAACAAAACTGAGAGCGAAGACTGTTGCTTCCACCATTTTTCACATTGATAGTATTCCACACAGTATATGCGAGGGGAGCATATTAACAGATATTCAGATTGACATTAAAAAAGCTTTTTAAAAATCCAGCTTAGTGGGAGAGGGTACAGTGCAAACAGCATGGGCTTGAGAATCGAACCTTCAGGGACTCCACACGGCAGGAGGCACAAGATAATACAGAGTCACCAAGTTTGACAACAAAACGTTTCTAACTCATTGAATTTTAACCAGTCTCATGCTGCATCCTTTATACCAGCGCAGTATTCTGGACAAGAGATGAAAGTAGAGTGATCAACTAAAGCAGCAGTACGATATTGAAATGGCAGATCTGCCAAAAGGTGACCTGACAAAAGGTCATTTGAAAAATATAGAAACCTGTAGAACCAGATTAGAAAAACTCAGGAACTGCCTTGAGACTTTATCTAAACTTATGAAATAAACAGAAGTATTGAGATGAGTCTGAAATAAAAAGTAGTCTACATTTCCAAACTTAAAAAGTGAACAAAGTGATGATTTTACTGTGGTGTTGTCAGGGTATTAAAAGCTTTGGGTTGGGACTTAATTAAACAATATTGGTTATTAGACAATGGTAATCAGGTTGCATTGTGAGACTGAAGATTTTGTCTCTCTGCTGCTACTTAACAATAAAAGTTGTTTCATTTTGGCCTTTACTGCTTCCTATGCAGCTAACACTGCCTGTTTTCACAGACTCCGTCTCTGCGCTGGTTATTATGGGGTGTGTCTGTTGCAAGCAGAAAAAGTCCGCCAAAGAAGCAGCATCAACAGCAGCAGACATTGCGGATCTGTCTCCTAGCAACACAGATGGAGGGTCGTCCATGGCCTTTTCTCAAGGCCGGTACTGCCCCGACCCCACTCAGACCATCCCTGACTTCAACAAGGCTTTTTCCTCCAGCGCCATCTTCCCTGGTACCAACCCACTCCAGCGGCCCGGAGGTATAACAGGTAGGACTGAGTGTGTGTGTGTGTGTGTGTGTGTGTGTGTTTAAAACTCAGCTCAGTACTTCCTTCTTTGTCACACTTGTTTCTAACCTGAGAGAAGTTTAAAGTCATAAGTTACGTGCCACTGTAACAGTTTTTCTGTCTGTAAATGCATCTTTTTTAGCTTGTCTATTCAAACAGTCAAGAACAAAACCTTTAAGTGAAAAGAAATCTTCAAAAGTACAGTGTTGTCCACATTAGTGACATGTCTGTACTCGTCAAATATATAGAAAATAATCCATAAGTTGACATACCGGACCTCCCAATACTTCAACCTACTTGACAGACCAGAGTGAATGCAGCAGCTTTAATTTTTGGGGTGATTTTATGTCCAGGCTCCCAGTTTTTAAAACAAATCTCTTAAAATGAAGTGAATTTCATTGATCAGGTTTAACAGAAATCTTCCAGTGTTCCGAACATTAAAACTTAGGAGTCTTACTTTCTTCATTTGCCGAGAGTCAATAAGGATTTTCACCCTCTATTTCAGATTTCGTGGAGCTGTACTAAGACAGGAAAGAAAAGGGTGCTCATTTAAATAGCTTGTGATTAACTTGTCTTTAGCTTGTATTTATGGGTATTTGAGGATTTTGTTAAGACAGATATCAAAAAAATCGTCCTGTTCTTCAGATCAAATGTCACTCAGTGGTATAAACTTGTGTGTACAACAGGAAACATATACGTTTGTATTTATGTCTCTGTGTGAACACACTTTCAGGTGGCGGAGTCACTCTCTTTATCGCTCTGTATGACTATGATGCTCGCACTGAAGATGACCTTACATTTCAGAAAGGAGAGAAATTCCAGATCATCAACAACACGTATGTACAAATGGCCAGAAATGCAGCTTTTCATCAAACAACTCAGGTATTTTTAAGGAGTTGCTGCTTGAAATAATGTTTTTTTTTCAAGATGTTAAAATGCATGAAACTTTATCTTCGTGCACCAGAGTCAAGATGTGTTCAATGAGATGAATCATGACTCTTAAATGGTTACTTACTTTTTTGCGTCCATTAAATGCCATAAGCTACGAGTCAATGCCATCAATTAACGCCGGAAACTTCTGGTTGGGCTTTTGAAAAACACGTTCTTTAACATTATCATGCCCTGCACTAGAAATCCTCGACATGTCTGATGTTAAATTTCTACAAGCGCACTGATTTTTTTTTGTGTTTTTGCAGAGAGGGTGACTGGTGGGAGGCTCGCTCTCTGGACACAGGCAACTCAGGTTACATCCCTTCCAATTATGTCGCTCCTGTGGACTCCATACAGGCTGAAGAGTGAGAATACACTCACACACACTCTCACATACACACACACACACAGCAGGAATATCTGTGTGCTCTGCACTGGTGGTTTACCCTGAAATACTTGATAAATGGTTGACATGATGATTAAGGTCATATCATGTGAGGTGTTGCAGGGCTAACCTATGTGTTGTTGTCATGGTAACAGATGGTATTTTGGTAAGATGGGGAGGAAGGATGCGGAGAGACAGCTGCTGGGACAAGGAAACCAGAGGGGTACTTTCCTCATACGAGAGAGCGAGACCACCAAGGGTTAGTGGACCACCGATTCAACCACAAGCTCTTACTGATAAAATCAAACAGCTTTGATCACTTTGTACAGCTGACCCCCTCTGACTGTGTCTCCAGGTGCTTACTCTCTGTCTATCCGCGACTGGGACGACAACAAGGGGGACCACGTGAAGCATTATAAGATTCGTAAATTAGACAACGGTGGTTATTACATCACCACTAGGTCTCAGTTTGACACAGTGCAGCAGCTGGTAGAGCACTATACAGGTAACACACACAATCACACACACACACATAAAACACACACAATCAAACTCATCCCCTGTTTTCTTTGTTGTTATTTTCCAGCTCTAAAGCCTTTGCTTCCTGAGGTTTAGGTTAAAATGTGCTTTAAGACCTTTGGAAAACATTTTCTTCACATTTGCAATAACAAGCACAATCCTGTGTTTCTTTTTATCAGTTCAAACTTTATTAACACTGTTGACTAATTTGTAATGGGTATTTTCTTTGATTGGAAACTTATACCTAATTATCCTTACTATTTCTTTCTCCTCTTACAGCCTAAGTATAATTCCTGCAGTTTGTAAATTCATATTTTACATGAAAATATGTGAGCTATAATTGTATAAAGACCTGAAGTGTCGCTTTTCTGCAATATAAATTGTAACATTTTCAGCTCAGTTCAGTTCAGACAACTTTACTGCTGGCAATTTGGTTTTGGCAGTCATCGTGGACTATACACATAAACCACGACACTGACAGAGATGCTCCAGCACTCTGCACCTGTGTAGCTGCTGCAAGAACAAGATGAGGCAAGAATCAAACAAATTAGATAATATTAAACAACACGGAGATAAGTCTTCAATAAATGAAAAAACAAAGAAGCTACTGGTATAATATCACGTTAGCCACTGCAGGGTTAATGCAAGAACAACCATTATTGCTATTCTTTCATTATTTTCAACTTGTTTCTCAACATTTCCTTGACTTTAATTTAAGTTGTGAATTCTTCCTCCGCTTCTTCTTTAAAGTGAGAACTTCGAAACTTTATTCATGGTTGTTTTAACAAGTCAGATTCACACCCTTCATTTCCCCTGCCCTCTAACAGTGTTAATCTGCCCCCTAGTGGCTTATACTTAAATAATAACCCTTCTGCAGGTGGTGACTTCACATCACACGATCATGACCAGCAAACTTGGACCTGTTTTAGTTTGTTTTTCTTGTAATTCATTTTATCTGCCGCTCAGACTGTGTGTTCATGTCTGTTTCTCTTTGTGCTTCTCTGTAAGTTTTTTGATTAACTTGTCAGCTGCACAGGAGCATAAGCAATCTGTCTTGTTTTTCTTTATTTCTCTGTATGCTACTTCTCCTCTCCGCCTTCTATCTCTCTCTTGTTTCCTCATTTCACCGCCTGTCTGTTTGTCTGTCCTCTCTCGCTCAGAGAGAGCGGCGGGACTGTGCTGCCGTTTGATTGGCAGTTGTAAGCGGGGCATGCCTAAGCTGGCCGACTTATCAGTGAAGACCAAGGATATGTGGGAGATTCCCCGTGAATCCCTGCAGCTGATTAAGAAACTTGGCAACGGCCAGTTTGGAGAAGTCTGGATGGGTAGGAAGGGTTGTGTTGAGTTTTGCAGAGGGAGGAAGGTGACATCTGGAGCACACCTGGATAAAGGAATTTTAGAAAATGAGCAGGTACATACAAATCATGCTTGTTTTCAGTTCACCAGAACATCAGAACAAACACATACAGTAAAGCCGTGTTTATCTGCCTGAGTCTGTCTACCTACAAGAAATACACCTCAAGGATTTGACCACACAAACACAGAAAACACACACACACTAGACAGGGTTGATAGATGGACTAGTTTTCAAATACAGCGTGTGGAATAGAAACTGCAGCAGTGAAACAAATCCTTAATAAATCCCTGTATGTGATAACAATTACACGGAGATAGCAGCTTATGAATAAAAATGTGTCTTTCTTGAACATTCAGGTGTGCAGAGATGAGCCCCTCCTCCCCTCTCAGTGCATGTGCATGTTTCATCATCTCATCTCATCTCTTTATCCCCCACCCCCCCCATCTTTTTCCTATCTGTCCACCCACTACTACACTCTGTTCCTCCTCCCATCATCACCCACTTCACTCATTCCTTTCCTTCCTGACTCCACCCTCTTCATACTCACCCCCCCCTAATAGGCAGCAATGACGGGCTGTGTTACTATCTGACCAAGCCCTGTCCTAACTGCACCCCTCTCACCCTGGGTCTCGGGCGGGATGCTTGGGAGGTGCCCAGGGACACGCTGTCCATGCAAGCCAAGCTTGGACAAGGCTGCTTTGGGGACGTTTGGATGGGTGAGAGTGACAACCTCTGACGCCCTCTAGAGGTGTAGAGGAAGAACTGTCTGTCAATTACTGTCCTGCTTTGTTTGTTATAAGGTGGTTGACATTTTGACCCAAAGACGGGAGAGATGAATAAGTAGCAGCAGCTGCTAGTGGGCTAGCTATAACCGCCCTCTTCGAGATGATTAGACACTTCTAAAAACTGATATTCAAAGACTTAGCATGAATTCCTGCCTGGGCCTGTTTGGTTTACTAATTATTTGAACATTTTTACTGACTGATTTCCTGACAGCTCTTCTTCAGTTTGGCTGGGCATTTTTGGAAGTGCTGGGATTTGAAGTCCGATTGTTTCGCCCAGTATGCTTTTCCAGTTACATATATGACCTAATCATGGTCAAAGCTCAAGCTAAAATGCGTTCCTTTTTGTCTCTAAACACAGTGAAACTTCAGTAAAAACTCACATAAATGGAATGTAGACACTGTAAAATAAAACATGATTTAATTTTAGAGCAGCAGAGAGACATAACACAGTTATTTGTACCCCAAAAAGAGACGTTTTATGTGAGAGTTCCTCAGTATTGATTCTAAGACCTTTTCCAGTTTCAGAGATTTCGACTAAACACAGGCCCTCTGTATATGAACAGATGTTGTAAGTTTTGTGTGACCATGTAGCTCAGGTGCTGCTGGGGTTACTGTGAGAAGAGTAAACCTCTCCCTCCCTCTCCTCCCTAACGTCACCTATCCCATTAGTCGTGCATGATCTTAAGAATAACTATCACCTGCATGCATCTGAAGTTTGATCCCGCGTTTGTTTCCACCCACATATTGTGTGTGTGTGTGTGTGTGTGTGTGTGTGAGTGTGTGTGTTATACAGCCATCACCTTGTCAGTTTGCCTTAAAGTGGTTTGTCTGCCTGCACAGTGCGTCTTTGTGTACCACGGTGTTAAGCGTGCACTCACATCCTCTTGTCTGTATGCCAGGCATGTGGAACGGTACCACCAAGGTAGCAGTGAAGACTCTGAAGCCAGGAACCATGTCCCCCGAGGCCTTCCTGGAGGAGGCTCAGATCATGAAGAGACTCCGCCACGACAAGCTAGTGCAGCTCTATGCCGTCGTTTCTGAGGAGCCGATCTACATTATCACTGAGTTCATGAGCCAAGGTATCAGGATAAGTTCACTGTCATACCTGTGACTCACTATAGATACGGTATGAAGCATTTAGACACAGCTGATTAAACTTACAAAGTGTGCGGACCACCACTGGGATTACATGTCTCATTTTGTTATACATGCAAAGAATGAAAACGGTGAAATCACCAGAAAACTGAGTAAATATGTAAATGTTCTGCCTTTTTTCTTTGCACTCTGACTGGATTCACATGCAAAATATGATAATTATGCAAAACTTGGTAGACTGCTATTAAATTTCCGAGCATTTATTTGAATATTAAACCTAAAACAAAACCTTGGCTCTCGGTCAATCAGAAATATTTCACCTCTTCTTTGGATCTGGACCTAAAACAGTTGTGTAATATCAGACTTTTGAGATATCTCATCCAGCACTGGACCCACAAACAAACAACAACAACAAAAACAAAACACCTAAAAAACAACTTTAACAGTGGAAAGATTTGCCAAAATAGACATTTTGGCAGCAGGCTGTTAGAGTGATCAGGGAGAAATGTCTTATTTGGAAGACCAAAGTTCAAGCCCATGCCTCCCTGCTGGGCTAAACTCTGAGTTTCTTCCAACCCAAGATACTCTTTTTGTTCCTCTGTGTATGACCTTTGACCTTTGTGTGGGGATGGCTGGAGGGCAGGTGAAACACTCCTTCAGCGGCTACTAAAAATACGAGGAAGTTGACAGAATTTGGCATTTAAATCAGCTAAATGTATCACTCTGTATAACTTTGCAAGCAAGCTCATCTCACATGAACATGATTTTATAGACACTTGTGCACAGCAGATATGAGGATGGATTATGATGTTCTCATTTTGGTTTCAGGGAGTTTGTTGGACTTCTTAAAAGACGGTGAGGGCCAGAGTCTAAAGCTGCCTCAGCTGGTGGACATGGCTGCACAGGTGAGATAAACTGGAGCAGTAAAATAGAGACTCACAAAACTGAACTTGAACTTTCTATCTCAGCTCTTTGTTTCTCTTTTTGCTCACAGATCGCTGCAGGAATGGCGTACATCGAGAGGATGAACTACATCCATCGGGACCTGCGAGCAGCTAACATCCTTGTTGGAGACAATCTAGTGTGCAAGATCGCTGACTTTGGCCTGGCTCGGCTCATTGAGGACAATGAGTACACTGCCAGACAAGGTAACAGTGTGTTATATTAAGTAAATGTCCGTGTGTGTGTGTGTGTGTATGCGTGCGTGCAAGTGTATATCAAAGAGAGCGGAGGAGAGCCACGCTTGCACAATGTGATGATTAAGAGTGTCTGCCTCTGCCTCCATGCCTATATTTTTATACATAACCTATCCTAATTATATGATTATGTGTCTTCACTGTGTTGCTATGGTTTCAGGGGCGAAGTTCCCCATCAAGTGGACTGCGCCAGAAGCAGCGCTGTATGGGCGCTTTACCATCAAGTCAGATGTCTGGAGCTTTGGCATCCTGCTAACTGAGCTCATCACGAAGGGACGGGTGCCATATCCAGGTACTGCGAGACACCTGCTGTTCAGCGTTTCATAATCCAGCTCAGTGAAGCGCTGATCGTTCTCTGCAGTGATCACTCTCAATGTTTGGTTCTGTATAAGATCACCAATTCAAAACCTGAGAAAGCTGTTTGTAACAACTTGGACATGCTTTTGCAGGTCACGGTAAAGTTGTGTTCGCATGTCCTCATAACATAAATCACTTCAAAGGGAGTTTTGAAGAAAGGTGGTGCCAGCTCATCTAAAGCCATCCTGCTTTGCAAATTCTCACACATCACGTTGTAGGCCTAATGTGTATTTTTTCTTCGCTGCAAAGTTTACATCTTGCTTTGTTGCACTGTTATGAAGGCCATAGCCCACTGAGCATTTTTTGGTCTAAAAGAGGTCTAATAGACGTCTAAATGCAGCCTAGATGGGTGTCAGTCTTCCACAGGTCTAAAAATGAACATTTTTTAGACGTCTAAATTTAGACCAAGTTTAGACCAAGTCTAAATCTGGGCCATATCTATACTACACTGTATATTGCTCAACAGCTATCATAATTATTTTGTTTAAGTACTTGGAGATCAGTTGTGCAACTCACAGTTGCTTTTTGAAATAAATAGTTATCGAATACTGGGTTAAAGCGCAACGTCTAAATTTCGTCTAAAAATATACAGAATCTAGACGGTTAAAATTAGGTCTAAAAAAAAAAAACTAGACGTCTAATAACCATCTATTGCCCAGTGAGATGTGATCCACTGGCATACCTGAATTAATTCAGATCCAGAGGTACTGTTGTTACGATGTCCCACTAGAAACAGCAAGCAGGGTTCTTGGTCTTCACCTGTACCATTACAGTAACTCAGAGTCACTCCTTCGCTCCAGCTCACACCTGAATTTCTGCATATCATTGGCCCTGCCAGAATAACTCATTATTTAGTTTGGTTGTAGTTTTGTATCTTTGAAGCCTGCAAACCCCAACAGCTGATCAGGCGCAAGAGCGAGTCGCAAATTGTGCAAAAACGACTGGGCTGTCTGGAGTTCGTTTAAAAGTCGCAGACTCAGTCTCGTCTAGTGAAAACTGTAGCCTAGCCCGCATGCTGGTTCCCCCAGCATTAATTGTAACTAACTATCCCTTTAACTTAACAAAGAATGCACTAAACAACTGCATAAAGAACTTAAAGATACACTTTGTACTTACATTCAGGACAATCCGAGTTTGGAGCTGGTGCATTTGAATGTGTTACTGAGTGTTTTAAACCATCTACATTATACCCGTTTACAGAATCTACTGATACAATTTCAGCCTTGCACAATGTGGGACACAACAAACTGAATATATCTGATTTAGAGGTGTTTTTGTAGCCAGCTCTGGGACATGATTTCTTATTCAGACTGAATATATCCCAGAGGGTTTGAAACCCACTGAGAAGAGTTTTTGACCAGTAATGAAAGTGTCTCGAGCAAACAGTGATGCCTCTGTGTGCCCTACAAAAGCTAAATACACCACCAGCTAGAAAATAGACTGTGAGACTGACCTTTACCCTGGCAAAAATCTGAAGTTAGTGTTATGTGAGACGTTTCAGAGACAGCAGGAGAAAGTTTGGCTTTCAACAAAAAATAATTAACTGTCCATTGAGAGACTTTCTACCATGTTTGCCATTAATGCTCCGTCTTTGATTTGTAACACTGCTCAGCCTCTGGTTCTCATAGCTGTCCAGATTTTTCTCTTGTCTTATTTCCCTCCTCTGATCCAGTATGTTGGTTTTTGATTTTCTAAATGTGTTTTTTAACCCTATCTGGTCTCCTGCTTCCATCCCCCTCTCCCTCCCTCTTCCCTCCAGGCATGAACAACCGTGAAGTTCTCGAGCAGGTGGAGAGGGGCTACAGGATGCCCTGCGCCCCAGGGTGCCCCGCCTCGCTCCATGAACTCATGCTGCAGTGCTGGAGGCGTGAGGCTGACGAGAGACACACGTTTGAGTACCTGCAGTCCTTCCTGGAGGATTACTTCACCGCCACAGAGCCACAATATCAGCCGGGAGACAACCTGTGACCGCACACAAACACACACAGGGGACAGATGTGGAGCAATAAAAGGACAAACAACACACACACATACACACAAACAATATTAAAATACATATCATTGCATTGTTTGCTTGTACAGTTTCCTTCTTTTGCTCGTTAACCACTGCGAGGCGTTCAGGACTGATCATTCCACCATGTTGAGGAGCAAAGTCGGGGCTCTGCTTGTCAGGCCTTGCAGTAATGTTGCTTTACTCTGTAACCATGACAACAAGGAACTGAAAGAAGATGTAGATGGTCGTGTTGAGGTGGGGGGAAGTCTGTTTGGTACATGATGTGTTCAGCTACCATGTATGTTCAGATCTTCTGACGTCTGTAACTAAGAAAAGAATTCAAAAGAGCCAGCTGTTTACCTTTGATAAAAACAGAATGAAGCGATGATAGAGACTGCAACAGGTTCCAGACGACTGTCAAACCAAGCTGCATTTAACTGAGAACATTATGCACACAAGCACAGACTTTCCACATGAGCCTTAAAGGAGGAACTAATCAAACAACGCACCTACAATGTGCCTTGAAGGGTCAAATAAAGGGCTGTTTCTTATTAAAATACCTTCAATACTGTTAGTAAAGACGAAGAGATGGTGAGGAATGCTCTTTGATAGACTGTAAGTGTTTATGACAATTTTGTATGAGCTGTCTCATTTGTTGTTCTAATTTAACTCAGACATATCTGAGCATCACAAAGGCTTCTATATAGAGTAAACATGTATACAGTTTTCATCCATTGGGAGGGCAGGAGGAAACGTTACACACAAAGGGGAACACCAGTGACTTTGGAAAGAGAGCGATTTAAATGGATGTGTAACCTTTTTGTTGATATTCTCTTGTCATGTTATTATATTAAAGATATCTTTTTCAGGTTAAGACGTGTCTGAGTTTATTTCTATGTTGTTTTAGTTAATAATAATAATAATAATATCTTACATTTATATAGCGCCTTTCAGGATACCCAAGGCGCTTAACAACACACTACAAAAACTAAATACCAAAAGCCTGGATAAACAAGTGTCGCTTCAGAGCAGACTTGAAGCGACACTTGTTTATCCAGGCTTTTGGTATTTAGTTGATGTGTCTTTAACTCTTCAATAAATCATCTTTGTTTATACATCGCCAGTGCACAACAAATGAGAGAAAACTGGTCTGGACTCTACTCTTGATGACATTGTAGACCTAACACAAGAGACTGAGTCTGGTCTTGCAAGTTCAGACCCACTCCCATCCCAACTTAAACACTTTGCAGTATTTATCAAGTTACAGCAGCAAAAGAAACTTCCAGAAACCTCGAGCAGGACCAGACCCATCATCTGCTGAGACTGGGTTGGGTTTCTTGTTGAAGACCATTTTTTTCCACGTTAAATATTAAATAGTGAAGTTATTCAATCTACATTATTTTTTTTAAAATGTATTTACTGGTGTAAATCTTAAGGACTTGTTCGAATAAATCCAATAAAAATATTTGATATGAACCCACATCTAAATTTAAAAGTCAAACTAAAGACGAAATAATGAAGAATCCTGTAGACATTTATCTAAATCAAAAAATCTTAAACTGTAGCTTTAAAGATGAAGTATCCTGTCTTCCTCCTGGCACCTTCAGTTGTCAGTCTTGCTGAATTTTTCCCGCCCTTTCTTTCCCTATCTCTTCTTCATTCACACTCCTTCTGTCGGTCTTAGAGAAACTACTCTTCCCATGATTCCAGAGGTGTGAAGTGAGGCCAACTACGGGTGCCTGGATAGCTCTGACAGTCAGGCACGTTGGAGAGGCACAGCGGAGACTGGGGCGCACGAGAGACAGAGCTGGAATTGCAGAGGCAGAGACGCACGGGCGCACGGTCGATTTTCGTCTCCCGCATACAGGGGAGTCCCGTGCCTGTCACCAAAACCAGCGCGCAGGGCTCGAGTGCGGCTGTGTCAGCTCATGAATTGGGTAACAGACTGAGCACCGACCACTCTTGTTTCATTTTTGCCCAAATTTTCCCTCCTTTTGTGTTTTGAGGAGCCTTTTGTGTTTTGTGCCAGAGGAGCGGTTTCTCCGTTGCGCGTCGGCAGAAGGAGACAGCGTTTACATTGATGTGGGAGGACTGTCTCCCCTCGACGCGGGGCGCTCAGATGGAGGAGAAAAGCTGCTCGCTGAGGGCTGCAGCCGTCAAGGCGAATGCTCCGTGACCCGCGCGAGGAGAGGAGCGAACCACCGACAGCAGCGCGAGCTCTCAGCCCCGCCAGCCGGCGTTGACACCGCAGCAGCCCCGGACCCCCTCTCTCTCCCTTGGTGAGTGCGCGTGCAGCTTCATGTGTATACAACACCTAAATTTTGCTCGGGCTCCTGTCCGCTCAGCCAGCTGTGCTGCACACCTCTGGATACGTTTCTCTCTGAGTGTTTTACATTAACCTCATCGCTGCCAGTGCTCTGCATTCAAACTGCTCGTGCTGCTGGGTCATCGGGGCTGAAGTGAGGGTATGCAGTGTGTGTGTCACTGTCTTAAATTATGTTAAACTCTCTCTCTCTGTCTCTCTCTCTCTCGCTCTCTCTCTCTCTCTCTCTCTCTCTCTCTCTCTCTCTCTCTCTCACACACACACACACACACACACACTCTCACACAGACTTACGCAGCAGTGTGGTTCAAATGAACCCTGCAACCCCCACCTTTTTTTTTTTTTTACCACTTCTCACCTATTAGCCTTTTAAACTTGATGTATTCACCTTACAGGTAAGGCAACACTATGTATTACTGCTCACAATGACAGCACACTCACAGCACTAATGCATTATGTGTTGTTGGCTGGTTTGTTTGCTGCCTGAGTGAGTTTGACTGGACTTTCTGATACTGAATTCATACGGCAGGACCAAATTCCAGAGGTTTGACTGTGAGCCCAGCTCCTGATGATGGGCAGATGTTTGCTTTACATATAAACAGGAATCACAGAGAGTCCTGGTGAGCATCCGTCCAGCCCCCCCAGGGGTTTCCATCCCAGCAGGCAGCTCCCCCCTGAGCTGTCAGGGCAGCTGTAGGCAGGACACAGCAGCAGCAGCACATCCTGCAGTGGCAACAGGGCCGGTGTGCTGAGGAGACACGACGTACTCATGGTGGTGATTATCAGCTCTTGTCTGTGCTTAACGGGGAGGGGGAGAAAAGGGGGGAGGAGAGAAGAGGGGTAGAGAGGAAGAAAGAGTGCATGAGGAGGAGAGGGGGGGGAGAGGAGTCAATGTCGATGTCTGGGAAGTGACAGTTGGTTATTTAAGGGCCCCTCAGAGACGTGCACAGGCTGCCCCAGTGCAGGTGCAGTTAGTATGCAGAGTGCTGCTCTGTCTGTCTGTCTGTCTGTCTGTCTGTGTGTCTCTCTGTCTGTCTGTCTGTGTCCCTGTCTGTCTGTCTGACTGACTCCCACTCACACAGTCTCACTCTTTCAGATGCTGCTCAAAGACTGAGTTCTCTGGTTGGACATAATGAATAATTTCCACCCTCTGAGTACTGGAATGAAAAGGAAATGGCGTTACTTTGGCGTGCTGCCGCTGTCTGTCAGACTTGTCTTGAGTGTATGGCCTTGTCTGTTTGTGTGTGTGTGTGTGTGTGTGAGTGTGTGTGTGTGTGTGTGTGTTTGTGTGCGTGTGTGTGTGTATGTGACAAACAGAGGGAATGTGAACATATAACAGCTTAGGCCTATTGTGCTTCCTACCTGTGTGAGCTGGGCTAGTTGTCATGGTAACGGCCTTGTAGCTCCGTTGATGTTCCTCCTGTCCTCATTGGCAGGGTCAGTGCACCTAACACACCACATCTCGTCTCAAAGCGCTATGTGTGTGTGCGTGTGTGTGTGTGTGTGTGTGTGAGTGTGTGAGTTAGTGTGTACCAGTGTGTATGTGTGTTTGCATGCACTAGTACTATTAAGTGTGTGTGTGTGCTGTGGAGGTACCTTTTGTTTGCACCTTGCTGCAGTTCGTAGGCGTGTGGCGTGTTGATGGCACAGACAAGCCTGAGTGTGTGTGTGAGTGTGTGTGTGTGTGTGTGTGTGTGTGTGTGTGTGTGTTGCAGTGTCACAAAGATACACCCTGCTGATGTGACAGCCGACAGCCTCAACCAATCACCTGTTTCCTCTCCCGGCCTATCAGCATGTAAGGTTGCCGTATTCAGACGTCCTCTTGATATGGAGGTCGTCATGGAGATGACAGAAGACAGAAATGGACACACTTCTTCATGTATGGATACACGCACACACGCGCGCGCGCAAAAAGCAGAGACAATTGGCACTTGTGTCAGTACAGTGTGCTGTTTTTTACCCTCTTACAGTGATGTAGAAGTTTGGAGGGCGGTACAACCTGTTGAATTGTTGAATGTGAATCTATGGGAAGAGCAGATTGTTGTCAAAGGAGGTCTGAATGGAGCCTCTTTGTAGTCTCATCCTTAACATTTTCACCTTAAAATGCAATTGCTGGAATTTTTACCACCAGGCAGAGCTTCAAAAGCAAAAACGAAAAAAACTAAAGGAAATCCTTGTAGCGGCTGAGTCTTGATGTTTAATCACAGCTGCAAATGTTTGAGATTTGAGCTCCTTGCTGGACTAGGTTTTCATATTGTGGCTACATATGACGATTGAGATTCATCCCTAGATTATTTTTGCCCCTCTCCTCTGAACCCTCCATGCATTCAGAAAGAATTTACACCGGCATCATGAATGAGTCAGGCCATTATTAGTCAGCACTTGAAATCCCTCCCAAAATACATGAGACATTAATTTAAGGTCACAGACTCAAACAATCCCATTCACAGCGAGGAATTCGGAGCAGAGAGAAGTGAATGTTTCTGCTGCTGTTGTTTTAAAATAAGAGCCGTTATCTTGCACTTCAAGGTCTCGCATGTCTGAAACGGTTTCCTACACAATGAAGTCGTACTAATTGCAATAATGAGTGATAGAAAATCTCTGATTATTTCACAACTTTTAATGTTTTCCACTTTGTAACGAGCTATTTGCAAAAAAAAAAAAAATTAGTCATCGCTTTGTCCTTGGAGTGAAGGGTCCCGTCTTTTATGACTCCTATTAATCTAATCATCACCTGAAGTGAAATAGCTTTCGCCACAGGCAGGTAAATGTGGTTCAACTCCCACACACACACACACACACACACACACACAAACACACTCAGCTGCACACACACACACACACACACACACACACACACACACACACACACACACACACACACACACACACAGAGCGTTTAACATTAGTGTAAGCAGTGTTTGTATGCTCCATTCTGTCACCTCCCACACGATACATTCATAAAAGCTCCTCCGCGCCAAAGCCACTGACTCAATAGAAGACATCTCCCCTTCTCTTTTTTTTCTCCCCACCTCCCCCATCATGTATCTGTCCTTCCCTCCTTCCTTTCCTTGACATCCTTCCTCACCTACCTCCCTCATCCTTCTCTCCCCCATCCTACAGGGCCGGTTGCAGCCGGTTTGAGTCTGACAGTAGAGAGGAAGCGTCGACCTCTCACCTCCGGAGGATAGAGGGAGAGAGAGGCAAGAGGAGAGAGATGATGGAGGGCAGCAGGGTTGAGGGGGGGTGGAGGGGGGGATGGAGCTGCGAGAGGCGAGGGAGAGGTCAAAGAACAGGAGGGATTTGTGAAGAAGGAGGGAGAGATGGAGGTGGGGGTGTGGGGTGGGGGGGGACCAGGAGCCTGGGAAGAGAGAGAGAGAGAGAGAAAGAGAGAGAGAGGACAGAGGGGTCAGGGAGGAGAAGGAGTGATAAATGAAGGGGGAGCGGCAAGGATGGATGGATGAAGCAGGGAGGGATGGAGCGCATGAGGAGAGGAGGATGAGGAGGAGAGGAAGACAGAGTGTGAAGCTGCTGTGTACCTCCCTAACAAGCTGGACAGAATCAGCTCAATTATTAAAGAGGAGCGAGAGATGGGGAAAACACGCAGACATACACACACACACACACACACACTCACAAAAGCATCTCTTAGTCTGGCGCGCAACACACTCACACTCACTCACTCACACACAGACTGACACACAAACACACACTTTCTGTAGATCAACATACTAACACATGTACAGTACGTCTGATTGCTTCTCCTCGTGCGTCAGCGTGTTGTTTTTAGTGCTGTGCGAGTGTGCGTACACATGTGTCTGGGTATGTGTGTTAAAAACAGTGAGTCAGAGGATAAGCAGAGACTTGTTAGTGATTCTCCTCAACACCCCCACCCCCCTGACTCCCCCCCACCCCTCCACACACACTCTTCAATTTGGCTTCGTCTCAATGTTCCACCAGCGTGGCTTCAATGTCGTCCCATCAATATGAACAGATAATCAGAGCACTGAGGGGTCCGTCTATAAATCCCCGCTGCGAATATACTTCTCACCTTCTTCCCTTCCCTCTCTCCTCTCTCTCTCTCTCTCTCCTCCTCTTCCTCTCCAGCCCGTTCCACCCTTGTTTCTAGTTCTCTTTCTTCTTTCCTTTTTTCCCTCCTTCTCTGAGGAAGTGTATGCCCCCAAGGGACGAAGAGATTCGCTACCTTCCAGGAGAGAAAGAGATTGTGCGTGTGCCTGAGTTAGTGAGTGTGTGCGTGCAGGGATGATAGTGTGTACGTGTGCATGGGAGTGAGAACACACACTTCCTGAGACAGGGAGGGAAAAGAGAGAGAGAGGCAGGGATGAGCAAGTGAGAGAGTGAAATCAGGAGGCTGTGGAGGGGGAGGAGAGAGGAAGAGATAAGAGAGAAAGACAGAGAAGAGTCAGGAAGAGAAGGGGGAAGATGGATGAATGCACTGCGCACTGAGCGTGCACGCGCGTGTCTGTGTGTGAAAGAGAGAAAAGAGAGAGATGGAGAGAAGCAGGTAGACAGAGAGGGACAGAAGGGGTTTCTTATCCTCTCAGCAGAAGTCATAATTTCTTCGAGCGTGCACAGATGTGTGTGTATGTGTGTGTGTGTTTATGTGAGAGTGCTGCCTCGCTCAGGCTCCAGGCCAAGACTCTAAGAGGTACAGCGGTGTATCGTCTGTGTGTAGTGTGAGCAGCATGTGTGTGTGTGTTAAGGGAGGCTGTGGCTGATGAGCTGTCAGTACCTACAGTTGGAATGTTCACAAGGCGGCCATTGTTGTTCAAACAGCCAGCAGCCTTCTCCTTGGCAACGGGCGCTGCAGCAGCGTCTCCCACAGCAACTGTGGAACAGGAGTATGGAGGGAGGAAGAGGAGGAGGAGGAGTCAGGAAGTCAGGGCCGCAGCACAGAGGCCCCTCTCCAAAACACTGGCCTCAAGGTCTGAGAGTGTGTCGGGGTCCAAGCATCTGGTTTGTGTGTCTTCCGTGTGTGAGGTAGAAAAGCCTGACTATGTTTTAGTGTGTCGGTATGTGGGCTTTTTAAGTGTGTGTGTGCGCATCCTTACTCGAACTTTCTCCATGTTTGTGTGCATGTCATCTCTGTGTGTGCGTCTGTGCGGCAGCGTTAACGGGGAACGTGGGAGCGTTTCTGTGTTTGCACCTAAGTGGTGGGTTTCATCCTCTTGTATTTGCATGTGTTGGTGCTTCCAGACAGCTCCTCGTGTGTCTCTGTTTGTGTGTGACATGTGCACGCTCCTAGCTGTTCCCAGCTGCCGCGGTTGGTCACATGACCCGGGTGAGGGGCGGCCATCAGCAGCGCCAGGAAACCGCCTCCAGGAGAAGAAGAGAGAGAGAGAGAGAAAGAGGGGAGAAATAAAGGAGAGGGAGAGAGTGCCAGAGTGAATTGAAGATGGAGGGGGGAGTTGTTGGGGAGTGGGAGAAAAAGAGAGAGAGAGAGTGGGGGGGTGAAGGGAGAGAGATCAGAGAGGCAACAGTGAGGGAGAGGAGTAAGGAAGGGAGTGATGGAGGAAGAGGAAAGGGTGATACAGTCCTCCTCAGCTTAAAATAACTTCAACAGTCAGATTGGAAGACAGTCAGATGGGGGTGGGGGGTCCTGGTTTTTGTGTTGACTAACGTTTCCAGCGACTTCTTCTTCTTTTCTGGTCCCATGTGTGCATCCTTGGCTGAACAGCCACTGTATCTGCTCTGTGTGAAGTCTGTTTACGTTAGATGTGCGTCTGTGTGTCTGAACGTCTGTCTGCCTTTTTGTTTGTCTGCACATATGGTTTATGTGTTACTCTGTTCATTTAGACGCTTTGTGTGACTGTTTGCCGTGTTTGTGTGCGTGCTCGCTCTTGGCAGGAGATACAGCAGCGCGCACTCTGATGATGGAGATCATTAGGAATTTCCTGCAGCTGGGGGAGGAGGTGGTGGAGGGAAGTTTTTTGGAGGGAGGCGGGCAGGACGGGTGGGATGTGAGTGGGTGAGAAAGAGAGGAGAGGTCAGAGTGAAGGAGAGTGTGAGTGGGTGGGAGGGAGGGTCTGCGTGTCAGTGTGTGAGTTGGACTGTCTCAGTTTGACAGACATATGTATGTGCTGCACGGAGCTGCAGTCTGCCAAAGCCTAAAGTTCAGCTCAGTTTTGGAGGGTTGTTGGTGGTAGTTTGAGAGGAAGCATGTCCGCCCGAGTGTATGTGTCCAACATTCCTCGCCCTCTTTGGCAAAATCACACACACCCCAAGCTCTGCTGGAAATTGACTGTTGATTGGCAAAGTTTGGGAGTGCACAAGTTGGTCTTTGTTACTGCTTGTTAGGCCAAAACTTGCTGCAGTCGAGGCGAGACCTTTTAACTTCATGCTGCTTTGCTGTTAGATTGCATTGAAACTTTGCACAGACTGTTGAGTAAATATTAAACTTTTCTCTGACAATAGAAATCAAATTAAAGCCTTAAATTCAGCCTGTCAGTCTGTCAGTCTAAGAAGATCTCAAAGTCGTTCAAGTTGAATTAAGTTTTTTCTTTTGTTCGTAATTGATGTCAGATCAATCTGTATGATTTATTTAGTTTATTTTTTGGCTTTTATGCTTTTATTTTAGAGATAGAGAGCTGATAGAGTAGGAAACAAGGGAAGAGATTAGGAAATGACATGGAGGAAAGAACCACAGGTTGGACTCAAACCCAGGACCAGCGTCTTTTCTTAGGGTGCGCATTTTAACCACCCAAAGCAGCACCCTCATCAATCTGTATTTGAAATAATGCTGTCATGACATCAAACTTTCATCTCACAATTATCCTGATATGATGGACAACTTTAAAATAATACAACACTATCAGTCAAATTGAGGAGGCTAGATGAGGAGGAACAACAAATTGCTTATTAAACTTAACTAATGAATGCAGTTAACTTGTCCCCATCCATTTCTAATGGAGTTAATATTTATGATCTATCCAAATCACCAGCCCTGTAAAGACATGACCTTATAAACGATTATTTGTCATGTTTTTTTCATCTTGACATTTCCTGTCTTGTGCTCAGGTTGCTTTATTGTAAAATTATTTTGAAGTGTACTCCTTCTAGTTGATGTAAACAAGGATGAAGGCAACACATTACTTCATAAACTTTAAGAAAAAAACCACATGCCTAGTGTTGTGATTTTAACGTCTTTGAAGAAGATTTGCTTTGTTCTCAAGAACATTTTTTTCATGCTTTTATTTTGATATTTGTCCGTCTCAGACTTAGGTTGCTTTCTTCTGCATTGTAAAAATATGCTTTTATTTTGAAGTATTCTGCACTAGGTAGATAGTAGGTGTCAGAACTGCGTAAAAAACTGTTAAAGAACAAATGTTCGAATGATTAGAAACCCAAAAGCACGAGATTGAATGTTTTGGGATTTACAATCACTTTTTGAATGTCTGTTTTTAAAAGTGCCTAATTATCTCTCCGAGGGCTGCTACATCTAGCTCGTTAGCAGGTGCTGCTTCTTCCTCTCTGCTCTGTTTAGTATGTGTGGCAACCAGCGTCCCATTTGCGTATTTTTCAGAACAATATCAATATTTAATTTCTGTCTCAAAAAGACAGTTATCATCTTTTCTGGTATAATGCGATGGCCCTAATTGTAAACCCATTAAATTTTGGTCCAATACATCAGGTTGTTGTTACTGTCTTACATTTTCTTGTTGTTACTTAGGAGGAAAAAACATGTAATCCTCTTGAAGAAAAAACTGGTGGAACTGAAACAAACATTAACATTTGAGTGCATGCGAGTTGTAGCACAAGCACAGGGTTCAAAACGAACTTTTTTCCCCGCTTTCCTAAACTGGACCCAAAGCATATTTCTATGTGTTTGTTTATGTTTGCTGACAGACTCAGTTACAGCTGAAAAGCCAATCTGAGTGACCAAACACTTTAAAAATAGGAACTTTATTCACCTCTGTTGCACAGCCTGCTCATGCACCACCATCTATCAGGTGACTAGAGGCAACACCTGCAGACTCTGGTCTCTTTATCGGCCTTGTGACGCAGGCATTTAAAGTACCAGTTATTTCAAATCTGATTCAATCCAATCTGTCAATCAGCCTATCTCTATTGTATTGATTTGATATCAGCTTTCAGTGTGTTTACATCTCATGTTACTGTGCTATTGACTTTAATGTGTTATGTCTCATTGACCTCTCTGGATGCACGTTTATCAAGCACATATCATAATGATAAAAGTGTCTCAAGAGAGGCTGGTGAAATGTAAGTCATGAAGTTTTCCAGGAGTTTTAGAGACATCTTTTGCCCTCTTGACTCTGATGGTTGGTTTGTGTCTGTAGAATCAGATGTACATTCTTCTGTGCTGTATGTAGGTTGGAGGCTGCCGGAGCTGCAGGTCGAGGTTGCATCAGGGTTGAGGCGGTGTAGAGGAACGGGAGTCTGATGGTAGCTGAGTTTCTGCACGGTGTCACTCAGTCTCTGTGGACCCACTCCCCCCTCCTCCCCTCATCCCCCTCTCTCTCTCTCCTGCCCTCACATACTCTTTCTCCATCTTCCTCTCTCTGTGTTTTATCCCTCCTTCTTCTTATCTGTCTAAACCTCTCTGTGGAGCTCCCCCCTCCTCCTTCCCCTCACCCACCTCTCTCACTCTCTCTCTCTCTCCCCTCCACCCCCCCACCATCCCCCCCCTCCCTTTACACCCCCCCATGCTGTTTCGGTGCTGCTGCCTGTCTCTTAGCAACAACTGCACACCCGTTAGAGCTCAGTGAGTGCTTTTACAAACACACCCAGGAAGACACACTCATACACGCGCACGCTCGCAGGAACACAAGTGCGGGCGCAAACACAACGACACTCACACACACACACACACACACACACACACACACACACACACACACACACACGCACACACACACACACACACACACACACACACACACACAAGGTCTAGTTCCTCATTGAGGGTTGCTGCTGGCAGGCCTGTGAGTCTGCAAGCCTTTGTGGCAGTGAGATAGATGGAGAGAGAATAGATCTGCTGTAGGCTACAGCTACAATGTACAGAGTGATTGTGCTTTCTGAATATTCACAACAGGGCAAGTGTCCAAACTGGAAAATGACCGCTTCTCGTCTCACAGTTGCGTGTGCACGCATACTTCCTGTTGTTTTACCCTCTCCTGTAAAGAACACTGAAACTTTTTATATGCAGATGAAAACTGCGCAACACCAGAAATATTCAGACACTCGTAGCAGAGCAGCTCTTTGCAAAACAGATTCAACAGATCATCATGTGGAAGCAGTGCGCACCATAGGCTGTTTTCCCTGAGACAATATTACGCTGTTGTGTGCTCCAAAGCCCCAGAGCTGTTCTCACTAAAACGCACCAAAACGCCACATATGACGGCAAATATACCGTTGCGGCAGCTGATAGATGCCAAGACTGTTTGCTTAAACAATGAATCATAGTGGGAGCTTTTGATTGGCTGGCATCAAAGCCCCCCACCGAGCACAGTAGAGATATTTGCATGTGCGTCTTTGTTTTGTGTGTGTGTGTGTGTGACTCTGTATGATTGCGTGTACGTGCCATGTATGTCTTTATGTGCGAATGGATGTGTGATTGTGTGGGAGGATGAAGCTGTGGGGGCATATTTGACTGTGTCTTTGTGTGTTGGTATGTGCCATGTCGCCGTGGATGCCTGCGTCTGTGCGTGCGCATGTGCGTGTGCACATGTGCAGCAATGTTTAATTAAAGCATGTGTTCTCTTCCTTCTCTCGCACACCGGTCAGATGGAGCCTTAATTAATGAATGCTGTTAATTAGACGACAGAGAAAGTGAGAATGGGAGAGAGAGACGAGGGAGTGGGGGAGGGAGGCAGGGAGGGGATGAGTGAGGGGGTTAAATAAAGTGTGTGTGTGTGTGTGTGTGTGTAAATGTGTGTTCATCTCCATGTTTGTCCGTCCCAGTTGTGTCATTCCTCTGTGCAGCAGAACATTAAGCATGGTCGGCTCCATGTGTGCAGCTCCAAACTCTGCTAAAGCAAAACTCTCCCCCTCTTCCTCCTCCTCCTCTCGCCTTCTCCAATTTTTTCTCACTCCCTCTTTAATCTGTCTGCTTGTCTCTCCTCGTACCATCCTTACCCCGTCTCAATCACGTCGTTCACATCCTTGTTCTCCTTCTGTCTCTCGCCTTGTGTCTCATACTTTCTCACCCATTCATGCTCTCATTCTCATGTCTCCCACCCAAGCTCTCCCCCTCTTTTTCTCTCTCTCCCTCTCTGTCCTCTCCCTCCTAATCAGAGCCATATGTTGGAGAGGGAGGCAGGGAGATCTGAGGATGGATGGGATTGTATTGTATGTGGAGAGTGTGGTACAGTTTTGGGAGCCAGCAGTGCCTGTGCGTGCGTGCGTGCAAATGTGGCACGCATGCTAGTATTTGTGTTTGTGTGAGCGCATGCCGTCACGTGTGAGTCTGATAGCACGTGTGGTCCAGATTTTGGAAGACTTGTGTCTGTTTCTGGCTTTCTTTACTCCCTTTTCTGCTCTGCTTAGAGTTTCTATAATCCCTCCATCGCTCCTGTCTTCCTGTCACCTTCATCTCTCCATCCTCTTAACACCTCTCCATTCATCACCTCTCTGCTTCCCCCTGGTGGCTGTGATTATTCACACATTCTCATTCTTGTTGCACCCTCCAAGTCTGGTCCTTTGTACTGCATTTGAATAGTTTTGGCAAAATCTGGCATGCAGTGTGAGTACGTTTGTGTGTCTTAGTGTGAGTGCGCTTCCAGAGCTGCTCAATTGTTTATTATAATTTATGGATTTTGACATGTCCTTACTCAAATTTGGTGAGATTAGAAACACTCAATCCCACACACACAATACACAACCGTGCGACTGTGCTAATAATCATTTAGTGATGATCCTGGGTGTGTGTAAGAGTGGAATAGATAAAGTGGCACAGGCTTACATGCGTTCCCACAGTCTGCTGCTGTGTATCGAAATGAAATATTAACTACAATTAGAGAGTTAAAAATTTATACTGCAAGTCATTCCACAATAATTGCGTCTGATGTGAGATGGTGCAGCCCCCACCAAAATACTGATTCTCGTCTGGTCTGATGCGTGCTCTGACATCATGTACTAATCTCTTATTCTCTTTTTCTTTCTGCTCCATCCTCCTCCCAATCCTTTCTTTTTCCCCCACCTTCTTCAACTCCATGTCCCTTCTCCCCTCTCTCTCTCTCTCTCTCTCTCTCTCTCTCTCTCCCTGGCTGTCTCTTTCTCTCACTCTAGCAACCATGGGCAGAAGACAGGAGCAGAGGGGAGAGAGAGAAGTATGTGAGCTCTCCACTGCAGTATTGATGACCCAATGATCCCCTGCAGAACAGAGCCAGTCAGGCAGACAGAGTGAGGCTCAACTCAGAATCAAAATCAGAATCAGAGCCACAACTCTTTGGTAAAAGCAGCCAATTTAGCCGGATACGAATGGTAAATGTAATTTAATGTTGTAATGCTGCTGTGTGGGTGGAACAGTTAATAGAGTAGAGTGCATTACAGATGAGGTTTGTGGCCCATTGCCAAAAATATTGACAATTCTATCACATCTATCATTTTTATAGTGTTTGATGCCTTACTGTTACTAATACGTAGTGGCATTGAGCTTAGATTAAACTTCTGAAGTACTAAGACAAGTTTTTGCAGACTTGCTCTCAGTTTGATATAATTGTTTTTGTTTCTATCTGCAGGTCCTTAAATCTTCTTTCCAGACGATAGAGGAAGACGACCACAAGGACAAAAGCTCTCATTTCATACAGCAGCAAATGTCCTTTTTTTTCTCTCAATACCAGCAGGTCGGTCCGCTGAATGAGTAGATTGTCAGATCACCTACATTCTGGCCAAACTGGGGCTCCAGCGGGCTTCAGTGGGACTCAGGCAAAAGACATAACATTTGTAGGGGGACTGGAGGGGCTTGCGGGACCAGAGCTCTGGACCAGGGAGCTCGGGCCCCAGGAGGGGCTCCAGGATCCCTTTAACGATGGACTGGCTCTGTTGACCTCTGACAGTTTCCCCCCCTCCTCTTCTTCTGCCCTGGCAAGGGGCCTCCACCATCAGAGAAGGCTGGGGCTCGGCACCTGCCGGCGGGGGCAGTCAGAGACTTGTGCCACCACTGAGACTCATGCATTTACAGAGACATTTAGAAACATGCAAACGCACATAGACCCAGATGTGCATGCACAGGCTGTTTCACACGCACACATGGATAATTGTGGACAAATGGATATCAACGCACAAATGGTATCTGTAGGACCAGAACGGTCAAAAACTCTAACACCAGAGGCCATACACACAACCTCACCTCAACCTCTGTCTTTGGCACTTGGCAATCATCCTGCCTCGACCAATCAGCTGGCAGATCCAGTCCTTACTGCAGAGACAGACTTGCCTTCAACCTTTTGTCCGATCCCAATTGGTCAAAACCCAAACACAGACTCCTCTGCTCTCCCTGTGGAGGCTGAGAAAAAGTATGCACTTCGCAGTTCTGGGCGTCCTCGATTCCCCTGTCACCTGCGCAAATCCTCCCGCCTCCGACGTAGTATGGAGGACGGGGAAAAGAGAGCAGGAAAGGAAAGAGGAGGAGGAGAGGAGGAGGAGGGGGTATTAGAGGAGAAGATCTGGAAGGCCAAAGAAGAAGAGGTAGCCGTCGGTGAGAAACAAGAACATTCATCTGTGGAGGCTGTTCTCCCTACACCTCCCTGCCCTACAGACATTCCTCTTGCTTTAACGGTTCCCAAACCTGTTCCCAAAGCTATGCCTAAACCTGGACCAAGACTTGGCCATAGACCTGGACCTAAATCCAGATCTAGGCCTCCACCAAAACCCGTTCACAAAGCAGCTCCAAAAAGTGTCATGAAAAGACGACAAGCAGCTCAGTCCTTGGCTCAACAGCTTTCCCCTCATCACGCCTTTATGAACGCATCCACCATCCCTTCACCCCTGCTGACAGCAAGGGAGGAACCTGTTGCAGAGTTGGGGGTAACTTCTGCCAATAACCGCAGACGTGGGCGTTTTGTTGGCGTAAGTTTATTTGTAGTTACATATCACTGATTTTCATACTTTTCCTGACACACCATGTATTAGATAGTTCCTAAAACAATCTTATATTTCACATGTTTAACGTTGGACTCTGATTTACAGGTACGGAGGATTGTGGTCAAAGTGGCTCGCATCCCTGTCAGCCTCAGCCGCCGGCAAAAGAGTTACAAAATTTCAAGTATGGAGACAGTCACAGGGACAGAGAAAGTCAATGATGGGGGCACAGAGGGTCCAGAGGTGGCTCGAGAGCCGACCGCACTTCTGCGTATGAAAAACAATGGAAAAAGCGTTATGGTGATGTTCCCCCCTGGAGAGCTGCCTGTTATTCTGAAACGCAGGCGAGGGCGACCACCTAAACAACCTCAGCCGGGAATACCAGGAGAGCCTCCCAATGCTGGGACTGCTGCTGGTAATGCAGACCAGCCCAAGAAGCCCCAGAGGAGACGTCGGACTAAGCTCCCTTGCCCTTATCCCTCTTATGTTAATGATACTAATGATGTGAAAACTGAATATGGGGATGTTCTCTCCAAACTGGCCTTTTTAAACCGCCAGCCTCCTGCCACAGGCCGCTGCTCTCCTCCTCGCTGTTGGACACCCAGTGAGCCAGAAAGCTTTCATACCCCTTTGGAAAACCCTGGGATATCCACCCTACTCCATCGGCTCACTGGGACTAGACGCCCAAGGGGAGGCAGAGGAGGGGGACTCGGGAGGGGCGGAGGACCAGCAGGGGCAAATGGGGGCAATGAGCGCAATAAGAGCACTTTCAGTGACTTCTTTGAATCCATTGGCAAGAAGAGGAAACTGAGCCCCCTGTCTGAGTTTGGTTTACCCAGAAAAAGGGGAAAGGGTGCAGGTGGGGTGGGTAGGGGAGGGGGTGTTGTAGGAACAGAGCCTGGGGGAGAAAAAGTAGTCAGGAAGAGACGGTCAAGAAAAAATGGTGCATTCAAAGGCGAGGGAGTTCCAATGGGCCAAGAGTGGCCCAATGGGGCAGGTGGCTGGGTGGAGGAGGGGGGAATGAGCAAGGAGAAAAGTTTTGGTGGGTATCAGTTCTGTGGATCTCCAAGGGGGGGCTTCTCCTCCTGTGAGGTTAGACGGGGAGGTGTTTACAGTAGTCAAGGAGGAAGCAGAGGAGTCGGGCCAGCAGGAGATGACTCACAGGGCCTGTTTGCCGGATATTTCCGGTCACTCCTTGACTCGGATGATTCGTCTGATCTGTTGGACATTTCCTCTTCACAGTCGGATCCCCGTAAAGCTTCATCAACTCCTGGTTATGAGCCATCCAGCCCAGCTACTGGGCAAAACTGGTCCCCTGCATTTCCCAAGTGGAACAGTAAGGGTGCAAGTTCTGGGGTTGATGGTTCAGCCCAGACACACTGCCCCTCAGCCAGGCCACCATACAGCTATGGCAGCCTAGCCCAAACATCCCCAACCACTTCAACATATCCCAAATCCACTCCCCCATCTCTCTCACACTCCCCCAGCTCCCCCCACCCTGCCTCTTTTGGTCATTACTCTCCTGGCTACTCCTCCTCTTCTCCTGCAGTGCCACAGAGAACCTCAGACTGCAGCTTTCCGTATGGATCTGGACAAGGTAGTAACAAGACTGGCACTGCTGGTCAAATGGGGTTTTCTAATTACCAGGCTGGAGCCAAGCGAGGCTACGGCGGATACTCTGCTGCAAGTCATTCCTCCATGGTGAGGGGAGAGTCAGCAGGACCCACATCACCAGGGGGAGGGTATATGTCTGTGGCCAAAGGCAGCCCCTTCAGCTCCTCATCCTCTCCTGACGGTTACAAGCATTACAACTCCAACCAGTGGAGCTACAGGTAAACTACCTTTGGCACCTGTTACTAAAGTGATAATAAAAAAAAGTAGCTGAGGAGATTCCAGAAAATTCTGATCTGCTTTTTCCAACAATAAACATGAATAAAATCTAAATCTAAACTAAATAGATTGGTTTGTCGCTTAATATTGACTCTATGACAGACTGTTTATATGAACTAACGGTTAATCAAATGAGCAACATTAATATTTACATAATAAAAAAGACATTTACGCAAAAAAGACAGTTGTTGTAAGTGAGCTTGATCAGCTGATGAACATGTTTACCGCACTCATATTCTGGTGAAGAGGATTTTTTGCATAGTTCATCCTAAAGACAGTCTGCAGCTCACATTTTGAGGGGATGCAAGAGGTCTAAGAAGCTGCTCAGAGTTACTGAGCTCTGTGGGTTCACTGCATCCAGTGCTTCTAGTTATTCAGATGAAGTTAGCGATGCTGAGGCAAGCCGACCACCTCTTTTGGACAATTGCAGTAGTTTTATAAACAAATCAGGACAAAGTCCAACAAGCTAAAAACCTGTATGGTTTCTGAGACATGTAGCCTGTTAGAAAACTGTCTCATCCACATCAGTTACAAAGCAGGTTTTCCCATGTATTTGGGTTTAAGTTGGAACCTTTAACCAAATACTCAGCCAACACATCATAGTAATCAATGTGTGTTATTTTTTTCAAGTTTCCAAAGCTCTGGATTTTTCCCATGCTTGATTGGTAAAACACACTAAAATGGGATTTGATTGGCTTTAATGCTAAATATCTATTTGTTACCTTGGAATCCTTTAGTTTAGGAAACATTAATGATTGAGAGTGGAGAATTGAAGTTTAGGAACCTCTGCTGACAATTAATTTAGGTGCAGCTCCAAGAAAATTAAAGTGAACAAGTTCATTTTTAGTTTGAACTTGCACAACACTCGTTATCGTCAATACTGATATATTGCAACAGCTCAGATCTTAATGATCATCTTGCTCAGAGCTGATTTTGTTGTATGATTTGTGTCTCTATATTTTGGTCTTCTTTTTCAGACAAGGTTATGGAGGGTGGTCAACTGACGGCTTTGGGCACCAGTATCATGGATACGGGGACTTCAGCTCCAATGAGTCCAAAGACATCTTGGATATCTCAAATTACACCCCCCAGAAGGCCAAACGACAACCTTTTCATGAAAGTCTCTCTGAATCCTCCTCTGACTCTTCACACCTCGGCTCCATAGCCACAGGTAGTGGACCTGGCTCCACAGGTGGCATGTACAAACACAGTGAGCCGACATCTGGTGGTGGAGAGGGGGGTCAATCAAGTCTGTCCAGCCTAGAGAAGCTGATGATGGATTGGCATGAGAGTGCCTCAGGGCCCTCATATAACTGGAGCCAAAATGTCCTCTTCCAGGGTGGGGGGACCAGCAAACCTGGAAGAGGTCGTAGGAAACGGATTGAACAAGACAAAGAAGGGGGCACTGCTTTACACTCTGATTCCCCATCCAGCCCCTCACCAACCCCTACTCCTGGACCAAAGAGGGGAGGACGGGGCAGAGGGTCTAGGGGAGGCAGAGGGGGGTTATCTCCTTGTCAAAGAGAGCGACTAACAGGAGCCAAAGGCAGGGGCAAGGCTGCTTCTACATCAGTAGCAGGAGGTACGGTGACTGTTGGTGGTCCGGACGGGTCCGGGCTATTCCAGGAGGGGCTGGACTATTACAGCGGAGACAGCAGCAGCCTCTCTCCCCTGGCCACTCCCAATCCTGCACCACCCTCGACCTTTCTCCAGGACCCCTGTGAGTACCCCTCCCCTTATTCTGCCCATCCCTCCACGCCCTCCTCTGAGGAGCGATACCCTGCCTTATACCCTGGAGAGTCATCCTCCTCCCTCTCGCCCAGTGTCTCGTCTCCCCCTTACCCTCCAAAGCCAACCCCTCCTCCGCCACAGTCCTACCACCCTGTCCCCTCTAGGACCTTTTCCCCATCTTGCTCCCCCTCCCCACGGGTGACACCCCATTGTGGTACTGCACTGAGTCCCCCACACCGCCCTCCTCCAAAAGACCCACAGTTCTCACAGTATGACTCTCCTAGTTATTGCAGTTCCCCCTTCTGGTACGGACAGACGTCTCACAGCAGCAGCCCGAGCCCACACTCCCACAGCACACACTCAAACACAGCCATACACACACACAGCAACCCACACACAAGTCCTCACGGAAATACACAAGGAAATCCACTCGCCAGCCCAAATGCCAACACACAAACACACATTAACCAGACTGCACATGACGCACACCAACACAATACACAGCAACACACAAACCTGAGTTCACACACCAACACTCACCCCGCCTCACACCTCCAGAGCAACCCTCTCTCCCACCCAAACCCCAATGCCATCATCGCACACACCAACTCCAGCATCCCCTCCCACACACACTCCAACCCCAGTCCAGGCATCCTATCCCACGCAACTCCTGCGCTCTACGAAGAGTGTAGCCCCCCCTCCACTTTGTCCCCTCACAAGCGAGATCTGACTCCCCACCCCATGAGCACAGGCCTCCGCCAGGGCCCTTTGTCTCGCTCCCCGTACCCCAAACCTACCCTGGACTCCTCACCCCATCCGGAGGACACTAGCGGCTTCTCCTTGTCCCACCAGTCGTTCCAGGCCATGGGACAGCGCTACCCCTCCCAAGTGGCTCAGGGAGGTGGTGTGCTGTGCCAGCTCCTGGACCCAACCAATGACGATGGCTTCAGCGTCACCAGCCTGTAACAGCAGGTAGGTTTAAGTGATCTTTAGGCAAGCAAGACTACCTGGAATCAGGACTCTCACCAAGCCAACCATACAGGGTGTGACTTTTTAGTAATGCATCTGTTGTGCAGTAAGCAAAGTTACAAGATTGGCAAATCAGAGGCATGGCTAACTTGACCAACAGGTGGACTTAGTGTGGCCATTTGCAAGAAGCCCAAAGGTGCCCCTCTGGTAGTTTCACAGTAAGCTAGGTTGAGTTAACAGGTTGAGCTAGGTTAATGTTGGAGTTACATTAAACCTCTGAATAAGTTTTCAAAAGTGCCTAATCATCCCTTAGAGATCTGCTACACCTGGATTTTAAGGTGCTGCTGCTGCTTCTCCTTCATCCCTTTCCCTTTTTATGTGGCAACCAGTATTACCGTGTGCTTATTTTTAGCACGATATCAATGACGGAAGGTTATCAACAAAACGACGGCCTTAGTCCTGACTCACCCTTTCATATATGTAGCACACAGCAGGAGATTTAGTTCAATTAGATTCACTTTCAACTTCTGGAAAGTACTCAATTCGGCTTAGGTAAGGGTGTCATGAGGGTAGGTAGAGTGTACAGGAGGAGGACTCCTTATTAGTAGTGATGGTTTTTGCTTTGATATCACTATTACATGAACAAGGACATGTCCCGAATATAAAAAGACGAGTGGAAAACACTGTCATTAGCCGGCCCACTTTCTTCCTGTGAACATTCTGGCCTATTACCTGCTCTGTTGACAGATTACACACTGAGATTGGCATCAAGCAGATATCCATGCATGCTGTTATTTGGCCAACTGACAAACAAGACAAACAGAAAACAAGAAAGACAGATTTCTTGTAGTTAAGTGTGTTTGCAAGACTCAAAAATTATGTCATGGTTAATTTTTCTGAATGATGGTGAGTTTATGGAAGAAAAAAAAAACTATTACTAGCTCTCAAATCTGCCTCTCTTGACCTCTTTCTCTCCTGTTTTGTTTTTCCTTTCCAGGTGCATTCGAGCTTTTACAGATTTTCAAACATTTTTTTTCTTTTTTTTCTTTTTTTTGGTAAGGAGACTTTCTTTGTGAGAGACTGTGAAATGAAGGGTGAGAATTTAGCTGCCAGCTTTGGACAGTAAAGCTTTAATTCTCCAGCACTGACAATCAAGATCAACTGCAACCGTAACACCCAAGCATGGACAGAGACACACATACACACATACACTTACACACACACAAACACACACACACACACATACATACACACACACACACACACACACACTTACACACAAGCATGTGCAGAAACACTCACTACCCATACAAAAAAAATAAAGTCATACATGTGTACACTCACTCACACACTCTGCTGGAAAGAGGGAATGGCTGAGAGGAGCTGACAGATGAGTACCAGACACTGACGGACAGAGTGTAAACCCGTTTCTTCACCCGACTGAGTCCGTCTGTGACACACAGAAGACTCTAATTCCCAGAAGTCTGTATTTCAACTAATGTTTCTAGTCCTGTTCTGTACATCTGCAATATTGAAATGCTATGATCACACCGCTCTCTCTCTCTTTGTGTCTTTCCTCTGTTCTCTCTCAACCTCCCCCCCTCTGCTAAACCAGCATAATGTGGTCTGCACTAGACCTCCAAGAAACCTGCATTTCTGTCTTTGTGCCCAAGCCTGCACAGCGTCTGAGCCCAAATCTACTTTTTGAATACCATGAGCCTAGCAAAATGTCCTGCTCTGTGCACTCCTTGTGTTGTGTACCATAAGAGAAAATGGACTTTAACCAGTTTCTGCTCTCGAAAATACCAGCATCTGTACATACGACTTCAGCTCCGATCCTGGGGCCCCCCTCTTCTCTCTGAAGGTTCGTCATCAACACGCCCTCCTCAGCACCCTGCCATGGTTTCTCTGCTCTGTGGGGGGGAAGAGAGAGGACTGCAGCATGGAGACCCAACATCCTGTGTTTTGCTGTTTTAACTACAAGGGAAAGAGACATTGAAATCACAAAACGGCCCCAAAGAGACTGTTGTTTTCTGCGTGGGAATGTGAAACAGAGAAGGGTGTGCTTGCGTGACTGCAGAAATGCATGTATTTGTGTGTATGTGTGCAATTATATGTGTTGCTGTGTGAGTGTGTGTGCGTGCGTGCCTGTGGGGTCAAAAGGAGTGAAACACCCCAGACACCAAAGTCTTGGCGGGGCCTCATTCTTTCTTTCACTCTCTCCCTTCTTTTTTCTGTGGTCTTGTGTTGTTTGGTGGTTTTTGTGATGAAAAATTGTATATCTGTCTGTTACATATCATGTATGTATCTGAGGTGCAAAATATTTAAATACACATTCTGTTCTTGCCATTGGTAATCTTGTCTTAAGCATTCTGCTTCTTTAAGAGATTAACAGAGGTGTGACCGTGTGTGTGTGTGTGTGTGTGTGTGTGTGTGTGTGTGTGTGCGTGCGTGCGTGTGTGCCTGCGTGTGTGTGCGTGTGTGTGTCTGTGTACGTTGTAGAGCCTCCCTGAGTATTGGGCTTTGCCCAGGCTGTCTGGGACTGTGAGGGAGAGAGTTCAATCGAGGACACAATTCGACAGGGAGTGAAAGGGAGGGGAGGAGAGGAATGGAGGACGTGTTGGAGGGGAAAGAAAGAAACCAGACTGAGGAAATCAGAAAAGAGTGTCAGGGATGTTTTAAAGCCACTGCAACAAAATGCAAAAAATGCTCTGTTTCAAATTTTCTCTTCCAAATAAGGGGACGCAGCGAGGCACGGTGTAAAAGCCTGGTGGTCCCCAAAGGGGTACCCAAGAGCAGACATTAAGGGACCCTATGTTCATTTAATATCCTTATGGGGGTGGTGACGGTGGTGGAGGGGGGTGTCGACTTGCTATATAATGGGGCAAACGTACATCTGCAGCTTGTGTGTGTGTGTTTGTGTGTGTGCCAAACCGACAGAGGGACTGAGAGAGAAAGAAAGCAGATGGGGGAGTTTACTGGCTGCATGTTGTGTACAGTTTGTCAACAGGCTGACTAAATAGACTCAGACATGGCCAGAGGAAATGTGTTTGCTGTGACATTCCACTGTATGGTGGAAGAGGACACGCACTGTTGACAACATGACATGACATGACAGAGAGGACGGGGCTGAGGAGCAACAGCTCTGTCTGTCCTTTCTTTTGTGCTGAATTAATGCAAAATGACAGTGTTTAAAATACCAGTTATTTTTGCTTGGTCATAAATTTACAAATAACCACGTCCAAATGGTGATTAGAAAGCTGATAAAAACCTGTCACATTTATGAAATTAGTGGTCGGAAAAAAAGAAAAGACTCATATTTACATATCTACTTTTGGTTAAGACCACTGTGAAAGTAAAATTTCTGCATTTTCTCATAGGTTATCCACGCACTGTCAAAATGTGCCAAAACAGTCTTCATGATGATCCACTGTCATTATTAAATCACAGACATATTTATGTAAGCAGCTTTTAGCCTTCTCAGTGGCTCTTTTTAGGAGTTATCTACAACAGGATACCATGTGAACATACAATATTTCCCTCTGGTGGCCAGTGTCGATGAGTGAAAATCAAACTTAAATTAAACTTAAACTTATAAATCAAGCAGCTAACATTAAACTGAGGACTTGTGCAGAGGCCTACAGCAGCCTATGACAGCCACAAGCTATGATTGTTTTCAAAAACTGCCATTTAGTGTTTAAGTTGATAAAAGATGTCCATTTCTGTCAAGATTTTTGGCCTGCTCCTTTCATTTCAAAGCGTGGCCTTAAGGGGATGTTGCCCCAACAAGGAAGGAGGCTGTGAACGTATGAGTTAGTTATGGGCTAAATAAAACTTTGGCCACGGCCAGTAAAGCCACCGTTGACCGAGGAATGCGCTTCGTCATCACAACTTTCCCCTGGGGGTCCGAAGAAGAGGGAGGAGGAGGAGAGGAGGAAGGAGTAAACAGGAGGAGGGGTGTTTTCAGCTGGGACTTTCCTCACTGCCCTCCAGAAACACTTTAATCACAGGGCACCGAGCAGGGGATGCGCACCGGTGCCGGTGCACAGAGGAGGTATGCGGACCTGTGCGCGGTGGTTGGGCCGCGGTGGTCTCCCCCTCCGCTCGGGACTTCCACTTCTCCTAATCCCGCCGTTTCTCCTCGCGCTTCAGCTGCTTGTCGTCGGGCCGCGGTTACCTCGAGCAGCGCGGCTGGGGGCGGAGGAGGAGCGGGAGGGCGCGGTGGCATTTTCCGTTCTTAGTATCGAGCCGGTGAGGGACTCACGCCAACGGGGATCCCCGTCCCGGCGACCGGATCTGGATGATGATGAGGAGGAGGAGCAGGTGGTGGATGAGGGACTGACGGAGGAGGAAGGAGCCTATGAGGATGAGAATGAGATGCTGTCGCGCCAGGTAAGCACGAAAGGTAGTTTAAACTGATGAATTATGGGAGAACTGATGCTTTAAATAACAAAGACAGAATATATTAAATTAAGTGCAAGCAGCAGGTTTTAACCTTTAATATTCTGAGGACTGTGGGCAATTCCACTTCTGAGAGTAAATAAAAAGTGAAAATAGGAGTAGCGAACTCTTTTGTTGGAAAAGAAGAGTTTGTCTTCAGCTTCAGGCTATTTACCTGAAATGAGCTTGAAAAAATTCTTTTACCGCAAGTGAGTGTAATAGCCTGTTATCAACTGTAGAAAACAGACGGGGATTTTTAGAAAAATCTCATTAATGTCTGGTAGTTTAAGAAAAATGTCCCGGTGCACTTTAATGCCCTCAAATAAAGAAAAATCTGAATGCATTTTTCCACCGTGTAAAACTATTATATCCTCTTTAAAATCTTGATGATATTTTGAAGACTTGGTAGCAATTAAATGAGTAAGAAGTTAACAGTTTCTTAATCAAAAGTTACATAAAGACTTAAAAATGTAGAGGAGGTACTCAAGAATGACATTTTGTTGTAGAATAGAAGAGAATGGGCAATTATTGCAATACATCAAACAGTCCAGGTACACTGGAATTTTTGGGCCATACCTGTAGAATCATCTGTATAAAAGGTATAAATAAATAAATCAATATCACACACACACACACACACACACACACACACACACACACACACACACACACACACACACACACACACACACACACACGCACACACACACGCGCACACACATACATATACATACACATAGCCATATCAAGAAAAAGATCAGAGTAAATAAAACTGTATTTACAAACTGTGGAAAGTACTAGAAATATTCAACCACTTGAGAATAGAATGTAAAATTAAAACAGATAGACAGAATATTGCATATTGTTGTTAATATATGACCAAAATAAAATGTCTTATAGAGTTTGACTCTGTGAAATAAGGTAAATGACACACCTGTGTTGATTAATGTCACATATTGCATATTTAAGTCATCATACAGCAGGTTCAAGTATTTAAGCTAAGTGACGACAGATGTTAGTGAGTTTAGTTTATCATTACACTTCTAGAAACACTCGTCCTCTGTGGTTTCCTCGTCCAGATTATCATTCTGGGTCAGTGCGCGGCTCTGTGAATTATTACAAACATGATGGAACAGGTGAGGGTAGGAGGGGAGCCCAGCACTGACCCCAGATCAGAGAGAGGTGACAGCTGTTCTGTCTTTAACCTTCAGCCGCACTGAGCTTCGTCCCTCATTCATGTGGGTGTCGCTGTCCTCCCTTTACCTAACCCTTCCTCCTCTTTCTCCTCACCCCCACCCCAGTCTCTTTTTTCTCTCACTGTCTCTTTTCCTGCCCAAGGCTAAACTCTGACTCATTCTAGTGAATCATCAACCCCCCCTTCCCAATAAGGTTGCCATGGTGATCACAGAATCACTGTGAATTTTTTTCAAGGGTGGGGGTTGTGTGTGTGTGTGTGTGTGTGTGTGTGTGTGTGTGTGTGTGTGTGTGTGTGTGTGTTACTGTGCCTCAAGCAAATCTGTTTCCAGCAGGACAGAGGTCAGAGGTCAGAGCACAACCTGCTCCCTCTGCACTTATACCTGGGGCATGGGGCGCTCACTCTCACACATTACAGTCATTCCTATGCATTATTCAGTCCCCTGCCTACTGCTGTGACTCAGTTCCTTGCACTGTGGTTTCAATGTATTGATATGTATATGTGCGTGTTGCCAGGTGGGACCCAGAGCGTTGGAGCTGCAGTCATGGGCGGCAGACGGGCCGTCCTTCACAGCAGAACTCAATAGGGTCATCACGTTCATCACAAGGCCCCAGGTGAAAAAAAGTCTTATCTCTGCAGAGTTTTATTACAGTTGCACATTGACAAGAAACTAGAAGAAATGTCACTAGTGTCACAACAGGCTTGAAAAGAGGGTCTCTTTGAGAGGTCTGGTAGTCTTTGGTGTCATAAATGTTAGGGGTTTGGGTTATTATAATTAGGTTTTATTTTATTATAATCAACAGTCTAGAAAATACATAAATAAACAGTGAGCAATGGCAGAATTTGCAGTCACATTTTACCTATTTATCAAGTGTCATAGCCTACTTTAAACCTTGAAATGAAGGTTTCCATTTATTCATTTACCAGAGGATATTTAATCAGAAGCTGTGAGTATATCATCGCAATGATTTTCTTTAGGTTTATGAATTTCATCTGATGAAAATAGTGAAAACCATTAAATGTTTCATGAGTGTGAATTAACAATTAAAGAAAAGAAAGATTTTTTTAAAGATTTAGCCTACTATAAAGCCACTCAAGAGCAGACTAAGACTGCTACTGATGCATGGCTGTTGGGAGTAGCATGCTGCAAGTGCTGCACATTAAAATGTTTTAAAAATGCTCCTTTTGTTATTTTATTTTAAATAGAACAAAGATTTGAGAAAATATAATAGCAATTTTAGATAATTGGAGATGTTCAAATCACATAAGATGTACCACAGGCTTGTCCTCTTGCAGCTAAAACCACCAGTCATAAAAGAGCACAAGAACAGATCAACCCTTTTGCACCAAGTGGATGCACTTGAGTCTAAAAATTGCATATGCACGGACAAAAACATGCATCTATAACTACTGCACCCCCTACTTAAAGCCCATTTGCACGGCCCTGTACTGATGCCTTCAAAAGCAACCATCAGGCTTGTATCTTGACTGTAATTTTCAATCCGTAAACTGCTGTGAGGGGGTAGATATCAGCCCAGATAACTGACAGCACACTGAGGAAACAGGGTTTTTTTCTTTTTACTTTTTTGAAGTCTTTGTCTGAACCATTACTTTCACATGTGCAGCTCAGAGAGCAGAGTTATTATTTTGTCCAAAATCAACTCAAACAGAAAGTTCCTCACAGGAGCTCTGAGTTGCAGAACTATATGTGAAATGAACCTTTCAGGTTTATCTCATGATGACCTTTCCAAAGAGTCCCTGACCCTCACACTGATATCACTAGTCTCATGTTAAGGGTTCTTTCTGGCGGTCTCATGGCATACACTTATTCATCATGGGCGTGCACACACAGCAGCCAAGAGTACAATGCTGCCAGGCCTCAAGAGTAATCAATACAAGCTTCACTTTTCATACTTCTTCACTTCTACAACTGCACACTTCCAGCGAGGAGGTTAACTCTGCAGTAATATGATCAGCCAGCGCTGTCTGTGTCCTGGCAGCAGAATTCAGCAAAATCTGGAGCTAGTGAGGACGTCCAGTTCCAGCTTGGAAACTCCCATAGAAGAGTTAAAACTTAAATATAGTGCCAAGTTCTGGGGAACTGAGAGGGAAAAATATTTGTATATTGTGTTGATTTTTGCTGTTTGTGTTCTAGTGTTATCATCAAGTGAGTCTTGCATTTAGCAGTTAACTTGAAAAGAATAACCCCTCAGTTAGTGTGAGTACTCCAGCTTTTTACAGGCCCAAGATTTCCTTTTTCTTAAGTCTACAATAAAGTATAAAAATATAGTATAATTAAAAATGAGGTATAAAAATGCAACAAAATGTAGCATTTAAGGTTCATTAAGGAGCCCAGCCAACATTAAAATGAAAAGTTTCAAAGTCTTTTAAACATTTACAAGCAGACATGTATTTTTAACATGTCTAAAAAGGGTGGAGAAGACTTTTTACTGACTTCTTCCATGACTATAACCATACAGTATCCTGCTTATTACCCTCTTAAGTTGTGAAGTCATTAATATATTGACACTAATCATTAACTTATAGAAAAATAGTTCTGGTTCTGGACATATCAGAATCAAGTATTTAACACAATAGGGTGAAAACAGTCAAGTAATATACACTTTAACACACCTCATTCACTACTTCTGTGCTCCTCAAAGAAAACTTTTCCCCGCTTTTGTATCTGTCTTTATGAAATGTTCTCACAAGTTTTGTAAGACGAGCTTTCACACAATTTCTATTTTTACTTCCTCTTGCTTTGGTTCCATGCTACAAAGTGCATATTCTCTCAGAGCTCCATCCAACCTCATCTCATGTGCGCTCTCCTCTGCTGTCCATCCTCAGCTAAACTGCTCCAGGACTTTATCCCCGGGTCAGACTCAGGCATCAGAGCCTGCAGCAGATTCTCCCCGCTGGCTGCTGTGTGCAGAGGACTGGCTCCTTCCAGCAGGAGATACACTGTGTGTTGCTTACTCTTTCAGGTGTGTCCATATGTCTTCACTCTGCATGCATGTGTCTGTGCATGTACCGTCACGCTTATACATTCATGTCACTGGCAGAGCTAGAGTAAACAATGCATATTTAATCATGCATGCAATAATCTTCAAAACACTTCTGTGCTCTTCTGCATCCCTGCCTGTCTCTCCTCTCCAGTATGGATGGAGGGGTCTCGGAGTTCCTTAACACTGTTTCGGCGCTGGGATGTCAAGTCCACAGTTTTGATCTCAGCAACTCAGATGCATCTGGCCGTCACCTTGGCAACAGTTTGGCAAGTAACCATGGAGACGGAGGCGTGGTAAGGCAGCACAAGATGTGGCTGGAGTGGCGAGCGCCAAGGAAGCGCAAGCACAAGAGAAGAAGCAACCTGGGTACTGTTTCTCAAACACTGGCAGACATCATGGCTGCTCTGGGACATCACACAGTAAGACACAAACACACACACACAAGCACACTGTGGCACACACTCACAATCACAGATATTTGGAGAAACAGTGCCAAACAAACATACCTTAGAGTCTTTTCGACCCAACATACCCAGAAAGCTCTCCTACTTCTATGTTCCCATAGCAACAGGGCTCTGCGCCATCCCTGGCTGCCATGGCAACAATTAAAGTAAGTGAATCAGACCCTGGCCCAGTTACATGATGCAGTCACAAGAGGGAGCTACGTACCCTTAGTTTAAACATGTTTAAGTTGAAATGAAGGAAGTTAGTTCATACCTACGAATAATGTCAATAAATATTTGAATTTTCCTGTAAAAAAATGATGGATAAATATGAGAAAAAGCACAGGTTGCACAATATCTAAAAATGAACATAGTGATTTCCTAATATTAGATCTCGCTCTTTACTTTTGACAAATTTTAAAGTATTAAAAAAATAATTTTTGTGTTTATTGTAAATGTAAGGGAATAATAGTGCAGTTTTAAAAAACATAGTAAGAACCAATAGGCAGACACTTAAAACACAACTTCTGGTGTTTCATTCACTTAAAGACAGGTCTACACATACACTCAAACTATTTATAAAACTCATACATCTTAAAATAAGACAGTTTGCTTGTCTGCTTTGGACATCCCACTGACGGTATCTCCACCTCTCTACACTATCCCTGTCCTCTAAAGGTTCACTTCCTATATGCTGACCTGCTCAGTGCCGAGTGGAGAGTTTTCCAGAACTGGATCGAATCAGGAACTCTCCAAAGTGTCCATCATTTAGTTGCCACAGTGCACCTGCAATGGGCTGGCTTCGAGGTGGGAGGGACCGACGAGGAGGTGCTGCGCTATTGGTTCAGCGTCCTGCATGGTCTCCAAGCTTCTGGACTGAAGCTGATCCATAGCTCTGCAGGAGAGGGTCTGAGTGTTCTGAAACAGACAGTGCCGAATGCTCACAGCACCTACACGCTCAGCTGGGTCAACACAAGACACTGACCCTCACTCAGGAATAGACACAGATGTGCACACATGAGCAGACATAAAGGACGGACTCTAAAAAGGAGAGGGTCACATTTGAAATATTTTGCAGTGTTACACTTCTTTGAACTGAACCCCCCACCCCCCACCCCCGTGTCTTTTGAGGCTCTCACACGGTTCTTAACGTGACATCTCCCCCTAGTGGACATGATAGGAAAAGCCTTTTTCTGATACCTTACATAAAGGGAAGTAGAGTTGTTTCGGCGAATGTTTCTAATTTTAGCAAATAGTTTCAGCAACAGATGGAAAGTTTTCCCCTTATAAAATAGAAAGCATTAAGTCAAAGTGACAAGTTCTGGAACAGTAAAGTAAATAGCAGCCAGTTATCTTGCAGGTTTCAACTTATTTTCACTGTTATTTTCTTTTCTTTTTAGATAGATAGATAGATAGATAGATAGATAGATAGATAGATAGATAGATAGATTTTATTAATCCCAAACTGGGAAATTCTCATTACAACAGCAATAAAAACACAAAATGAAATTCAATATAAGAAGTATGTACAATGCAGACTGAATATACTAAATATATACAATAAATACAGACTAAATACACTAAACATCCTAAGAGAAAAAAGTGAGATATAAAAAAAGTGGGCTATTGAAATGAGTAATACATATAAAATGAGTAATAAATATGAAATGTGAAATATACAGATGGGATGATAAATAAACAAACAATTTAAGGTGCTCAGTAATATGTTGTGGTAGGAGTTTTAGAAAATGGACTATACAGCAGACAGATGTGAGTCTCTGTCCGACAGATGTGAGTTATTGAATAGTGCTATTGCTTGTGGCAGGAAAGATTTCCTGTATTTTTGTGCAATTTGTGATTTTTATCAGTATCTTGTATCCCTTTATGTCACTGTCACCCCTTTCATGTGCATTTTTTATATCTCTGTATGCCTCTGTATAGCTTTAAAACTCGTGCAATAATTCTAAACACTGAAAAACAGAGACAGAGGATGTGGAAAATATTTTTGAATACTGGTGCCTTTAGTTTTGTAGAGAGGGTTTTTGTAAGCTGCATTTCTACATTTTGCACTCTGCTGTGTACTGTAAAACAAGAAATACCAAAACAATGCTGTATGCATAAAAATGAAAAAACAAATCACAATCAGACTTCATTTGTTGTTTTATTGTCTGTCCAGTGAGAACTATGAAACATTTTTCACATTTATCACTATCATGGTGTGATCTGCACTGCTTATATTAATAATAATGGTGCTGGGGGTGATGTCATGCTATTACAAATAACAGGAGAAGGATAGTGACCTAATTAATCTAGCCCTTTCTTCACAGTGAGCTCCTTTTCTTGTAGCTCAATGCCAGTCATTCCTCGGACGCGTTCCAGCTCGCTGAAGCAAACTTTGGTATGCGCTCCTGCCTCCGCCCTCCGTTACGCAGATTACGGCCAGATGTTTGCCACAAGTCAGGGCGGAGTTGCGCTTTTTACGTTACCATTTCCATATCCTGTCCTCAACTGAAATCAAGCTGACAAATGCAGCAGCCAATTAAATTGAGGAAGTCTCCAGCTCGACCAATCAGAAGTTCACATTCCCGGGGCTTCCTCGCTGTGCTGGGCTCGTCCGTCTACTGTACCGCTGAACATTTCTTGGAGAAATCTTAAGACAGGACTCCAACAACTTTAGTAAGAGAAAGCCTGCAGTTTCAAATCTTGACGGTGAGTGAAATACTTGAAGTCAGTGTGTGTTTTGAAAGAGTAAAGTGTGAAGAGACTTTTTTGGGCGATTCCTCAGAGATATGAGGCGTCTACGAGTTACTTCCTGCTCTGACAAGGCCGAGATCCTAAGTTAGGTTTTAGCTCAATCAGCTAATGTGGTGGGCGTAAAAGTCTAACATTTCCCTCCTATTTGTCGCCTTTTGTTACATAGAGGGGTATATATCTTGCTTATCTTTGATTCAAAACTGTTTATACAGTCTTTTTGGATTTCACCTAGTCTCTTTGACTGTATCGGCAAACACCATTAACTTCAGCTCTGAGCTGGACTCCCATCTGGACACAGCTGTAAAAATGTTCTACTCTTTGTCAAAAAATGATAAAAGCGAAACTATTTCAAGATGCTAACTTGTCTAAAAATGTGAGGAGAAGTCCAAACACTCGGATCCACCCATTAACATTCGTGTTTTGACCTCAGCACTTTCTGAAGCCTCAGCGTTTACATGATAAACTTGTAATTAGGAACCAAAATAGGGAATAGGAAGCATATGAGGCATAGGAGGGTATACTTACAGTACACTCTATCTGCCTGCCTGCTCTGTGTTGGTAACAGGGAGAGTTTACAGGCAGAGCAAATCTCTGAGCCCTTTGGGGAGTTGTCTTTCTCTGTTCAGATCCCATATGGCACAAGGGCTACACAGGCCTAAACGAGATAAGATATAAGATAGACCTTTATTAGTCCCATAGTGGGAAATTCCAAAAGTTATAGCAGCATAGATACAAATGCTGCTGATTAGTCTGATCATGTTTTATCAATATTGGAATCTCTATCATTGATCACAAACACTAATTTATTCCAGAGACGTTTCCCCCTGTTTGTTGCACTTTTTGCCTGTGTTGACCAAGAGCAATTGGCCAAATTTAGCATCGAACAGCATCAAAACTTCACTGTTATAAGAGTTTTGACTGAACTTTTAGGGGATAAAACTGACTGTTAAATGTGCTAGTTTCACATCAACTTGAGGGATGCTGGATGTTTGCTGAGTGTAGCAAGGCTTTAGTTTTGCTTCTGCTTCTGACCCAGTGTTTATTTATACATGTGTGTCTGGGTGTCACATGAGTATGAGACTAAATAAAGGTGGAACTAAATGCAAAAGTATCATACAGTTAGAAATACCAGATAATTAGAATTTACCGGAGCTCCCAGTGCCACTTTTATGGTATATTTTTGTTAATCCAGGGGTCCCAAATCTAAAGAGGTGAAATGTACACACATATAAAAACAAAAGCTATGATTTAAGCAGAAATAAATTATTTTCGTAGGTTATTTGCCCGTAAAGTAATCAAACTCCTCTTATTTCCTAACAGCCTCATGTTATTGCCCAATAAAATGTCCCCTCACTGTCTTTGAATCCTTTTATGTGCATAATTCTTTCCCTTAAAAGACCTGCCTCTTCTTCCTCTTCTTCTCACTCAGGGTTGGGTCCCCTCACCCACAGCACCCCACCATGCCCCTGGTTACCAGGAACATAGAGCCGCGGCACTTGTGTCGCCAGACCCTTCCTTCCACCATCCGCAGTGAGCTGGAATGTGTCACCAATATCAGCCTGGCCAACATCATCCGCCAGCTGGGCAGCCTCAGTGAGTATTTACTGTATCTTAGCAAACATGGTGTTAGTGGTTTTAACACATGGCAAAGGTGTTGCTTGTATCAAAAAACTGAAAATGTGTGACCTTGCATTTATTGTGCATGCAAAGAACGCATACTCAAAGCTAAATCATAAACCCGTGTGTTATAACTTGTGTGTCTGTGTCTGCAGGTAAATATGCGGAGGATGTGTTTGGGGAACTCTTTGTCCAGGCAGGAGCATTTGCAATCAGGGTGAACACTCTGGGAGAAAGAGTGGATCGTCTGCAGGTTAAAGTCACCCAGCTAGACCCCAAAGAAGAGGAAGGTAAGCACTCCTTAGTTTTACTGAAACTATCACTGCTACCAATACTAGGGTTCATACAGCGTATTGACATGAACTTTGGAAATAAAACACTTACTCCAGTTTAGATTATACTAAGTTTTCGAGATGATAACCTCCTTCTCCTTGAGCTGCATTAATATTCAATGTCACCCTCTCGGTTTCTCCCCCAGTCTCTCTGCAGGCCATCACCACCCGCAAGGCCTTCCGCAGCAGTCTGACCCAGGACCAGCAGCTCTTCACCAGGCCTTCTCTGCCAATGCCAGTGCAGGACACCTATGTAACCTGCAACCCTCCTCCGCCTCTCAACCACCTCAGCCAGTACCGGTGAGCTGAATCATAGATGCGTATTCTGGGCTCATCGTCATTCACAGGAGCACGATACAGGAGCAAAGATGGAAACACGTGCATGCTCATGTGGGGACGGGGGAACCCCCACATGAGCATGCCATATTTTTGTCAGGATGATGAATTATTCAGACCCACCTCTCTGATGCACACATTTCAAACTTCAGTAAGCAGTAGCTCCTACACTGTGACTGTGTTTGGTTTAATGAGCTCAAGTCTGAAAAAGAGCGAAGTTAGGGTGACAGCTTATCATATTTATAGGAGAAAACACGAAAAATCTGTAATCGGTAAGTGCAGCACTGGCATCAATGCAGAGTAAAATGAGAGTGTGAAAAATTCCAAACTCATTGCTAACAGATTAAATATGCTTTCATGCTGCAGATCTTTAGGTCATGTGATTGTTTGCTTGTAAGGAAGTGTTTGACTGTAGAAGAAGGCCTGTTGCTATAAAAGGTGTCTTCTGTAGTACTCAAAAGGGAAGTTAAATGGCTTGTTCAGTATCAGAGCTTGACACTAACTTTTTCACAAGGAGCACATGTGTTCCTAAATTGAAAAAGTAAGAAGCACACAAAGAACTTTAGGGGCACAGTGAAAATTGATCAAATAATGTGTGTCTTATTGACTAAACTTAGTAATATGATTTGAAATCAATTTTAGGTCAATTGATCACTTGACATAGAAGCTATTGAAGGAAAACTGTCTTTTTTTCAGAACATCAACCGGTAATTTATTGATGATCCCTTATTCAACACCCGACATTGACAGTGAGGGTGCCGAGTAGATTTAACCACGCTGCTCTTGCCATTCCCGGTTAAAGACACCAGTAGATCCGCAGTGAATGTCTGTTGAATCTCCTACTTAAAACTAACTTCACTGCAGTATTTACATGAAAAAACATTTGTTGCCTCTGCTGATTTTTCTTTTTTCTGCGCACATGTGCCCCTAAATACATTTTACAATTTGCACAGATCTTTTTTAGTCACAAATGCACTGTCAAGCCCTGTATACGCTAATGCAGATAAAGATTAGTTAGCAGCCACTAAGTCATGTCTAAGAATGCAAAATGACAAAACAAGCTGATAGCTGACTGTAATCATGACATGAACTTGGCTCTCTGCAGGGACGATGGAAAAGAGGCCTTGAAGTTTTACACTGATCCCTCCTACTTCTTCGATCTGTGGAAGGAGAAGATGCTCCAGGATACCAAGGACATCATGAAGGAGAAACGCAAGCACAGAGTGAGACTCAGAAAGATCCGCACAGAAGAAAAACATCACAGACGTAAAGTGATAACAAAACCGCTGAGACTGTTTCTCAATGTTTCCTTTTTGAGCAGAAGGAGAAGAAGGACCACCTGAACCAGCGAACACTCAATCCCAGAAAAATCAAGACCAGGAGGGAGGAATGGGAGCGTCGCAAGATGGGGGAGGAGTTTGTGGTGCCAAAGAACGAATTGATGTAAGTTGATGGATAAAATGTATTAGAGAAGAGCTGCTATAGTCTAAGGCCTACCTCAGTAAAAACTCAGACTCAGGACTTGAATGTAACAACCAGTCTCCCTTGTCTTATCCACTAATCTGTAAACAGAGATTTGGTCGGTATGTCCTGTCTGAAAGTGTTGACAGGAGGTTTGCTGTAGTGCTGGAAAACCGTCAACTGGGTCTCGTTCATGTTGGTAAATCTGTGTGAAGAGAGAAACTCAGATTTGATTGGCTGTTCACTTATGCCCATCATTCATAAATTGCTTGTCAATTAAACCCTGATGAAGTACATTTCATGTTTGTTACAGTTAATTAACTCATGAATTGGTAAGCAGTAAAATGAAAGTGTAAACTGGAAAGCTCAACAGATAAAATGAAGCTGCTCATTACTGCTGTAGAAGTAACTGCTCTTAATTTTATGAACGTAGTCACCACAGGTTTCACTCTTACTACTTGTGCGACCCTCTTTGACTAAATTTGAGATGTGTTCTGCTGAAGGTTTTCAGGGTTATTTCTCATAAACATGCTATGTCTGACCTACAGTGTGTTTTTATTTATCAACCTCATTTACATATCGAGGTTTCAGAAAGTTCCTGTGTCATCTGATTGTGCTGTCTTACGTCTCGCTCTAAGGAACTCCTCTGAGGGTCTGAATGGCAGTATTGGATCTGGAGAAGGCTTCAGTTCTGAAGGCCTGGATCAAAGTACCAGCTCCTACTCATATGACCCCAGCTCTCCACTCTCGCCACCTGGCACTGATGACTTCCTGCCACCTCCGCCCCCAGATATGGGGTAAGTAGCAGCTGAAATAAATGAGTGAACAAGCCCTCACAACATTCAACAACTACACAGGAACTAACTGTCAGCCTGTGATTCCTCTGTCATGAGTTGAGAATGAGCAGAAGTTTAAGGGTTATAAAGGATGAAGGTGAACTTGTTGTTTTTAACCTCCTCTTCCTCACCTGTAGGTATAATGATGGACCGGCCCCGAAGCGTGTCAGCATGTTCAGCCCAAGCCACCCACCTCCTGCTCCCCCCATGGCCACTCCTGCATCCAACTCTCGCCCCAACATGGCTCCTCCCCCTGCCCCTCCTCCTCCTCCTCCGCCTTCTGGCTTCGGAGTTCCTCCGCCTCCCCCTGGCTTCGACTCCCCGCCTTCCCCTCCCCCTCTTACCTCTGGTTCCTCTGCCTATCCCTCCCCACCTGCTCCTCCTCCTCCACCATCCATGTCTACTGTTTGTCCTCCTCCTCCACCACCTGTACCTACAGGTGGTGGTCCACCTCCTCCCCCACCACCTCCTCCTCCTCCTGGCCCTCCTCCAACATCCATGCCTGCTCCCCCTCCTCCCTCTGGTGGAGGGACAGCCCCAGCGGCTCCCAAACCTCAGCCAGAGCCTGAGGGTGATGCTCGCAGTGACCTGCTGCAGGCCATCAGACAAGGTGAGAGACACAGAACAAACACACAGACAACCAGCTTCAGACCGACCTCCATGCTAGTTGACTGAATTTGAAAAGTTCCAACTATTAACCAGTTGTAACCCTCTGTCTTGACTCCCTTTTAGGTTTCAACCTGCGTAAAGTGGAGGCACAAAGAGAACAGGAAAAGAGGGATCACTTTGGCAATGACGTGGCCGCCATCTTGTCCCGCCGTATCGCTGTGGAGTGCAGCGACAGCGAGGATGACTCATCAGAGTTTGATGATGATGAATGGTCCGATTGATCTACCTTTACCCACACTACCACCACCTCTGTATCTTTCCTCAGCTGTAAATATCCTCAGTGTGTTTCCATTCACATAACAGTCTTAGGTATCCATGAAGCAGAGGAACACAGTGTGTGCGATTTTTGAGTTTGTGCACACAGTTTTTCTGTGCCACCTGTTACTAATCACATTCCCTGACCCATTTATTTGTGTTTCCCTAATATGACAAAGATCAAAGTCTGAAGTGTAAGGCAGAGAGCACACGTCGGTGCGCGGAGTTGTGTGTTAATTTGCAGATGCTATAATTAGATGACACATTGCTGTTGATGTGAGAGAGTGCGTGATGTGATGCACGTCTCTGTGCTGAGCCTGTGCGTAAGCAAACCACTTACATGTCTGTGTAAGTGACTCAGACTCGGATACCTGAGGCTCCTGGATTAATATCTGGTTTTATCTGACTTGGTTAAAAGAATGATGGAAGGGGAACACGCACATGCACACACACGTACACACACACATGTATTTACTCTGTGGGAAGACACAGATGCCCAGACTTTCCCGCTCATTCATAGATAATATTATAAAGATGTAAAGTTTATATTGCTTGTTATATTCAATATATTCCAGATATTTTTTAAAATTTATAATTTACATCACTTTTTCTTTCCTAAACTTTCATACTCTTTCTTTTGAGTAGTAGATGAGGCATCGAAATAGCTTGTAAACAGAATCATGAATGAATAATTCAGTGTGATAAAGAGAGAATACTGGGTCATTACAGACACCTGGGGTGTTTGATGAGAGCATATTGGACATATGCAGACGTCTTACATGAAAACCATGATTCAGACTGTAGCTCTGTTCTCTACTCCTTCCTTCTGTTATTTTATATTGACTCTTTCTGGGGATAAACTCGGCTCTAATGCTTTAATCACTGTGCTCCGTGTATAATCAGGCAGCTTTTGGCCTCCTCCTGCTGCCTGCTAAGTGCCTTTTTTTGTACTGAAATTCAGCGTCAGTGCAGGTGTGTTTTGTTTGACCACACTGGTCCCTGATCAGCTTATTCCAAATATGTTAACAGCTGCCATTAATGAGTCAGATGTAGGAGCGACTGATGTTTTGTGTGGACCACATTATTTCTAAGTGCCTTTTATTTTATATGTACAATCAGACAGCGTGCTTTGCCAAAGTTCTGCTTCATCTGCCTTAAACTTCCATGTGATTATGTTATTTGAATAAAAAGAGTGGATTACAGTGACTTTTCAGATTCCTGCCCTGTGATTTGTGTAAGGCTGTGATGTATTGAATAACAAGTTTCCAAGAATGTCAGGCCTTGGCATAAGACTCCTCATGACTCATCCTCTTTTGTGTCAGCGCTGCAGACCTGCTCAGAGTGCTGACAGTGGAGGGAGTGTAAAAAGAGTGGAAAAGATAAAAGTTCCGAAAATGAGTGGGAGTGTGAGAAAAACCTCTTGCATAACCAGAGTATCCTCATGTCAAGACTGTTTTTTAAAAGGACGCGGTGGTGCATGATTACCACACTGAGAGCTGCTTAACCACCAAATAATTTAGTGCACCGGAATAGAAAGCAGTCGTCTGTGCTTAATTGAGTTAAAGAGTAACAGACAGAGAGAGACACACACTAAAAGCCTCGGTCGCAGAGAAGAGTGCTGACGTCTTCAGTAGAAAAAAGCATATTTATTATTCATTTGTATAAAAAATTCATTCATTTCAAAAAAGGCTGTGCAACATGAACATATGGTCAGTACCTTTCAAAGTGCCTTCAATAGCATGTGCAAAATAGAATCTCAGATGTCTAGAATGTTGTGTTTTCTAGAGGTTCAAGTAAATAAATCTGGACTTTGGATCACATACATCCTAGACTGTGGTAGGTTTACATTGAAAAACATCATCTCTTCACATATTAAAGTGCCTAGGGTCTTTAAATCCACTCTCAAGAACAGGGGATGCATGTCTTGTCCCTGTGATTGTTTCAGTTTGGGGATCCAGTGGATCTACAATTGGCTGAGGATGAGGCACAAAGTACACATAAGACAGTACGCTTTGATTTAGTCCCAACATGGCCGCCTGCCAGGACGTTTCAGGACGTTCTGATTCGCGGGAGGCCTTCGTCTCTACGAGGAATGCTGCTTGTGTATGTGGGAGTGTGTGTGAGTGTGGGACTTGATGTTCTGGGTCTGGATCGTAGTCAATGCAGCTCTGTGTGTATCTTGGCACACAAACAGTGATATGTCTGGCATAGATTGTGTGTGTTAGGTTGGCAAGATTTGGCAGTCTACACATCCACAGGGTAGTGGATGTGCGTGTTCTGTGTGTATCTGTGGGGGCAGCACGCCTGAAGTAACACCTTGCGGATGTCTTTGTGTCTCAGACTGTAGAGGATTGGATTCAACAGTGAGCTCCCCGCCGCCGGCACCAAGGTGGCATAGGTGTACAGAGGAGGGCTTGAGGCATCTCCCAGAAGCCCCCAGAGCGAGAAAGGCATCCAGCAGCCCACAAACACGCTGAGCACCAGGATCAGCCGAGAGAAGCCCCTCCCACTGCTGTTTTTGCTTGCATATGATTGGTTGGCAGGGAGGAAGTGCCTCTGGGTAGCGATGGCGTGGGCGTGCCGCCTCGCTACGCGGCATATCCCAGCGTACAATTGTAGGGTTACCATGACGACCACAAGGAAGCCACCACAGAGAAGGGATAGGTAAGTCCGAGTCAAAGGTTTTGCTACAGAACAGGACTTTGGTTCTCCCAGACAGTGCCACCCCATCGCAGGCCCCGCCCCAATGATGCACGCACCCAACCAGACCAGCAGCAGGAGGACTGCCGCTCTGTGACGTGATTGGCTTGAACCATAGGTGAGGGCGTGGCTTAAGGACAGGTATCGGTCCAAAGCAACACCCATCAGGCTACAGAGAGAGGCAGTGAGAGACGTCACCAGCAGTCCTGAGGTCAGCAGCTCTGACCAATCACTTGGCTCTACGCAGAACAGGAAGAGGAAATGCAGGATCAGAGCAACCCCCGCCAAAAGGTCAGCCAGCCCGAGGCTTGCCAGCAGCAGAAAAACGGGGGCGCGGAGGGAGGGGGTGGCCAGGATAGTGGTGACGACTATTGCATTTTCAGCAGCGATGAGAGTTCCTGAAACACAAAGAGCCACGCCCCACACCGTGAGGGGCGGGACCTCGTACTTTGGGGACCTATCCAGCAGATCCAGAGGGAAGAACTGTTCGGCACCTGAGGACTCATCCCAGCCCAGATCAGAGGCGTTGAGGATCATGGCAGATCAGGAGTCACACAAACACAACCTGGAAAAGAGACAAGAGGAGGCACTTTAGATCTGGAGGGTCATTAACATCTTCATCTGAGTGTTAAATACGAGGTGGCAGCAGCTGTGGAGCTGCCATAGGCTGACAGTGACAGGAGGGGAAACAACCTGGTGATGGTAAGAGGATCAAACTGTTTTACTCATGCTTTAATAGGAGTATGAGGATTAAATGTTCAGTTTGCACACAATGTTTACTGATTACATCATTCCAATAAACCACACGTCAGTCAATTAACTTATTGCTAAAATGTTCACTCAAATAAACTTTAAAACATTGCATTTAACACTCCAACAAGAGAACGATCATATCACTGACGTCACTATGTTTTTAAAAAATTAACAACTAGTATATGTGCTTCAAGCTCCCATGAGGGACTTTTTGTTTGCCTCAATTTTGGCACCCCCTATGATAAGAGCGGTCTTTGCCTAGCTTGTCTTCTACATGCTTTTGTTTGCTTTCAAATATCATTAAAGGGATCAAAATAAATGTCAGTCCATTTCTTAAAAACCACAAAACTCCTCATAGGATCTTGAATGCGTAGTAAGAGATGGTGTGGACCAAAGGTGCACGACTCCTTCATTAAACTTTGATAGAGCTAAAAATAGAGCACCATGTCTAAAAATAAATTCATTATTATTGTAGCCTCATTTTCACTGTGTTTAAAATTCACCCTATTACTGATAATGCAGTCATTTTTGTCTTATTCTGTGCATGAGGAGCAAAAGTTGCCCTTGAGATTTATTATGCTGCAGATTAATCTTCTCATATTATTTCCACATTAGGTTAGGGAGCTCCGATCTGAGGTTTCCCTCCTGTGAGTGTCCTGTTAAATCACAGGGAAGCCTCGTAACAGTTCTCCTTTTATACAGCCATGCATTCTCCAAATAAATAAACAGAGGGAGCCTGTTTATCTGGATTACAGTTTGGCTATCTGAGGAATGTGCATGTTACAAGGTTAGGATGCTTGTGCTGTCTGGTATGTTGTCTGCCTGTTCTATCATATCAGAATGTGCTGATTCTAAAAGTAAACTAATATTAACATATTCTCATGAAGGATACTGTATTACTGTTATTTTAAAGATGATTTATCTTTTTGAGGACCCCTTGAGTCTTCTTCCCCCTCTCTGTCACGTCTTCGGGTGAGGTGGTATATCCCACCTCCTGTTGTATAACAGCTGCAGGTTCATTGCACCACAGAGGATGTCCCCGGCACATGCACGCACACATGAACTCGCATACATCACACAAACTAGTGAGGATACACCAGATGATTCAATCTTACCGTATTAATGCAGGTCCAGCTTCCAATTTTTCCTCTTCTTTTATAAGATGCAGTGCAGGTGAAAGAGATGCTGATGATGCTGATTGTAGAAACGCTCGTTAAAAAAAGTAAGAGAGTCCCCGTGTTTGGCTCTGCTCCTTATTTCGTGCTGTCTTCATCAAAGTTCGTCCAGACTCTCACTTATAGCTGGTCTTTTGCATCTCCCTCTTCTTCTGTCTCTCCGGAGCGCTGACGGGATGCAGAATGGATGCTCTTGCGCGCGAACACATCCACAAGAGAGCCTGCCTGACGTCAGTGACTGGGGATCTCGACCAATCAGCTGCCGGTACTCGGGATGCGGGGAGAGCAGGGGAGGGGGGGTGATGGGGAGTTATTTCATTCAGAAAAATGCGGCATCCTTTTAGCCCCTCCCACTGCGGTTCACTCCCTTTGCTCTCATTTCTTGTAAATAACCGCCACAATTAGACCCCCCTACTCTATCCCTCTCTACAAACACACGTTTTCTCAATCAGAGCCCTTGGCAGGGATGAATGAGGGGAGATTGTTTTGGGTAGGGCAGAGTCCACAGATGTTAAACTGCAGGGCAGAGCTCAGAGCTGGAGCTGTCCGTGGTTCTGAAACGCACGAGGATGACTCATGGGGAGATGAAAGAATCACTTCATTCTATGGAAGGATAGGGGCTTGGCAAAACCCCACCATCCTTATACACTTGAATGAACTAAAAATTATATTAATGATATTGACAACAGCAAAAAAAAATAAAAATAATAATAATAAAACTGACCAACCAAATAATTATTGTCACTCATATTATCACCTACATTGTTACAATTCTGATAATAATGATAATAACAATAGTGAAATATATTATCAGTATTATTATTTTATTATTTGTCATTATTATTGTTATTTTTATAATAATAAAAAGTATGATAACTTTTATATTTTTAACTTCATGATTTTTTGTTTAAATATATAATAATTAGGCTAAGTTTTCTTTTATTTAATTCATTATTTTTCAAAATAATATTATTTTAATATAATCATACTTATACTTTTCGTTAACCTGTTTTTCGTTAACCTCTCATTAGCACTCATAGGATTATTACAGTTAGGCTATTGTAGCTGTTATTATTTTTTATGTTTCATTTTAGTTTTTTTTATTATCAATTCTCATAGTTTCTAATTGTACAGTCTGAAGGTTCAGTTTTTTCTCACGGGGCTTTCATATTAATATTTATACTACTGTAGTATTTTAGAGGTGTTATGGCTGTTTTTGAATTCTAAAGATGTGCTCCTTCTAGTATCTTGTGAGTTGTTGTATTCCTGAACAATGAAGTATCTTTATATGCAGAAATGAAACCTTCTGCTTAATAGTTTTAACAAAATCATTTCAGAGTTTATCACAGTCGAGACTGGACTCTTCTCAGAAAAAAATGGCGGCTGGTGGATATGTGATTTGATAGACATTACATCATTTCAGATAATAAAGAATAGTGGATGCACCCTTGGTTCACAGAAGGCTACACCCATGAAAAGAGCGTGTAGGTGTGGAGGGTTTCCTGGAATCCACCACCAGCATCCTAATCATCTTGCTCTCATGTTATCTAATGTAGCAGTCCCCCCCCCCCCCCGTCATTTAAGACCCCAAACACACACCCCTCCTTCCTACAGACAGCAGCAGGGAGCTGTGGCTTCCCCGGGTTGATAGTGAGCGTGGGTGCCGCAGATGTCTACGTGGTCATGCATATCAATGTGTTACCTATTGAGGAGGGGGAATCTCGCCCTGGTCGAGCCATATTAGGACACACTTCCTGCCGAATAACTCCCGCTACGTCACAGAGAGGATTTGAGGTGCAACATGTGTCACCTTCCCAATCACCGACTTTCTGGAGCTCCTCTCCATGTTCGCAAAAACCACAGCCGTGATTTATCACACTAAACTGAAGGGATACTGTGATATTTGACTATTTATCGTCCTTACATCTATTAAGGACTATTCTATCAACGATTGTCTCTCGATATTGTGTCGTAGCCTACATTGCAGACTTACACATGGTCCGTCGCTTGTGCATCGATTTTTGCAGCAGTAGGAGCTCCGGTGGAGGAGGAGAAAATCGTGTCGGCCAGCTTTGCAATACCCCAAACTGTCTTTTTTATGTTTTTCCAGCACGCCGACACACAACTGAGCCATACCGCGAAGCACAGACAATGTGTGATAGTACCCATGATATGTGGGAGTACATGAGCCACGTCCGTGTGTGAGGAGGAAGAGGAGGAGGAGGAGGATGTGAGGGTGGTGATGCTGATTGTGGAAGTATTCACTGCTCAACGATGTAAAGTGTCGTGATTTTAGACTCAGAAGACCCGATCCCGAGGCCTGTTCTAGGTGTATGACTCAGAGCATGGACATCACAAAACACTCAGCGTTTGAATGTAAAGTGCAGGTGCATATGCAGGTCTCAAGTGCAGGGCTGTAGCTGAGAGTTATAGAGCCTGGTCTTAGGAGGGCACTGTGAAGTCCGAAGTACATTCACATCAAAAACAACCCTGCAAAGTGATAAATGAGGATTTAGTCAGCCTGATTTCTAAGATGCACTTAGGATGATAGGAATGGCCTTAGCCCAACAATAGCCACTTTAGTAGAGTTTAACTGATTTGTAGGGATTTTGGTCATGCATGTTAAGACTTCAAATGTCCAAATTCTTCTAAATCCAGATTGAAGACAAATAAGTTCTTTTTGTTTATGATGATGCCAGATTTAATATTTTACATTTGCTTCTCTCTTATTGATGCTTGGCTGTATAGATCGTAAAAGTAGGGCAGTTATAATTCACACATTCTCCACACAAAAACTTTGTTTGAATTGCTCATCAGTGACAAATCAAGCATGTTTAAGAGCACTGACAAGTGACTGTGCTGTAATCCATCACATGTGGGTATAATTAAGGTTATAATAGACTGCTGACGTGCATGCCGTCTGTCACTTCATCACATGGCTTTCCAGCTCCATTGTATGTTCACACGCATTATATATGGAGCTGTCAGCTTTCGACTGGATAACTCCTATTAACAACTGTAGAAGTCACTTGTCTGATTATAATAAGCACAGTGATGCTGGTACGGTCTTTTTAAAGCAGATACTTGTCATGAAATGTACCCATTTGAATCCATGCATGAAAACAGCATCAGATTGCCTACGTTTCTTTCCCTGTTACGTGTTTGCAACTTTTATTTGCCTGCGCATAATTGAGACTAAACTAAAAAGGCATTTTTTTAGCGGTGAACTTATAAAAGGGAATGATAGATCCCAGGGTTCTGTCATTTCTGAGAAAACGCCACAAAAGTGTCCTCTGGGTTGCTCCTAAATAAAATGCCCTTTCATAGAGAATGCCCCTTCAGTACATCGAATGTGAAAAAAAGCGCTCTGGAAGCCCTTTAAGTGGACAAAATGTAAACAAAGTGCCCCCTGGATGCCTGTCCAGTGGATCAAATATAAACAGAGTGCCCATTTGCTGCCGCCTATGTTGATGAAATGTAAATAAAGTGTCATCTAGAGATGTCCTGATGGTGGAAAGAGTGTGAATGAAGTGCTTTCTTCATGCTGTCCCACTGGATATGATGTAAACAAAGTACCCGCTGGATACCGTCCCAGATAAAAAAATATAAATGAAATGCCTTCTGAATGCCTACCCTGTGGACAAAATGTAAACAAACCCCCCTTTGGATGTCCTACAATGGACAAAATATAAAGAAAGTACCCTCCAGATGCCCTCACAGTGGACAATATGTAAATAAAGTACCTTCTTGATGCCCTCCAACTGGACATAATGCAAGTGAAGGACCTTCCGTAATTGCTTCAAGTTGATACAGCATAAAAATCTACTTCTCTAGATGCCTGTCCTGGAGTAAAATGTAAACAAAGTGAGCTCTGGATGCTCTTCCAATTGACAAAATGTAAACAAAAACTCCCTGTAGTTGCCCTGTTATTATGTAATACATGAAACAAGAGCTTGCATGTCAAATAATTAAAATGTAGAATAAGTGCCGTCTGGATGCCCTCTAATAGATAAAATATGATGACTTGCCTGTAAAGTAAATAACCTTATCTTACATACATGTTTAGCTGGTGTATAAGGTTTGTTTGTTAAATTCAATACTACAGAAAGTCTATTAATCACAACTGTTCGTGTGTTTGTATCCCAGTCTTTATGGGTGCCGCTAACTTGTATTTTTTTTTTGCTCCTGCCCCTAAAAAAGCCTGGGTGCACCACTGCATCTCATCACAGGTCATGGCTTTGGAGCTAACATGCATGAGTTGTGATTAGTTTGATTAGGGAGTCATTTTCCCTCTTTGGATTCTTTGAGTTTGGGGATTTTCAAAATAAAGGTAAGAGCATCAAGTACTCAAGATAAATGTTGTGTAACAGAGGTATTTTTAGCCATGTCAGTTTTACCCTGAGGATTGTGTTGTCTGTCAATCCACATCTTCAGTCCACTTTTAAGCATCTCAGCATCTGTTGGATTAATAACAACACTGTAACCTGGTTCAAACATTTATGATGCTCACAGCATGAATTTTAAGGTGTGACGTAAAGACTTATTGTTCCCCTCAGACTGTGTAGTTGAAAGGACTTTTAGAGGCATAGAAAGATGGAAGTACATAAAATGAAACGTTGTGTAACAGGAATGTATTTTGAGCCGTGCTGGCAGTTTTGGCTCCGGGCACGGCATCTGATGCTCTGTCAGTCTGTCTGTCAGTCAGTCCATCTTCTGGCTGTTTTCTGAAATATATCAACATCTATTAGAGAAATTCAGATGAGACTTGGTCTGAAATTTGGTTGTGCCTGGAGGATATGTTATAAAACTTTGAACTCACTTTTTAACCCGAATGTTTCTGATTCTAACACTTTAGGTCACACGGTCTAGTTAGCAAACCTGATCGTGTTAATACAGCTGTGTCTTCAGGATGATGAGTTAGTATGGACGCCATGGTGCCATCTACTCCTATTTTTTTAAACTTTAAAAACCTGATATTTCACCCTCTTTAAACATGTTGGTATTGTGAAAGTCAAATACAGATAATGACATTTTATTTGGGCATCGCTGTTTTCCTCACTTTTGCTTTTGGCCTTTTTGAGGACGTGTGTGAATGCAGACTTGAGTGCATGCTCAGCCTGCTGGATTGAACAGGTGTCACTCCATCCAAACTGGTGTGTGTTTCATTAAGGAGTGAAGGTGGGCCAGCTGGTTGCCTGGACACAGAGTTTTTGTGTTGCTCATGTTACAGATCCCCGAGTCTGCTGTCTTTCTCACTGCGTCCCAGCACAGAGCCATTTCTCAATCCAAACTATCTTGATTTGGACCACCAGGAATATCCTTTTGAGGTCTAAGATTTGACGCAAAGTGCTCTGTTGCTGTCAGGATGAAGAGGCTGGTGTTGAAGGTTTTCTGCTCGGCTCTGCTGCTTCTAGCTTTGGTGCCGTTTGTGTGCTCACAGTCAGGTATGGATCCACATACACTCTTATACATTTACTTTTTTGGCTTGTTTGTTTGTCTCCACCTCCTTTCCTGGTGTCTGATATCTCCTTTTTCAGGCTTATCTGTTACAGTAATTCCTAATCATATATCCATCCATTTATAAACTTCATAGCTTGTGTTGCAAAGCTTCTTTCCAGCAGACGGAGAGTACAGATATGAGTAAATATGCTTCTTTTCTTTGGCATTATTCTTGGATTTTGCCCCCTCACTTTGTCTGTGTTGATGCTCGTAGGATGTCTCTCAATAATGAGGCAGTTTTTGTGCGTCTGTGGGTTGATAATTATACGTCTGCCAACAAACTGTTTTGAGTGACACTTCCATCCGACTGCCTGTTTTGTGTCCCTTTCTACAGATTGTTCTCGGGCTGAGTCATGTGACCTGTGCGTCGGAGACTCCATGCTCAACCTGACAGGCTGCGTCTGGAGGCTTTGTCCGACTGGTAACACACACTCAGACAAGCACACATACCTCTGACCTCTGATAGTAATTCAATCATCATGGCTGCTGTAACCTGAGCCTTCCTGGTTTGTACATGAAGCCTAAATTATTCAGTGTAACACTAATACATGCACACACACGCTAAATTGTTTATTCTGTGTCTCAGGTAATGATACAGGGATGTGTGTGACTGATCAGGGCGACTCAGCAGACATCGCTATGAACTGCAGCTGGACTAGAGTGTCTGAATTGTGCACAGGTAGAAACCACTCTAAAATTAACACATTAACATCTCTTTGTTTCTTTACTAAGTCCTCTCTCTTTAACATGTTCCATTTCAGTCGTGGAGACAGTGGCTGATGGAGGAGGTGGAGGTGACTCAGGTAAATTATATCAAGCATCGCCTTCCCTCCCCCTTCTCTTCTCTTCTCTTGCGTCAGTCAGTTATTATTCCCATAAGAGCTGAGTTGAATGTCCCCCACCACCTCTTCGTCATTTCTAGTAAAAATCCATGAATAGAAGTCTCTCCTCCATCCTGCAGTTTGCTCTGAATGGCTCATTTCCTTTCCCTCCAGGTGACGGAAACCCCCCCAATCCCTCTCCAGAGTTCTCTCAGGCCAAGTTTGACATGTCCAGCTTCATTGGGGGCATCATACTGGTGCTGTGTCTGCAGGCGGGCGGCTTCATAGCCATGCGCTTCCTCAAATCTAAAGAGCAGAGCAGCTATGACCCCATGTGAGTTTTTATGCACCCACGTGTCAGAGGACAAAGAATTTAGCGTGACTGCATCAGTTTAAGTGGGTGCATGTTAATGTGTCATTGTGTTAGTGATGTCTGTTGATGCAACAGTGGCCTCTGGTGGCAGGAGCAAACAACAGCAGCTTAAACACAGTGTTATCCCCGTTTAACATCAATCTTGATTGCATTTGATTTTGGTCTCAAAATGTAGCTTTGCTAATTGAGTCTGTGTCCATCCACTTGCAGAGACCAGCCGACACAGTAAGGATGAGAAGTATGAAGGACAAACAGCAAAGTCTGGAGGACAGCCCAGCAGTGACTCATCGATTTGTGACGACAAGAGTGTTTTTTTTCCCATAAACCCCTGTCATTCCTGGTTTGGTCTCTAAAATGTGTACCTCTTGGGGGATGGGTGTATTATTAAGTGGACATTTTTTCTCCTGTTGTTTAAAGAGTGTCTGTGCATTATTCCACTGTGTTTGTACAGTAATTATATCTCGAAAACATTTCACTGTTGCTTTCCACATGATCTGACAAAAGAGGAACAAAACAGCTTGAATTCCTCTGCTTTGGGTGATAAGCATCTTACAGTAAGCATCTTGTGGATCTGCATTAAACGCTGCTTTGACATGTGTAACTAGCACAGTGCTGTTATGGGAAAGAATGAAATTATTTCATGAAGTTAGGAGGGCAGACAAGGTCGAGACAGGAATTTAGACTTTTCCCAGAGCCTTAAAAATAGACTGAGATCATTTCTTTGAACTGTAAGAAGATATTTGTGTTGAGCTGCATCACTTCTAGTGTTTTATTGTGCATGTAACATATTTTTTATCTGCAAACTTGCCGTGAGTTTAGATTAGGATCTTAGTGAGTCATGCAACATCTACTGGTGATCTGTTTTTAAGTTGAACTGAAAGCTACACTTTTAAAGCTGTGTAACGATAATAATTTCCAGCATTTCTGGAGCAACCCCCCTCTGATTTTTGTGTTCTTTTTTTGTCAGAAGTTACACTTTAAAATTCTGTTTCATGTTTGACATTTCTGTCCTCAGTTTATGCCCTTTAATAACAGTCAAAATATGTGTGTTTCTCCACTGTTTAATCATGCTAATGCTGGTTAAGAAGATAATTGTATAGGTTTGGTTTTGAAGGGTGTGCCTCTAGAATGCAAAATTCTTCTAAAGGGCTGAATAAACCAAAGAGAAGCACCTGTTGTTTTATTTGTGGGTGTAGTACGTCATGTCTGCTTTGTGATTTGATGCTGACAGATAATCTCACTGAAATGTTGCACAAAGCTCAGAGCATATTTGTCCACACCAGCACGGTGTGTGAAGTGATTCAGCCGGATTTTAGTCACACACCCAGAATCTGAAGATAAGACTCACCCTGTAATCCGTACTGAGCATGAGCAGCAAGGACAGAGCACTGATGGAGGTCTGTGAGGGAGCAGCGGGACGGCTCGTTGGATGCACCGCTTGCTGTCTGAGCCAGGACCTGCAGGCCTGACTGAGCCTGCACAAAAAAAGTTCACCAACTGGATAGAGAGTGGCTGTCTTCCAAGTCTGTTGACAAAGGACAGAGCTGAATACTGGTCCTTTCTGCTCTGAATGCAATGCACCCACCCCCAATACTCACAAACACACTACTCCAGGAGAGGGAAAGGGAAGCACGCGCACACACACACACACACACACACACACACGCACACACACACACACACACACACATACACACACACACACACACACACACACACACTGAGTCCACAATAAAGTAACAGCAGGTTCCTTGCGCTGTTTGCAAGGTGACTGTTCTCTTTTTGAAGCAGTTACAGATCTCTGTTTGTATTTGGCTCTGTGTGTGTGTGTGTGTGTGTGTGTGTGTGTGTGTGTGTGTGCGTGCGTGTGTGTAGTAGTTGAAGTGCAGCAGCCCTAGTGTGAGGCCAAGTGTGTTTAGTAGGTGTCGACAGCAACATGGAGAAAGTTAACATCCCACCTCCACCCTGCCGCCATTTAGTGAAACATCCGTGTGTGTTTGAGTCATATCACACACATACACATACACACACACGCTGTACATGACTGTTTGTTCCGCCTCGCGCTCGGCTCCCAGCTGACCCGGTGTGGACTAAAACTCTGGAGGGTGTGTTCTCTGCGTTTACTGAGCACACAGACCTTAACACACACACACACTGTCACACACACGCTACGCATACGCTACACACACCGCACTGAGGACAACTTTGAACCAAACTCTTCACAGATGGAACATGCGGAAGCTGTCAAGTAAGGTAACACACTTTTTCTTGTTTGGGATTATGATTTTTTTCCGCTTTTTAAAAAATAATTGAGTCGGTGAGGGGGAAGTTTTATCTTTGTCCAAAGGAGAAAAAGCAGCGACAGGTGTGCGCTCTCTCGCGCTGTTCATTATGAGGAAAGAGTGTTTGCGTTGGCCAAGCTTTCTTCAAGGGGATCCATGTGCGTTATTTTGACCAGAAACTTCGATAATAGTTCAAATTGCAGCTTGATATATGACATAATACGTGTTACAGCAACTGTCTGTGTTTTTCCTGCTAGATTAAACGCAGGAATAGTTTAAATAAATTAATTAATAATCATCCAACAGCATATTTAATTGTCTAAAATAATATTATTCTAATCTATGTTGTTTCAGGTGTCAGGTTGTGAAGACTGGTCGGCTCTCCTTGCATGATATCCTGTTTGCCAAACTTCAACACGCTTTGACAGCAGAACCTATTTGCGCATGCGTGGATTACTTTAAGGTAACTATCCTGAGGGCGGTGAGGACCCAGACACGAACACATGAATTGAAAGACATGGAAGAAAAAAAAAGGTTGCACTGTGGTGCAGCAGGTTAGTTGAAGACTTACCGAAGTTTGCTTTGTCTATTTTGACACCACACTCGTAGGCTCAAACAACGTAATGACAGCAGAAAGTATGGTGGCCCTGATGGTCAGTTGTGGCTAACACGCATTTCCTGATGCGAAAAAAATTAAGCCAAAAAAAAAAATTTTTTTTTTTTTCTAAAGGATCAAAACAATGTTTAAAACTGTGACCTGGATCAGATAACACTGAATAGCCTACATGAACAGACCTAAATACTGTAAATTACTGTATTAACACAACCCTGGGATTTTTTTCCCGTTGAACAAAGGTTTCAATAAATAGAACTTTTAAAAAAAATAACTATGCCAACATACAGTTACGAAAAATATTGAAAAAGACATTTAACTGAAGTCAAAAACATTTAATGAATTACATAAATATTTCATGCAATGCCAACAAATCTAAATGCAAAAGTGTAGGGAAAAAAAAATAGGAAAAAAAATGACAACACAAAAACACAGAACAAAATGAAAACAAGTAAAACTGTGAAACTATCACTAAATGCTGAAGTTTGATTGGAAACACAACAGGATTTCTGAAAACACTAAAATGCAACAAGCTGCAAATGTATATTAACAGCTGACACTATGTGTCACAAAACACAACTGAAATAATTAACCAAAAACAATGTTTCATGGGTTTTTCATGAAATGCAATTATATACACATGATCTATTTTTCTACTTTTCTGTTTTAAAATCATTCAGCATTAAGCAAAGTAGCCTAGTGAAATATTTTTGCTCATACAGAGATAGTTTTGTGTCATATAGAATATTTTTGTATTTGATAAAATGATCGGTTGATGTTTAACAAATATTTTTACATTTTATGAAGTATACAAAAGTCTCAAAATGCTGCTTTGTCATTGTTTGTCTGTTTTTTATGGTTTGTGCAGTTTGACCTTCAGGCTCTCCTTAAGAAACATTGTCAAACCATTTTAGATATTTTTTAATGTTTGTCACAGATTATCTTGGATAGAAATACTTAAAAAACATTGAAGCGCTGCATGTTCCTCACCTTGGGGCCATAAAAAGATAAACTGAAACATTGACTAAACCTATCTTCCAGTCAAATATTGTTGCCTTTTCAGATTTTTTGTCAGCTTGTCCCTGAGAAAATGAAACACTTTTACTTCCTCAGACCTTGTAGATTATTCTGGAAAGGACAGAGTAACATTTTCAGGGATCAAAGAGCAAAAGAGAGGGAAGCACCAGTTGAGCAGACCAAAATGTTCCCGCTGCCCTTTTAGATACGCTCTGCTGTGAATGATTAAACACTGAGAAGACACAAAGTGATTCCCTGCAGAGGGATAAACACTGTTTACATTTCAGGGTGTTCTTATTAATTATCTTATATAACAGGTTTAATGTAAATAGAGAGTCATAAGAGGAGCCTGTTTGAGGTTGTGGTTGTGCTTCTCTCTCAGGGATGGAGGAGGAGGAGCTGACTGACTCTTCTCTGGACCTGAGTCACCTGACAGATGATGAGCAGTCCAGCATCCTGCAGGTCATACAGCGGGACCTGGAGCTGCGTCAGCTTGATGAAGGAAGAGTAAGGTCAGAGGTGACTGTGTGTCCTCTGTAGTAGGAAGTTTGGCCTTTGAATTGACGTAAATAGTGTGTGTTCGACTTCTTGTGTATAACTTTATTAATGTAGGATGTGATAGCAATGCAGGGTCTGATACAGATACACACAAAGCGAGGTAGGGCCTTAAATGCAGCAACGAAGACATTATTTCTGGACACAAACAGACAAAAGTTATAACATGATGTACTTATTATAGTACTAATTCACCAAATAGAAGGCAAATGAAAACTCTTGAGCTTGACTACACTAAATGTTAAAACATTTTTTGCTGCTGCTGGCTGAACCAGTAAAGCAAGGAACAGGGCAAAGACCTAAGTGACCTTGAAAATGTCTGAAGTTTCAATCGGCCAACTCACCTAAGATCAATTACTCCACTGGGGGGAGGGGGGCTTTTGTGTTTCTATTTGGGTTGTCTTCATTAGGATCTCTGATTTATGATCTGCCAGTGAACCCTGACACCTACCCCCTTCACACTGGTTTGAGGCAATAAAAGTTACAATATTAAAATCATTAATCTTGCAGTGATGCTCTTGTTTGTTTTTATGTGTTAAAAAAAAACATCAAAATGAATTTCATTTTGATTCATAAACATAAAAACCCCCAACAGGAGCTTTAATTAGTCTTTGCATTGTGGCTTTAGCAAACAACTAATATCATCAATCCTTGTCTTTGAGGAATCAATCATCTGTTCAGAGTACAAAAACTGGACAGTGGTCAAATAAGCTCATTATAAGTTCATAGAGACCAAAGCAGAGCAAATTTCACAGTTGAAAACTAAAACCTGGATATTTTCTGCACTATTGCATGACTTAGAGTGTTTATCTATTACTGGAGTAGTGTAAAACCCTCCTGGTTATCTGTGTATTTATGTCTTTTTTCTGTCAGTATAAACTACACAAGTCATCCTTCATTTTACCAGAAGTGACAACAGGGAGTGTTTAGTTTGAACCGCAGCCTCATGTCAGCTGACTTTGCGGTTGTGATTGTTGTTTGCTGTGTAACTTGTGCCTATGTTGACGCTGCAGGATCCTTGAGAAGACAGAGACAGACCCGACGCGTCTGCGCTCTCTGACCGGGGTGTGGTTCAACGATGAGCGCAGTAAACGCCACCATAACCGGGTGCCGGTTTGCACCCTGGTCCACGCTACCCTCCGGCATAGGAAGACAAAGAGCAGAGGTCAAGTTTCATTTAATGCAGTCTTGCTATCAGGAACATGTGGGGCTGTTTATTCAGCCATTTTGGGGATATCCCAGTGATGGCTCTTTGCTTGTTGTCATGGCAACAGATGTGTCCTTGACTGAACTGTTCAACGGTGAGAAGGAGGAAACCTCACACAACAACAACAACAATAACTCTTCTCCTGAAGCCGACAAAAGACTAAAGGACAGAAAAGAAGAGCGAAGTGGAGGGTCAGTGATGTGGTCAGACTCTGAAAATGTTTTTTACTCTTTGAAGCTGCTTGTCTCACATCTGTCCTTTCCTATTTACAGCAGTCAAGAGAATCTGAAGACTTTTCCTCAGACTTTACCCAGAACAAAAAGTCCAATAAGACAGGTCTGTGTATGCTCAAATTTCTTTTTATTCCTACAATAAAAAAAAAACATCTTACTCTAAAATTTTTCTCTTCAATTTCAGACTCTCCCCTACAGAAATAGTTCCTCCTCATCCAAAGGTATGAAAGCCTCTCATACACGTCTCTGTACCTCTATAGCTATGTGTTATATAACTATTAACTCTTTATTCTCCTTTTAGAGCATGAAAGAATCAATGGCCACTCAGAGGAACTCGAGGTGATTAAACCACACAAACACATACATTCACAGCTAATAATACTGCATTATACACTGGTACATACACACTGTGACTTCTAACCCCCTACTGCTTTATATTGTATCCTAACTTAACTACTTTACTGTACAATGCACCTGATTTAATCTGACACTGGCTGTATAACATGCCCTCACTGCACTTCATAACTTTAATTATTCACACCTTGTACAACAGTTATATGTACCACTTCTTTTATTTATCTTATTCTATGTGATCTTTTATTTTGTACAGATGGAGCAAAACATTTTATCGGACATTTTATCATCTATCTTTAATGATGTTCAAATCTTTTAATTTATCCACATCACTAGCTCTGTGACTGAAGACATAACCTTATAAAATGACAGTTTTTCATGCTTTTATTTTGAAACTTTTAGTCCCCACATTTTAAAATTGTGCCTTTATTTTGGAGCATAGTTAACTTCTGGTAGAATGTAAGTTGCAACACTAACTGAAAATGGATAGAAAGTGTAAATGATCCAGTTGATAAGGAACCTGAAGAGGCACAAGCTCTGACGCTGTTTTGGAGCTCTCTCTTTCTGTGTCTCCCTCTCTCCACTCTCTAAACCCAATGCAGATGACTAACATGAATCTGGTTCTGCTCAAGGTTTCTGCCTGTTAAAGGAATTTTTCCCTCTCCACTGTAACTTGCTAAATGCTGCAAAGTGTTTTACTCATGTGGTTGAAGATGGGATGAGAGTGGGGCTCAGTCTGATCCCATCTTTTTTTACATTGGGTCTTTGTAGATAGAGTCTGGTCTCGAATTGGTGCTATTCAGATTGACAAAAAAATCAATTTTTTTTACTTACACTATTTTCCTGCTAATTTTCTGCCTAATTCTGGCACTTAAACCTGAATGCCTGGAACGTTCTCATTTTTTTTCTTTTTCATGCAACAGTGGACTACAGTGAAGATTGTTAAAAAACCCCTGATGTGTTAAAAGATGCTGTATTATACAATGTGTGTGTGTGTGTGTGTGTGTGTGTGTGTGTGTGTGTGTGTGTGTGTGTGTGTGTGTGTGTGTGTGTGCACGTGGATGTGTGCGCATGCAGGAAGACTACGACTATCACAACGGGGATACTGAGTCTCTGAGCAGCAGCCTGACAGAACCAGCTTCTCTAAAGAACAGCAGCTCCACTGGCAGCCTTCAATCGGGCTACACGGTACCCTCACACACACACTCACACACACACACACACCTCAATGCATATGTGCATGCACGTACGTGCACTTTTGATTAATTGTTTACCCGGCGACGCAAGATGACTCAGCTTTAGGACAATGACGTAGGGACTGATCTCTGTTCTGTGTGTGTGTGTCTGTGTGTGTTATAGCTCAGCGGGAGCATGATGAGTTTGTTCAGCACAGGGGATTTCGGAGTGGTGGAGGTGAGGGGCCGTATCCAGTTCTCATTGGTGTATGACATTCAGAAGGAGGAGCTGCTGGTCAATGTGAATCGCTGCGAGGACATTGCTGCGGCACGCAAGAACCGCTCTGACCCGTGAGTGAGGGTGCAAGCGTGTGTGTGTGCAGTTTGAGCAAAATTTAAGACAAAATAACAACCCAAATGTATGTATGTGTGTGTGTGTGTGTGTGTGTGTGTGTGTGTGTGTGTGTGTGTGTTTGTCACAGATATGTTAAAGCATACCTCCTGCCTGACAAGTCGAGTCAAAGTAAGAAGAAAACCTCAGTGAAGAAGAAGACTCTGAGCCCCGTCTATGATCAGACGCTCCGAGTGAGACACTTTCATTTGCATATTACATAAGGCAGCATTAAACACAAATCCCCAAAATCCAGTGCATAAATCACTAATTTTAAACGCAGTGCTGCTGCTGCCATGATGTCAGTCTGGATCCTGAACTTTTCTGTTTCCTCTTTTCATGTGTTTCCTCTTTGATTCTGGATCTTATTTTGCAGTATAAAGTGAGGAAAGGGGAGTTACGTAGCCGGACCTTGAATCTGTCCGTGTGGCACGCTGAGCCTCTTGGGAGGAATATGTTTCTGGGGGAGGTCGAGGTGGCTCTGGGTCTCTGGGACTGGACCAGCACTCAGCCACTGTGGCAGGACCTGCAGCCTCGGGTAGGGAAGAGAACACGTGAAAGATACAAGATGATGTGGTGTACTAAAATATTCACACACAAATATTTACCAGAGAACCACAGGGCCTGTTGTGTACGACTGCTTCGTATCTGTAGGAGCAGATTTGGCAGCTTTATTGCAGACACTGAAAACAGGGAGGGGTGTCTCTGGTGTCTGGGAGAGCTGTGAAGGGAGAGGAAGACATGCTGTGAATTTCAACTAAGGTTTTATGTAACCGTAATGTCTTCCTGAGTCCATGCTTCTGCCTCCTTCCCTCTTTCCTTTTCTGTCTGTCTGCTGCAATCTTTTCCTCCTCTACACCAACCCCCACCTCAGGTTCATTTGAATCCAGACTCCATTAGCAGTCGTGGGACCATTGTGCTCTCCATTAAGTTCATCCCAGATGGATATGAAGGTGGGCAGAACACTCACTTAGCGGGTTTATGTGAAGTCCTGCAGTAATCACCTGTGCCTCATGTGCTGTTTCTCTGTGTATGTGTGTGTGTGTGTGATCAGGCGGTGGTCTGCCTTTGACAGGAGAGCTTCACATCTGGCTGCGGGAGGCTCAAGGTCTGCTGACCAACAAAGGAGGAGCTATAGACTCCTTTGTCAGAAGGTCTGTCTACTGTGCAACGTATGCTTGGGTTTTTCCACGAGTTACATAATGTGAAAGAGTTTGTCCTTGTGGAGAATCATAAGTAGAAAAGGACAGAAATGATCTCAATTCATAATTTTGTAGGTGCATCATTGTAACTACACCTACTATCAGCCCGCTCATATACTGCACTGGCAGGTGGGGTCACATGTACAGACCCAATCACAGTCCTCCTTGAAGGTCTGTTAAATCCGCCCTTTTAATCGATCATTCAGCTGGTTATAAAGGTGTATTTCTTCTGTCGCTTCAAGAGGCACTTTCCTTTTTGGCTGTTGCTAGCTCTCCTCTAAATCTGGAATCATTTGAGTGATTCCTGAAGAGTTGAGATGATGCCAGGCAAAGTCAAATTATCCAAAAATATAGAGAAAATGAAAAATATCCAATTTCTTTGCAACTCCTTATCTTTAAAAAAAAAACAACTTTATAGCATCTTTTGGCTCATTCTTTTGGTTGCTAGAAAAATTGCTCCACTCATACATCCTGCCATGAATCTGGTAAAAATAATCCAATATTCACTATTGATATTAAACTGTCTTATATCATGCTCCCCTCTTAAGCTACATACTCCCAGATGCCAGCCGGCAGAGCGGTCAGAAGACGCGGATGATCAAACGCTCCATCAGCCCGACCTACAACCACACCATGGTGTATGACGGCTTCCAAACCAGCGACCTGAGGGAGGCCTGTGCCGAGCTGACTGTGTGGCACCGTGACGGGTTAAAATCTCAGGTCTTAGGAGGGATCCGTCTGAGCTGTGGGTTAGGTGAGTGTTTTCCTATGCTGCTGTTAGAGTTTTCATTAAGAGGACTAACCACTTTTCTGTACCTTCATTTAGCCCTTATTATTGGTACAGAAAAACAACGTCACAGGATGGTTATGCAAGAGATCTCTGACTTTTGCGGCTCTGGTCGAGGATTTGGATTCCTGTGGAGCTCACTAACATACCGTTGAACACAGTAATGCTACACAGAATGCAGCTCTTTCTATTAATGTTGTTTCACACGCACACAAGTGTCTGTCTTCAGAATATGGGACCTGCTGGGATTCAACCAAAAGATTAATTGTGTGGAAGCACGCTAAAGTATGGACTTAAGAGTTTATGATCAGATGTGTGTGTTTGTTTTGAACACTCCCACAGTGAAGGGATTTAAATGGTGTGTGATCTTATGCAAATATTTACTCCAAACCCTTGTGTCTGAGTGTCGGGCTGTTTTTTTTCTGTACACAAATATGAAAAAAATAGGAGGATTAAAGCTCCTATAAGCAGTATTTGACTTTTTTGGCTCGCTTAAGTCAGCAGGATGAGATTTTTGCCACTACTTAAGCATGAGGGTTAAGTAAAGACTAATTTGTCCACAGGGGGCGCCAAATTTAATGCAAATCAAAAGTTACTCATTTGTTGTAAATACTTTGTGTGGAAATTGGATAAACGACTGTTTCTTCAGCTGCTTCAGCTCAGCCAACACTTACCTCCTTGCACCAGTTTCAGGCATTACAAGCAATGCTGTTGAAGTCACCAGTCTTGTTGCTGATGGTCTTCTTTGTTTTTTGATATCATTAAAAGGCATCAATATGAATTCCAGTTTATTTCACTGAAATAAAAAAAAAAACCTCACTGGAGCTTTAAAACAACCTAACCTGGTTGTGCAGTCTCCATGAAAGAGGACTACACAGCCAGGTTGACCTGCTGATAAGGGAACACCACACCTATATTTACTTTCTTACAAAGCGGCAGCCAGTAATTGTTCTTCCATGCTGGCATGACATGCAGAGGATCTAAAAAGCTTACAAAGTTTTCACCTCAACTTTGTTTGAATCTCACCCCCCCTGTCTGAGCTGAGCTGTTTTTGGAGATTAAATGAGTCCCCTGACATTTTGTGGGCTCAGAGGAAAGCTGTTTATGTATTAGGGGTTGTCACATTAAAGGGGAATGTTTGACTGGCTGGTTTATTTTATGGTCAGCTTTTAGGATGGAGCTATAAAAGCAGTGTTATGCTTCATCTACAGTGGTGTTTTCAAACTTTGTGCTGACAGTGTTTCAGTCCGATACTTCACATTTTGTCCTGTCGGCACTTCAGGCATTTCAGATGGTGGTGTCATCAGAGCGAGGTTGTTTCAGGGTTACCAGAGTAGCAGCTGTGCGGTGCTAAATATCTTCTGTTGGGCTCGGTGAAGTTTTACATGACACCAGTGTGGTAAACAGTTCTCATTTATGATCGTTCATCTTGGGGAAGCTGTTTGTCTCAGCATGGATGTTGTTTTGTTTCAAGTCGGTGTTACTGTGCTTGACGAGGAGGGTGCAGCACTCAGGATCAAACCACTGACAGAGGAGCAGCTTCTGTGTCGCTGTTGTTTTCCTGAGGGGAGATGGAGTCAGGGGAGTGGTGGCAAACGACACTCTGATGAAGTTTAGCTCGTTATAAACAGATCCTTAAGTTTTCACACTAAAACTTGGGATTATTTTGTTTGAACTGTCAGTGCTGTGAGGTTAGATTTTAGATTTTCAGGCGAATATTCAGTCATGAGGAGAAGCGGTCAGGAGTCATTGTTCTCTGTTAATGCATCTCTTTCCACGTTTAATATGAAAATTGTGTATTTCAGGTCAGAGTTATGGCGAGGCGGTAAGCTGGATGGACTCCACGGAGGAGGAGGTCGCCGTGTGGACTTCCATGATCACAAACCCAAACCACTGGATCGATGCAACACTTCCAATCAGAACTAACCTCACATATCGGTCTGACTGACGCTAACACACATTGACAATGTGACTGAAAGATTTTCCTCAATACCTTTAACCTCTTTGTCTCAATGATACACTGCTTTTGTATATATACATATCACACACACTCACACAGGAAGCAGTAGTTGTGCAATATTGTGAATTACTGGCATGGAAATGTAGTCCGGGAAATGTAGTTTTTGAACCAAATCTGTGAGTGTTTAAAAAGTTCTACTTATGTGTCTGTGTCTAATCCACTGTAGTTTATTAATTAAAAAACAAACCTAAATTAACAGACCACGTAGTGTTTCTCTCTCCTTTCTTATGTGGATTTAAAGAAAATAAAGAGACAGTTGGTGTTCATCTATAAAAAATATATAACAAGAAAATCCCAAATTACATGAACTCTAATTGATCTGACAGTATTTTTGTATCTTCATGGGTCAAAGTCGAAATTTATTTGGATAGGAAAGGCCTGGAGGTCAATGCTTTTATTTCTGTTTTTCTGAATAAGCTGACTGCCACCTTGTGGTCAGACTTTATATTTCTTTTACACATTTTTTTTTTAACAAAGGATGTTGGTGGAGAATAAAAGTGCACACAAACACAAGAACCAGGAACAAAAATATGTTCAATAATCTATGTTCAATTTTGTTTTATTTATTGCTATTCAATCCTCAAGTCCATGCCCTTTAAATAGTGTCACGAGTCAGTCTGCGCTCCAACAGTGTCAGTCGAGACTCCAGTCCAGCAGATGGCGACATTCCCTAATGCGTACATGCTACACAGTTGTCATGGTGACGGAACGTCAACACCGATCTTGGGTAACGTCCCTCGCCTCTCCGGTATCCTGACTGACTCTTAAAATGTCAGAAATGTCTGCTGTGAACAGAAAGTTGGTTCAAGCTCTTGTTGAAACAATCTCAAAACAGGTGGAGCATTGTGAGTATTCATTTAAATAAAGTTTTGACATTTAAGCCTGAGCTAAGCTAGGAGAAAGGCAAGGCAAGTTTATTTGTATAGCACTATTTATACACAAGGCAATTTAAAGTGCTTTGCAGATGCTTTACAGAAGGAAATATATTGGAAACGGAAGAGATTAAAATAATTTAAAACAACTATAAGTTTGCCAAAGATGCTGTTTTTAATTATCATCACTCATAAAATGAATCTAAATATGTCCCACAGCTACTTCAGGTAACATTTTATCTTCCTTTATAGTCAGCAAAGCAGAGGTTGAGTGCCTTATTCGAGGATTTAACAGTCTCCTTGGGGAGCGAGCTGTTCCTGATCATACAGCTGGACTAGACAGAGGCAGGTTCAGAAGCGTACTGCACAACTGGTTTGGGATGACTGACTACATGATCATGGATGGAGGTAATACTCAAGATAAACGTTCACTCACTTATTTGCCGTATACAGGCACATGTTTTAACTCTGAATACTCACAGATAAAGTTCGGACAGCATCTTGTGTGTTGTGTTGTTACTTATCACATATCCTTCAGTGTTCAGGACGTTTGACAAAGACAATGACAACTCCATCAGTGTGAAAGAATGGATCAAAGGACTGTCTGTTTTCCTTCGAGGAAGTTTGGATGAAAAAATAAAATGTAAGCTCTATCTTATATCTAAACTTAGTCTGACACAATTACAACTTACCAGACACTAATCAGGTTATAACTCTTTCTCACAACTCAGACTGTTTTCATGTGTATGACTTGAACGGCGATAACTACATCTCCAGGGAGGAGATGTTTCAGATGCTGAAGAACAGCCTCAGCAGACAGCCCACAGAAGAGGACCCTGATGAGAGAATCAAGGACCTGGTGGAGATCACACTGAAGAAGATGGTGAGTGTTTACATTCTGCAGCCCTCTCTGTTGGGATTTCTAACCCTCTAGATAACTCTGTACTTCCGTAACATCTCACATTAACTTTTCTGTAGGATCATGATCATGACGGCAGACTGTCTTTTGATGATTTTGAAAAGGCTGTGAGAGAAGAGAATCTCTTACTAGAAGCTTTTGGAACCTGTTTACCTGACACCACGGTAATGAATCTAAAGCCTCTGAAAATCAAATTCACACTAAAACTATTTATTTAAATATTTCCTTTTTTTCAGAGTATCGAGACATTTGAGAGGCATGTATTTGAGGAGCATCAGGATCATTGAAGAAACCATGTCTTTTTCCATTTTTCACTTACATACTCTTTAATAAAAATGTTCAGAACTTTTTTATATTGTATTGCAAAATTTGTGAATTAAAACAAGTTGCTATGAAAATGTGGGAATGGTGGTTTTCTTTTGTAAACGGAATGAATGATTTGATCAAATCCGACGTCTTGGTTTCACCTTCTTTTCCACAGGTTTGAGATCAGGAACTGCTCCCACCTAAGAACGTGAACAAAGTTGATTTTACTACAATAACAACAAACATCACAACTACAGTGACTTTGAAAACTTCAGCTTGGAGCTCACCTGTTTCATTGTGTTCCTGATCAGACTAACACTTGTGTTTAGAGACTCATCCTCCATGTCTGCTTTAGGTGGTTGAGGCAGTTTCGGCCCAATAAAAGCCTTATTCTTTATGGCCTCATCAGTCTGTGAGTTTTCCACCATGTCTTCCATCTTTCGTTTCCTGTTCTCCAAATGTGTCGTCCTTGGGACAAATCTGACTGCAGAGCTCTGATTCGAAGTGAGCCTCTGTCCTGGGTCTCTGTCTGAAGGGGCTTGACTGGAGCTCGTACTCTGTCTTGGCTGCTGCTGTTTTGTGTCAATGATGGCATTGTGTAATGTCCCCATTTTGTCTTCTGTTGGTGTAGCCCCAGAATAATTCATATGTCCATAGTTGTAATGTTCCTGGGGAGGGAGCGGCAGTAGAGGAAAGCCTGAATATTGGCACATGTTTGGAGTCTCCCCGGTCTCGTCATTGTGAGAAGTTTGATCTTGTCTCGTAGTGACAGTCTCTGACGTGGTAGCTGTGTCCAACGATGTGGGCTGCTCAGATGCTGACTTCTGTTGTTTTTCTCTTGCTTTTTAACAAAATATAACAGAATACAAAACATTTAAAACAGCTCCAGTTAATATCAAAATTCCTTTGAGGAGTTCTTTAGTGTTTTAGGAGCTTTAAGCTGTCGTATAAAAATGTCAACACACATTTACAGCATGACTGTCATTAAAAAACCTCGGTACAAAATGGATCTGAGTTCATAAATGTGCATAGAGAGTCAGTCTTTGTGTGATTTTAGAGCGTACCTTTATTGTGGACAGTCCTGACCACGTATCTCCTCCTGTCCTGCAGCTTTAACCTGGTGTCCTCCACAGTCTCATACTCAGGGACGTAGCACACATGCAGAACACCTCCATAGAAACTCTTCTCATCCATGTGCCGTTTAGCAGCTCTGCAACAGAAAACAACATTAACCAAACCATTCAGTCATCCTGCTTTAATGCTTTAATTCTCCTGCAGTGTATTAGTCAGGGGGCACAGTCCTAACCTGGCACTAGTAAGTCTCTGGAACTTGACGAGGTAGACCTCCGTGAACTCCTCAGCGGGGTACTCGTCCAGGGGTCTGTATTCCTCCACGACCCCGTACAGGGCACACAGCTGGATCAGCTCTGTCATCACTCCGATGGCAGGGACTCCTTGAACCATCAGATAACGAGACTCCAAATTGATGGTGTACACCTAATGATGGGTAAACATAATATGAAACTTAGTCCATTAAGTTTATATTCATGATCTGGATTCACAAAAGAAGACATCTACACACCAGCTGGTATCAGCACCATACATTCTCAAATACTTTTTGTTTTGTTTTGCTAACCCTCATGTTTGGCATATTCTTACCTTGACAGCTTTTGCTTTCCTTCCTTCTCTATATTTAGGCCTAGAAAAACAAACTTTCTTCTGTTCGTGGTGTTTATAAACCTCCGGGACGCCCCAACAGCCTGGTTTGTTGTTTACAGGTGCCGCCATCTTTCTCTAAGTGAAGTTCCGGTTTGCAGATTTCAAAATAAGATGAGAGTCTTTCTCGAATGACTCGAGATTTGACTTTTTTTAAGGTTTAAAAACTTGCCAAATTATTTTATAACGAAAAATTATTCTTAATAAAATGATATAGGAGTTGATTTAGTCAACGATTAGCTGCATTTTGATGTCTTGAAGAGAAAACCATTATATCTTTTTTCACCTCCTCGAATTTATCAAGACTACATTCTCATAACATGCTGGCTTTATTCTCATTATATCATGACTTTGCTAAGACCTTGATTTTATAACAAATTGACTGAACGAAACATAACATTACGAATTGATTTTCTTCCGAGTTTACCTTCTGAGTTTATTCTAGTGAGAAAAGGACCTGTTTTTGTTTAAAAAAGGATAATAACAATAGTATAACCCTCAATCGTTCAAAATAACTCATCAAGTGCACAAATACTAACACTATACTCTGCCGCAAGTCAGGTCTGAGTGCTTAACATCTTATTCTGAAAAGTATCTCATCTCGATGTTGATTGCTTTGGTCTGAGCTGTCACTCTCAGAGCACATCGACCCACTATGAGTTGGTTTCACGTTTTCTGTTAGCAGAGCGACCTGCTTTGCAAATCCAGAGCTTTTGCGTGATGTTCAGTAATCAGGGCATTCAGCATGTCACTGTTGTTTTTAACAACACAAAGAACTGCTTTCTTCACCTCCCGTCGAAGCTGATTTCACATCTTTCCCTGAATGAGGTAAGTTAGCCTCGCTAGCTCTACAACTATCAGTGACAATACTTACAACTATGTATTCAGCGTTTGTTGAAGTTTGCTTTTGTTGCTAATGAATTTATGAGGTTGATTTGTATTCACTCTATAGTTTAAGTAAGGTGTAGGTGTACCCCTCATATGCAGCGGACCTGGGTTCGAGTTCACAGTCTTCTTTCTGTCAATAAAGACTTTAAACCCCCAAAAATGAATATAGAAAAATTCACTGCACTTAGTTACCAGATACTTCAACCAGCAAATGTTTCGCTTTGTGTGTCTCACTCAGAACCAGGCTCTGGAGCTGTCCTGGGGTCATGGATGTCCTGTGTTCCTCAGCTGGACCCAGAACAGAACCTCCTCAAACCCGGACGAATGTAAAGTGGAGCTGTGCAGACAGCTGGGAGAGAAGCTGGGTCTGAAAGACGGAGAGCAGGTATGTTTATGCTTGAATCAAGTTAATCTGAAATGAATCTGTCAGCGACTGACTTGTGTGGTCACCTTAGGGCTTCCTGAGACCATGTCACCAGATCTCATCGCTGCATCAGGTGTTTGTGGAGCCCCTGTCACCTGATGATTGGGAGATCCTGGTAAGTCACTGGCAGGTTTGTCTTACAACAGCTATGCTCTCATGTGTCTCTGATCAATCTTTGTTTCCTTTGACCCCCTCAGGAGCTCCACAGCGCTGCACTGGAGCAGCAGCTGCTGGATCAGATCAGGGTAGTTTTTCAAGATGCTGTGTTTCCTGTGTGGGTGGACAGCCACACTGCCGTCTACATCCGAATAGGTCAGAGTAAAGACATATGTGTTGTCATATGTTTTACACATGTAACAATATGAGGACATGGTGTGTGTCAATGTTTTCAACCTTTGCATGAATACAACTTGTCTTTCACCCTGCAGGATCCCTTTCTCCATCCGTCCCCTACGGTCGCCTGGAGCAGTTCACTGAACTCGTTGTTTCTCCTAAGAGCCGTGGTGAAACAGACAACCTTCCTTCTCAAGAAAAAGCCAGCCAGGATCAGCATTTTCAGCAGCAAAATCCGGATCATTACACCCCCCCAGGACCATCTTTTGCGACTATCTCCCCTGTCCCTCAGAGCCACCAGTGGGGTGGCATCGCAGACATGAAAAGCCTGCTGCGCTACATGATAAAGGGAAGTTATGATCTGGTGAAAGAGCCTCCACCTGTGCCTGAAGTCCCTGCTCTATTTACTGACTCTGCTTACAGGGTGTGCGGCTCTCCTCCTGACTCTCTTTGCACTATCAGTCAGGTAGCAACAGGTGTGATTCATTTATTTCCTTGGAGTCAGAGCTTCGACACCGACCTAACAGGAGGTCAGCCTCCAGTTACATACGGGCTGATCTCCAAAGTTCCCTCCCCGAAAGAATCGAGGGACAGAGCCAAGGAGGCAATGGAGAAAAAGAAAAACATGGTAGCTGTTAAAGCTGCTGCAGACGGAGAAAAGAATAAGAAGGAAGAGGAAGCCATCGTGGTCAAGGTGGTTTGTCATGGTGTTGAGAAGCTAACGGGGAAAGAGAGGAATCACAGCAAGGGAGAGATCCACAGTGGAAGAGTGTGGGTAAGTGTGCTGTCCTAAAGAGGAACAGTTCCTTTTTTATCTTTTGTAACACAAGATTAACTTAATGCAACTCTTTACGCTCAGTGTGTCTTTCATTAAATTATCTGATTGTTTTTAGATCCCACAACCACTGGCGATAAGGTTGAATATCATCCCACATTCAACAGTCAGAATAAAGCCGGTCAAAGCAGCCATCAGAGTAGCTCACTCCATTCGCTTGCAGCCTCTCAATGCCCCGGTGAGAACTCGAGAGGCAATATTAGCTTTAACACATGGTGGTGTTATGGGATTTTCTCATCAGTTGATTTACTCCACTATTAGTCTGTTAACTGCTCTTTTTTCAGAGCTGTTGGTTTAAACAACCTCTCTCCTTTCCGTCCACTTGATCTTTGACATTTTTATTCAGCCCGAAGAGGATGATGAGGAGATCCAGACGACTTTCCTCGGTTGGCTGCACGCTCAGAGTCATGAACCTTTAGCCTGCCTGACTGCACGCTCTGGCAGCATCCTCCTACATGGAAATGATGGTGAATCATTTTTACTCACTTTTAAATAGATTCCAAAGAGGCTCCAAACCACATTGGGCTTCAATTTAAAGGAGGAATATGAACAACATTGTCCTGTCACTTTTTTTCTGCTCTGCAGCAAAGTTAGAGTTTGCATTGACTGTGCTGAAACCAGAACCAGACAGTGACCCTCCAGACCAGCTGTTTTTACTAACAGCTGCTGTTCTGCAGAAACAAGATATACAGGTACAAACATGCATCTTATGAAAGGAGAAAACTGTAAACTGAATATATATGTGCACAGTTTCATGCAGAGGATTTTAAAGTTTTGTGATAAAAGTTCCAACTTTTCATTGTATGTCACCAACAGGTGGACCGACAGCAAGCAGATGTGTCAGCTGGGAAATGTGCAGCTGAAACACCCAAACTAGAGCTTCCCTCTCTCAGGAGTCTTGGGTAAGTTTGGAGTTTTGATGAGCGTGTGTATGCTTTAGACTGAGGACAAGTTTTAAATGAGATAAGGCCTTAAAATGTCTTAAAAACACGTATTTTACACGTGAGAGGTCTCTAATTTTAGATGGCACTTTGACCACTGAGTGAATGTCTGACTAAACCTAAACTTCCTACCTCATGGTACTTGATTATTTAAAATCTGACTTTGAGAATTTTGTTGTTTTTGAGACTGTTTTCTGCATCCACTCTGAGGCCTCCTCTGTGATTTGATGTTTGATTTGATTTATTTGTCCTGTAGGGAGATTCGTCTTCACTGACAGTACATTGCACATCACAGACGACAACAGGCACGACATACATACCAACAATACATGACATAAATAACAACAATAATGACAAACTTAAATGACAACACAATAGCAGACACACAGATCAGCGGGGCTTGCTGTTCAGGGTGGCTATGCCTGCAGGGATCAAGCTTTTCCCCAGCCGAGCCCCTCTGAACTTATGTAGTTTCCCAATCTCATGTCATGAGACTTGATTTTCTTTGTGTATCCCCCAGACCACTCAGCTTGTCCTGACAAATGAATACTAAGTGTTTATATTGTGTAGCAGCAGCCCTCTACAGGTTGAAACGTGGTTACTGCAGTTGCTCTTTTCAAGTGGCTGGTGCACATGCTGCAGAGTAACTCTTATTTTTATCTCCATAACTTGTTTGATTTGGTAAAAAGGTTTATTTTTAATATTGTTTTCCTGAATTAGATAACCAGAAATTCTTTGAAGGGACAAACAACAATTTTAGGGGGACTTTAAAATATATAAAAAAGCTTTAAAACTGGAGATGTATTGTTTAACAGGGATACAAAAAATTGGACGTATCCGTGTAGATTGCTGTTTTTCTGCTGCACAGAAAAGACACACTCATTTTCTTTATTTGGGTCTTCAAATGACTTAAATTTGCATCAGGACCCTGCAGGATCCCTCTCAGTCTGTGTGTCTTTCTGCTTCATCTCCTCCCAGTGGGATCGAAGAGCTCGGCAGAACCGTGTTTGAGTTCATCTCCCATAGCCTTCTGGGTAGTCCCCTTTCAAGAGAGCTCGGTACCCCTGGAATAGGACTCAAAGGAGGAGCTCTGCTTATAACTGGTGCTAAGGTATCCAGTTACTTAACCTTTAAATACTGTTAAAAACGCAGATATCACTACATGTAACACAACACACAGATCGATGAGTAACAGTTGAAGCCTTGCTGTGATTTTATCCTCGATGGCGTGGTTGAATTTCTGCTGTTTCATGCATACTCACAGGGGAGTGGGAAGAGTACCCTGTCTAGAGCTCTTTGTGGTAAAGCCAGAGCTGATCTGGATGCACATGTGGAGGTTGTCGACTGCATGAAACTTCAAGGTAGAAACATCCTCCTTTGGCAAACTTTGAGTTAAAGAAAAGCAGCTGAATGTGTTTCTCATTGTGTTTGTGGTTTTCTCCTCAGGAAAGAGGGCAGAAACAGTGAGGCAGATGCTTCAGGATGTTTTCGAACAGGCAGAGTGGAGACAACCTGCAGTTGTTTTACTCGATGACCTGGATCACATAACTGGGGCGCCAACTTCACCAGAACACGAGCACGGTCCTGAGGCGCTGCTGCAGCTGCACATAGCCCAGAGTAAAACATCGACTATTCATGTGTTATATGTTTTTATTTTTATATCTTTATTGATGTAGATGCACAGACAGGATTGTGCACAGTCACAGATCTTGATGTTGATCCTTCTGGTCTGTTTACTGCTGCAGGTCTGAAGGATGTGGTGGACGATGTAGTGATTCACTCCAGCCTGGTGTGTCTGATCATCACCAGCCAGAGCGAGCACTCCCTCCACCCTTCCCTGACAGAAGTGCAGGGGTCCCACTTCATACAGGGCTTTGCACACATCCAGCCACCAGACCAGGTGAAAACACACACATATGCACACACAAAACAAGAAGAGACCCTGAAGTCAAAGTAAAAACAAGCAGCAAAACATTTCGTTTACTTTATTTTTAGGTGCAAAGAGCAGAAATCCTGCGCCACCTCATCATCAGGAAAGACAGTCTATCTGATGACACTTTTCACACCATAGACCTGGCAGCTGTTGCCAAGGAAACAGAGGGATACACACCTCAAGACCTGGTACTGCTGTTGGAGCGGGCTGTCCATGCCAGCACTGCGCAAAAAGGACTCAGCGACCAAGGTAGCAAATCAACTTAACATTTCCTGTTACATTCCCGAGTCAGTAAGAGTCCAGACGCTTTATAAAAAAAGAATACACGGTCATTTTATTTGATGCCAGTAACACAGCCTGGTTTTTGGGCCCTCAGGCAGCACTGCATGTAAAACAGACATGACTCTGCAGTGGAAATCACTGCATGCACAGGTTCAAAATAACCTCCAAAAACTACAGACTGTTATCACAGTCAGTCACTGCAGGTTTAAACTGTAACATATGAGAGTGTCTGCTAAATTACAATGAAGCAAAGAGGAAATTACATATAAACACGACCCCAGGCTCATTTAAGGTGGACTGAGGTGATGTCAAAAACTATTCTGTGGTCTGGAAAATCTAAAATGACTTTTTTTAGGGAATCATAGATACTGCATACTCTGCCTATAAAGAGGGGGAGAGCACATTGCTCAAGCGCTCAGAGTTTGGCTCACACGTCTGGAAAGGTTCCATTGATGCTGGTTTCTGCAGGTTTTATAGCAACATATGCTGCCATCTAGACAGAATTTACACAGAGGAAAAGGCCAAACCACATTTCACATGTTTTAGAAAAGCAAGAGTCCAGGTGATAAAGTGGTCTGTATGGTGCCCTGATTTGACACCTCTTGAAAACATTTGGAGTATAGATAGATAGATGGATAGATAGATAGATTGATAGAAAGATAGAAAGAACCATAAATACATAGGCAGCACATCATCTGACTTTCATGGAGGCGTTGATGGAACGGACAGCGTTTGGGAAACAGCTGTTTTGCTGTCTTTTTGTCCTGCCTTTGATGGCCTTGTCCCCTCAAACAGGGGGTGGCCCAGATGGGATGAGTCCTTTATGATGTTGGTGGCTCTCCTGACGCAGTAAGAGCTGTGAAGGTCCTCCAGTGTGGACAGAGAGCACCTGATGACCTTCTCAGTCATCCTAGTGACCCTCTGGAGGTCTTTCCTGTTCTTTATTGTGCAGCTAGAAAACCACGTACAGAGGCAGTATGTGAAGATGCTCTCCATGGTGGAACGGTAAAAAGACATGAGCAGTCTCTGGCAGATGTTCTTCCTCAGGAGTCGCAGGAAGTGGAGGATGTAGCTGAGCTTTTTTTACCACCTGTGTGGTGTTCTTGTCCTAGGTCAGTTTCTCCACTATGACCCCAAGGAAGCGGAAGTCACAGACTCTTTCCACACAGTTCCCATCAATGAGAAGGGGCTGCAAGTCTGTTTGTTTTTGTCCTGAAGTCTATAATTAGCTCCTTTGTTTTTTAAAGTGTTCAGGAGCAGATTATTGACTCTGCACCACACTGTCAGCTGTTGCACCTTTAGGTGGACTCGTCCACTTCGGTGATGCAGCTTACGACTGTGGTGTCATCTGCATACTTGATGAAGGTGTTGCTGGCATGAATGGAGGTGCAGTTTGAGGTGTAAAGGATGAAAAGCAGAGGTCTCAGCATGCAACCTTGGGGGGAACCGGTGCTGAGTGTGAGAAGTGAGGAGGTGTGGGGGCCAATCCAAACCCTCTGTGGGTGGTTTAACAGGAAGTCCTTAATCCAAAAACATGTGGAGTGAGGTAGTCTGAGGTTCAGCAGTTTCCTCACAAGACCGTGGGGTAGGATGGTATTGAAAGCTGAGCTGTCATCCACAAAGAGAAGGTGAGCGTCGTTCCCCTGCTTCTGCAAGTGGGTAAGAGCTGTATGTAGCATTGCATTCACAGCATCCTCGGTTGACCTGTTTGCCTTATAGGCAAATTGGTACGGGTCCAGGCTGGGTGGTATGAAGGTTGTGATGACGATGATGATGATGATGATGATGATTATGAGACAAAAGTTTGACACAGGAGACCCTGAACTGGTGAGCAGAAAACCTTTACTAGTCCAGACTGGGGCATTTCACATTCGTATCTCCAGAAGCTGGTCTCCACAGCTTTCAAACATTGACTGTTGATAAAATGAGGTGATGTAACACAATGGTTACTAATTTAGTTGTGCCTCTCTCTAATTTTGGGTCACCCTTTTTCAGGTCTTTGTCTCTCCATGAAAGACTTTGAACAGGCTCTGAAGGGATTCACACCTCCCTCGTTGTGGGGTGCAGATCTCCACGATCCAAGTGGAGTGGGACTGGAGAGAGTTGGGGGTCTGAAGGAGGTTCGACAACAGCTGATGGATACCATCCTGCTGCCTGCTAAGGTGGGTGTTAAACGGAACTCCAGGGTGTTTTCATACATATGGAAGCACCACAGAACAGAAGCAGTAAAATAATATAAAAGTTTGTTTTACACTTTTTGTTTTGACTTTTGAAGAGAAGACTCAGAATTAAAAGTCTGAAACCAAAATTAGCTTTAAATGTGAGACTCTTTCAATTTAGAGCTCTTATGTCTAAAGTTCACTCAAGCTACAGCAAGAACCTCATGTAAACAGTTTCTGTATAATGTGATATAATGAAAAAATGAGACTCCAATTAACCAGCAAAGTCCCAAAAAGACTTAGATCTGTATGTAGTTTTATGAGCTGCAAAGCCATTCAGAGAAGGTTGATTGTTTGGTGACTGTATAATTTATTTTGATCCTTTCTATCATTGGATTTTGGATGCCGGCAAACCTTTTTCTCTGTCACTGTTATTGGCCTGAGACTGTTACTTTTCACTGTACTGTCATCTGTAGATTTAGCTTTGCTTTGATTTGAATCGTATTATGTTGAATACCAGAGATATAAAAGCATTTTTTTCTTTTTCCATCACACAAAAGAGGTACAGGAACATTGTCTTCACACACATCAGTCGACATCACTCATCACACAGAAACACCAAACTCTTAATATTTGCTCCTGGGTCTCTGATGTGTTGCAGTATCCTGTTCTGTTCTCCAATCTCCCAATCCGTCACCGCTCAGGAATACTGCTGTACGGAGCTCCTGGTACAGGGAAGACTTTGCTGGCCAGAGCTGTCGCCAAAGACAGCGGCATGAACTTCATCAGCGTCAAGGTGGGCGGGGCTTAATGCTGCTACAGCTTGAATAAATCAGACCTGTATGTGTCTGAACTGATGCAGGACTTAAACTTTTTTCCAGGGACCTGAACTTTTGAGTAAGTACATTGGAGCCAGCGAGCAGGCAGTCCGTGATGTCTTTCAGAGGTCAGTGGACATGAAACACTGTCTCGGTCTTTGTTTCTTATTTTTAAAGGCTCCACAAACAAAAATACAGGAGATTAAAAAATACTGTTTTTCTTCTCTTTGCCGCAGGGCACAAGCTGCCAAGCCGTGCATCCTGTTCTTTGATGAGTTTGATTCCCTGGCACCCAGGAGGGGACACGACAGCACAGGTGTGACCGACCGAGTGGTCAACCAGCTCCTGACTCAGCTGGACGGAGTTGAGGGACTGCAAGGTAAGTCATACAGCAGTTAACCAGTGTGTTGTTTGTGTTCACCAAATTCACTTTAAAGGGATATTCTGGCGTAAATTTAAGTTAGGGTCAAACACACTGCAACATCAAGTTTGACACTCCCTCGCGAGATGAATGTTGATGAAGTTAGGTGCTGTTCTGAGCATTATTTGTGGCTATAGAGTGACTTTTGGCTGAGGTTTGTGCATGGAGGTGTAGATCAGTGTGTATTGCTATCATGCAGTCATTACTTAAGTTGGTATAAGTAGAGAAGCAAGCAGTCAGCAACATTCATCTCTCGAGGGGGAGTCTAACTCGGTGTTACAGTGTGTTTGACTATAACTTTGCGCCGAAATGTCCCTTTCAGATCTCATGGCTTCACAGTATTTGGTTGGCAGATTTTTGTGCCTCAGTTCTTTTCTCAAAGTTCATAATCATCTGGTGTCTATTATTCATGCCTGTCTCTGTAATAAAGGGAGCAGCATGGCCAAATCTCCCAAAATGATCTGTAACTAACTAAACAAGGATCCTGCGTGTTCACATTTGCAGGTGTGTACATGTTAGCTGCCACCAGCCGTCCAGACCTGATTGACCCGGCCCTTCTAAGACCCGGAAGACTGGATAAGTCCCTCTACTGCCCCCCTCCTGACCAGGTAACGACTTGTTCTCAGATTTTTATTGAATGTGCAAAAAGCCAAAAAAGACAGAAACTTATTCAGACTCTTTGAGGATTCAACTCAGACCTCTAATGACGGACTTCTCCCTCTTGTGTCACATCTCCAGGAGGCTCGTGTGGAGATCCTGAAGGCTCTGAGTGTTGGTGTCACTCTGGCACCTGACGTGGACCTGGAGCAGCTGGCAGCAGTGACGGAGCAATTCACAGGAGCAGACCTGAAGGCTTTGCTCTACAACGCTCAGCTTGAGGCTGTCCACAGCAGCTTGGCCTCCAGCACGCTGCATGTAAGGCTGTTTTTATCTTCTTATTTTGCTCTGAGATGGAAATGCTCTGTGCTAAGACAGCAGGGGAGGGCAAAGAAGTGTTGACCGATCTGTTTCAAGTTTAGGGTTCAAGATGGAGCTGAGCACACATTGTTTTTCCAAGTGAAGTACAGCAGAAGTTTTGTTTGCACCAAAACATACTTGTTTTCTATAACTGGACTTTGGTCTCTTTCAGGAGCTGACCTCCGGCTCTGAGAGCGACATGAGCTTGTCCTCCATGATCTTCCCGAACAACAGCAGCAGCTCTGACGACTCAGTGGGGGAAGGGGACCCAGGTGTGATTCTGGACCAGTCTATGGTTCTCCTAGAGTCCAGTGACCTTCAAACAGACGGTGAACAGTATTGCAGCAACGTCTGGAGGCTCTACTTTGGAAGCTCGTACGAATCAGAGTCGAGGAATTCACCTGTTTCAGGACTGGTGAGTAGTACGGTCAAAACACCTGTCAGTGTTAGTCACTAACAATAAAAGCCTGAATGACACATCGGCCCACTTTGAGCTCATTCCTTACCTTATCTCATAGGACTGCAGCGCATGGCTCCTGTTTCAAAACGGTTTATTTTCAAGTAGCATTTATTTTTAGTCTTAAAATCAGGCTACTCCAGTGAATAATGATGAAACAGTTTGTTGTGTTGTGCACTTTTCCAGATCATGTCCTTTAAACAACAGATTTAAACTTTAAATCTGTAAAGTAAATATTTAAAGAAACATGCTTAACATGTAGTTTACCTAAGTCCAGAAAAATTCCACAATTCTACCTTAGTTGGATAAAACTCACTCGCAGATTGTATACTCATTAACAAAGCTCTCTATTAAAAACAATGTACAAACATACAAACAGGTTAACACCCAGTTATTTCTTAACAACGTTCATTTAACAATGTTCAGGGTGTTTGATCACATGTCAGGGTGTGTGCGTGTGTGTGCGCATTTGTAAATTGTGTTTGTATATAGAAAAGTAAAATAAAAGAAACAAGAGGAAAAGGAAAAAAATAAATCATATAATATTTTTGTAGTTGTTTATGTTGACTCACTTGTCTTGTTCTGTCTGATATCACCAAAATAAAAATAAAAATAATTAAAAAAAAGTAAAAATAAAAAAAGGTATGCAGGCATCTAAAAACATAAAAAAAAATAATAATAATAATCAAAGCTCTCTATAATTGCTGTCCCCAGTGCTGCAGAAGGTTTCCACTCTGGTTGTTTGTGTCTATTTTAACTCTCCATCTCCCCTGTCAGAACTGCCACTGCGCCTCTGGACCGAACTCCATGACCCATGACTGTACCAAACCAGGGTTTCGTGACCCGAGTTGCTCTGTCCCTCCCGCCTTTATGTCTTCCCTGCAGAGCGGGTTTGAGGAGCTTGGTCCTGAGCAGCTGGAGCGGCTGCAAGAAGACATAAAAAGCATCAAGAATAGCTACAGGTGGACAAATGTAAGTAAAACATGAGCAATGAAACATTAGAGAGCTGTTGTATTCAGATATTTCTGTTGAACTTGTACTTGCTGAGTTAGAACTTTAAATTGGACACTTCTCTAATAGGTAGTGTTTGATTCTGAATTAATTAATGCGCTCTTTAACTCCTGTGGTGTGTATTTGTGTGTGTGTGTGTAGGAGGAGTGTGTCCGGGTGCGTTCAGCCTCCAGTCAGCCGGGCCTGCTGCTGTGTCAGGCTCATGTGAACTCTGCCCTGACTGTGACCAGACCGTCTCTCAGCAAAACCGACTGGCAGAAATACACAAAACTGTAAGTGTGAGGGAAAAACAGCCAACTGTGCAGGGATGAGAACAGATCACTCTGGGGGTTGGTTTATCAAACACATAAAACAAAAATGGTTTACTCTGCAAGAAGTTAGGAAATAGTGAGTTTGAGTTTACATCAAATTCGAGTAAGTATATTTAAAGGTTGAGTTAGCAGCAGAAATTGTCGAGGTTATGAGCTTGTAGAGTCTCAGCTGCAGGAGGAAATGAAAACATTTCACAGTTAGAGCTCCTGCCAAGAAACAGTAATAGAGAAATATGAGTTATTAAAGTCATTCTGTCTGTATTCAAATTTTTTATTAAGTTGAATTACTTTGTTTTGCATTTTGTGAATTGCTGGGGGGCAAAGCTGAAAAGAGAAACTGTACTATAAACTGTAGGGCTGCTGACTCATTTTTAGAGTCAAATATAAGAATAGATATTAGAAATATTGCAGTTCATCCTTTTGTTTGTCTGTGGAATCGATATAATTAAAGTCAATAAGTATATATTTAACTAACTGATTTCTCTCCTTTTTTCTTCAAGGTATGAAACATTTGGTGGTGCAGAAGACGGAAAATCTCTTCACTCGCTTCCTTTTAAACCTGGACAGCGTGTCACTCTGGCTTAATGAGGGGCTTCAATTTCGTGATGTCATTTTTTATTACTAAAAATATTAATTATGAATCTCTGATTATTCAGCACTGAGTCAGAGCTTTGAAATAACTGTAAATCTGTATTTTGTTCATATGATTCCTACTTAGAACTTTTAATCGGATATTTATGCACTGAAAATGTAATTAGTGTACATATGTAAAATGTGTATGAATTATGTAATTGTTATAATTAAAGACCCACTTCAATGAAAATCCTGTTTTTTTTGTTGTCTATGTGTTCATGTGGCATTTTTCTGATGTTAGAAGACACATCATGAGAAAAGTAAGAGCAAAGTTGCATTTCTGAGTATTTCGTCAATCAAATCGCTGTGAATCTCTCACAGACCCAAACGGCAGTTCAGACACAGTGAGATTTCCTATGTCACAAATCCAAGCTCCGCCCCCGGAGCTCCGCTATGCAGGACAAACTCTGAAAAGTAGAGAGGACAATCGTGGAACAAGCATGTGCATTAGTGGACTGCAATGTTCATAAGAAAGCTTATTATGAAGTTAACATTCATCATGTCCCCAAAGACATTAGTGTCCGAGAGCTGAATAGCTCCTATGTTACTTCTACTGCAGCGCCATGTTAGGCTACAAGCTAGCTTTAGGGGAGTGTGCAGAGCAGCGCTGTCTCTGTCCACAACTCAGAGGAGAATTGCTAATGATCTACTGGAGCTCTGCAGAAGAAAAGTCCTTAAAATGACAAAGGTAACATGATTTGGGCCAAAAACTTCATAATCACAATCTAAAGACCACTGAGAACATTTAAGAAGTAAAATGTTACTTTGAAAACAATAATTTGTGGAGATATTTCTTGCATTACTGTCTTTGTATATTTAAAAATGTGATTTTAATGTTTTGCAAGAGTGATTTTAATAATGAAAGGTTCAACGTGACTAAAAGTGTTGTTGATTCAGTCTTCTACTCAAAGTCAGCTGAAGTTGAAAATTCACCACACTTCAGTCACTAATGAGAAAGATAACGATGAGGATAAGTTGAACTGTCCTCAGACACTCAGAAGAGACAAAGTTCAAACACTTGAGTGGGTGTATAATCAGCATAAATAAGAACATATCACTCCCAACCAAGTTCTACATTTATAGAGAATTTGACTATTCAGAAAGCTTTTTGAGACTGAACTATTCATATTTTTAATATTTCATAAAGCTGCTCATCTTACTGTGATCATAATTCTTAACAGGCAAGAATGAAAGATGCAGGTGAACAGATTAAACAGGGTATGTGCGAGTTACAGCTCCCTCTCTTCATTAGGCAGCATTACAACATTAACCAAATGTGAAAATGTAAATTTGTTCAGGATGCGACTTAAAAAACTAATGTGATGAGAAAGTCTCTGTTTCAATCAGTTAAGGCTGCTTTGAATGTGAAAAACACCACAGCTGTGCAGTCAGACACAGAAACACCAGAGGACTCCAAGGATCTTGTTTAGGACTTTAAATCACAAGTCTTTAACCTACCTACATCGCTATACTGTTGTAATTGTAATTATATTTAATTTTATTGATTTAAATGTGAAACATCCACTAATGTTTTGTTGTTTATAGATTAAATCATCCACAACATCAATTAATTTCTTCATAGCCACATAGACTTTAAACAGCCCTGGAACACCGGGTTAATATGATCGACGAACTGAAAAATCTTCTTTTTCATGGTTGTTGAATAAAGGGAAAACTTCACTGGAAAATCACCAGGTCAACCAGTTTTTAGAGAAGAAGACAGGAAAAAAGAAGAAAAATCTTAAAACAGCGTGTGATGGGCTCTCTTGTTGGAATTAACCTAAACAGTTGAGCTCACCTACCTTTCCTGGAGTTAAAAGTGAACAGAAAAATCAGGTCTGTTTATAAATCTATACCTGGAGCTTCTCTACGTCTCCTCAGACTGCAGCAGAGCTCTTCAGCTTGTTCAGGTGCAGAGAACTTTCTTGACAATACTCTCATGTCAAAGAGTTTGTCTGCTGTCATGCTACACACACTCTGACAGTTTTCAGATTTGGCTCGCCTTAGTCTCATTGTCAGTCCCGCACAATGCTGCATGAAGATTATTGGGCCCGTTGGAGACAGTTTTCTACCTCCTCCTTTCTAAAAGTCTCACTGTCATTTTTTTCATCTGACATCTGAGAGGACACAAACACAGAAATGAGGAACCGTCACTCTAGGAAATCATTTTAAAATCCAGACACAGAAAGAGAACCAAAATGACATCTATGACTATCTGCAGGTTTTTCGCTCAGTGAGATAAGACTGCAGCATGAAATACTTGAATTTCTGATGCCTTTTTGATTGCTGCAAAGCAAAACTTCAGGAGAGTCAGAGAGAAGGATGAGATCGTCTCAGAAAAGCCACCTGACTGTGTTTGTCTCCACTGTCCTGAAGGTCTAAGCACAGTCCGTCTATCAGGCATCCTGGGTTGATTTCCAGCCTGTGGTTTCTTTCCTGTCCACTGTCCTGTCAAAAAGAGGCCAAAAAATAAAACTTGAAAAGTAAAAAAAAGAGGTTTCATAAAACATTTCTTCATTTCATGAATTTAGCCCAATAGATCCCTGTTTGAAGGTTTGAAAATACGGTCACCTCAGACATGGGGCATCCAGCACTAGTTGGAATGAGTCATCACTTTATTCTCTGACAGCGAAACAAGCCAAGGCCTCTGTTGCTACAACCTTCAGTATCAAGTATCAATGCCTTCAAATAAAACTGTAGTAAGGATTAGTGTGAAGTGGAAAATAATGTCTTAACTTAGCTGTTGTCTTAATATGTCTAAATATTGTTTGTGATAGGGTAACCATATTCTGATTTCCCAAAAAGAGGACACGACCACGTGGGGGGAGGAGTCACAGAGTCGCCCAAAGTTAATTTTGAGAGTTTCTCAGGTTGGACCGAGTGTCTTCTACACACTTCTAACTCAGTAAGTCTATGTGACACAAACTCAAAGTCCAGGTAAAAGAGGACATATAGTCACCCTAGTTCGTAACAACTATCTAGCTACTGCTGACTAACTACTGCTACTGTTTTGTTGTTATGAGCACCTACAGAGGAAGTAGGGCCAGTTTGTGTATTTAAGTGTGTATTTTTAGTTTCATACAAAGCATTTTACTGTAAGCTTTTGGTGGGATCTGAAAACAAAGCTGGTCTGCTGAGTCTGTCTTTGGTGAGCGTCTGTAAAGTTCACTCTCAGTAGCTCTTGGTTAGTCTCAAACAGGCTACACCATGCTGTCAGGATGAGAAAGTCTATCTCTTAACATCACTATTCTTTCTATTAGTTTGGTGCCTTTAGTAAAGTCTTTCTAAAAGATGTATTGATGCTCGTACAGAAACTCCCTGTGGTCTCCAGTACATTATCGTTTATCAAAGCCCCGTGTGACGGAACATATGGTGACTTTGGAAAACTCTCGAGTAATTAGAAGACTAAACCATGCTGTCCGGAAACAGGCCCACCTGAGGCAGAGCTTGAGCTCATGTGTCTCCATCTTCATCCTTCTGCTCCGATTCTTCAAAACACATCTCGAGTGAGTCACAGGTTCCACTTTGCACCACAGCACCTGTCCATTTCACGACATCAAGAGATATCAACCTGCATCAGAATTAGATCCTCAGCAATGTGCAGGAGAACAAAAGACTCGACATGTTTGCTTGCTGAGACTGCTTTCCACCAAAATAGAAGAAAGAGAGCGTGGTGTGCAGAAAGAGAGAAGACAGGCGGGTGGTTCAGTGATGTAAAGAGGACAATTTAAAAGGAGACGCCATTCAGGGAAGCTGAAACATATACATTTAGAAAGAAAGAGGAAAGATGACAGGGAAGTGTGGGACCGTTTTAGCTCGGTTAGGTTCTGTTTTGTCTTGGCAGGTTTGTTACCTTTCCTACAGGGGGATGACAGACAGCGGCGAAGAAAGAGTGACATTTCAAAACAACTCGGTTCAGCTCCTATCTGAGCTCCAAAAATTAGAAACGATAAACACAGAAAGAGAAAGTCAAACACATCTTATTATGGCTTGGACCGAGAGAAGAGACGTGCATAACAACAGAGAATAAAATGGATTTTGCAGAGTGTTTGATTTAAAGCATCCCTGACAAATCCACAGATATAAAGCTACAAAGATTTCAGCTTCTATCCAAAGACCACAGATCCTCAGAGGATCCAACAAATCCTAATGATTACCTCAGTTTCATAAAACTACAGACACTAACAAAGGCCGAAATCTCTTTCAAGTCTTTTGTTGAGATGTTTCCGCTTCTGCCGTTTGCAAGGTCAAGCATCAGAGTTTGTCTCCTTTAAGCAGCAGGTAGTAGGAATAAATTTGATCACCTCTAATCTGCAGCAGTTATCCAGTCATGCAGAGCGGCTGCACTTGGCAGACCATGCCCCTTGCAGGCCATTATAAATGCATTAGTCCTGGTGCGCTTGTATTACGCTTGTAAACACGCTCTGGCTGCAGCAGTGCCTTCGATCAATCGGCACGTCTCTGTCAGGCGAGATAAGACTTTAAGATTCATCACAAGATAGCGGAGATTAAGTCACTGTTAGTGCGGATGTGGAAATCAATTTCAGAGCTGTATTCATTTATCTAAATCCCAGTTTTCCTCTCTGCTGAGATGATCTCTGTCTGGGTTAATGTAGTCACTCTGCCTTGTTAATCCTGGTCCAGGGTCTACGGGGCTTCAGCTTCAAGAGAGAGCAGACATGGTTTATCTGACCAGGGAGGAAATTTACCCACAATTCTCTATTTAAGCTTTAAACATGCATGATCCTTACATGGAGTATGACCTTGGTAGATCAGCGGGGACAGCAGATTGCAGATTTTAGTACTCGGCGGTTAAATTAACACAAACATTTGCTTCTCTTTCTTCTATTTTTTTTACTCTATATTTACCTGTGATTTCCTGCTCCACAGGAGATATGGGTCTGTCCCCCCGCCCCCAGTAATCAATAACATCACGGTAAAACGTCTCCCTTGTCAGTCGCAGGTCCACGTTGGACATATTTCTCCAGTAATGTGAGACTGAGAGACCAGGCTGTGCAAACAAGTCGATACAAATGATGAGTAGAAAACTTGGAATGGCTCTGACACATCTTATTTTTTCTCTTTGCCCCTTAAACTGCTCTTTTGGCTCCATTAGATCTGTGATTTACTCAAGTGTGAGGACATTTTGTCAATAAAACCCTGAGGGAACAGCTGAACTATGGCACTGCATTCGATAAACAGCAGATGAGAAACAGCGAGTATGGTTTCTTTGTTTGTGTTGGTTTCACCCTTAATCCTTCCCTCCTCTAAAGACACTTTGATGATGTGGCACAAAATCTTTAAGTGTTCACCAGCTCCCTGACCCAAAAACTGACGTTACTATATATATACAGACGGGAAACAACAGAACTCCATCATAACAGCTGAAGCATTACAAAAACATTGTCTCTGCAGGGACTTTGTTTTTAGTTTCGGAGTTTCTGAGAGATCTCTAGCTGCCACCTCAATATGGAGGTTAATGAAATTAAAATGAGGTGATGCCCTGATTAATCCCTGAACTTCCCCATTAAGAGCTTTAATTAGGATTATAGCCTTGTTAGAAAATGCTATAGTGACCCCTAAAAACACTTGAGTTAACAAGGGCAGAATGAAGAAAAGTCCGGGTGCCATGCTTACTTGTCCGGGAGACTTTGTTCGTGCCTTGTAACATGATCAGCACCAGCCTTCATCTGATTTGATAAGTGTGTCCCTCTAGATGAGGACATGAGTTGCACCCTGCTGGCTGTAGCTCTCAGGCTGCTGTCTCACATACTGTGTGAAAATCCCTGAAAACCTCGTAATGAGGCCAACCAAGAGCTTCTTTCCTGTATGTCACGGACGAGTGCGGCAATGAAGACATCAGGGATTCCAGATAGGGGAAAATTGGTAAAAAAGCTACTTAACTGGGTTGTTTCCTCTATTAACTTAAAATGTATGCAATCATAAACCTTTGAGACCAACATAAAAATACACTTCTGTCTCCACTTCACCTCTCATTAAACCTGAAACAAAGTCCTCACTTTAAAATGAAAGATTTTTATTGTGAGACCCTGTAGGTGAGAAAGTCCTCACAATGTTCCTCCCTACATAGTGTCCTCACAACACATGTAATACATACGCACATACAGATGCACACACACACACCTACACACACACATAAACACCTTATTTTAGGTGCTTTTTGGGGACGTGGTGTAACTGAAACACTTAAAAATCACAAACCTTTTGTTACTAAACTGAAACGGTTTCTGCTTCAAGATTGGACTGAGTTGTGGATTTGGAAGAGCTCTGGTTTACCTTTAAGTTGACACAGATTTGGTCGGTTTTACCTTCTTTGATGTTTGTTGGTGCTGCAAGACATATTAGAATAATCGCACTACCAATCAGGGGGATCAAGACTATTTTTCATAAATAATTTTTACATTAATAACATCACTTTTAATTCAGCATTTTGCATCAGTACTATATATCTGCAACTTTAGTTGGTTACAGGGTAACAGGTGGGATTATGTATGGTGAACAGGTAGTTATAAATGAACTGGCTGAGAGCTGCTGGTGGAGCACATAAGCTCCAAAATGTGCCTCTAAATGTTGGCTTCACCAGCCCTTATATTGTGCTGATTATGTAGTTATAATGATTTAGATTTACAGAGTGGTATGATCCGTCAGATGAGGTTTTGACTCTACTCTACGTTTGCCTTTTCTTTTCATCATACTAAGTGGAAAACAACAGACCTGAAGCATCATAAATCTGTTCCCCCTTTGCAGTTTAACATAGCTACAAAATAATTTATATTTGGTTCACACTTTATTTCATTCAGTGTTGGACGTAGACACTTCATACTCCATCTCTTTCTTGTGCCCTCTTGCTCATCCCAGAACAATCAAAGGTGCCCTTCCCCAGAAATGAGTGTGACATTTGCAACATCTACATGCTGCTTCTGTTCAAGAAACTGGGCTAGAGTGTGACAGACTGGAAGGTAGGAAAGTGAGAGTGGTGTGTTTTTACGAGTGCGAGACAGATGCTTTTCGGCGCTGACTTACATTGCTAATGAGCACAAGGGGGGGCATCAGTACCCACTGGTGAGTGAACAATGTTCCCCTGAAGACGGAGCTCAGTGGAAGTTCCTGCGCCCAGAGGTAGATAAAGCTGTCGAGCAGGAAATAGTGTCACACACCGAGGAGTAAAGGACTGTGTGCATGGGGAATAAATATCCTGTGACACAGCCAGGCATGTAATGGGAAACCCAGGCACCAAGACCGAGTACGCACACACACAAAAAAAAGCTAAACTTAAACATTCAACTGAGAAAGAAAAGGCAGATCTTTGATAGTTCTTGGTCATAAATCTAAAAAAGTGTTTCTATGGATCTTCTGCAGAAATAAAACACATCAGTACTACAATTTGAGGTTCAGGATGTTGAAAGTTTTCACATAGCATGTAAACAGCAGTGTTTGTTTTTTCAGCAACAGCTCAGAGGACACCTGCATACTCCTTTCTTTCAGTCCAGGACAAACATCTCATCTGTACACGGTTAGTTAAGACAGAAAACTCATCTGTGGTTCTTAAATCTTTAATGTAAACAGCAGTTTGGAGGGGCTTTGAAAAATCCTAAAGAAAAAAAAAACATATCAAGGTTTTAAATAGAAAGGGAAATTATATAAATCATAATAGATATAACAACCATGATCTGTTTTTAAATTAAAAAAATACATAGACTTTCAATTTTGTGGCCACAGAGTCCCCAACACACACACACACACAGAAAAAAAGACAATTTCCCTTGACCAGAACACCAACATCCTCTTTGTTACACTGACTACTTGGCAGTTTCACAATTTTAAAAGTACTAAATTAAGACCATCGTACAAATGATGAACAAAAGAAGCTCAAATATTGCTTAGGAATGTCGTGTACAGCAGTCATTACAATGAAAGAGACTCAAATGAGGAAGAGATGAGTGTGTGTTTGTTCATGTGTTTCACAATGGTGGTGCATTGTTCTGTTGGTTTTGGCACAGCCATTGTGTAGGAGTGTACAATATGCAATAAGCAGTGGTGGGATAATAACATGAACATCATCAGAATATTCAAAGGAAAGGCTCTTAACTGGAGTACAGTGCCTTGATTTTCAGGATTAACTTACTCTAACAGTCTTCAGTATTTGTGTAGCAGTACAGAGCGGATTTCAGAGACTGTTTTGAAGGGAACTGGTCTTTATATGGACTTCAACCTCCCTCTCGTAGCCTCCTAGGAATCATGTAGCTGCCACAAATACTGCAAGTGAGAATGTGACGAGAAATACTGCTGGAAAGCTGAGGACAAATCACAAAACCCCGTCCCTCCCTGCTCCTGACCTACAACCACTGCTGCCCCTCCCCCCCACAAAGCCCTGAGGAAAAATAACAAACATAAAAAAGGACAACAGCAAAGCTGCATCAATTAAACTTCTAAGCATTTGTCTACAGCAATATTCAAGCAAAAAGACAGAGGGCGCCTGGCTGAGAAGAGGAAGTGAATGTTTCAAACAGGAAACAGGAGGAGAGTGAGAAAGAAGACGCAGGACAACCAACCACAGCCAGAACAAGTGCTTCCTGGTTTCTCCTCTCCATAGCAACCCGAAGACTGTATCCACCCCAAAACCCATAACTGAGCCCAGTAACACGCACCATTTTACTCTCTTTTGTTGTGAGACGCAAGAGGACAACAGCTCAAAACATCTGTTTTCTTTCGGTCACAGTTCACTTAGATATTTTATTGTTTTATTTGTTTTTGTTCCAGTTTGTTTGTTTGTAAGAAAAGAGTATCAGTCCAGT